AGGGCATTATTATTTCAGTAACAAACTTTACCCCAACAATCCAAACATGGTTGATTTACTTTTCCAAAAGTAGCCTAACTGCAAACATAAACATGTGAATTCAAATCACACTAAAATAAAATAGACATTCCATCTCAAATTGTGATACTGTGCTTTGCAATGTAACTTTGCACACAGTGTATGTTTTTGTTCAAGATTTTATCAATTAGTTACATAAGGGCTGGATGATGTAACAGGGTGTGTTTGCACGGCTGCATTCCTTGAAAGGGAGAAGTGAACCACCTGATTATACTTGACAAGCATTGCTTCTAGGTTACATGGGTTAATTGTGCACTGAAGGTGAGACCTCAGTTCAATTCATTTTTTTGTGGTAGGGAGTTGATGTCATGGACTGTCTAGATGCAGAGGAGTGGTGGGAGGCACTAGCTGGAGAACATCCAAGGGAAGATGGCTCAAAGCCAGGGGAGCGATAGTGGAATGACAATGAGTGGTCAGAGGGAGAAGAGGGAACAGACTGGGAGAAGGAGGTGTTCAAAGCTGAAGAGGTAACAGGGTTTAGCGAGCAGGAAGAGGCTGTGGCAGAGGGCAGTTCGGAATCAGAGGCAGAAGCAGAGGCTGGAGAGGAGGGGGCCCAAGAGGCAGAGATCAGGCAGACTGCGGAAGAAGCCAGGGAGTTTCCTCCTCCTGCTGTGACCAGCTCCCCACCCCCACCCCAGTCTCCCAGAACCCACAGAGGTATGAAGAGGGCAGAGCAGAGGCAGACAGGATGAAGGAGCCTCAGATTGCTTGGGAATGAAGCAGGGGAGGAGGAGCCTTCAAGAGCAGGGGGAAGGCAGGGACTTTCAGTCCTCGCAACTGTCTCATTGGGGCAAGACATACTGGGAAGAGTTGTGCTCACTAGGCCTGACCTGTTTTGTTTCTTTGAATAAAGTGTTACTTCACTTACACCTCGTGAGTTACTGATGACCTTGTGAATTATAGCATACACATATGTGTGTATAACTGAATTGTTGACTAAGTTCAAACAGCATGGTTATTAGACAGCAAAAAATAAAAACAGAATTATAGCTTGTCAATTGTGGACAGAATATTTTACAAGTGCATTTAAGGTTTCCTAATCTTCCAGAGCAGTTATCCTGCAGTTAAAAGAAAATCACAGGCATGCTTGAGTAAGTTGCTTCTGCTGTGTAACTGTTCCAGGAAAGAATGATTCCTTCCATGTCAGCTTGCACAGGAACCTGCCTTAAACTGGGTCAGAACATTGGTTCATCTAGTTTAGCACTGCCTATGGGTCTGCCCATACCACAGCTTAATGTGGACTTGAAAATCCAAATAGGCGAGGGAGAGTCACATTGACTGCATGGGAAATCTTTGGATTCCGGGAAGAAAAAATGTGGGCCAGCCATAGTTGGGAGAAGAACACTGAATGGACAAGGGAGAATTAAAGACAGTACAAGGGGTTCACAATGTATGTATAGACTGTGTGTGGATGGGCCCTACATTGATTGGTGAAGTCTTTTTCAACCTACCTGGAGATGCCGGTGGCTAAACCTTCAGCCTTTAGCATGTAAAGTCTGTGTTCCACCACTGAGCTAAGTCTGGCATCTAAGAAGTTATTTCATTTGTAGTTATCAGCATGTTCCACGTATTGTCAAGCTGTTCTTTCCCAGTCCTGTTTAGTACCAATAGGAATCAAACTGCAGACTCTTAACATGCTAAGATTTTAGAAGAAAGCTTAGTGAGTTGCCTCACTTTGGATTTTGATGTTAAATTTTAATCAACCCGAAACATTGAATTTTAAGCTTCTTAGACCTTTATGTAGGTAACCAATTTTCAGTGTGTCAACGGCCCTGGAGAGAATTCACTTGCTTCTGAGGCCATGACTAAAGGAACAGTAGATTAAAAATGTTATTGACATCTTTGTGAGATTGTGATGACAAGTAGAATATTAAATGAATGGAATATCTAGTTCAAAAAAAGGACATGATGATATAACACTAGAAGCGTCCTGCTGCACAATACCAAAGGCCCATTTAGTCCAGCAGTCATTTCTCACAGGGGCCAACCGGTCCATGAGAAGCCCACAAGAAGCAGAACTTGGATATAATAGCACTCAAGGGGTGTGAAAATACAATTACAAAGGTTTTAGTTTTGTATCCAGAAGGTATCACAGCTTCACAAAGATACCAAAAACTGGAAGCTAGAAAAAGTTAAGGCTCTATACTTCTGTGGTAACAGAAACATGTGAGAGAAACGTGTTGGTTGTCAGATGGAGCTGAAATTAGGGGGGAATGGCAGCATGTGGGTGAGGGTTACACAGCCTTGTTAACAATTCCATTTGGAATGTGGAAATTGCTGAGTGAAAGGAGGTAAGGGTATAAGGGAGTGAGGCAATGCAAATCAATTACTGCAGAACACCCATTTGTACCTGTCCTCTTTTCCAATGCACTGGATCTACTCTACAATTTTGACATCATACAGTGTAGATCCAGTGCTATTTTTGTACAAAAAGAGGTGCCAGAATTCACTAGAAACAGCTCTTAGAGTGGCAATGGTGTCCACCTGAGAGGTGCCAGAACTGAGTTCCAGCGAGTTCCGGCTGCAAAAAAAGAGTTATTTGTAGACCAAAACAAAGATTAGAAATCAGAGCAGAATATTAATCACTTTTGCTACACAGGTGATCTTCAGAGATGTATGCTAAATTATCAAAAGCCCTTGCCAAGCACAACAGAATTGTCGTCTTTGGCATGCTCTTCATGCTAGATACCTGGGGTATGTGATAAGAGCAAAGTATTACACTTTAAAAGAATAAAGCTAATCCATTAAAGTGTATCATTAAAAGCTGTCTGCTGGAAGGTGTGGGAGGCTGCAGAGAGACAAGAAAGAATGTTCAAAATACAGCATACATTACCACACAAATGACAGCTTGCCTGGAGTTCTCAACAACCTCCCTCATACTGTGAGAAATGGAAGCATGGATGGTCTGTCCATGAGACAAGTGACATTAAGATTGTGTTTCGGTGATATGGTAAGGAGTATGATTTTCTTATATAAAGAAATAAATAGACATTACCTCACTCAATACTGCTAAGTGGGTAAATGCTGTTGACTGTGTGGCAACTTCCGATGTATTTCAAATATCAACCAATTCCCAAAGTACCCGTTGGTAGCTGTGACTATCCCAGAATGTGCCAACCAGCCAACATGTTGCAGATTTGCACTGAGGAGTCAAGAGTGTCATTATGCCTACAAATCATTTCCTTCCTCTAAGAACACATGGAAAAACAAACACAAAAAGCTGCCTTTTAATGAGTCAGACCAATAATCCATCTAGATTTCTACATGTAAAGCACATGCTCTTGTCACTGAACTACAACCGATATCACAGAGAGGGATTTGGCAAAAATTTTGACACACAGCCAATTGTCTGTTTTTTCTAATAGTAGACTGGCAAGTTGTGGATTTCACATACTACTGAAAAAAGCAGTCTAAACAGTCTAAATTTGCTTAGGGTAGTTTCACTGCTATCAGAAGTTCTAGGGATGGCAGTCTGAAAGAGAGCATTTTCTGTAGCACCTGCTAAACTACAGAATTCCCTCCACACAGAGATGCGTCTGTCACCTCCATTATATAGCTTTTGTGATTTGCTAAAGACACAAGGCTTTTTCCTGGCCTTTGGCACTTGAGATATATACAGTAGTTATAACCAACCTATTCATTAGTTTGTAAATTGTTAACTGTGTTTCTTCTTGTTGTTTTTTACACTGTTGTAATTTGTCCTGTGACCTTATGGTGAAGGGTGAGTAAGAAATATAAATAATACGGATAATACTGTGCAGTTAAGAGAATGTGGCCTCTTTAGTCATTTTCTCCTAACTCCCAGAGACACAGAAAGCAGCAGGGCAGGGTAAGAAAGCCCATCAAAATGATTTTGTGAAAATTAGTAAAAATATTATACAAAAAAATGATGGTCTGAGCTAATGCAAGAAACCTGGAACAGCTCAGATGAGGAAAAAAAACTATTTCCCTGTATTCCTTTTTCTATTTTAAAAAAAGTTTACTGAAGTGGTTTGCAGCCCTCCTGAGCTCCTAAATTATATACAGATAATCCTTACATTGGGCTGGATCAACTTTTCAATAGCGACGAGCATTTGATTTGGAGCCTTCCCTTAGCAATTCAATAGAGCCGTGTTCCCCAAAATTATAATAATCTAGTACCCCTTTTGAGATTTTACTCTTACCAGAGTACCCTTTCTCATAAAATTTGGGGGTAGTTATAATACTACTATTTTATCTAAACATTATGTAGTAGAGTAAAATAAATAAATAAATAATGCTGTGTACCCTTTGAAACCCTTTCACGTACCACACTTTGGGAAACACTGCAATCGTTTCTAAACAGAGAACACCCAGCACCTTCTGGATAGGGTGTTTATTAACTAGGACCAGAGCCTTCAGGTTGGGGATGGATCTTCAGGGAACCCTCATAATTAGTGGTCAAACGGGCAGCTGCAGCATGACCTCAACCATCTGGGGGAGGGAAATGCGCCACGCAGCATGTCCACACACACTCTTGTTCACGAAGGGCCCCCTGAGGCCTGTGAGGAATCCACGAGTTTCTACACCCCATTAACTCCTAGGAGCCCGCCCTTTTTATTCCTGTTAATGTAACCTCCTCAAGGCCATGTGCTGCGGCACAACACAGGCAGACTCCACCTTCCCTACTTCTCCTCCCACCAAACACGCAGCGAGTGAGGGCGGGGGGGGAGAGAGAAAAAAAGAAAGGTTGAAGGCGCTTCCTTAGACTTGGACTCAGCCTCCTCCTCCTTTCTTCTTCCTCCTCCCCCTTTTATCCTCCTCCTCCTCTTCCTCCAGGCCGGAGCTTTTGTTTTTCTTCCCAGCTTTCTGTTTTCCACACGTGATTGCTGTGTTGTTGCGCCGAGCGCTTGGCGGGGCGAGTGTTACCTATAAAAGCCAATAACTTTGGCCAAGGAGGGCGGGGGGGGGGGAGGGGAGAGAGAAAAAGGCTGGAGCAAAAGGACGCGAGGGAAGGAAGAGGAGGAGGAGGAGGAGGAGGAGGAGAAGGCTGCTGTACAAAGTCGGGCGCGCTGTCCGTGCAGGCAGCCGAGAGGAAGGAGGAAAACATGCCATGCCTGCCCCGACTCCCCTCCGCTGCGCGGCTGCGACTCCACCGCCCTGCCGCCGGGTGCTGACCCTCCGCCCGCCGCCTGAGAGCTCGTGCCTATCGCGGCGATTATCACTCTTGCCCACTCCGAGGGCGGGAGAGGCAGCGGCGGCGGGCGGGCGCGACAGACAATGGCGGCGGCGGCTGCTCCTGCCGCTGCCAACAGCGGCAGCAGCAGCCCAGTTCGTGCCAACAACGGCGGCGGCGGCGGCGGCACATTCCACCAGCAGCTGGAGCCCTGCCTGAGGAAGCCGCCGCCGCCGCCGCCGCGCATGGACCCCCGGCGCAGGCAGGCAGCGCTCTCTTTCCTCACCAACATCTCGCTGGACGGGCGGCCCGCCGTGCCGCAAGACGACGAGGGCGGCGTCGGAGGAGGCGGCGGCGTCGAGCAGAGCGGCGTCGGCGCTGCAGCACTGGCGGCCGCGAGGGTGGCTTCTGCAGCAGCAGCCTGCAGCAACGGCAGCGCTAGGACTCGCCACAGCCTGGGCGCTTTCCAGCCCGTCGCCCCGCAGGCTTACCCCAGCGCCTCCTGCAGCGGCGGCGCCAGGCTCACGAGCCCCTCGAGGGCGGCTGGGCAGCAGCAGGAAGAGGACGAGGATGAGGACGAAGATGCCTTCGCTCCCGTGCAGGTGCCTGTCGCCGCCGCCGCCGCCTTCCTGGGCTCCTGCGGGACCCCCTCGGCGGGCGGCGCAAGAGGTCGCCTCAACTCTTTCACTCAGGGAATCCTGCCCGTCTCCTTCGCCAGAGCCGTCCCGCAGAACTATTGCTGCCTCGAGCAAGGCCCTGCGGGCACCAGCGCCTTCGAGCTCCAGAGGTCCCGGTGAGTGAGGCACACGCGTCTACACCCAGAAGGGGCTCGGGATCTCTCTCTCGTTCCTTCAGGACTCCCTGCCGCCGAAGGACTCGAATTATTTCCTTAAAAATAAAGGGCCTCCACCTTCTGAAGTGGAGTGCCAGGGTTTGAGGGGGTCTTGAAAAAAGTTCACTCCTCATCTAAGATGTATGGGGGTCGGTTGAATTATTGGTGTGGGGGAAGCACTCTGTGCATGCTCGAAGGCACTTCCTTCTGTACTGTGGTTTCAGAGGGACTAGGACAGCCTTTGCCAACTAGGTGACCCTTCCAGATGTTCTGGACTGCAGCACCCATTAGCCTCAGCCAGTGCAAGTAGTTAAGAACATCTGGAGGGCACCATGTTGGTGAAAGCTGCGTTAGGGCTGCTCAGATGATTAGGTAGCTGAACTGTAGTCAAAACTCTGGGTAAAGGGATTAGGCGAGCACATACCAAAGATCATACAGTAGGGATTAGTACTCATTAACGCCTTTAATTACACTGCTGCACTTACAGCCAGGATGGTAAGACAGTTGATTTTCTTTATGGCCCTTCTGCCCGCAGTATGTCTCTCTATGAGAATCTAATCCACTGTGTGAAAGGCAAAAGATTTATAAGATCTTGTTTGTTATAAAATGGAAATATATATAGGACCTCACCGATACTTCTGTCGTACTGAACTAATGTGAGGGACCAGAAGAACTGTAGAGTTCAGATGTGAGATGCTTCTGTGAGATATGGATATCAATTGCTGAAGTGTACAGAGTGTGCCACACGGTGTGCCACTTGCTGGAGAGCTTCCAAAATGTAGACCTGAAACCTCGTAGGCAGGAACCAGACTCTCGTCCCCTCTGTGTTCTTTGCAAAACCTGCATGCTTCTGGAGTGTATAAATATTAAATGGTTATATTACTAAACTTAGACTTAATCTACAAATTTACTTCATCACCATGCATCTCTGAGTGCTGCACTCTGCTTTACTTACTTGGGAACCAGGTTGTGTAATTTATTTAGAACTTCTTATTTATTTATATTAAATGCCCACTTATCTGAGAACTTTTGATGTGTTCTGCCTTTTCAAATGGAGTTTTTTTCACTATCTCTTGAATACATAGAATTTGGAGTAGTTGGAGGTGATGTAAGAAAAACACAACTGGGTGGTAGGAAAATACCTATTACAGTACAAAGTTAGAGACTGAGTAGCCACTGTAGCAGGGGATTTCGCTCACTGGCGGACGGTTGGACTACACGACCCTTGAAGTATGATTCTAATGTTTAAGAAATGCATTTGGCAAGGAATACTATCCTTTTCTGTGGAAATGGTTTGCTTGTTTGGCATACTCACTACCATACTACTGAAACCCTATGCACTTAATATAAAACAGATGGATCTTTTCTTATTTAAAATGCAAACATTTTTACAAAAATAGGAACAGTGCTCAAAGTTTACAGGCAAATCTTTTTCCATCTTAAGTCAAATGCTACTTCACAGTAGTCTCCCTTCCCTGCTCATGTAAGTTGCTGGCACCTTGCTTTGACATAAGCTTTGGTGACATTGGTGCAAAGAGGCTGTGCTGAATTCCGTTGGTGCTTTGGGGATAGTTTCATCGACTGAACAAATATTTGGGGTTGTTCTGGAACATCTTGTTTTGTGCCGTTTTTTCCTATGATCAAAGTCTGACCATAATATCCTAAAGTGCTCTCTAGGGTTAATGGAGGATGCTCTTTTTACAAATACCATATGTGTGCTCTACCAAAACACATTAGAACTTTCTCCATCTAGCAACTTGTCAGAGCCTGAAACTGCCCTGAGCGACTTTCTGAAGCATTGTAAAGCTTTTCCATTCAGTGCAAGGTTTTTGATGTTGATAGTCACTTGGATGTTTTGGGATCTTTTATGCTTTTAACTGAATTTAGTGAAGCATTTCACGTTGGCTCTTCAGTCTGTTGGTTTCTGCCCCAAGTTTAAAAAAATGAACAATACTACATCCTATATACAAGTGTCTGGGAGTTAGCTCCATTGAACACAGTGGAACTTAGTCTGAGTAAGAGTAAACAGCAGTGCACTGTTAAGTCAAGCCACAGACCACTGAAAGGACTGGGGGCTTATGGTCACTCCACAAGGATGGACAAGTATCTCACTGTCACCAGTTCAGAGCAAGGGACACCCGCAAAACATCCTCTAGGTAGCCCTGCTAGAAATGTAATCCACGTTGGTGTAGCTTGTTTTGGCTTGAAGGCTTGTGCTTTTAAGTAAATACTTTGGGAAATGTGTGTTGTTCTGGAGGGGTGAGATTTTCTTGTGTGCTGCTCCGAAATGCCTTTAAAGGCATGCTAAAATGCTAAAACTAGATGACCAAAGGACAGCCCCTCCTCCTGTTTTCCAATTTTTGAAGTTACACCTAGAGCCATAACAAGCCCCACCTTTCTTTTCTGCTCAAGAAGCTGGTTTCAGATGACAAGTAGAACATCTTCCATGTTGCAAGAGACCATGTTGTCCAACCTTTGTATGCTAAAAGAGGTTGTTTGGGGAACCTCATTCTCAACCCCCCCCCCCATTTTTGTCCTCTGATAAGCTGTCAGAATGGTTTTTTAGCATATTACACAGAGATCTCTAAATTCCTTTTCTTTGCACACCCTCTTCATTCCAGGGGATTTTAGTAAAAATAATTAGAAGTAGGGTGAACATCTCTGCAATGTAGAGGTGGAAAAGAGGTGGAGTACAATCTAAAGCAGGACCTGTGGCCCTGCAGCCAGCATGTCCTGATAACAGCTGAGTTGTCACAGGTTCTCCATCCCTGATGTAAAGTAATGTACATGCATTTATTAATCAGCAGCATTTTCTTCTGACTGTGATCTGTCTCTGAATCTGATATCTTAATCCTTCATTTATTCGCGGCTGTTATCATGCATTACTCATGAGTTGATGCACCGCCCCATCACTCTCATTCTGCTATTCTCCAGCATTGATCTCTAGTTAATAGGGAGCTGCTACAGCATGTTTGCTTAAGTGTAAGCATTCTGTTTACCTGTTTAAAAGATTTTTTTTAAAAAAAGCTGTCTTGTAGGCAGGGATTGATGAATAAATAACAGGCTTCAAATGACAACCCTGCACGGATAGCTGATTGTTTTTAAGCAAACTCGTTCCCCTAAATGCTTTGAACATGATCAGACCTTAACAAAACAATTAACAGTGGAGCAAGCATTCAGCTGCTGCAGGACAATTCAAGCATTACTATTGAAATCATATAATTGTGTCTGGGCCATGATAGCAGTCCAGGCTGATCTGAGTACAAGGAATAAGAAGGCAACACAGTGTCAGTAAGCTACAGTTCTTATCATAACATTATTATTATTTATTTAGTAAAATATAAACATTTCACGCAGTAACACAGAGTAAAAAAAACTAGAAGTGATCATAAACTAACTCCCATCCCTCCTTCCCCAACTGCACCACTATGCCAATTATTAAAACAGTGAACTGACAAAAATAATCACGCAGAAGGAGAGAGAAAATAACAGCCTTGGAGTGAAGGAAAGTCATGGCATGTCACTGTAAATACAGTAATGTTGGCACCAGGTGGACCTCCCTGGAAAAAGCATTCCCAAATTTTTGTAACCACAGTCCTTTTCTGGGAGCAGGAGGAGGGCCTCCAATGACAACCTAAGGTTCTGGACAGCTTCATACTGGAAGAGATGATCTGTAAAGTACTGGAGTCTTGAGCTGTTTAGGGTTCTATAGCTAAAACAGCACTTTGAATAGCGGATGTCAACGCATCTGGGCCAGAACTGGTATTATACATTTAGACTATCTTGTTAGAATTAGGCCGTTGAATTCTGCACCAGCTGCAGTGTCTGAAAAGCCTTAGCATAGACAACTGAAGCCAGGTTATCAAAATCCAGATAGCTGGTAGACGGTGCTCTGTGCCATAGCAGCCACTTGTACCTCCAGTGACAGTAATAGATGCAGACACCCGCCTTCCTGAATCTACAAGCTTGTACCTTCAAAGGGAGTGCAACCCCACCCATAATTGGTTGAACATTATTTACCCAGGTAGCCAAACCATTCTCTATCTCTGCCTTATCTGGACTGAGCTTCAGTTTATTGGCCCTCATCCATTCAAGCACTGTTGTTACAGAGGCACATGAAGGTAGATTTATATCTCCCTCTAATGTGTAATTGTACACTTGTATAGGAATTCACGTGGCACAGGTGCATTTTTTTTATTATGGCTTCTCTCCTTTGTCATAGTGAGGATGCCTTTATTTATTAACTCCTTTGGGCAACAGACCTTGTTCCCGGTTTACAGAAAGGCATCAAATATTTAGTCTAGCTGTAAATACTGGTTTCTGTTCGGCATTGTGCCGGTGAAATCAGTGGAATGACGTGTGTGCTTTTCAGAAGAGCCACCAAAAGCAGCCACAAATGGTTATTGCTGCTTACACTTTGCCACCTTAACTGTTGATCTGTAGGGACTAAAAATAATAATCTGCCATCAGTTGTACTTTTACTGTTGAAAAGTGCATATCAGCTTCATGCCTACTTCCCTGCTGTCAGTGCCTGTAATCAAAATTGCATCATTTATACTGTGGGAATTTCACTCTCTGTAAATGACTCCCTGTTGTTTTGGACTAGCATCAGTAGTTTCTTTTATTGACAGTAACTATGCTTCTGTGTTTACTATCTCTGGTGTCATTCCATGTCTAAAGTGATATATGGCACATTTTCCTTCAGGCATTATCAGCTAAATACCAGCTGTAGTCATGCATCATGGATATTGGTTTCTTTACATGCTTTGTTTTGGAACTTGCTACCTTCTAAAGAAAAGTGGTATCTTAAGTGTGACATCTACATAAATTTTCTTTTCTTTAGTGGTACTTCTTTCACTTTTTCTCCAAGACTTGAATGTTTATGTCACTTGGCATTGTTTTATCTAATTGTTGCTTCGTTTTTTGAAGCAGGAAAATCCTTACTAAACTTACAAGTGAGAAAATCCCATAGAACTGTGCGGGACTGACTTCTGCTTAAATACTGTATGCTTAAGACTGCACTGCACTGGAAGTTTCCAAGCATAATGCAAATTAGTCATTCTTAGACTGCAAGAAGCATTCACAGTCATACTTTTGGATAGGAAATGGAGGGAGAACAGCCTTCTGCTCATAGAGAAATCCCCTGACAGAACCAGCTATGCCAGTAGAATATACTGATGATATATTAGTTTGCTTTGGCTTCAGCATGTTCTCATGTGATTCTAGCAACAGACTTCAAAGTGAAACATATAAATTGTAAATGACTCTTGAGTTTTTGTTTTCCCTTCACATTTTCTTCTGTTTGGCCGAACTCAAGCATATGCGGACTAACTTTAGATATTGGTATCTTCGCAAAATAGTGAACCTTTTAAACATCTGTTTTATTTAGATTCCTAACCCAGAACCAGACACAAAATACAAATTAAGTTCTTACACTTTAACTGCATGAAATTAGTTTTTTTTAAAAATCACCACATCCTAACAAAACACCAAGTAAAACTTTCTCCACTTCTCATTTCCTTAGCAACATGTTTCAGTTGCAGACTGTGGAACAAGGTGTCATCTAGAGTTTATTTCTTGGTGACTGAAATATTTATTGAATTCTAAAGCCACGAGATAAATATAACATGCCAATAGGGAGTGAAGACAATGGATTTCATACTTTGCATAAAGCGTTGATATGCTTTCCCTGAAAGTTTTGCATTGTAGACTAGTTCACAATAAAGGTTGTTGCCTTCAGATCAGTGAAGGGTGAGGCCTGTTGCTGTCTGTCAGGTTGCTCTTAGAATCAGTGTACCTGCAGAGACGAGCCCTTGCCATTCTTATTTACTGTATTTTACAGATCAGTTGACAGTTGATGAAATGGTAAACATACTTTCTAGTCATTAATTAGAATACAGTAGATTAAATCCGTGTGGATTTGTATGTGAATAAAAACAATTCTTCTTAAGAAAACAGGATCATTCCTTTGCTTTTAGGCAAAACATGCACATGACGAAGTGGGCACCATCTTAAAAGAAGTCTCTGATGTGAGATGTGGGAATGTTTATTTTAAAATGGCACCACCTTCCACTTGGAGTTGTTTTTTGTTTGTTTTTAAATCAGACTCCAAAGAATTTAATCACTCCCTTTAATAGTGAACTAGGGTGCTGAGTACCAACTGAAATGGGCCAAAACAGAGCTACTGTGAAACAAGCGGGAGGTGTCAGTATGATTTGGGGAACCCCAAATGTATTAAATAATACATTTTAAAGATATGTGGGGGAAACCCGCCCACAAACAAGCCCATGAGGACTGAGCATGCTCAGTAGTCACTGGCTGTTTAGTATCAGTTGGGAAACAAAAATAGAAAACAGGGGTGATGGAATGGAGTATAGTGAGGAGAGTTAAGTTTGGAACCCTTAAAAGGAGCATTTACTGTAAGGCACTGAGAACTACACAGCAAAAAAAAATGTGGCCGTTCACAACATAAAAATACAAAATGAGAACACTGTTATGTACTGAAGTTCTCACCCTGGGCCAGCAGGGGGATACTGTAGATAGTTATGCAAATAAGGGATCGAAAGTGACGTTTAGTGATTGGATAGTTTTAGAAAATTGTTACAGTTACATTGTACTGGAGCTCTATATAAGCAGGCTGACTGAACCCTTCAGTTCAGTTCTGTCCTGGGCTGTGAATAAACAAGAGCTGTTTGAAGAATCGCTGTGTCGTCTGATATGTTCACCCACAACCTAACACTGGTGACGAGGATGGGATGGATGGACAACAGAGCACAGCCAGATGCAGCCACCCTCTGAGCGGAGCTGAATTACTGAGCTGAAACACCGAGCGAAATCACTGAACAGAACCAATTCAGAGCTCACTGTTCTGGCTAGAGCACTGTGTTCCATCCATCGCCTCCACATCAGCATCGGAATCATGGCTTCACTTGTGCCTCTACCGCCGTTTGCTCCAGCCTCTGAATCATGGGACTCCTACCTCGCTCGGTTCGACTGTTACCTCCAAGCCAACGAGCCTCTGTGGGCCTGAGGTGTTCAAGACGGCCTGAGCATTGGTTGCGCCTGTAGCAGTCCAGACAGCACCGTGGGACACGATTAAAGAGAAGCTCCACAACCACTACGTGTCCAAGATTGCTGCCCGCCATGCGTTCTGCCACCGGAACCAGGCAGAGGGGGAGTCAGTTAACAACTACACTGCCACCCTCCGACAGGCTGCAATGCACTGCGAGTTCCGAGACTTAGACGAAGCCCATATGGATCAAATCGTCTGCGGGCTCCGGGACATCCATCTGCAATGACGTCTCCTCGCCAAGCCAGACCTCACGTTGCAGAAAGTCATTGAGGAGGCCGTGGCTTCGGAAGCTGCCGAACGCTCTGCCCTGGAGATCCACAAGGCCAGCAGCCCGCGTCTTGCTAGGAAGCCAGTTCCAGCGCGTCATGAAGAGGCCAGCAGTGATGAGGCATCCTCCAGTGAAGACGATGACATGTACCAGACAAAGCGGGAGCGCAGGAAGTTCCAAAAGAAGTCCAAGGGCCAATCGGAATGTGCCGGCTGCGGAGGCCACCATTCCCGTGCCAAGTGTCAATTCAGAGATGCCATCTGTCGGAAGTGTTCCGGAAGGGGCCACATCACTAAGGTCTGCCGATCGGCTCCGTCTGACACCCCCCCTTCACCGACTCGCAAGTCCAAGTCTTCACTCCAGTCCGCCAAGGAAAGTTGTTTCGCTCTCACCAACTGCCACTGCCTGTCTGGAACCACGATTGGCCAAACCGACTCGCCTACACGACGCAAGCTGAACGTCACTTTCGATCCCTTATTTGCATAACTATCTACAGTATCCTCCTGCTGGCCCAGGGTGAGAACTTCAGTACATAACAAACACAGAATACATAACAAAAAATAAACAAGCAAAACAGTATCACCCATATAATTAGCGTATACACATGTGACACAAATCTTATTCTATTTCGTGGGGGATGTAGTTCCTCTTTTTGGGACTGTTTCAAGTGACTACCCCAGTGTAGTCCACTGAGCACTTTTATAATACTCTCGCAGTAAATTCCCCACCAAGAATTTTGCATTCTTCAGAGAGTCAAATTGATTGATGAACTTAATTTTTCAGTCTTATTCACTTTATCTAGTTATATTTACTGTGTTTGAATTTTCTGAGTGATTTAGATATAAAATGAATAATTAAGTATGCACATTCTTGGCATAAACCCAAGAAATACTCAACTCAGGGGCAACCTTTTGCCCCTTATAAATGTGGAAGCAGTGCCTTGTAGGCAGACAAGCCTTATCGGCAGGATGAGTAGGTGCAGCCCTGAAATTGCTTGCCGAAAGACATTAATGCAACTCAAGGTGAGCCTTTAGATAGACATTATCAAAGAGAAGCCATGTGAGGATTAGAAGAAGGGGAGAATTGAAAGAAAAGGGTCTGGGTTTTCTTCAGTCATTTGTTACGCTGTATGCTTTTGTAATGTTCCTGCAATTTGAACTTCCAGTTGAAAGAATTGATATTTTTGGTAGGATCTGTTCCATCCATTATCAGCAAAGTAATACAGTCACTTTTTGTGACCGGCTACATCATGCAAGACCTGGTGCACTGTGCATTTTTGTTTTCACAAAGCTTCTGAATATGCTGTAAAGCTATAATCAGAGTTCCTTGTCTTTTCTGTTTGTGTTAGCAGTTTAGGTAATTACATACTGGATTATATTTAACATACTAGATTATATTTAATTAGTGTGGTTTGGGTTTGAGTTGTGCATGTGTTCAGAAGAAATAAAATTACCAGCCTACTCCCCCCCCCAACACACACACGCAAACAGCCCCCGTCCAATAAAGCTGTTGATGTTTTTTGTGTATAAGAAAGGAGGGGGGAATTGCAGTAAATTCACTGTAAATTCAGGGTGTATTTAGATGGTTTTAGTGGAGTTTAAGATGATTTGTTTCACTGACATTGCTAGAGCTTAATTCTGAAGTCCTGCCTTTAGAACCTTTCTCATCCCTGCAACATGGGATGCTACAATGAAGGCAAGAATGCTTTTGAGTATATACAGACTGCCTTTCCCTTGCTACTGAGTAGTCACAACTATTTGCACACCTGAGTTTCATCAATAAAGGTTTTCAAGCCAGATGTTATTACCCTTAGGAACCTAGAATCAGTGTTAGAAACAGAGATACGAGAGCTAGGAGCTAAATGACAACTTAAACTTAGGTTATGGGCACAACAGCAGAATGTCTATGTGCACTTTTTAAATAACAAGAATACAAAGCTGAAAATGAATGAAAATGAAATATTATACTCACTTTTCACATGGTCTAGTCATTCTGCCCACTGCCCTAATATTCTTAAGAGGGTCTCTTCTCCAGTTTTCAGAGAGTAGCTGGAAGTAAGGAGGCAGAAATAGGTCCTCCTTTCACTCTGCAGTTTTAATCTGAAATCTTAGGTGCACTACTGTGCTCAGAGCTCAGTGGGAGTTTTGAACACTGCCTAGAATGGATGGAAACAAATAAATGTTTTTCTGCTTGCTTCCATACACCTAGGATTTCAAGTACATCTTTGTCCCAGCACTCTATTGATTGCCATGGTCTGTCTGAGAAATATTCTTTAGCAATAGTTTTTATAGTTTTTTGTCATTGCAAAAGGGACATGTTCCTTTTTTTTGGAAGTGCCTGTTTTCTCTCTAATTTAAGAAAGAGGTATCTGACGGTGAATAGTTTGAATCTCTCAGGCCTCTCATATTTTAATGGTGTGCCATTTAGTAAATTCTTTATATTCTCTCTTGGTTTTCAGATTATGTTTTCTACTCCTGTTCCTGGTTTTTTGTTGGCTGTTAATGAATCGGAAATGGAGGGCCCTGTACTTCACACGTGTACTTCTGTGTGGTTTTTTTATCTGTAAAAGCTTTCCTTCCATGAATGCCACCATGTTAATAATTTATCTGAAAAGACTTTAAATTAGGGCTGCAGCTTTTGATTAATCATTTCCATGCATTTTTAAAAAGTGTCCCTGATTTAATTAGGCACCATGTTAATAAAGATATTACTGCTGCTCTCTCTTTCTCTATTCTCCACCCCCCCATCTTAATTGATATCATCTCCCCCTCCTACCCACCTACCCTGACTATTGGGCAGTAGGATGAAGAGAAGGAGTTAGACACAGGCAACTTTTCTCCTATGCTCTTGCTGTGGTTGAGATTTGCCTCATCTCTTTAAGGCTCAGGGTGGGATGCGAAGAGGACTCTTAGCCCAGACCATCATCAAGACAGGGCATGACAGTCCTGATTTCCAAACTGGCTGTCAGGTTGCAGTTGTTCACACTTCCTTGGGAACAAGTTCCATTGAAATCAGTGATATTTACTTTCAAAGTTAAGCAAACATCTGCAGAATCAGATTGATCAGGGCAGTGGAGCAAGTCCCCTATAACTGCAGCCTTCCATTTTTTTCAGACCACGGTCCACCTTTAACCCAAACATGCATTTGGGGACCTGTTCCTTTAATTTTTAAGTGATATCTTTTTGTGGTGGTCTGCTGTTGTGACTCACCTTAGACCAGGCTGTAACCCAGAAGTGGGTCTCCTCACCCATCAGCTGAAGACCAGTGCCCTATAGTGTTTAAGGATTTTTCTTTAGAAAATAGGTAGGTAAGGGCGGGGGGGCATGATAGAGGTATATAAAATTATGCATGGTGTAGAGAAATTGGAAAGAGGGGAGTCTTGCTCTCGCAACAGGGGATCATCCAATGGTAGAAGATCCAGGAGAGACAACTATAATAGTTAAATTGTACAATCCTACAAATCTTCAGGCATTGTAGCCCTAGTTCTCAGTGATGTGGTAACTCCCTTTTCCTGTACTATACCAACGTCAGACTACATCTGGGAACTCACAAGACTGAATGACTTACTTTTCTGTGTGCATGTGTTTTTTAATCAAGGCATGGGTTTACCATCATGGTCGAGACTATAACCTGTTGAGGGTAAGGCTGAATAAGTTAAATAAGAAATGCCTGAAACATGCAAAGCAGTGAGATCACATAATGCAAAGCATATTTGCTACCAGGCCTCTGAAACCTTAACCATCACAGTTAAAGACCTTAGTTAGGTTAAACCAAATCATACGGAACTCCACTATACCAGTTTGTGCATATTTCTAGGAACCTCCAGAGGCAATTTTTAAAAATCTTTCCATATCCATGTCTTCTCAACTTCATCTTCTTTTTCACTTTGCTGTCATTCTGAAACAGTATTAATTTAGAATTTCTCCCTGAATGAGAAATAAACAATCTGTAATGGTTAAGTAACCACATTGCATTAGCAGAAATTTATCTTGAGTTATGGATGTACACATTCCAAACAGCATGTGGAATCTGTTGAAAATGGCCTGTACACATAGTCATAACATGTAGCACCAACCACTGTATCTATCTGCTGTTTCCACCCCAGCATTGGCAGCCTCCCAAATTTAGTAGGTGCAGAAAGCATAGTGCTGGTTTGGAAATTCTCTGGGTAAATGTTAGTGGGAAATTCTGTATTTATTTATTTGTTTATTTTATTTACAGATCACTTCCCCATAAAACAACTTGACGAGATTTAACAATAAAAAATGTCAAAAATAAAAACATGCGTTGCTATCTTCCAAAAGATTGAAGTACATGTCCCTTGAAAACTTTTATCATCCACATTTTATGCTTTCTTTTGTCAGTCTAGTTTTGTAAAACAAAAATACAAGTTTAGGTCCATTTAGTCAGGAAGCATTTCAGGGACTATAATCGCACATAATTCATTGCATATTGTGGCAGCAATGAAGTTGCCAAGTATAGATTTTTTCTTTAGTGGGGTGCTTCAGGGTTGATAATACTCTGACTCAGTGTAATTCACAATTTGCTGCCTGAGGAAGGCAAACCTTGTAAAGACATTAAGAGGGATGGGAGTGAGCCAAATCTTTATTTGTATCCCTCTTTCAGGAAGGGAAAGCACATCTATGAATCTAGGGAGCAAATAAAAAGAAACCTATTAATGGGAGAAAGGAAAGGAAAACAAACAGAACATTGTATGAATTAAGACCGTACAGCTTAAACATTCCTTTCAGTCTAATGTTCATTTGTGCAGAGAGGTTCTAAGGCTTCGGCTTGTTAGAAAGTTCTGCTGAGTCTCATAAACTGAAGGACTAGATATGCATCCACTGATAAGGGAACTGCTTATCAGTGCACAGAGAAATTGACAGAGCAAATGCATGATTATCAGTTAGGATGGTCTGTCAAGACAAAATATCCCAGGATTTTTTAACTATTAAGATTATGGGGGTTGTTGTCAACACTGAGATGATCACACGGTAAAAGCTACTGGCTGCATCTGGAGATGTGTTCTGATCTCTGCAGATGGCTACCAAAACCTGAAAATTATATTACAACATGCATAAAAGGAAAAGGGACCACACTTGTTACTGTTGGTCTTGGCCATAATAAATAGACAGCTAGTTAGGCTGCGCTATCTGCCAGTTAACTTGTGCAAAATGTTGTGAGTAATCTACTTGCATGTCCTATTTGTGGAAATCATTTCTGTGAGCACTATTAACATCATGCTTTTCCTGGATTTCTCTTCCCTTAGAAGTGAAGGAAGCCTTCTACCATGGCTTTCCAATTTAGTTTATTTCTTCAAATTTTCATTATGATTTTATTTTTTATTTATTAAATTTGTATACCACCCTTCATCCAAAGATCATAGGGGTGGTTCACAACATGAAAATACAAAACTGAGAACACAAAATACATAATAAAACAAAAGCAAGCTGATCCAAACTGACCCCCTGTCCACACACGCAAATACGTTTTAATACTTTTTTGTGCTCTGCATTATATTTTATATTCTGTTTCTGTACGCTGCTTAGGTACTTTTTTGAATGTAGAATGGCTTACATTTTGGAATAAAAATAAGTAAAAATATTTCCCCACCAATGCAAGAAGGGTGCTGACAGTTACATGAATTAATAAGCTGGCAGATCTAACATCAGGCCAACTCTGAATCTACATTTCACCCCGTCATATGTTCACAGGGGCAGTATTGAAATAATTTGAATGAGCAATATGACCCTTTGCTCCTCATCATGCAAATAGCCTTCATTGAGAAGTAGGCCTCACTTTATGGACCCAATCACGTAGATGCTCATTTCACATTATTTCTCTTCCTCAAAACATATGGGCAGTGATGAAGGGTAGAATAATACACATTGGGCCTCTTTACAGTGGTACCTTAGTTTAAGAACAGCTTAGTTTATGAACAACGTGGATTAAGAATGCTGCAAACCCGGAAGTAGGTGTTTTGGTTTGTGAACTTTGCCTTGGTAGCAGAACATGTTCCGCTTTCTGTTGAGCATGTTCCATTTGTAAATTGAGTACCCCGCTGTTATGGGAAAGCATGCCTTGGTTTAAGAACGCTTTGGTTTAAGAACAGACTTCCGGAACGGATTAAGTTCGTAAACCAAGGTACCACTGTATACCTGAAGGAGTGTCTCCACCCCCATCATTCAGCCTGGACACTGCGGTCCAGCTCCAAGGACCTTCTTGGTGGTTCCCTCACTGCGAAAAGTGAGGTTACAGGGAACCAGGCAGAGGGCCTTCTCGGTAGTCGTGCCCGTCCTGTGGAACCCCCTCCCATCAGATGTCAAGGAAATAAACAACTACCTGACTTTTAGAAGACATCTGAAGGCAGTCTTGTTTAGGGAAGTTTTTAATGTTTGATGTTTTATCGTGTTTTTATTATTCTGTTGGGAGCAGCCCAGAGGGGCTGCAACTGTTCATGTGGAAGACTCACTTGATTATAGAGGCTATCTACATGGTGGGAGAGAGGGGTCTATGTTAATCCTTCACTATATTATTGTCTGAATTTTCTGAAACCATGAAATTGGTTTTCAAGATGGAATAATCCTGCTGTTGTTTCCATATTTGCTTGGCCTTTGATGAACTTCAGCGTGGCTGAAGTGAGGGAGCTTGTGATCACTTCCCCACTCCTTTGCCCCAAGTCAATCTCGCTTTGAACTCACTGCAGCCTCAGGGTTGTTCCTCGGTTGTGTACGCAAACTCTAGGCTGAATCAAGTTCAGGGGCTGTTGATCTCCAAATCAAGCTTGTTTATAGTAGGTTTAAATATACTTATTTCTTTCATAGATTAGCAGGCTCATTTTGGAAACCTCAGATCTACCTACACATAACGATGCAGGATTGTTTTGAGATGCTCTGTTCCCAATTTAGAAATGGAATCTCATCCAAACAATGATGTAAACACTGTCATTGTTATGTCAGTATAATTGTAGAGAGTAATCATTGCTTATTCCTCGCCAACATGTAATAAGATGATTTTACCACTGTCCAGCCTGCCTTTGAACATACATTACATTAGTAATGTGTATAAATCAAATTATAATGACTAGAATTAGTCCTGAGAAGTCAGTATAAGGATGACTTCACTCACCAGATGAGATTGTTGTGGTGTGCTTTCATATTCTTTTTCAAAAAACATATCTACTTAAGTTAACAAAATAAGGGAGTATTTGGGTCCCATATGTTTAACCAAATAATGCCTGTGTAATCAGACAACACTAAGCGTCTGTAGTCATTTAAACCTAGTGATTCGTATCAAGACTTAAGTTGGTAATGAACAGATATTGGCTGGATCCAGTCCAGCAGTCTTTCATTTATTGGTAATAACTAGGAGAACAGGGAATAGTTAGTCCTTTGCAGTGTCCTTAATCTCAAATGACAGACATAAACCTGAGAATGCAAAAGGTGAGTACATTTACTTTGAGGTAGGCTAAAAAAATGCATCCTTCTCATCATTCCCAGTATCTACTGTTTTGAATCAGAACACATTGAGGAATATGTCGAGGTGTAAGAGATCTCTCTCCGCCTACTTTTCTTCAAGTTCTTCAATGGGGATCACTGGAATGGTGGTTTCATTTTGTTAACCCAATCTTCTTCCTTATTTCTGTACAGCAATTCTGTTTTCTTTTCATAGTATCCCCTCTCCGCATCACAATAGTCACAGGAAAGTCTTTACATCCTGCCTGTGAGCTATAGCTGTGTACAGTGGCTTACAGTTTTCTAGGAGGTTTTGTGCTTTATGACTATATAAGTGAAAAGTGGTCTATAAATAAAATAAATAAGTGCTCTATGTTTGTAGCACTTGAGACGTTTTAGTGGTCATAACTCAAGTTTTATTTTCTGGAAGTCCTTGTAAGTCCTTCTGGAAGTCCTTCTGGAAGTCCTTGCAAAATTCTAACTGATACCAGTGAAAAAACTGTTCAGGATTATAGCACTACAAAGCTGTATTTTACAGAATTGTCTTAAAACTTTGAAGAGGATTAAACAGAAGTGTATGTACAAGTAGGAAGAAGGAATGAACCAAATGCACTTTTGCTGTCTTTGTACAATGCATCCATCTTGCACTGGTGGAATGGTGTGAACACCATTGCCATTTCAGCTTTATTTTCAGTGTTGTTGTTGTTGTTGTTGTTGTTGTTGTTGTTGTTGTTGTTGTTGTTGTTGTTGTCTTTAAAAGGCACAAAGTTGAATCTCTTCTGTTAAAAGCAGAAATAGGAGGTGGAACTCATTTATATAGCGAATATATAATACCCACTGCAGTTTGGGGGGGGGGGCTGGAAGTAGCTACCAGCATCTTTGTCTGCTTCAAAGGACAAAAACAAATGTATAATTCTTAAAAGTGACCTTTTCCCTCTTCGTTTCTACTCAGATCTCTTTGAAAAGTTCAGCTTTCTTTATGGATTATCTTTCAGTGAAAGATGCTTTCATGCTGGCATGAAAGGCCAGTGCCACATCCTTGTAAACAGTTCTGCAGTAACAAAGCACTTTTTAAATGTGTGGTAGGAGATATTTTCTTATGTTTTTCAAGGCTAGGACTTAAAAGAGTCTTGTGGAAATCGTACTAAGCGCTGGTCAAACTATCCCCATTATAGCAGGCTGAAGTGGAACTTCCACTGGTCCTTGTGCCTATGTGATAACAGCTCTGTGAGCTCCTCATCCCATGACTCAATATCTGTAATACTGGGTGCTAACATCTTGCCACAGCACCAGATTTTGGAAGATACAGTTGTGTTGTCCTGAATAGCTCAGGGAGCAATAGCGTGCTGGTAGATAGCTGGGGTCAGGGTGCGCTTCAATTTTTTGACTTAAACGAGACAAACAGAAATTGCATTGGGACAGTTTTTTCATACGACCTTTCATAAAAGTGGTAGCAATGTGCACATGTGCAGATATACCAACTAAGCTTACAGTATAGGCTCTTGAGCAACAGGAGCTTACAGCTGTGTTGGCCAAGTATGACTTAATGTGAGCATAAAATGACTTAATGTGAGAAGAAAAGGACCAGCTCTCTCCTAATTTACAATAGCTTGCTTTGCTGGTTGTCAAAGGGGATCCTTGCTTACCCCTACTGGACAGTCAGACTGTTGGCTTCATTCCCACGTGGAATTTATTGCATTACAGTGGTACCTCGGGTTAAGAACTTAATTCATTCTGGAGGTCCATTCTTAACCTGAAACTGTTCTTAACCTGAGGTACCACTTTAGCTAATGGGGCCTGCCGCTGCGCCACCGCTGCACGATTTCTGTTCTCATCCTGAAGCAAAGTTCTTAACCCGAGGTACTACTTCCGAGTTAGCAGAGTCTGTAACCTGAAGCATCTGTAACCCGAGGTACCACCGTAGTTTAACTGATTATAAAGCTTGTGCTTCCAGCCTGCTTTCTAAAGTTCCTCTTACGCTGTGCTTGCCTGTTCCGCCACATCTCAAATGCTATTCTGCCATGTTGTGATAAATGTCCTTCACACATGTCATCCCTCCATGCTGTTCCTCTTCCTCTACTTTCTGCCATTCTTCCAGGCTTTACCTGCTTGGCATGACTTTCTGTGCTGAAACACTGGCACACACTTCCTCATCAGACAAAGAAAAAAGTGTGAGCCAGGAGTGCGGCGTGCGCCATTGTGCCGCCCCACAGCTCATCACAAAGGCCTCATGCGATTTTTCCAAGTTTCAGAAGCTGCAAGCAGAGTTTTTCTGAAATCAAATAGCACAGAAATAAGCATTAAACTAGTGCTATATTCCACTAAATTCCATTAGTTTTCCGGAAGTTGCTTTTACGTCGACTGAAAGCTCAAATAAATTGCGCAAAATAACAGTAACGGCAGTAAAACAGAATAAATTGGAGTGTGAATGTAGCCTGTGGCTATCTACCATACCATTAAAAAAAAAAAAGCAATCCAAGATGAAGCCAAGTGTGTGTGTGTGTGTGTGTGTGTGTGTGAAAAATTTGTGATTTAATCTGAGAACACTGGAGAGAAAACAAAAATTAAATAAAAGGACAAGGGTAGCTTTTGTTCCATGTTAACCTGATCACATCACACTGCTTTAGGACAAAGTAGTTTGATTTATCATTTCTAGTGAATGGAAAGTCCTGTTCATTGTATAGCAGGATTCATTTGGCACATAGTCAACAAGTGATTAAAAACAAAACAGGGATCAATGTTCATATCCTTTGTCCCTTTCTCATAGAAGTCTTTCTTTATCTTCATCCATGTTGTAGCTTGTTCTCAATAATGTAGCCTAATTATAGGCACGTGACTGACTTGAAATCATTTCTCCCTGTTGACATTTCCTGATGCTTACTTAGGTAATCTTTCTGAACAACTCTGCAGCATTTCTTTGAGCATATTGGCAGGAGTAGAGTGAGCAATTTTTGAAGATCCAGACAGTGCAGTATTTTCATATACTTGGCTTTGTGTAGAGCAGGCTGAGAAGTTTAGTGCTTGCAGTAGCTAACAAGGCACAAATGACACAAGCTGCTTGTCCATTTCCCTGATCAGGCAGGCTGGAGATTGGATTAAGAGCTGTTGCTTCAACAATTAAGCAGCTCAGACATGGCACTTAAGAAGGATCTGGAGACTCCACACCCTCCTGGTTCTTGATCAGGCCCTGATCTTAGCAGGTGTTTCCCATGTGCTTCTCCTCCTCCAGAGTAGCCTTGTGTGCAGTTAGTTGGGTCCTGGAGCTGCTGAGTCCAAAGCTATTTACTCACCATCTCTTCTGCTCCTATGGCCCTGGGACAGATGCAGGAGGGAAATGTAACCAGACAGTTCCAGTCCTGGGGTTAGGATGTCCAGATCTGGGATAATTGGCAGAATGGAGATATGCTGGAGGATCCTGCTGCTCATCTGAGGAGACTTGAGGTTTGCTATTTGTAACTTACCGTACGTTGTGAGTTATTTAGTTGAGGAATTGTACAAACAGTTATAATTCTTGTGAAACTAGAGGCACGTATGGGTGACTAAACACCACTGGTAATCAGTGAATACTGTTCACTTTATATTCCCAAAAATAAAATGCATAAAACACTTTGGTTTTGTCATTAAGGGAAAAGGATAGACTAGAATTTGCAGCACATTGGTAGGCATTTTTAAAACACTGGGCATTTATTTATTTTTTAAAGTTGCTGTTAATGATGCACACTCTGCGACTTCTGCTGGGCTGAGCTGCCAGTGAATCACTCCTTCAGTGAGATATGGCAACTGCAGCAATGAAACTATGCTTTATAGGCATAATCCTAGTAAACAGTGCTTTTATTGTTCAAACATTCTTTCTTCTTTGCAGCAAAGCTCCCATGTATGTGTTGAAAGAGCCCTTGAAGTGTTGTTTTTGTGACACATTTTAATGAACCTCTTGCCCTTTTGTGTAGTTCATGTAATGCAGTTAATTTGACTGGAACAAGTGCTCCTTTTTTCTTTGCTTCTGTTTCTTCTGCTTGAGACTAGGGCATGGAATATGCTGTTCAGAAGGCAGGGGTCAGATCTACGCCCCAGTGTGTGTGGCTTACAACAGCAGTTGTTTTCACATATAAAATTAATTACATTAAAGGGGCAAGAAAGGTGTTGTTCTTCCATGTGCAGCTGTATCTGTGCTTCTACTTTAGATACTTTGGTGGCACAGTCTTGCACTGTCATGGCTAAAGAGGAATTAACTCCTGATAAATGGAGTAGATCTATCTTGGCTGCCACTAAAACTCTTTTCTTTAGTGTTTTCACATCTCCATGAGGATTGTGACTCTTGGGATGTTCTCCATTCCTTCTCTACAATGGAGCATGTTGATGTGCTGGCAGTTCTTCTGCTGCTTAACTTTTTGACGGATTTGGTCATGTGTGCATGTGGTAGGGCTATACAAGCAGTGTTTTGCACTCTTCACAGAGGAGGCTTCTTTCTTTGTTGCGTACTCTGGGGTCTTCCCCGTAAACATGGCACAAGTGTAAATCTGTGCAGCAATGGAATCAGTTACTTAGTGCTACACTGGATACAACTCAAGACAAACATTTAAAACCAATTCCATATATTAAAAAACAATTAAAATGGAACCAATACAGATGCAGACTGTGGGGTAAGGATCTCTAGTTAAAAGGTTTGTTGAAAGAGGAAGGTCTTCACTAGACGCTGAAAAGGCAACAGGGACAGCGGCTGTCTAGAATATAACAGGCAGGAATTCGGAAGGGTAGGTGGCACCACATGAGCTAGTAGGCAACTAGTTGTGCACATTGGATTGTCAAGTTGTTGTTGTTGTTACCATTGTGGGCAGGCCCAGAAGCTCACAATTTCTGTGAGGTGGGTCAATGTTAATCCTACTTTTTACAGCATTATGTATGAGGCAGTGACTTATCACCTCATTTATCCAAGATTTCATTGGAATTTGCCTTGCTGGCTCTTAGCTGTAATGTTGATTTATTTAGTGGATTATTTAGTGCAAAACAGCAGTAAAAGATATGTTGTTTCACATTCTGTATAGTAGTATAGTAGGCTAAAATTCTAATCCCACCTAACCCCCGTTGAATTTAGTTGAATTTAGTAAGACTTGCTTCTGAGTAGCCTTGGTTAGAATGATGCTGTTAGTCTGTTACATAATCTAGGATAAAACAGCAGCAGTTTTCAAAATAAAAGCAATAAAAGCTCTGATTTACAAAGAGCACAACAATCCATGATATGATATAAGAAAACAGGAATTTCCAGAGTGTGAGAAAAATGGCCCTGTGAGTAAGTGTCTGTAAACAGAATGCAGCAAGTTGTAAAAACAAATGTCAGGCTTAATTTTCCACCTCTTCAGCAGCTGCCCCTTTTTGGTCACACCAGTGCCTGAGACATGGAAAACATGCATTAAAAACACTGTGTTGAATAGTATTGCATATAGCAGATTGACTTTTAAAATATAAATGCAGTGGTACCTCGGGTTACCGGTACATATGCTTCAGGTTACAGACTCTGCTAATCCAGAAATAGTACCTCGGGTTAAGAACTTTGCTTCAGGATGAGAACAGAAATCGTGCTCCAGCCGCACATTAGCAGCAGGAGGCCCCATTAGCTAAAGTGGTGCTTCAGGTTAAGAACAGTTTCAGGTTAAGAACGGACCTCCGGAACGAATTAAGTACTTAACCCGAGGTACCACTGTAATAAATAAATACATTAAATTATTATTATTAATTAAATATTTCTGCGGCACTTTTCTGGGAAGCACTCATTGAAAACAACAACAAAAAATAAACAAAATCAAATGCTATGAACAGACCAGAAGAATAAAACCCATCCTGTTCCTCCAAACAAACCATAAGCCAACAAAACATAATTCATGGCAGTTAATTTTTTTGAGCCAAAGAGGAGTTCTGCTGAGGGGGCCTTTCCACTACCATTCATGTTTGTATTGTCACACTGTGCTGCCTTGTATTTTCTTGTCCTCACCACCATAATGAGAAAAAGAGAGAGAGAGAGAGAGAGACTATTCTGTTTGCAAAGAGGGTAAAAAATGTTAATTTTCCTCACCAACCAAGTGAGGAGAGAAGGCTGTTAGCATGGGAAGGGGATGAAACCATTTGACTTCCAGGGAGTCCTAATTTCATGTATTTTGGGAGCTCTTTCTCTACTATCACAGTTTTCATCAGTTGCTAGGTCACTGAAGAATTTTTTTAGAGCTCAAAAGCATCGCACTAAAAATAGACCTCAGGTTAAAAATTCAATGACATCATCCTTTGGGGAAGATGCATTTGTATGCTTATAGGTGGAGAGACAGTATGAAATGCTGGATGAGAAGCTCACTTGTATAAAAGAATAATATATTCTTCTAAGTCAACAATGGGATGAGCCAAAGGCTAAATGCATCCAGAAATAAATTGCTCTAGATGGAGCTGCATGATTAATGCACAGTTACTGTAGTCATGAAATAAGAGCAGGTCTTTTGATATCTTCTTCAGAACGTCTGTTAAACCTGCTTTATTTAAAAACAAAAAAGATGTTGAGCTTCCCACAACACTTCTGCAGGCTAGCTATCCACTAAAGTGAGGAACCAGATGGACTACAACTCCCATTAACCCTAGCAAGCATGGCCAATGGCCAAGGATGATAGGAGTTCTAGTTCAGCAACATCTGGAAGGCAAAAGGTTCCTCATCCGTGCAGTAAACCAAGACCAGCCTGGCTTTCTTCAATTTTAAACATACACATTGATCACTGTGAAACAGCCCCTAAGAAAATGTTTCTGTGTAAGTCCTGCTGAAATGAATTCTTGTGCTGTTCCCATTAGAACGTCCCATTGGACTGTGTCTGAATTTGGCAGGCTTCATCTTACACCAGGGGTAGCCAACACAATGCCCTCCAGATATTGTTGGATCCCAACTCCCATTAGCCCCAGCTAGCATTGTTGTTGTTTAGTTGTTTAGTCGTGTCCGACTCTTCATGATCCCATGGACCAGAGCACTCCAGGCACTCTTGTCTTCCACTGCCTCCCGCAGTTTGGTCAAACTCACGTTAGTAGCTTTGAGAACACTGTCCAACCATCTCATCCTCTGTTGTCCCCTTCTCCTTGTGCCCTCAATCTTTTCCAAACATCAGGGTCTTTTCCAGGGAGCCTTCTCATCTCATGAGGTGGCCAAAGTATTGGAGCCTCAGCTTCAGGATCTGTCCTTCCAGTGAGCTAGTATAGCCAGTGACTAAGATCTTTAGTAAGAAATCTTACATCAGAATAAAATTAGCACTAGATGTTCTTAATTAGTGTGTGTGTGTGTGTTTTCATTCATTTAAAACCCTAAACACAAGGTTAGTGCCACAACAAAATACAGGGAAGTGTATGAATCCAATTCTGTTTTTGTTTTTAAACATTACAAATCCAATTCAAATGACATCACAGGTGAATTTGCATTGGCAAAGAATTGATATACATGTTGTAGCTGGCAGGCTATGATTTTGAACAACACAATAGGTGTACAAGATGTCATTATTCCCCCTCAACTTTTGGGGCATGTGCATTCTAAAATTTTAATGGTTTATTTATTGTTACTCCTCCATGAATGTATTGTGGTTTTAAATATTTACAAACCTTCTTTCAGCTCTAACAAAGATCCCCAAAGCAGTTACCAAAACAAAAGAATAAAGAAGAACATAACAGAAAATCCTCAGTACCAGGAAGAGATAAAATAGAATAATGTTCCAGAGATTCCAAGTTAGCTGTAAACAAATCAAATCACTAATGCAGATAATGGAAGAGATGGCATTAGCTGTATTTCTGCGCATGTGTATTTGTGTGTATATAAATATCTAATAATTAGTGTAGTCTTATTTGTATAACCCTGTTAACAGGAAGCTATTTATGCTATCTGAAATGTGGTAATACCTTTTGATTCTTCTGCAAGAGATAACAAACTTCTAAGTCTCTCCAACTTCCCTCCTAGGCAATCTGATTATAGTTCTTGTTTTGATTATGCAATCTGATACTATCTATTGTATGTTCATTGTATGATACTCATTTTTTTTCTAGAATTGATTTTATCTTGCTGCATTTCCCCCCTCAAATTATTGAAGTTTAAGTATGTATGCTTAAAAAATATTGAGTCATAGGGGCAGCAGGCCTCGTTTCCAAGGAAGATCTTACTTCCTTTCATTCATGTCCCCTCACCCTCGCCACCACAGCTTCCCCTTCCCTTTCTTCTTGTCTCCTCTGTGATGTGGCCACCTTCCTCTCTGCAGAGAAAGCAGAGAGGACATATAGGGAGCAGGAAGGTGAGCAATCTGAGCTGAAGATAGTGATTGACAGCTCTTTCACCTGGCAACCTGCAAGGGGTCATAATTGGGCCCCAGGGCTGCAAGTTGCTGCTGAGTTTGAGATTCCAGAGTCATAAAGGGAAATATTTTTTTCTCATACAACAGAAAAGGGCATCTTGTTTCCTGGTGTAAATAATTCTGCAAGTGGGAAGGGTACTGTTGTACTCGGGTCTGTTTGCAGCCTTCCCACAGACATCTGGTTGGCAATTGTGAGAAGAGAATGCTGGACTAGAAGGATGGTTGGCCTGATCCAGGATCTTATGATCCTGATCTTATGATCTTAAAAACCAGGACAAACAAGGAGGAAACAAAGAGGAAGGAAGGAAGAAACTCAGATGAAAGTTTAAGAAGACATTGGATTCCACAGAAAATGATGTCAGGGGGCCACATTTGACCCCTGGGCTGCAGGTTGCCCCCTATGCAGGTTGCATAGGAAAAACCTCAGTAGCAGTTTGAAAAGCCTGAAGACAGGAGAACTGGTTTTTATATGGCATGTACTGTGCATATACGGATGCGGGTGGTGCTGTGGGTTAAACCACAGAGCCTAGGACTTGCCGATCAGAAGGTCCCACGACGGGGTGAGCTCCCGTTGCTCAGTCCCTTTCCTGCTCCTGCCAACCTAGCAGTTCGAAAGCATGTCAAAGTGCAAGTAGATAAATAGGTACCGCTCCGGCGGGAAGATAAACGGCGTTTCCGTGCGCAGCTCTGGTTTGCCAGAAGCGGCTTAGTCATGCTGGCCACATGACCCGGAAGCTGTACGCTGGCTCCCTCGGCCAATAAAGCGAGATGAGCGCCGCAACCCCAGAGTCATCCGCGACTGGACCTAATGGTCAGAGGTCCCTTTACCTTTTTACTGCGCATATACAGATCTACAGACTGAAATCTGGGCAACAAGTGTTTAAGTTTAAAACACTTAGATCAAACTGGGGGTTTGAAGTAGTGAATATTTGCCCGAGATCATTTGAGATCTTGCAATATAACTTCTCTTGCATGACAGCCTTGTTTATGGTGAAGAGAAGTGTGAAGGAAACTAAGAAGCAGAAAAGTTTTATTCTATATTGTTATTTTAAATTAGCCCAGTTCAGCTCTGTTTTGTTTTTAAAAGTGTGTTATTATTTGTCAAGGTTGGGGCAATAAATTGCCTATGGTTTTAGTATTTAATTGTTCTTTTTTCCCCTTCCCTTCACAGACGTCGGTTGATTTCCCAAAGGTCTTCACTGGAGACTTTAGAAGATATTGAGGAAAATGCTCCTTTACGGAGGTAACTATAACTATACAGAGTGTATGCATGTTGAAATGATTCTGCCACTGGCATGCCTTGGCAAAAGGCTCTGCCGGCTTGCTCACCAACTCCTCTGCCACTCTCCCCACATTAATCCCCTCGCTTCCCACTAAGCTACTATTAACCCCCCTTTTCATCTTCTCAACCTTATTTTTGAAGCCACTGCCCTCTTCTGATCTGCAACCCCGCTTTGCACCTGTTTCCACCGTCATCCCCATGTACAGGCCAGGGCTTTACATGTGAATGTCTAAGAACTCTGCTGGATCAGACCAGAGGCACATCTAGTCTAGTATTGTTCTCAAAGTGGCGAACCAGGTGCCCACAGGAACCACATAACTAGGACTTGAGCGCGGTAGCTCTCTCTATCTGCTCTTTCTATTCCCCTTCCCCTTTGCCATTTATTTTGACATTTGTTAGAATTTGGACCACTACAGAACTTCTTTAAAACTGATATTGTTCCACCCAAGAACATGTGAAATAATTGTAGGGGCAGGGGGTGAGGGAAGAGATCAGGGCTGTGTCCATCCCTACTCCTTATGTGCTTAGGTCACAAGGGATTCTGTGCATGCAAGGTTGACCCAATACATTTTGTGGGTTGAGATGAAGGAAAAGATGTCCCTGCCCCACATTACACATAGCGTAGAAGTGAACTGGATTGGTTCCACAGCTCCTACCACACTAGCTTCTGCTGGAAGGGCTGACCCTCTTCCGTATGCATATACAGTGGTACCTCGGGTTACACACGCTTCAGGTTACATACCCTTCAGGTTACAGACTCCGCTAACCCAGAAATAGTACCTCGGGTTAAGAACTTTGCTTCAGAATGAAAACAGAAATTGCATGGCAGCGGCGCGGCAGCAGCAGCAGGAGACCCCATTAGCTAAAGTGGTGCTTCAGGTTAAGAACGGACCTCCAGAACGAATTAAGTTCTTAACCCAAGGTACCACTGTACATCAGGCATAGGCAAACTCGGCCCTCCAGATGTTTTGGGACTACAACTCCCATCATCCCTAGCTAACAGGACCAGTGGTCAGGGATGATGGGAGTTGTAGTCCCAAAACATCTGGAGGGCCGAGTTTGCCTATGTCTAATACAGTATAAGTCCTGCCACATTGGCTTCTTTATAGGTTACAATGTACACGTATAGCAAGCTTGTAGAACTTATTCCAGACCAAGGTCCACATTTTTTCATGGGCAACCTTCCAAACACCACATGCCACTGGGGACAAAATTGGGCACAGCCTCAGGCAAAAGTGAGCAGAGGATTAACTCAGTTCAGGAACACATTCCATCCAGGCAAAAGCACTCGGGGAATGAGGCCTTGAGGGAGAATGTGTGGCCAGGGGAAATTCTCAAGGACCAAATAGAAAGGGGGCTACATTTGGCCCCCTAGATTTGACGGTCTCCACCCCTGCCTGATATAACAAGGAAGTGAGACTAGCAAGCGCAATTTAAATAGGTTATGTGTGAAGAGTCCTCACAGAATACAGACTCTGTTATAGAATTGTTTCAGCTTGGTCAGTGCAAAAAGAATGTAAACATTGGAGCTCTTTACAAGTACTGTTTTGATCACTGATGAACATTCACTCCACAAGGAACTTCTTGGGACTGCTGAAGTGATACGCATGGCTGTTTGGGGCACACCTTATATAAATACAATGTTCTTTGACAACTCGTAGCTTTTAAGGTCTCTGTCCTGTAGCATCCGTCATTTCATGCCAAATATATTCATAATGCTGCAAACATAGGTGCCTCCAGAAGGCAAATTCGTTTGTAAAGACCTGTAGTTAGCCTGCTGATGCAGTATGCTCTGTGATACTATGTACCCTGTTAGAATCCAAACGCTGCATGACTGACTAATAATCTGTTTACCAATTCAGGATAATGTTGCTCTTTCATCAAAGCATTTGTGTTCACCAAGGACAGAGGATCAACTGTAGCTGGGGCTTTGATAGGAACCCAAAACAAGCTCATAACATGAGGCAGCCTTGCTCAGAGTCAAAGAACTGTTCATTTACAACCCTTTCTTTTTTAACATGATGCGAATTATTTACAAAGACAAAATAAAGAAATGAATAACTTGCCAATCTCATCCTTCTATAAGGTTAGAAAGGGACACAAACTTTGAACTTGCTTGTGATAAACAGAAAATATTTTTATCATTTGTGTTTGTCCTAGGTTTCCTATACGAAAATGAGCTAATAGAAACCATCACACTAACTGTTTGCTATCCTTGGAATTTGTTACGCTTGCCTGGCCAATACATGCCTTGCTTTCATTCATCCAAAGGGTGTTCAGATTTTTTCCATTGTACTTTTTAACATCCTTTACTACATTTTTCCCAGCTTTTTAAATTGCTTGTTTCAAAGGATCCTTACTGTATCCAGGTGCACACCATAACCAGTAATTTATTTTGTTTTATGAAGAAACATAAACTAAAAAAAAGCTCTTATTGAAATGCACTTGCAGTTGATAATGGAAGAAATGTGATTGATATGATATGATATGATATGATATACGTGTTTTAGCAGTATAATTACCATATTGGCCTGAATATAAGCCGCACCCGAATATAAGCTGCACCTTTAAAATTGGAGGGGGCGGGGAGAAAAAAATACCTGAATATAAGCTGCTCCATTCCTCGCTGCTCCTGGCTGCATGTGGGGGGGGGCTGCGTTGCCAGCGGCCTTTTCACTTCCTTCCTTTTCCCCTTCCCAGCCTTGGGGGAGAGGATGGGGACTACGAGTGGGGCTGGCGCCGTGCTCCTGGCACTGTTTGCCCTGCGCTCCTGGCTGCATACCCTAAGGTCACAAATATAAGCCGCACTTTAATTTTTCACTGTCGGAATTTGAGAAAAAAGTGAGGCTTATATTCAGGCTAATACGGTATTTAAAAAGTAACACACCCTGTGCATTTTGCCTGTGGTATAGCCCCTTGGCAAGACAAAAATTTTATAAAGTTCTCCATAGGTCAAGGCCTGAGTAATTTAGCTTATCAGTATTTACTACTGAAATCCACCCAATTCAAACTGAACAGAACCGTTTCCCCATCTCCTAAGGGGCAAAAAAACTGAATAGCAAAATCCGTTGCTTTTTCTTAATGAGACTGTTCTTTTTAGACCGTATGTAACAAAGCATTCATGAGAGCATTGTGAAGTGCAGTCATAAATTATTCAAATGCAGCTATAATTGCCCAAAGAAATAAATAATGTTTAATATTTCAGATTGTTTACTCGTGGTTCTCCTTCCAGTGGACTTCTGTTCGCAGTGGGGATTCTTTTAATTGGAGCCCATTGTGACTGCTGATAGGAATAGTTGAGTGGAGGGAGAAACGGCAGCAGGAAAAGCTATGCCTGCTGAAAGCCTGTCTTCTGCACAACTATTAAAGGTGCAGGAGCCCTGTCCTCTTTTCATCTGGCTAACCTGCCTAAAGCTCAAACAATGGCCCTCCATCAAATACATTGGATTTAAGATTGCTTGTCAGCAAGGGGCCATGTGAAAATACACTTTTGAAGCTGAAAACATGCTCTCTGTGTGCTATCGGATCCCTTCACTTCCATCTCTCGTTGTCATATTTTTGTGTGTCCGTTACATCAGTGCATTTATCCTATACACCTCTCATGTCTATCCTCCGATCCCTTCCTAGACCACCGTATCCACATGTCACAATTCATGCACCATCTGTTGCCAATCAGTCCTCAGTTAATTGTGCTTTATCCTTTGCCCTTCCTCTGTTGGGTGCCTTTTATCTTTCCCTTCCCTTTGGTCCTACACATTACCTAGACGTAACACCTTTCCCATTCTATCGTGCGTTTTGCACCACTTTCCTACAGTTTAGGTTGTGCACACATTACTGGCTTTACACCCAGGGCATTCTTTTTCTCTCTCGCAATAATCAAATCTGGTCTTAAGGGAAATGTATCACAATGCAGTATTTTATAAGAAACAACAGGATAGATACACATTGTGGCTAATTTTGTGTATAGATCACTTCCCAAACCAGGGGTGGGAGCAAACTGGATGCAGGGTAAATGGGAGTGTGTTAACAGACTTAAAAGAGGAGGAAAAAGAGGAAGCAAACATATTTTAGAGAAGACCTCCTTGCACAATCCAGTTACTTTTGTTAGCAAAAGGAACTTTACCCATTATGAAGTGTTTAAAAACTGAAAAACATTTTGGTTTGCACTATTACAGAGAATTCTGATGGTTATGAAAAGACACATCATTCTTCCATTTCCCTATCTCATCTTTCCTAGGATCTGTAACAGAATCCAGGAAGTTCTGTTTTTCATTTTTAAATATATTGCTTCATTCTATTATTTTTTTAAGCCCCTTTTGTTTCTAGACATTCTTGTTTTCGTTATTGCTACAGACTCCTGAGTGGGGAGGATGGTGAACTGAATAATTTGTCTGGTCTTTCCTTCCTGCCTTTGTGTTGAGATATTTTGGCTATTCAGCAGAGAACTTAATTGGTTTCAATTGCTTTATTTTTCAGATGCCGGACTCTGTCAGGCTCACCCAGACCAAAGAACTTTAAGAAGGTTCATTTCATCAAAAACATGCGACAGAATGATACAAGGAATGGAAGGTATTTTGCAGGCAAAGAGCAGTGTGCCTTTGTAGGAGACAATGGTCATCTTTTACATGTGGAAATTGGATTCTGTATGCAGATCACCACATTTCCTAGTGCAAGAATCCTCTGCAAGGAAAAGCAAGACATAGCCAGAGAATTACCTCTGTATTCTGTAGTCTTCAAGCTGGGCTACCTGGTAAAAAAAAAATCATGTAAAAATCATTGCCCCAGGATCCGCAGTGGCAAATTATCCACTGCCAAGTGGTAGTGTGTACAGGTGCTTACTGAGCAGGATTAACCCACAGTGAGAGCAACCTCCCCATCCTGGGCTACCACTGGATGTGGGTGGGGCTGCTAGCCACACAGTATGCAGCATTGCAGGTGAGAGTTTATACACTTTGCGGTTGAAGGAGAGAAGCTTTGTCCCATGGATGCTTATCTCTATGCTGCCTGTAACATGGTAGCCAGACATTATCTGTCTGGCAAAGCACATTGGCAAGAGAAGCAGTTGAAATAAATTTCTCTTCTTGGTTAACACTTTTGGTGTATGCTCTATAGGTGCGGGAATTACAAAGGGAGGCGTGTTATAGGGAGATAAAATACTACGCAAAGAGCCTCACTTGGGTTTTAAAAATAGTCAGCAGGTGCCCTAGAAGCCAACTGATGTTACGTTGGGTGAGCAGCAGCCATCAAGAACCTCCAGGTATGAAAAGTACAGAACAGAGAGTGGGACCAAAGCACAATGTTGCTTGCAAGGTTCTATCCAAGAGTGGATGTCTCTTCTGGTGCTTGCTAAGCTTTTGGAAGTAGTCAGGATGAATGTAGGGGGATAGTCAAGCCAAGGAATTTCAGCAGCCTGCCTGAGGGGCTTTTGGTGGGTGAGGAGATACAGTACATTGAGTGCTCCAAGCACCCAGTAGCTTTGGGTGCTAAAATGCCTTTGGAAAACAGAGAGCTCCTTTTTAGTAGCTAGATCCTTTGTCAGCCATTAGCAATGAGATGTGTTCCAACTTGTGAAAAAAATAAGGTATTGTTTTTGTGTTTATGAAACTCGCCTGAGCCGTTTTGTGTTGCCGGTTTAAGAACTCTGCTTCTGCCTCAGCAGTAGGCCACACTTCTGTTCAATCCTGTTTCCCAGCATGATTAATGTTAGAGGTGGACCAGATAGTTCAACATGCTTCAGATTAAGAGTACAGCACACTGCATTGTAGAAACATAGGAAGCTGCCTTATACCAGGTCAGCCTGTTTGTCTATCTAACACAATATATCCTACTCTGATTGGCAGCATTGAGACATTGAGGTCCTTCACATCTTCTGCTGCCTGAGGCTTTTCAGCAGCAGTGCCAGGACTGTAGCATGAGATCTTCTGCATTCAAAGTGTGTGCTCTCCCTCTGAGACTTCCCCTAATGTTCATAGTGAGTTTTCTTTTGTTGTGTAGTATCAAAGATACCGTATTTTTCGCCCTATAGGGCGCACCGGCCAATAGGGCGCACTTTTTTTTGGGGGGGAAATAAAGGGGGGGAATTAATTCCCCCCCCCCGAGCCCCAAAGAGCAAAGAAGCCATGACAGCGAGCGGGATGGATCCCACTAGCTGTCCGGGATTCGTTTTTAGCCTCGGGGCTGGGAGCGAAGGCTAGGTTGCGCAACCTCGCCATTGCTCACGGAGCTTGCGAGGCTGGGGGCGGGGGAAGCTCGGGCTTCCCCCGACCCCAGCCCCCAGAACAGGCTGCTATCCGCAAGCCTTGGGAGCCCAGCGGGAACTCCCGTGGGTCCCAAGGCTTGCGGATAGCTTCCTGAAGCCTGGAGAGTGAGAGGGGTCGGTGCGCACCGACCCCTCTCGCTCTCCAGGCTTCAGCGAAAGCCTGCATTCGCCCCATAGGACGCACACACATTTCCCCTTCATTTTTGGAGGGGAAAAAGTGCGTCCTATAGGGCGAAAAATACGGTATTTGCCCCACTCATGTGACTGAACATGCTTTGAAATACCTTTGGGTATTTGCCTCCTTGTAGAGCTATAGGCTAACTAAATCCTTTATATGTGTGAAGTTTCAACAATGGTTTCTGTTTCATCACGAATACTAAAATTAAAGGGAAATGGCTGATCACTATCTGCATCTTGTTCTATATTCCGATGCTGTGCTTTGTAGGAAGTTTTCCTCTTTGCTCGCAATAGGACAACACAATTAAAAGTAGAATTGCGTGCTAATGATGATTTATAATCCTCACCTGAAGGGTGAAGAGTTCATTGTAAGTTCTTCCTGATGTTCACTGCTAGCACAATTGCATGCTGAGGTTAAAGGGACATTCCTAGTAGGTTGGTATCTAACATGGCCTATTCCCTCCAGTTCTGTCTGCATTTACAGTTGGAAGCCTTGCACATTTCATGCAAAATTCATTGCGTACAGGGACATTAGATTGCATGCTCTGAAAAGGCTGGCACGTCAGATGCTTTTGCAGACTTAATTACTGCTCTGAACTGCAGTAGTTAGTGTAAAATTTGTGCGAAAACACAGTGGAGTGAAGCCATCTGTTTGATTTTGGATCTCTTAATGCAGAAGTGGTTGTATTGTCATCTGTTCGGCAGACTCCAATTATCGTTGCATTTATGAACTCTGGACTAGAGGACCCATTTATTTCTCAACCATTTCTGGCACAGCACTGTGTTTAAAAAACAAAAATAAAACACAGCTGTCTGACCCATTAATAGTTTCCCTTGGGCTTCCTTGTCAAAGATATGTGAAGTTATGAAAGTGACAAAAAACCTGTGACAGTTGTTGGTTTTTTTCCTGGAGGTTTATGCCAATAACCAGATCAAAACATCCAAAAACAGATACTTCTTCTCTCTCTCTCTCTCTCTCTCTCTCTCTCTCTCTTTCACACACACACACACACACACACACACTCTCTCTCTCTCTTTCGTAAATACATTATTTGTAGGACTCAAAGTAAACCATGTTGGAACAAGTGAAGTAGGGTTACCAACTTGCTTTTATTCCATTTCTTTAGCCAAATTAAGAGGACCAGCTTCTGCGTTACTAAAGCCACTCTCCCCCCCCCTCCCGTTGTCCGTTTGAATCTCAGAATGGTGCAGAGAGAGCAGAGTAATGGTGGATACGCATTGGCTCAAGTCCCAAGCTTTTCATTCTGCACCCAGACTGCTATGCATAAGGCTCTTTCCCCCCTTTGTCCCACTGGAGATATGATTACTAGTGATCTCTCTTAAAGCACTGATAACCAAGTGTTAAGCCTCCTTTGTCCTATGTCAGTTTATGGTGCTTGGCCTGTCAGATGTTGGTAAGCGCAACATACAGTGCAGTTTATGAGTGAGAATAGATCCAATTCGTCTGCAACAGTGCAATAGAAAGAAAAGTAGGATAGCGGAAAGCAGTTTTTGCCAAGCAAAGTTTTAAGTTTGAATTGAATTGAATTGCTGGATTTGCTACCCTCTATCATAGCCTTTACTTTATTTGTTTTCTAGAATAGTCCTTATTAGTGGCAGAAGATCCTTCTGCAGCATATTTTCAGTGCTGCCATATCGGGACTGTAGCCATGTTGGGTATGTATATTTGTTTCATACCTGTTGAGTTTTTCTGGGTAAATGTTATGTGCTACATGCATCAGGGATGTTGCAGATGACATTTCTAAAAAAATGGTAAACTTAATTAGAAATGTTTGCCCATGACAGATGATCAGTATCTGCACTTCCAAAAGAAGTGAACAGGAACTGCAGTTTTTCTTCAGCATTTCAGATCTTCAGTTGGCCTTATCACAACGTGGCATACTCTGAACCAAGTGAGAAGCTGCTGTATGCTATGACTAGGAATGGATTGTCTTTGAAATCAAAGCAAGTTATATTGTTATTTGTGATGTACAGAGTATAAGCGATGTCTTATCTGATGTGCGACTGACCGCACTTCACACCATTTGAATTTGCTAACAATGCATTAATAGTGTGGTGTATCTGAAATAAAAGTTTTTTATAGATAGAGGTTGCACTTCAGACCAAATGCAATCCTTTAATCATACAGTGGTACCTCAGGTTAAGTACTTAATTCGTTCCAGAGGTCCGTACTTAACCTGAAACTGTTCTTAACCTGAAGCACCACTTTAGCTAATGGGGCCTCCTGCTGCTGCCGCGCCACCAGAGCACGATTTCGGTTCTCATCCTGAAGCAAAGTTCTTAACCTGAAGCACTATTTCTGGGTTAGCGGAGTCTGTAACCTGAAGCGTATGTAACCTGAAGCGTATGTAACCTGAGGTACCACTGTACTTCTGGGCTGTTCTGTCAGCTCTCAAAAATCGCTTGCTTTTTCTTTTTTTTTTAAATGGTTCGTGAAAGGCCTGGTGGTGTACCACCTGCACAACCATTGCACTAGAGATGAAGGATTGTAGTGCCAACGCAGTGCCACAACTTCAAACTGGCACCAGTACAATCACGTTCCTTGGCACTACAACACAGTGGGCTTTTACCCTTTCAAGTGGCCCAAGGGACTGTTGAAAGTCCATGCTTTTGACACGGCCTTGCAGTATGTTCTGACAAAGCTTGCTTCTGTAGACTGTACCTCAACGTTTTATTCATTTGGTACTGTCTCATCTGTACTGTACTTGTTGGCATCGGTCTCAGGAGACAGTGGAAGAGTATGCCTTTGGGAGTAAAGTCAAACCATGGTAGTTACAGCGCCTGCTTTTGGCTGTAGAGACCAATACAGGAGAGACGTGTTTTGTTGTAGCTGGAGCAAATGAAGGCGCCCGTCGTGCTGCACCTCTGTGCTCATCCCAGCGGTCATTCTTTCTCTGGTCACTGCTGTGGATGCACAACCTGACTGTCTTGTTGTCTGCAAGGGATTCTCATATGGCAGGGTTAATGTTGCCAGCCTGTACTGTCCTCTACCTTCCCTTCACTTACCATACCACTCTCAGGAAGGGCTTCCTGAGGACAGTATATTTTTAGGCAAAGTATTGTGTCCCTCCTCCTCCTCCTTTGGGTCCAAGCTCTTCTGATGGTCTTAAAATAATAATAATAATAATAATAATAATAATAATAATAATAATAACAGCAACAACATTTCTTGTGCCAGGTATGCTTCTGGCCCCATCCATCACTAGCAGGTTTCTACATGCAAGCTTTAAAGGTTAAAACAAACACTTTAAATTGTGTCCAGAAATTAATTAAAGGCCACTGGAGCTCTTTTAATACTGGAGAGATGCTCTCAGGGGCTTGTATCAGATAGCGTGCACCTACTTTTTCAAATTCCTCTTCTGAAACTGGCATTTGCCTTTGTACCAGTGAGAGATTCCTCCTCCTCCTCCTCCTCCTCATTATTATATTTTTACCCCACTCATCTGACTGGATTGCCCTAGCCACTCTGGGCAGCTTCCAACAAAATATAAAAACACAATACATTAAAAAACTTCCCTATACAGGTCTGCCTTCAGATGTCTTCTAAGAGTCATGTAGATGTTTATGTCTTTGACATCCAATGGGACGGCGTTTCACGGAGCACCTACTCCAAACAAATCCAGCTTCTGGGGAGGAATCTTCCTCAGGTCTGCAGGAGGAGAGGAAGGAGTAAAATTTCACTCATATGCTGTAGTCATCCTCTATACACAACTAACAACTATTTTTATTTTCAAAAATGGTATGTCACATTTAAGGTCACATTTAATTTGACCCTTACACTCGGTTTCCATGAATTTGAAATACAGACTATTATAAGACTTCATCTGCCTACCCCAAGGGTGGAGAACCTTATACTGTCAAAGGATTAATCTGCTGAGGCCTGCATGATGGCTGTACACAGGAACCAAAAGAGAGCAGGGCTACCCCTTTTCTTTCTGTCAGCCCCTTCTTTCTCCTTCTTCCACCCCACCCAGCTTCCCCCCACCTACAGAAAGTTGGTGCCACACGCAGCTCTTTGGCCACGGGGTCCTTCCCCAGGTCTCATAAGCAGGAGCCCCCCATATTTTGAACTGCATGTAAATACAGTGCATAAGATTTCAAAAAAGCATTGTGTTCTGAGGCTTCTGTTGTTGCACAGAGCATTGGCTTTTCAATTTTGTTCCCAGGTTTAAAAAAAACCTGGTTAATTTTTAATTGCGCTTTAAATTATTCACATGCTGGAGTGTTCGGCCATTGTTCTCCCTTAAAGAGAGAATGCCCCGCAGAACTCCTGCATAGATTTTTATAGGTCTGTATCCATATTCAGATAATCCAATAAATGTTATTTCTGCTTAATGATACAACTGTGCTTGCTTCCCTGGGCAAGAGTATTCTGATTTTGTGTTCATTATTAGTATTAGCATATAAAATTTTGGCAAGAGAGTCCTGTTCTACATAATTATCATTTTCTTACTTGTGTTTGAGAAATGGCATTGAGTGCACAAACAAATGGCATTGAACAAACAAGATTTATATCTAGTTACATGCAAAATATATTAACCACTGGCTTCTGCTTCCCAGGGATATGAAAGCAGAAGGTGGGAGGCCATGCCATTCTGCGGCAGGAGTTTGCTTGAAAGACATAGTTGGCCTTGAAGGTGTGGAATTGGGAGCCAATGGGAAGGTAAGACTACTTATCCTACCAACATATAATCTCGTGAACCAAATGTCAAATCACATTTGTATCCTACAGTTACTATTTCTTAAGCAACAGTATTCTCTTATTTTTTTTAGGAAACAGTGATTTCTAAGCATCTGTAAAAATTCAGAACATTCAGTTCTTGAAATTCAAGTTTAAAGTAAACAGGTTCTATGCATGAGCTTCCATGTTGTGGAGCAATAAAAAAAATCAACATTGTGTGTCTCTTTTTCTTCTTCTTAGACTGTTTCTTATACCCAGTTTCTCTTCCCAACCAACGCTTTGGGAGGACGAAGAAACACGATAGACTCCACCTCATCCTTCTCACAATTTCGCAATGCAAGCCATCGTAGCCTTTCATTGGGAAGGGCTAACAGCACCCAAGGGAGCATGGATGGAGGTAACATTTTAGAATACATGTGCATTTGAATCCTCGGCCTAAATGGAACTTTGTGGAATAGATTGGCGTGATTGTCTTCAGCTGCATTCTGTGAACCTGTGCACCCCTTCCCAAGCCCATGAGATCTAGCTATCACACAACCCCTAGGCCCCACAACAGCTGCGGACCCTTCTAATATTGTTGGAAGATTTAGTGGTAGCTCATGACTGACACTCAGGGAACCCTGGAACTGTTTAAGCTGTATCTACCAGCAGCAAGCATTTTTGGCCGTTGTTGCGTGACCTATGGACTGTGCACTCTCTTGAGTCCAAATATGTTAGAGGCTTGCTCAATGCAGTGCAGCCATTTGTACATTAGGGCTTTCATTAACATTGTTCTATCTTCAGTAAGTCCACTTATGAACATTATTTGGAAAAAATAAATATCCATTGCTGTCTATTAATGGAGCCGATTTAAAATTCATAGATTACATTTTGATCATTCAGGTAGGAAGCCTGTAATATTTCCCAATGCACATCTTCTGGCTTGTTTGGTTAAGTATGTTGCTTTTTTTGCTTCAGTGCTCCTTGCCCATCCCTAGATTGCCACTGAAGACCACATAAACATTCACCTTCACAGTTTTAACTATATACTTCAGAAGCTGAATTGCCCATGCAAAGGCAGTGTTCTGCAATTCGACTGTAAGCTTGTCTTCCGTTATTTATTATTTTATGTGTCTCACATTACCTTATGCAGTTGCTTGTATGCATTGATCTTCTTCATAGGCAGTGACCTGGGAGATTATATTGAGTACGACCCTAATCTTTTGGATGATCCTCAGTGGCCGTGTGGGAAGCACAAGCGGGTGCTAATATTCCCTTCATATATGGTGAGTAGTGTTTGATAATGTGACAAAATTGAACGTGAACTATACACCGGCTAAAACTTTGAAGCCTTAATTTGTCTTACTTAAACTGATTGCTCTTTATCTCTGCTGAGAGTAACAACTTACGAATCCTAGTTACAAATGACAAATGCTTTGCCTTTTGGGATATGAAAGCTGCTGTGGATCAATGAAAGGGCAAACGACATTATGCTACTGTATTTCATTGGCCGAAAATCTAAGGTTTGTCATTTAGTTAGTTTTTTACAGTCATACCTTGGGTTGCGAATGCTGTGGGTTGCGCGTTTTCAGGTTACGGACCGCACCGAATCCGGAAGTACCAGAACGTGTTACTTCTGGGTTTTGGTGCATGCGCAGTAGCGCCAAATCGCATCACGCAGGTGTGCAGACGCGGCGCTGCGGGTTGAGAACGTGCCTCCCGCACGGATCACGTTCGCAACCCGAGGTTCCACTGTATTTTATTCAAAGAACGTAACTATTTTCCTACTCCGCTCCTCTCGCCCACTCACTCTCTCCTTTTGATGTTAGTCTCTTTCCCACACGCTTTATACATGAACACAGCATACGAAGATAAAACATGGCGCCCATTGTCACATCTAATTTGGCTCTTAAAACTACTGTATACAGTAGCAGATAGGCCTGTAGTCCTGAATAGAATACAGCTTTAATTACCCCATTTCACAAGTGGGCAGAGTAAAGAGTAGCCCTTATGTCAGCATGGAACATTTTGTTCTCTCTGTGTTGAGCTCCGGTGTGTAATTAAACTTTCATTAGTTGGCAGGCTTTTGTCATTAGAGCTTGGCAGCTGCAGCCCTGTAGAAATTATTGTCTCTTATGGGTGTGCCCACAAACTAAGTGAAGTGAGTGAGACCAGGAAACACACACACACACACACACACACACACTCGTATTGGGGTGTGGGAGCACTGAGACATATGAGATGGTCTGAACAAGTAGTGGTGTAAATTGGCTTTTGTCCACTGCATTCAGAATAGAGCAACAGTTGGGCATTGTCTCATCTGTTATTCTAGCCTTTTGAATAGAATGCTGTCAGCAGGATGGATGGAATTATAACAGACCAAATGACAACTGCAGAATTTGATATAATAATAATAAATAATAATTTAATTTATATCCCGCCCATCTTGCTGGGTTTCCCCAGCCACTCTGGGCGGCTTACAACATATATAAAAACACAGCAAAGCATCAAGCGTTAAAAAACAAAATATCCTATATGAGCAACAAATAGAAACCAATAATAATAACAACATGATAACAACAGTAATAACATTAATGAGGTGAAAGAGACACCATGTGGTGCATTTTCATCAGCAATATCAAGAATGTAGTTTAGTCTGGAACTTGTCACTTGAGATTGTGTTCTAGGAGGGTAGACTTGACTCTTGTCTTGTGCTGGAACCGCAGTTTCCACCAACTGGAACTGGATGCAGAAGTCATACCCTTAGAATTAAATATAATTGTGTTTATTTGTAATTGCTGAAAGAGTACCAGGAGCTCAGTCTTTGCACATACAAATTTGGAGCTGGTTACCCCCAATTTCAGTATTTATTTGGAGTGGGGTAGGAAGAGAGTGTAATTTAGCTTTGCTGTAGTTTAATAATTGGGAGTCAGGAATCCTTGCTGATCTACTGCACATCACCCAGAGATGTACCAGTAAATCCCAATCTTCTCCCCACCATACTTTAGGAGGGACAAAAGAGAAGCTTAGACTGCAGTTTGGCTACATTTGAATTGCCATATTTTCCCCCTGATGGAATCTCTGTGCTTTTAAAACACCTGAATAGCAGGCAAAAATACAACAGAGGCTGCTTGCCAACAAATATTCTTCTTAAACCAGGAACATGTTCTATAATAAATCATCACACAACCATCTGCCATAGGAATCATAGAAGCAGCAGACTTTTATTTTATTTTTATTTTTTTAAAGTTGGTACAATTTTCCTTTTTTTATTTGCTGCTGTTTACAATGTGGCAACATGCAAGCAGTTGGTGGAGACAGGCACTTTTCAGACTGATTAACTGTTTCAGTTTTATGTGCCTTCTTGATTATAATCCTGTATCTAGGATACTATAAGGGATGCAAATGTGTAATATTGATTTACTGAGAACACTTAAAAAGTACAAGCTGGTGATAATTCTATTGGCAAATGTCATTTGTGCTTTCCATGTAGAGGCACCAAATATTTTATTCCTGCAGTACAGTCTGGCATAAAATATTCAGTTGCCTTTTGCAGTGATCCTTTTCTTCTGGTGATGATAAAAGGAAGCCCCAAGACTGTATTTAAAATTCTGTCACAGACCTTGGGCACATAAAGTATTCATAATTTCCATGAAGCAGAGAGCCACAACCACAGCTGCTCTACATTAACTAGGTACTCTCTTTCTCTTATCCTTTATACTACATACAGGCTTCACGGTACAGTGGTACCTCGGGTTAAGTACTTAATTCATTCCTGAGGTCCGTACTTAACCTGAAACTGTTCTTAACCTGAAGCACCACTTTGGCTAATGGGGCCTCCTGCTGCTGCTGCGCCGCCGGAGCACAATTTCTGTTCTCATCCTGAAGCAAAGTTCTTAACCTGAAGCACTATTTCTGGGTTAGCAGAGTCTGTAACCTGAAGCGTATGTAACCTGAAGCGTATGTAACCCGAGGTACCACTGTACTGAATTGTGGTATCACAGTTGCACACACATAATTCATTCTTTCAGTTTTAAAAAGCTACTAGCACAAACACTGATGAATGGGTTCAGTCCAAAGCAATTTAGTCAGGGTTAAACCACAGAGCCTAGGACTTGCCGATCAGAAGGTTGGCGGTTCGAATCCCCGCGACGGGGTGAGCTCCTCTTGCTGGGTCCCTTCTCCTGCCAACCTAGCAGTTCGAAAGCACATCAAAAAGTGCAAGTAGATAAATAGGTACCGCTCTGGTGGGAAGGTAAACGGCGTTTCCGTGCGCTGCTCTGGTTCGCCAGAAGCGGCGTAGTCATGCTGGCCACATGACCTGGAAGCTGTACGCCGGCTCTCTCGGCCAATAAAGCGAGATGAGCGCCACAACCCCAGAGTCGCTCACAACTGGACCTAATGGTCAGGGGTCCCTTTACCTTTACCTTTAATTCCCATAGAAAACACTGGGACTTGAGATGATTATGGTTTTCTTTTTTACATTAATTTCAATGTAAAGCACAACTGGATCCAAACTCATTGTGTTTTGACAATTGAGAGAAGGCATGACATTTGACAAATGAATCAGTTGGAGGAAGAGCTGTAGCTCAGTGATGGAGCGCACAGTTTGTTTGCAGAAGTTCCACTGCCCAGTCCATGCACCTCCCAGTTGGGCTGGGGAAGACCCCTACCTGACAGCTAGTTAAGCTGCTGACAGTCACTGTTAACAGGACTCAGTCACAGTGCCTGACGTTTTGCAGAGTGATTTTACCAGCTATGAACCAAATCTGTAGGTCTGGTCATGAATATTTCCATCTACATTTATGGCATTTGAGTGCAGCTCAAAGCACCCATGAATGGAGCGACTTCATTTAGACCACAACTGTTGCTGCCACATGATATTAAGTATTCAGACATAGAAAAATGTGCATGGCTAATGTTTCTTACAATAAAATAAAAAAATTCCATCCAGTAGCACCTTAGAGACCAACTAAGTTTGTTATTGGTATGAGCTTTCGTGTGCATGCACACTTTTTGAGATACATACACTTTTTCAGATACATCTGAAGAAGTTTGCATGCACACGAAAGCTCATACCAATGACAAACTTAGTTGGTCTCTAAGGTGCTACTGGACGGAATGTTTTTGTTTTGTTTCGACTACGGTAGACCAACACGGCTACCTACCTGTTTCTTACAATACTTAGAGGGAGCTTTGTGAAGGCTATGTATATAGCAGTTACCTTTCTTCCAATGGGTTAGTGGCTTGAGTTATATTTCTGATCTTTTTTTCTGGCTTGGAAATTATTGTAGAAAACAAGTCTGTCTAGGGATGGATATCCGCTACTTGATTTTGCTTCAGCTTCTTATATTTTTGGTTGCTGGACAACTTCCAAGAGTGATTCAGAATAACTTTGTGGAGACTTCTTTGCAATCTAGTTATTTGTCTCAATGGTAGGCCATGGCAAAGGCTCAGACTGCAGGAGGGCAGCTTATAGTTTAGCTGTTCATTCCACCAAAGGCGATGGCAGGTCACTGCTGTGTTTGCTGTGTCTGGCTGAAGAATTGAATGCGCGCCAGGATAAATAGCTACCAGTTCCAGTGGATGCATGCCAGCTTTTCTCCCAAGTTTAAGTGCTAACAATATTTTCATGTCCTTTGCTTTTTAAGGACATGCCATATGACTTACCAAACCAACCATATTCTAAAAGGTAATATAATTTGCTGTTGCAGTTTGAGAAGCTGGAATGCAAGAGAAAGCTAGCTTTCTTCAGAGATCCACCCCCATATTAAAAGACAGTTAAAATAAAATGCAATAAAATCATGTATACTTTTGTAAGTAAAATTCTGACTGTTCCGTTCTTGCTCTTTTCTACACAATATACAGGCAGAACTGGAGGGTGTTGGTAGCCTTTTCTGTCAAGCACTGAGCCCTAACAATTGATGAGAAATAACAGAATTAATATATTAAGGGAGGAAGGCCCTTCCAGTATAAAGGACGTGACACTTAGCATTCCTCTGAATTCATTAGCTTAGTAAGTACTAGTGATATTCGTCATGGGGCACTTTCATAAAAACAACAACACACGTACACATGAATATCTGAGAGAGGGCACATCCTTGCCTGAATTGTTTCTGAACTAATTTATAAACCATTTTGGAATATATTTGTGGATTTCCCTGCAGGCTTGTGCAGCTTCTCTGTTGTCATTTACTCAAAAGAATGCTGAAAGTGTAATAGCGTAGCACTCAGACTTCTTTTTCTAAACATGTGTTGCACAAGTGTTATGCACTTCAGGGAGAAACGGAACTCTGTACTTGGACTTTTGGAGTAGATAGAAAAGGTCAGCATCCTGGCCAAACATATGTTGTTCTATAAAGTGTGCTGTGTCACTCAGTGTTCCTGCTATCCAGAATTCCAAGGTGCACTTTTCAAACCATTCTTAGTTTAAATGATGCCATAGAAAAGTGTGTGAATGGTTTAGCAGTTTTCGTGGGAAGAACAGGCAAAGGCTTTACTTGAAGAAGTAAGAGGAGAGTGACCCAAAGTATATACACCTTAAAACTTGTGGCTTCTACAACGGATGGAGAACCTCTGGCCTTCTAGATGTTGTTGGAACTATAACTCCCATCATATCTGATCATTGGCCAAGCTTGCAGAACGATTCTGTACATGTCTACTCAAAAGTAAACTCCATTGATTCAGTGGGACTTAGTCCCAGGTTAAGTGTATGTTGGAGTGTTGCCTTAATTACCAAAGAAACATAGGGCAAGAAAGGAAGTATAGGCACCTCCGATATGTGTGCAATTGTGCACACGTGCATCATGTTTAACCCCAGAGTGACCCAAAATGTCAGAAAAAGGAGTGGGGTTGGGGCGGAATAGGGTGTTTGCAGGCTTTTTCAGGATTGTTTCAAATATATGCAATTTTACTTAAACATGCGGTGCCTTGGAACATAAATGGGGAGTTGCCTGTATGTCAAGACAGTCTGTTACTATTTAAAGTGGTTTCTTAATCAGAACAACACTATCTTTATATCAGCTTTGGCAAAACTATGGCAGAATTTCTAATATCAACTTCCTTCACCTGCTCATCTCTCAGTATAATATATGTCATCACTTACCAAGAGTTTCCTCTGCTGTCTACATCAGACAAGGCAGTCTCTATGCAAGAGAACAAATGGATAGACTTTATAAATGGAACCACTGGGAGAATATTTTGAGCTACCTAAATGTCACTATGCTTCAACAAAAATACTTTGGAGCAGAGGTTTTCAATCTTAATGAGTCCATGGCTCCCTTGATCATCTACATTCTTTCTGCGGCACCCCTGTGGAGCTCAGGACTCCAGTTATGTCACCTCTTGCCTGCAGGGCTGGCAGCCTCTCACCCTTTTTCAAACACCCTCCCTTGTAGAATGTTTCCTCAGCCTCCTCTCCTTGGGAGTCCTCTGGGCAGCCGCTGCTGCTGCTGCCCCTGGTCTGTGAACTGCCCCCTGACCCCAAAGAGAGGTGCCTCCTCACATTGCCCCACAGGGGCCTGAGAAGAGGATGCCCTCAGTGTTAATAGCCCAAAGGAGACTGGCCAAAGGTGAATGTGAGGCCAGCATCTTACCTTGGAAGGCAGCAGTGGCAGCAGCAGGCACTGCTGACACTGCATGGTGGAAAGGCTCCCCTTCAGCATTGGGCATTCAGCTCCCAGGCAAGCCTTGCACACAGCAAGAACAAGAAAGGCCAGTGCAGCGCATACTTGCCTCTCACTTGTCTGTCCATTCCCAACAGCAAGGGCTAGTGGACTGGCTGACTGGGCTCCCTCGCCCGCTTGCTTGCTTACTCTGAGGCTGCCTCAGCTCCTGGCAACCTGCACCCCCAGCCAGCCCCAGAAGCACCATTCACCTGGGGAACTTGTAGCCAGGGCTGCTACAACAAACAGCCATGAAAGCCTTTGGGATGCAGAGATGCAAGAGGGCATCAGAGGAGGGAGGGAAGGAGGGACAGAGGCCAGTGTTGCCCGAGGCACCCGTGACCATCATTCAAGGCACCCCAGGGTGCCACGGCACACTGGCTGAAAAGCACTGCTTTAGAGTGAAACTTTAGTGTAAAATTACTGAGCTAAAATTTCATCAGCAAATTTATTTTAATTCAGACTTAATTGGGACTCTGAGGTTCTTTCCCACTGCAGGTGTTAATTTAACATAGCATAGCTGAAAAGACAGTATTCTCGACAGTACCAGCTCATGTAAATAATATGGACACCTGTCAGTATTTTTCAAGGGAGAAAGAGCATATTGAGAAACGTAAAGTATTTTTCCTTATTGGTAAATTTACATAGAAACTCTGAAACCTTCTATCTCAAGTATCTTCTTGAAGATAAGTCAAATAATATTACTCTGGCCGTGGCAAAATTTCTCTCGGAGCTAATAAGAAATAGAAATCAACATGCTCTGGATAAAATATAGTGACTGCCTTGGAATCCCTGTATCTCTGCTGCATTCTGCTTTTGAAACTGTTTTGTGGGTCTTTGAACTGTAACAAAGAATGTGTATTATTAAAGTGGTTTTAAGCATTCTGTTGCCCTAGCACAACAAAGCCACTCTTACTGCACTTTTTGCAGTTTAGGAAAGTGATGGGGAAGTGCATTGAAAAGTGTGAACTGAATGTATACAGAAAGATGTATAAACTTCCTGCAAGCAAATGAAGATGAATGCGGAATGGGTGTATGTTCTCTCATAACCTCCCCACAAACTGAGAGTGAATGCTCCATAAATAGGTTATCTAGAGGAGCACTATAAGAGTGAGCCATTCATTAACCTATCGCTACTCTTGCATTTATGGCCTTTTGACCCTACTGTTTAAAAATACATATATAGTATAAATGTGGGTGGGTGCATGTGCACACACATACCAAGTGACAATCACAACATGCATCTGATGAAATGAATTCTAGATCATGACTATGCCAAAATAGCAGTTTTTTAAAGTACCAAATAACCTTCTATTGCATTTTATGGTGTTGGATTAAAATTGATGTCCCTCTGAAACAATAATCAGATAAGCATCTTCTTGATGGCTATTGCCAGAGTGTACTTAAGATCATTTTTAGGATAAGAACATGCAACTATTTCTTACTTTTGCTGATTCTACTGGAAATTTTGAGAAAATTCACCTTGAATTTCCCCCCCTGATCTTTTACAGACAACAGTAATTGATTATGTGAAGCCATCAGACCTTAAGAAAGATATGAACGAGACCTTCAAGGAAAAGTTTCCTTACATCAAGCTGACACTCAGTAAAATAAGAAGGTACCATTGCCGTGCAGCTACCCTTAATAGGTTTGGTAGATGGAGGTAAAATATTAACGGTAGGTTTTCTGGAAGAGTGACCTCCAAAGGCCATTGTTACAGAAGAAACCATCTGTTTGCTTAGACTAGAAAGCTGAATAAATAAGATCGGGATCATGTGGTCTAAGTATATATTATGGTCCTGCAGTGTTTTTAAATATCTAAAGGAACAGAAAGGTAAGGACAAGGATGTGAATGTTCTTGTGAAAGCTGCTGAAAAAGGGGCAGAGAGAATTTCTGAAATTAGTGAAAGCTGTTGCAACCAAATGATAGCAAGACTTAATCATGGGTATATTTTAATAGATGAAAGGTTGTTCTTCTATTGTTGAATTGAAGACGTGTTGGTACAAAGATGTCTGCTGCATTGCAAACTTCACAAATTGTTATTTCTCAGTGATCAGCAGGCTCCTAGAGTTGCATACAGAGAAGCACAACAGGGTACAGATGTGATGACAAAATACTCCATTAATACTTACGAGCAGCCAAGGCCGAATACAATGGGATAACATTGTGCTGTATCCTTTGTGCCCCTGTCCCATTTGTACAGGTGTATCAACACCTTTTCAGTCTCTGCAACAGCATATACTTAAAAGTTTGGGAGCAGAAGGAATTATGGAAGAGCTATCATTGGGCCAGAACATTAGTATTTCAGGAGCTCCAGTTCCTTTGTCTGCTTCTGTTTCCTTGCCTCCAGTCCACCGTCTAGTCCAAAATGATGGAAGTTAGAAATTCAAGACTTGCAATAATATTTTTGGACAAAAAAAAATGACTTCAAACATGAACAATTCAATATCCAGAAATTCAGGGGACACTTTACATTCGCAGGTGCTGAGAGTGAAGCGTAGCAGTATGATATATTGGCAGTTTACTGGTGGTGTTTAGGCAAGCCTTCTGAATGATAGGTAGTGCTATTACAATCTTTGAGTTTCTTCAGCAACACACCTTTCCCTCCCCTTTCAGCCTGAAGCGAGAGATGCGCAAACTAGCTCAAGAAGAGTGTGGTTTTGAGGAACCCACCGTGGCTATGGCCTTCGTCTATTTTGAGAAGCTTGCCCTCAAGGGGAAACTCAACAAGCAGAACAGAAAGCTCTGCGCTGGAGCATGTGTCCTACTCGCTGCCAAAATCGGCAGTGACCTCAAAAAGCATGATGTGAAACATCTTATCGATGTAAGTACCCCAAGGCCACAAACCTTCACCACAAAAAGTAGCAGTGAAGGAGGGTTGACCCGGCAGTGGCTTAGATGAAAGGAATTGCTGTGTCTTCATTATATCATGCATTGGCCTTTGCTTGTTAGCTGCATCAGAAAGGTTGGATGTAATTTTAAGACCTAAGATACCTATTTTAAACTTGCAAGTGCAATTGGAAGAAGCTGTTTAAAGTACATGACTAATACACCAATCTGTTTGGCTTTGTTGTAGAAACTGGAAGAGAAGTTCCGATTGAACAGGAGGGAGCTGATTGCCTTTGAATTCCCAGTGTTAGTGGCCTTGGAATTTGCTCTCCATCTACCTGAACATGAAGTGATGCCACATTATAGACGCTTGGTCCACCATTCCTAGCACAGGCTACCCTTCCGAGAAGAGGGAGGGGTTTAAAAACTTTTTTTTCCCTGTTGAGCTCAGAAGAGCAGCAGTTACTACTGGAAATGCAAAAATGGGGGCACAGATGCGCCAACACCCTTTATTCTCTTTTCAGTGCAGCTTTTCAACCTGATCGTAGGAATAATTCCTTAAGACTCTCAGGCTAGACAAACTGTTTTAACTACTCGACGCAAGTGATGAATGAGTTGCATGTGAGTGAACAGTGGGTGGAGCAGATTCACACCACTTGGACAAAAAAAAGAACTTCCTTGAGTTCCCCATAAACTTTCCTGCGAGGAGAAGGAAGATAAAACAGCAGCCTTCATTTCACACTTTATTTAAACTATACATTCTGCTCCTGTGGAAACCTCATCAGCTTTCCCAGAAGCGGTTTCCATTTTACAAAAGGATTCCTAAAGCAATGACGGGTTGCGGAAGATACCTTCACTGTGTCAACAACGTGCCAATCTATTTTTGTATCTGTTCTTGAAAGTGCACTTTTCCTGGTGGGTGGGATGATGATTTAGTTGAGAGATGCTGAGCAGGTTTGGAATCAGGTGGAAGGAAGCCTTGGATCATTGCTAGAATTTTGTTTACTAAAGGCCAGAGGACAACTTTTCTCTATTTGCTTAAAGACGTAATTACTGAAAGGGAGATAATCTGGGTTCATTTGAATAACCAGGCATGATCTTTTGCAATCCCTGGTTGTTAGTTTGTTTTCCCCGCATCAACATCTTTTATTTTTTTATATATAAAAATTACACTACTTTTAAAAAAAGTATGACACCTACAAATGAGAAACCAACAGCTGCTTTTGTTTTCACTTTTGTATGTGATGCCATTCAAATGTTCAGTATGGAAGAGAGAGGACATTTTGAAAGTGTCTTGTTCTAAGCCACATGCGTATTTCTAACCTCTGTACTTTCCCTCTGTGGAGATGGTTAGACTTGCACTCTGTAGTGTTTGTATTTTGTGCTCTATGTTAGAGTGCATTCTGAGGCACGTTGATGGTGCTGTATGTTTAAACAGTGTTTTTTAAAAACCAACTTGTACAGCCAAGGGCCAGAATTGGCCGCCTAGGGCCTTGATAACAGACACTTGCCTCAAGTGTGGGTAATTTTTTGTTGTTGTTGCTGTTGTTTTAAAATAGAATTGGCTGTACAAATCAAATTTCAGAGTGGGGGGGGGCACTGAAATTGTTACATTTTTTCATACTTCACTACTTGGCAAACTTATAGTACTTTAACTGTGTTCATAAATTACAAAACCCAGGCTGAGATGCAAAGCTTATACAATCCCCATGTGTGTTCTGTTTTCTAAATATTTGTATGTGTGCATTTGGGGTTGTATATAATGTAGCACTAAGGTGAATGTTCTGCCTGCAGACGAATTTCTCCTTGTGCAAGGGAACATTCTTGCCCTCTTCCCACCCCCCACGAACAGCCTAAACATGTTCTGAGGCTTCCTCCAGCCCTCCAGAGCAGTTTGGGGACAGTGTGAGGCATGTGCAGGGGGAGGAGAGCGGGGAAATCCTGTTGGATAGCACTAATCCTTGTGCTAGCCCAACTATTTAGTTACATTCCGCCTGCATGTGTATATGTGTGTATATACATGCGTATACACACACACATATACACAATATGAGAAGATAATGACAGCTGGATGTGCTTGCTACTATGCTAGAGGACATACAACAAAGAATTAAATTACTATTTTTATATGTAGTTAATGTACATGTCCCACTTTTTCTAGTGCAGATTCACTTAACACAGCTCTTGGCTGACACAGTGATTTCAATAAAGTTGAGTATTTTACTGTTTATAGCGTAATACAATTAATTGAGCAACAGTTGTGTCCACCAAGATAATCTACCACTTTTTTCTCTTTTTTTCCTGTAGCAGTCATTAGTGACACTGGAAATGACAGAAGTTGGGAACAAAAGTACAGCCAAGAAAATATACAAATACAAAACTCCATTGAAACCTGTAGATTTTGAAACAAAATTCCACTTTATTGGTGTAGCTTTGCATCCTCTTTTTGGCTTTCAAACACGAATGCTCCATTGTCTGACTTGTATATTGCAAGTATAAACTAAAAATATATTGAATGATACATCCGTTAGAGGAACTAAGAATAAAACTCTGTTGTTAAAGTAACAAAATTGCCAGTTCCAGAATTCTCGCTCACTTGCCCTCTTCCATATTAATGTATTCCCATAAGCTAGTTTGAAGAATGGAGAAAAACACTAGTTTTCTGCAACTCCAAGGAAATCCTCATTTAAATTAAGGGAATTTGCATTTTCTGCATCTTCATTTAGCCAAACCCCAAAAATGTATATTCTGCATAGCCTCAAGACCAAAAACTGTTCTGCAATGCATAGTTAAAAGGTTTATTGATTAAAACAATCGTCTGGCTTCAGCTATGGTCCAGTGCATATTATTTGGAGGGCCTAAGACCCAAGTGCATACATAAGATCAGACAGGATGTTTTATAATTCCTTTACCGTTATCATTTTGCATGGAAAGACTGTTCTTGGATGGCAAAATTCAGAGTGGAGAATGATGGCACTTTGTAAACCAAAGGAACACCCTGTGCTCTGTCCGCCACCTAACCCAAAACAGCATCTGTGCCTTCAACAATTTTGGGGGAAAGAGAGCCCTTGTCCCTAGACCCTCTGTTGCTGCAGAGAGCTATTCACCCACATTCCTTTCCTATTTGCTGTGGGACAGTATCCCTGTTAATATGTTATCCCTCCTCCTTTGAAAAGAGGTGGTGCAGACGGCATAGTGGGTGTGGATCCTTGGCTGATGCCTTTCTGAAGTTACCTGGGACAGAAAGTACACAAGTGCTGTTCCATTACTTCAGTGTGGGTTTGCGTAGTGCAAATGCAGTTCTGAATCCTTTCAATATCTATGCAGGTTTATGCAGAGTCAAGATACAGAAATTAGCCCTCATCAACAAACTGGACAGGATTCTTGAGTGGCATGCTTGTTGGAAACATCCTGCTTTCATTTGCAGAAATGTTTGGCTGCTTCTTTTTGGGGGGGGGGTTAGAGGGGAAGGCGTTTTGCATAAAAGCACCGACAAAAATGAAAAAACTTTGTAGCGTAAATTGAAGCCATACTGATGAAATGTCAATGCACAAAACATGACTGAAGTAAACTATAGTAATTCTCCCTTCTTTTTCCAAGATTGCATTTAAAAATAGCAATGAAATGGTGAATAAAAGAAAAAAAGGTTTTACCGTATTTTTGTTTCTCAAAACCAAGAATTTTGACTTGTAAATAGTTCCATTAAAAAAAAAAAAGACATGGGCTTTTGGAAAATCCATTTCTTTTCTCTTCATAATGTTTTGAGATGATGTACTATGCACTGTATTGTACAGATTATTATTTTGAAAAGCTGTTTTCTCCGCATACACCCAAGCAAGTGAAACTTTTCAAAAGCTCTGCCTGCCTACAGTGTTACACAAATTGTGTAGGGGTGGTGGTGCAGGAACAATGAGGCCGCCGATATCTAAATACAGTATGTCTTTAAGATTAAATTGTTGGTGTCTCTCACTTCATTGCTACCATTACGTTCCTGAAGTGTTCATTATTCAGTGGATTTTTAAAATTCTGTAACTTAAATGAAAAGAAAAACAAGTGGTTTTCAAGTAGGCTTAGCATAGTGTAATAGCTTTTGTTTGCGTCTATATTGTTCACAGGGAAAAGAAAGTGAAGTCTTAATAGCAGTGCAAAAACATTGCAATACAACAGCAACGCTAACATGGGAACACCTCTCTCCTCTTGTCTGAAAAGAGCTAGTACTGATGGCAAGATGCAGGTAAGAAAGAGGAAAGCAGAGTTCATGTTTTGCAAACTAAAGGTTCCAGGTCCTCCTGCATCTCCAAGACACTTTCTCGAAACCCTTCAGAGCTGCTGCCAGTCAGTAGATAATGCTGAGCTAGAGAGACGTGATTGTGTGTGTGATTCTGGACAAGGCAGCTTCCAGTGTAAGAAAGGTTCTCAGTGCAGTGAACTTTGACTGTATCATTAAATGCAAAAGCCCCATAGGGCATCCACAGGACTCAATACTGGACAGTAACAGTCATTTTATTACACACCTGCACCTGATAAACAGTAAGAATATTACCACTTGGCAGGAAAATCCTAAAACTCAGGTTACTGGCGTGTGAAGGGTCTGATCTTTTTCACCATGATGTCACACAATATTAACTACAAGGTTCTGCTATGGACCATTTTCCTGTGAAATTTCATTAGAACTACTTGTGTTCTATCTTATGCAAATATACTGGCTTGGAGACAGAGATGTGCCCATTGAAGGGTGTGGATAGAAAATGACTCCCACACTTCCCCCTCTGCAGTAGCTCTGGAAAATGCCTCTTCTGAGCCATCTGGGAAGCCTACTTAACAGTGAAGGAACTGGGGATCTCCAAAAACGTGAGCCAGAAGCACCTTTCATGAGCAGAGCAGAAGGTGTATCTGCCTGATTTTATAGAATTTTCCTCCCGTCAGCTCTCTGAATATAGGAAGAGGCTTTTAGGGAGGCTGGGAAGAAAAGTCAGTCTACCCACCGCATTCCATTGGTGCATCTCAGTTCTAAGCCACTATCTAGACTTCAGTTCCTCAGATGCTTCTTACTCATAGCAACATATTGAAGTGATAGTAAAACAGCAATTGGCAGTATTTGCAGAATGGTTAAAAATACTGCGAAGTGCTAAATTTAACCCATCCTTTTATAGCTTATACAGTATTTTTATGCCTGGAGCTATGAGGAAATCAAGAGAATAATATTTCAATTATTCTGTGTGTTGCCTGGAACTGATAATCCATGCAAGGGAACAGGTGGGTTATAAAATCTACAGAGGCAATCATAGCAATCCACGGGAGTCTTGAGGATGTCTCCTAAAAGGATGTTAAAATAAAAACTTTTCTGTTTAAGCAAAGCATTTCTGAAATGGCAACTGAGGCACTTGAACTTTAAAATCTCTTCCCTCTATTTTGTTGTATTGCAGGAAAGGTAGTACTTAAGGAAAAACAACTCCGTGTTTATCTAAATCCATTTTGTATAACCTGCTAGGTTCATGATAAATTTTCAAGGGTGTAGCTGGCACACTGAAATCCTTACATCTGCTTAACCAGGGAGCAACTCCCATTGAACACAATGGATCATAACTTCTTAGTGGCAATGTATAGATTTGAGGCATGGTACTGTGGTCTTCAGGAGTTAGAGCTTTCTACCTACTTCATGGGTTTACATCAGGCTTCCTCAAACTTGGCCCTCCAGATGTTTTGAGACTACAATTCCCATCATCTCTGACCACTAGTCCGCTAGCTAGGGACCATGGGAGTTGTAGGCCAAAAACATCTGGAGGGCCGAGTTTGAGGAAGCCTGGTTTACACCATAAAGATCACAACTCTACACTCCCGCAAGAGGGGTGTCCAGTTTTTTTCAAAGTACTCTGCTAAACAGAGGCGGACTTATGCCAGCACAAAAACAAAAACACCTTTCCTATTCAGCTTGTGTATGCTACATACATACATACATGAGGGGCGCGGGTGGCGCTGTGGGTTAAACCACAGAGCCTAGGGCTTGCCGATCAGAAGGTCTGCAGTTCGAATCCCCGCAATGGGGTGCACTCCCGTTGCTCGGTCCCAGCTCCTGCCAACCTAGCAGTATGAAAGCATGTCAAAGTGCAAGTAGATAAATAGGTACCACTTCAGCGGGAAGGTAAACAGCGTTTCCGTGTGCTGCTCTGGTTCGCCAGAAGCAGCTTAGTCATGCTGGCCACATGAACCGGAAGCTGTACGCTGGCTCCCTCGGCCAATAAAGTTAGATGAGCGCGACAACCCGAGAGTCGTCCGCGACATCTTTACCTTTATGCTACATCTACCTATTAGAGCTGAAAGATGAGGACACAGCTAATCTAACACAGGACTTGCCAGCTGCCATAGGCTACATACAGCCTATTGAAAAGCCATTAGCACCTATTAAGAGGCACTTGGAGCTGTCATGTTTTGAATAAGCTTTTCTAGTCCTAGACTAGGAAAGGATTAAAGAGTTTTATTTTCCCCAGATGTATTAATAATTAGGGCTGCCAGCCACATTTCAGTTATGCAGTTAATTAAGCATTGCTGATGCCGCATCAGCCTGTTGACAGGTAACTTAAAATCAATCCGTTTTGCCTAGAACACCTAACAAAAACCTCCAGTAGTGCCCATAAGGTAGTATAAAAATATATACTGTTTAATAAATAAAACTACCACTTAGCCACATTTTTTTTAAAAAACACACACATTAATTTTGAAAAGCAAAATAAACTAAAGCTCTTACGGCTATATATATCTCTTAAAAATATTATTAATAGGACTTCCACTGCATCTCATTAGGAAAGCTTATTTCCCTTTGAAACCAGCTGCTTGGTTATGCTTTTGATGCATAAATTATATATAATTGGTGCAATAAATTATACACATTGGTATTGGCACCCAGAGTGGCTGGGGAAACCCAGTCAAATGGGCAGCATATAAATAAATTATTATTATTATTATTATTATTATTATTATTATTAACCATAGCAAAATATTCTCAGTTTCCATTTCAGGCATCCCCACTTAATATCTTTAGGTAAAGTTAAGGACCCCTGGACAGTTAAATCAAGTCAAAGGCAACTATGGGGTTGCGGCACTCATCTTGCTTTCAGGCCAAGGGAGCTGGCGTTTGTCCACAGGCAGATTTCCGGATCATGTGGCCAGCATGACTAAACTGCTTCTGGCACAATGGAACACCATGACGGAAACCAGAGCGCACAGAAACACCGTTTACCTTCCCGCCACAGCGGTACCTATTTAACTACTTGCACTGGCGTGCTTTCAAACTGCTAGGTTGGCAGGAGCTGGGACCGAGCAACAGGAGCTCACCCCGTCACAGGGATTCAAACCACCAACCTGTAAATCGGCAAGCCCAAGGTTCAGTGGTTTAGACCACAGCACCACCCACATCCCATTTAATATCTTTATGTAGATGTGCACCAGTTTTGGAATGTTTCTCACGCGGGGCCTTTAGCATCATATCCCTGGCCACACAGTCAGCAAACATTAGAGGGGATCTATGTGCCTACACACTTGTTCATATGTAGCTCTTCTACATTGTGTGTGTGTGTGTGTGTGTGTGTGTGTCTCCTTGGCTAATCAGGCTCCCCAGCCATGTGGAAGAGGGGAGTGGGTGGGTGGGTGTATGATGAGAGGCAACTTTCTAGACCAAAATGAGTCATGGATCTGTAGTCTGGAGCAACTTTAAATCCCAAACAAGATGGCAACCTGTTGTGAGATACAAAGACCCATTTTGTACTTGCAGGTAGCAGCTAATGTTCTTCCCCAACCACCATAATAATGATATTGTGGCCATCATAGATGTATGATTTGTTCTCAGTTCCAAACTGACAGGCTGCAAGCCTGAATGAAAGCTTCACTTTACCTAAATAATTGCCTTTTGAAGCTTGAACCATGTAGGGGTTTATTTATTTATTTTTGCTTTGCATTAGGCTTTTGATTAATGACTGAGTAAAAAGTACATAATTCAACCCTTTTGACGATATGAAGAGCGATAATGGCATCTGAATGCCCTTGAAGGGGCAGCTGTCCAGAACCAAAAGGCTGGGAGTGGGAGAGAGCAGAAGGCTAACATTGCTATGGAAACTGCCTATATTCCAATGAAACAAAGTTGCAGAGGAAACGACAAAAGAAGGTCAGTATACTTACAAATACATAGCAAAGATTGAGGCTGCAATCAAATGCATGCTAACCCAGGAGTAAGCCTCACTGAACTCAATGGGATTTACTTCCAAGGAGCCATATATAGATTTGCATTATAAACTGTATACAATGGTACCTCGGGTTACAGACGCTTCAGGTTACAGACTCCGCTAACCCAGAAATAGTACCTCGGGTTAAGAACTTTGCTTCAGGATGAGAACAGAAATCGCGCAGCAGCGACGCAGCGGCAGTGGGAGGCCCCATTAGCTAAAGTGGTACCGCAGGTTAAGAACAGTTTCAGGTTAAGAACAGACCTCCAGAACGAATTAAGTTCTTAACATGAGGTACCACTGTACTGTATACTTGTAGGGATTGCACCTATTGGAATTTAAGATGTGTAAATGCTTTTGTGTGTGTGTATAATAGATAACAATATAAGACAGAAAAGAGACACATTGAAAAATGCAAATAAGATTTACTACTCAGTTATTTTACATTCAACATGGCCTTGTGGTAATCAGTTATCACTTCAAGGTACTCTTTTCTATTAGCTGAGCTTTCCAGCGTCCATGAACACACATCAGATTGTGGTTTCTGGTTTTCAGATATTTGGGGTAAGTGGGGGTGGGGGGCAGTCCAAAGCTTGAACTAAACATCTCTTAGCTTTTTTATGCAGACAGAATAATTGAATGTGATACTTCCATCTTATAAGAGGGTATACCAAATCTATGCTGGTTACAGTATTATTTTCACAGTGAATAAGGTCACTCAGCCTATTTTGTTTAAAAAAACATACAGAAGAAGTGTTCCACAAAGAATACAGCTGTTCTGGTGCTATACATCAGTGGAGGATCATCAGCTACCTGGTTGATAACCTTAAACTGAATGGAAACTCTGACAAGAACGCCTGCAGAACTGGTACTATTTGCAAGGTACGGCAGAAACAGTCGCTTTGCTTGTGCTTTCATGTAGATATTCCCAAGTGCCAATCTTCAGAATGGTCATGCTTAAGGCTCAGTAGGAATTGCTTATAATCATGGAACAAAAATCAGCCACCTCCTGCTGCAATCATGACACAACTATTCAATAGGATTTGGTTCTGAAAAGACACGTCCGATTGCGCTGTTGGACATTGTGCTTGTCTGTGTCCACACTCAAGAACACATAGAAAGTGTGCCCTCTTCCTCTGCATGCACATACAAACAGATTTCCGCAGGGGATTCACATTGCAACCCTTACGCATTTACACAGGAGCAAATCCCATTAAACAGGTCTTCTTTCTGAGCAGACTCACGTGGTTTTGTTTCTTCATGTTTCACTTGAGTTGTGTATGATGGGAGAGCAAGGAAGCAGCAAGCACACCCCTTGGGCAATGCATGTCCCAGACTGAGCACAAAATACTACCAAGTCTTCCCTGTGCCCAAATGCACCTGGAAATCTGCCACAGACCAAGAAGCTTGTCCATTCTCCCTTCACAAGTGAGACTACGGTCCTATAATTTATATTGTGATAAAGGGACAGCCGTCAAATTCTGAATGGTGCAGAACTCGAAGTAAGGTTGGAAAGGGGGCAGGATAAGCACCTTTCTTACAGCAGTGCATGCCCAGATGGTTTTACGGTAGTGGATCTAGTTGAGACTGCACAATTTAGTTTAGCCTGGCTAGTATAAAGGTTAATGGAGCCCTGACTTTCTGCACTGCTATTAATAACATTTTTATGGCTCTGAAGAAAGAAGAATGTGGAATTAAGTCACTTGCAGTTTGCACATCTTCACTGCTGTTGCTTTGGATTTTTCAGTCACTGACTATTACCCCTGATGGGAATGCTTGGTTATTCTCTTCTTCATAATTTCTCCTTATATATTTATATGCCAGTCCTTTCGATGTAAAGCAGTGAGGCTTCAGCAACTCCACCAAGTAAAAGACTGTTAAAGAAAGCAGAGGAGAAGCTTTATTAACAAAGATTCACTTGGGCAATTCATAGGAAACTCACTGAACAGGATGGCATTGCCAAAATAGCCGGTAATTTTCATGCTGAGATATTTCTTCAGTTCCTTAAGTAATATAATAACAACCATAGTAAGTGGAATAACAACCACTGGTAATTTGTTGAGAGTATGATGGCATCCCAGTTGCTTAACCCTGGTTCCTCAAGATGACAGGAACTTGGTCCCTCACTTAGGAGAACCATGGCTGTCAGGGCACCTTTGTGGAACCTTCCATTGAAGCCTTCCAGATACCAGAAGCAATTGTATACATGCATGGCTGAACTGCATGGGGAAAAGGAACATTTTGGCGGCCAAGGTTGTTTGACATGTAGAAGGTACTCCAAGCACTGGGCCCCAGAGTTTCTTGGGCCTCCACATGTTATTTGACTATTAATGCTGCACCCTCTGCCCTCTGATAACGCTCTGGATTTTCTTCCAGTCCTGTCCTCTCTAACTATCACAAAGCTCTATGAACTATTTTTATTGATTTAATGAACCTTAACACTCTTGGAAGAGGGAAGGGGTGGTCTTTGTTACAGTTAGGGCGCTACTTCCTTCTAGAATACCACTTGTCCTCCCAGTGCCTGATGGATGAATCTTGATTAACCTAGGAAAATTCTGAATAACTGGTTTGGATCAAGGAATTGGTCTTTTTTTAAAAAAGTAATTACTCTCTTATGGCTCTAAGTATGATGTGGGGATAACAAAGTAAGTACTTGTCATGCCTGCACCTATATGTTTCCATGTCAACATCAATCTCTCTACTGAGTCAAATCCTGCTGCAAGAGAGATCATAACCATACACAAAATTGCTACATCACACAGTTGTTGTCTACTACACTGTAAAGCCTGATGCAAACATCAATAACTAAAACAGCACGTGGCAATAACCATGATTTAATGTTACATATGATGCTCTTCTTTAAAAGGCTGCATCTCCTTCTGGACAGCCTTTTGGAACCAACATCCCCAGTGGTGGGCGGAGCAATGAATGTAAATTTTACATTTTTGCAGTAGCAAGAGTCCTTATCGGTTCCAGAACACAGTCCAGCCAGAAAATAAACATTAGAGGAGGGTGAAGCAAGGCTGGGGAGGGTCTGGAGAGCATCCAGGGGCCTCATTTGGCCTTCAGAGCTGATGTTCTCCACACAATGTCAACATAGTGGCTTGAATCCAAAGCATCTCATGATCTGATCTCTCACTGGAATGCAGTCCCCAATTCATCTCTCTGAAGATCCTGTCTCATGTCCTATCACAAACTGTTTCAGAGGGTTCCCTGACCCTTAAAGAGTAGCTCTTTGCACCAGGAAGGAAAAGGAGAGGCCTGATGTAGTTCTTTGGACCCAAGCCTTTATGCTTTTGGAGTCAGAGAAAACACACAATAATTTCTAGGGCTCAATCTATGTGCACATGTGCTCTATGAATAGCTCACAGATAAGGAAACTGCTTGGTGATCATTGCAGAAAGTAAAAAAGAGAAATGGTAGAGCCTATTTGAAATGTAGCATGTTGGAATTCTTTTTTATTTTATCGCACCATTCATGGCATCCCATTTTCTTTATCCTCAACATCCTCATCTGTCACGTTAGGTTGACAGACAGAGAGAGAGAGAGAGAGAGAGAGAGAGAGAGAGAGAGAGAGATTGGCCCCAAGGTCATATAGCAAGCTTTGGGGCTGAGCTGGCATTTGAATTCACATCTATCCAGTACAACAATCTAGGCACCACACCAAGAATAGGCAACCTTTGCTGCTCCAGTTGTTGGACTCCAATTCCTATCAGTTCCAGTCAGCATAGTCAACGGTCAGTTATTCTTTCTGGAACGAAAAGCTTGGGAAGTAACCTTCACAATGGGACCTTAATTGGATGGATCACTTTGATGTCCTATCCGTTTATACAATAGTCCGCCAGACTGGTCTATGACACAACGGTCCATGCAGTACATTCATCAAAGGCGCTTCCTCAGCTTCTCGCTTCTCCCATCACCATTCTAGCAATGACATTTCCTACTCTGCACTAATCTTGCGAACAACACAGCTTGAACAAAGGGCTCCAGAGGTAGCAGAGTTCAGTGGAGCTGTCTCTTGTTTCTAAAGATGTCAGCTCACACTTCATTCATCTTGAGCAAGGGGGAAGTCGTGTCTCCAGCTCTTTTCTTAAGTCACTCAACAAGAAGAATCCACAAATTGCTGGCTCAGCTCCATTTCCTTTTCTACAATTCAGTGTTATGACCTTATATTTTAAGCCACAAGGCTTAGTTTATGAAACAGCAAAGCTCCTTATGGAACTTTATAAATAAAACAAACTTTTGTAGTTTTTATTGGTAAGAGGGCATTTTTACATGGCAAACCATGCAAAGCTGTCTGGATTTTAATAGCATTACATCCATTTAAACTCTTAGCTTCACCACCAGGCTGTTTTTGCAACTTATGCAAGTGCCACTGCTCCTGAAAAGGCAAGCTCTTGCATAACCATTATGGTGCAAACCATTTTATAATGATATCATTATTCCTCATGAGCCCGGAATAATAAAAGATATGATAGCTCAGAACTACTGCCATTTTACTTTGTGGGGAAGGATGTTGGAGAAAGACCCAATTGCAAACTTTCCATGAACACTTACTTGAACTTCAGCAGATCTTATGCATGATACCATATCATAGCACTGCAGATATACTGGCTACCAGCCCTAGTTTGAAATTAACTGTTCACTTGCTTGGATGCTTGGAAAACCTAATGTCCCTAACAAGAATCACAGAATTTGTGGAGATCTTGTAAGATATCTCACCTTGATGCACAAAATCCAGAGCTGGAGCATCATCACCAGGTAGCTGTCCAGCCTCTGCTTGAAAACCTTCACTTTAGATCAGGAGTGTGGAACCTCTTCCAGTTTCTTCACTCCATGCCTAATTTTATAAACCTTTATCCTCATCACCCTTAGACACCATCTTTCTATCTATATTAATGATTGAGGCCCTTGCTAATCTAATGGCATTTCTGTACAATTGTTCTCCTATCCAATGAAAGGTGTTCCTGTTATTCCTTTGCTGTGCATAGTCCATGCACCTTCCCCAAAGTAGCCATTTTGATGTGTCCTATCACATTCTACATTCCTCTTCCCCTAGACCTATGGCCTTTTAACTGTGGGGAAAATATTGTTTGTTACTATGGTAAGTATGATTATATATTGTAAACTACTCTGCGATCTTCTTATTGTACAAAGTGTTGCTTAACTGTTTTTGTTTAAAATCAGAAGAAATTAAGGAACATAATTTGGAAATCCAACAGCAAATTCAGAAGAGCCATAATTTTTATTCCCCCCCCCCCCCAAATACTTACCAACAGGCTGTTGGTACATTCATTGCAATCTCAAAGAAGAATGGGGATAGAGCAGCTGTTATAACCTAGAAAAGACAAGGAAGATGGCGATTTGTTACATCAACTTCCCGTAAGTTCATTTGCAAGAATATTAACACTCGAAAGAGATATTTTGAGAGGGGGGACAGTACAGAAAGTTAAGAAAACTTTTTTAAAACCAGGGCTCCAAACTTTAACTGATTCAATTGTAGATTAATCATTTTAAGGAAATAATTGAAGGGCATTACCTTGCAGGACACCGAAGTACCACTTTCCTCGTCTTCAAGCCAAATGTTCTTCTAATTTTGCTTAAATTGGCTTAGATATTTTGCCTTTTAAGTTGAAGTTGCTATCAGCATCCTTCTGACCACAAGGACCCATTCAACTAAACTGACAGAGCTATTTGTTGGAATCATTGTCAGACGGTACATCTTTTAAACCTGCCTGTGCCATGATGCTGATGGGTTTTGATCTTGTTTACTTGCAAATCCATTTTATGTGTTACTGTCGAATGTTGCATAAAATATTAAGATTTCCATATCCCCAACTTCCATTAAAATTAAATAAAATTGCCTTTTCCTTCCAGCGACGCATAGTAGCTTTTGTTTGTCTCGAGAGGGAAGGCATATTTCCTCTCGAGACAAACAAAAGCTACCATGTGTCGCTGGAAGGAAAAGGCAATTTTAAGATTCTGAAACAAAAGTTCATTGAGCTTTTGCAATATGTTCAAGCTATTGAACTGTAAAGCACCCTACAAACCAAAAACGTTGGGTGAGCTTTCCTGAGGCGGATTGGCACAGTTCTCCGAGTTATTTTCCAAAAGAGTCCAGCTACATCCTGAGCTCTTTTAATCACTTGGGTCTGTTTGCCTAGGGGCATGGCTAGCTGGAAAGCTAAATGGCGGCATAATTCTGTGTCTCCAATCACCCTGGGACAAAATCGAAGCAGAGTGGATCCTATTGACATCTAATCAAAAAGTTTCATACAAGCCTCAGCAAAGTGATGATCCAAGGAATACAGGGACCAAAAAGCAAATCTGCAAGTTAGTTCTTCAGGAAGAAACAGAGGGAGCTCTGCCTGAGGCTTCAGGAGAGGCCTCAGACACTGACAGTCACAAGCCTAAAGGCAACATGAAGGCCCCCAAAGGAGGGAAAATAGCTGCCACAATGGATGAGGGCAGAGACTCAGATGAGTACATTAAAAAAATAAGGCAGGCCCTATAAACAGCCCTAACTCCATTTGAGCAGAAATTGGATATGCTTTCTAACTAAATATCAATTTATTAATTTTTTTAAAAAAACAAGCTGTGCCCACAATCTTAGTCTAACCAACCAATCTGAGATCCAACTCTTACAAATGACGACTAGTTTTAGTTATGAAGCTGGAGGAACAACCAGACAGCAACAGGAGGAAAAATGGTTGTATTCCAGAGAACCAGGAAGTGGGGGACATTGTGCAATTCATTAATGACTGGATACTCTCCCTGAACTTAAATATACCACTGTCCCTCAGTGACATCAGAAGAGCTCACCAGGTTCCAGGAGGCAGAAGCAGAACTTGGGGAGCCCCAGGAGATGTGGTAATTCGCTTTGAACACTACAGGCTCAAAGACACTCTTTCCAAAGCACTGCGGAACGTTAGAAACCTAAAATACAGGCAAAGTCACCATTGAAATATTCCAGGATATCGGCCCAGCTACACTGGGGTGGCAGAGGGACTCTCTGGCCTTATACACCAGCCCTAAAAGAAGTGGGCATAGCATATTGCCAGGGCTTCCCTTTTAAGCTGATAGTCCAGCACAAAGGCAGAACCCCAAGCAGCTGATGCTTTTCCCCAGCTCAAGGACACAACAGCACCCTCTCAGGCTGGACAACAAAACAAAAGGCAGAAAGAAATAAAGTATCTCCAAATAGAAGTAAGAAATTGTTTTATTTCCTTATGCCTCACTCCTCAATCCCTAACCTTACTTGGCTGCTGTGGCTGCAGGTAGATAATTCCCTCCCTACACCATTCCTTAGGAACTACATTTCTCTCTCCCCCTTTTTAAAATTTTTATTTATGATTTCTGAATAAATAACGTTTTTTAGGGCTCACCCATTCTGTCATTTAATGGGGATAGTAAGCTTCCTGCATCCACATTAATTCTCTGTTGTCCATATGATGTTCTGCTCTAAATCACTGTCTTTCTACATTTCCGCCCCTCTCAGTCCAGATTTTATCATACCCTCTTCTCAGTGTATCCCTGAAAATTCAGACTGAGGAAGAGGAAAACATGGGGAGGCAATGATTGGTGGGAGAACATCAGACAGACAACAGAGAATTAATGGAGGTACAGGAAGTTTGCCATCCACATTAAACAACAGTATCGATAAGATCTCAGGGTCTCTGAAACCTGGGTTGCTGCCATAGTAGTGGCCTACATGCCAAGGAAAGAAGGTGACGCTGCCACCAACTGACCACATCCACCCTAGTTTAGTTTGATACACGTTTCCCTTGGGCCTTCCCTCACATTAAGCTGTAAACATGAACTCTGGCAGATCTAAGAAAAGGAAAGAGCCATGTGTCAAACAAGCAAAACATGAACCGGTCTCAATAGGCGCTGGACATCAGAGCCCTAAGCAGCACTGATAAGAAGCAACTCGAGTAAATAAAGTAACCTTAATGTATTTTCATAGCAATTAACTTCTGACCCAGCCTGAAAAAGTCACATGGTGCAGAGCAGCATCGACACTCACAGACACACAGCCAAGGAAAATATATTCCCTCTTTGAGCGTCCCCTCATCATCTCTAAATTCCCAACATTAAGAATTAAATTGCAATATCCCCCTTCCCCTCTAATTCCTGAGCATCTTGATGTTTTGCTGTCCTTTAAGGATATAGAAAAGAGCATTAACGTGACTGGAGAGTCCTTATTTTTAAAATACAGTGGTACCTCGGGTTAAGTACTTAATTCATTCCAGAGGTCCGTTCTTAACCTGAAACTGTTCTTAATCTGAAGCACCACTTTAGCTAATGGGGCCTCCTGCTGCTGCCGCGCCACCAGAGCACGATTTCGGTTCTCATCCTGAAGCAAAGTTCTTAACCTGAAGCACTATTTCTGGGTTAGCGGAGTCTGTAACCTGAAGCATATGTAACCTGAAGCGTATGTAACCTGAGGTACCACTGTAATAGGAATTAAAATGATAGGCTAGGGAACATGAAGGGATGATGTTGCAAGAGCAGCTTTCATCATACAAACCATTTCTTTACCAGTGGTGATTAATATTTTGATCTTTTTTTAAAAAACAACAACCCAAAACCAACAAAATTGCTGAGGCTTATAAAACTGTAGTAAAGCAGGCGCAATCTCTTGAACTAACTTAGGAAGCTGCACAATAGCTATCGTGTCTGCACAGGTGAGCTAATTCCTCTAGTCCAGCGATGGGAAAGATGTGGGCTGCCAGATGCTTAAGTTCCCATCATTTGTGACCACTGGCATGCTCGCTGCGGCTGACTGGAGTTGGACCCCAACATCCTCTGAGGGCCACAGGTTCCCCCGACATGCTGTGGTCTATTCACAACCACATCTCCAAAGCGTCCTTCTCAATCAGACCAAAAACCCATCAAGTCCATCATCTGTGGTTTCCCATCATTTCTACCCAGAATCCTGTGAAAGCGGATGGTATTGAGTGGTAGATATGACCTCTGAACACGAAGGCTACATTTAGGCATCATGCTCAACAGCCTGAGGGACACATATAGCCTTCCAGGCATGCTCACTATTCTAAGCCGACAGTTTTAAAGCATGGGGGGGGGAATCAGCTCTTGACTAAATATTAACAAATTACTGAAATGCCGGCATGTTCTTCACAATTGTCAGCAGTTGTGAAATGGGAAATTGTTATCATACTTCAGTCAAGTTGTAATCGTTTGGGAGGGAGGTGGGCTTGGAAACAGCACAAGAAATCTTAAAAAGGCATTATTTATGTCATTCATCAATAAAAATAGCTTGTCCTCACAAATATGTCCATACATTTGGGAATATTTATCTATGGTAATTTTCCATTTATAATTTAATTTTCTAGTTCATGACTCCGTTGGGACAACATAGAAAACAAAACAATTCCTAGGCCAGATAGCAAACTGCTTTGCTGATGCTGTTTCAGATTACGCCCCAACAATAATACAGTTAAAGTCTTGATTCTGCCACTTTTTGGCGTGTTTTTGCTGCTTCTCAGATGATGCAATGGAAAGAAAATCGACAAGTTATTTTTACTATAGCAGAAAGGGACAAGGAATGACAGCAAAAACTGGGGTTGTTCAACATTTTAGTCCTCTATGAAGAGATAAAATGTTGTAAAGTTTTTCTATAGATTTTTACAGAAATTGCACATTGATCATTTAAAAAGCATTTTATGAAATCATGCTGGAGAAGATAGTTTGGAAAGCCAGGAGTCAATGTGTATGGCAGTTTTCCCCAACCTGGTGCCCCCCAGATGTTTTGGACTATAAAATGATGTATTCTGTACTAGTTTTGTGAATCTAATTTATTGATGATTTGTATACAGTGGTACCTCGGGTTAAGTACTTAATCCGTTCTAAAGCTCCGTACTTAACCTGAAACTGTTCTTAACCTGAAGCACCACTTTAGCTAATGGGGCCTCCTGCTGCTGCCGCGCCGCCGGAGCACGATTTCTGTTCTCATCCTGAAGCAAAGTCCTTAACCTGAAGTACTATTTCTGGGTTAGCAGAGTCTGTAACCTGAAGCGTATGTAATCTGAAGCGTATGTAACCCGAGGGACCACTGTACTCTTCACCACCGTGATATATATATATTTTCAGTGTTGGCATAATCAGAAGTATAGAAACCTTTGCAAATAAAAATCCTTGACTGTTGGTCATGCTCACTGGCATCTGTGGAGCACCATATTGGGAAAGTCTGGCATAAATATGGAAGAATGATCACTTGCATGATGTTGGCTTTCCTCTTCCTCTCAACAGGACAGTCCATTCTCAAATGCTAGTGATGGCATGTGTCAAATGGGCTGGTCTCTCTAACTGAATAACAATGCTCTTGTGAGCAAAGAAGCTCCCTTTGTGTATCACAGTTCCTTTGCCCATAAGAATTCTTCAGAATAAGGGAAAACATGCATTTGAAACTCCACAGGGGGGGAAATCCAGTGAGTGGGAGCTGGAGCAAGGAAATGGTGAGAGGGAAAGGGTCATGTGCTCTCTCCCTCTGCTCCTTCACCAGAAGTGACTTCATTTTCTAAAATAGACAATGCGCTAGCTACTGCTATAATAATTTGTGCATAATGTATATTTTGAGCTTTGCAGTATCTTTGATAGCTGTATCAAAGTGTTTTAGACACTGGTGGTGGTTACACCAAGCACCTAGGTGGACACAGCCAAGACAAATTAACCCTATATGTTTCATTTATCTTGGTAATACATGCCAAGGTAACTATCAGCAGGTATTTCTCTCCAACCACCTTGCATTTACCAGAAGAAAAGATGGCACCAAAAAGGTCTCTGACCTGCCTTCCCTTGTCTTATCTTTATCCATATTTCCATATGCTCCTACCTACTCCACCATTTTCAAAACCCTCCACCTGGAATGGCACTTAGTGATGCAGGGTGGAAGGACAAGATTTCTGTGTAAGATTTGAGAGCCATAAAGAAAAAACAAAATACAACAGATCTTGAAAGGAATATTAGACTATTGTGTTATATAAAAATGGAAATTGTACTCTCTTTGAAGGATGCTTGATATAAATGGTGTAATTTTAAAATCTTCTGTATAAGCATATTTTGCAATGCTCTGGTCACTGAACATCTGGAATCTGTACTTGCAAATTAGCAATGGAAATTATTCCCAGACAAAGACTTGTTATTCTTTCCCTTCCATTTAAAATTATGTTTATGAATCATAGTTCAGCTTAGAATTTCCCAAATATAAATCACTTAAGAAAGAGACTAAATAAAAACATTGGAATGCCAAGGTGCGGATGGAAAGAAATATGGATAATTCTCATTGATAAATTTAGCCTTGATAGATCCTGGAAGTCAGTTTTCCTCTTGTAGTGGGAAGCATGAGTTGGTAGAGGTGGCGTTGCATAACCAAAAGCGATATGGGTCTACGACGTGTTTATTTAACTTGATGTGGTTGTGGTTGACTGGGCACTGATCACCAGTAAGCATCTTTCTTATTTTGTGCCACTCAGGTTGGATCTTTCACATAGTTTATGTGATAGTCTTAGACATGGGAGATCAGCTGGATAGCTCAGCTGGTTAAAGTGTGGTGCTGATAATGCCAAGGTTGCAGGTTCGATTCCCATAAGGGACAGCTGCATAGTCCTGTATTACAGGAGGTTGAACTAGATGAGCCTCAGGATCCCTTCCAACTCTATGATTCTATTCTATTCTAAAAGGAAGGAAGAAGTAATGATGGATGATAGGAAAGGAAAAGATGGTTGCTTTCCAGTTGCTTTCCAGTTTATTTATTACATTTTGATCCTGCCCTTTTGCCATGATGGGGCTCAGTGTGGTGTGTATCTAGGATTCCCAGTTGATCTTCCAACTAGGTACTGACCAATCTCAAACCTGATAGGCTACATCAAGAATGCTGCACCATATGCCTTCATACTATGCCCTGGGACCATGGAATGGCTGCAAGTGTTGGGACCTGGGAAATGTAATCAACTGGTTTGCAAAGACTGTTGCCTTAAGTATAACTGTATATCCGGGCAAGGAGGAAGTATTGATGCAAGACTGGAATATATTCTATCCTAGTTCTGTAACTCAGCCATAATAATGTTACTGCATTAACTCACAATATTACCATGTAAATAGTATTTCTTCATTCTCTTCCTTGGGCACTTCTTGTCTACATTTAAATTGTGGTCTGCATAGGCAACTTTCTCCTACTTTTATTAATTCATTCATTGAATCACCCTAAGGTCGCAGGGTGAGTTACACATCCAGTAACAAGCAATAAATGCAACACAGTAATTAAAAGTAAAATGTAAATCACTAAAACCTCTAAAACCAGCACCCAACCATCTCACTCACAGTATTTCTCATATCTGAAAGACAATATAAATTAAATGTGCCACTAATGCTCAAAGGCCTAGTAAAATAAGAATGTTTTCCGTTGTTGCCAGAACCTGCTTAAGGGAAGCTCATTCCAGAGCCAGGGTGCTGCTCTACAAACATTCATTGCTAACTAGTCGTGTTGTTTAATTATTTGTCTAACAGTACATAGCCACACTATGTAGTTCTGCCTTCCTGCATATTCTGTTTAGATGCCTGAGTGCAGTTAATCCACTGAGAGCTGTAAAAAAATGCTGCATTACAATTTTAGACATTGTTTTTGATAGTTTAAATAGTATGAGCAAGATGAAATCTAAAATATTTATTAATCAAATGTATACACTGCTTATCATCACAATGTGACCATAATGTGGTATCAGCTTGTTAAGGGATTTCTACTGATGTTGTATTTTTAAAGAGCCAGGGACACTTAATTCCACTTCCTCGATAAATTTAATAATTATGTTAGATACCAAGGTGTTGTTATGGAGACAGTTTTGAAGACTTTGAAGCACTTTCAGTGCAATAATTAGTGCTGGATGCTACACGACTATTATCAAGCTATCTCTATGGAAACCAACCAAAAGCTGACTTAAAGCTGCAACAAGACACCTGCCCCAATCTTTTCCCTTACATCCTGTTCAGATATTGAAACTGCACACAGGCTGAACTGTCAAATTCTGAGTAATTCTATATATGCATTCTGGCAGATACACAAGACATACTTAGGACCCAAAACTGAAACTGAATTAAGACAACAGAATGAGTGTTTGCACACATGTTTTTTTGAACAGGAAACCAAAGGAGGAGGAATTTGCCCCTCTCGCAGTTCATGTGCAGGTTCTCTGATGTGAAACATGCAATGCTCACAGAGGATACTGTGAGGATTTGAAAAACCCAAACATATCACGGATACAATATTAAGGATTTTTATTTTAAAGGATGTTTATGATCACCATGAAAATCATTATTGGATCGGTTGTCTTATTTAAGCCAATGGTCACGTTGCCACTAATTTTATCCATGATACAATCTGGAGCCTAATCTCTGAATAACAGTGTAACCAGAAATGAGGTTGTCACCATGGAAACCGTTACTGATGAACCAAAATGGTGTGTCTAGAAACTGATACAGTTCCGTACAGTAACACTGGATGACTATATGTCATTTTATTGTGGGATTCAACCCTTGACTTTTTCACCTCTTCAGATACAATAATCTGCAGGTGCATTCACAAAATCAAATTATTATCACACAAGAATAATACTGCAGCCCAGTTTGACCCGATAATCACAAATGCCATTTAGAATTACCACCCCACACATTAATTTGCTTTGGAGGAGAGGATGAATACCATCCTTTTGCCACTCTAATGATCCATTCATCTAATAAAGGTGGATATAAAGTATAGTTGGAGGAAAAAACTATTTACAGTAGGTTATAATGAGAATAGGGACACGGGTGGCGCTGTGGGTTAAACCACAGAGCCTAGGACTGGCCGATCAGAAGGTTGGCGGTTCGAATCCCGACGACGGGGTGAGCTCCCGTTGCTTGGTCCCTGCTCCTGCCAACCTAGCAGTTCGAAAGCACGTCAAAGTGCAAGTAGATAAATAGGTACCACTCCAGCGGGAAGGTAAACGGCGTTTCCGTGCACTGCTCTGGTTTGCCAGAAGCGGCTTAGTCATGCTGGCCACATGACCCGGAAGCTGTATGCCGGCTCCCTCGGCCAATAAATCGAGATGAGCACCGCAACCCCAGAGTCGTCCGCGACTGGACCTAATGATCAGGGGTCCCTTTACCTTTACTATAACGAGAGTGGGCTGGAGTTATATGAAAGAGTGACAGATGCTCATTCTTAAATACCTAACCAAAACAGAGCTGCACATATCTTACCTTTGCTAGGAAACTCCAGGCTGCATACTGTCCTGAGGATGTGTTGCTTTTCAGCTTCATTGTATATAAGGTCAGAAGGAATCCCAGAAGACCACTGCAGAAGGCGGTAGTAGACAGCATCATTAATGGAGAGAATTCTCATTTTCAACTAAGGATCCCTCCAGGCCGGAGGGTGTGTTCTGCAAGATGTCACTGACACAATAATAGTGCAATAGTGGTAGATTTATACAGTACTAGACCATCCCCACAAATCATTCCACTTTATGAGATGTTCTGCAATGCTTCTAGAATATTACTGCACTATTGTTGTCTGTAGGGGCACTTGCACTATAGCACAACAAACTGGGGGGACGGGACCCTGGGGAAGAACACTTTTGTTCTACTAGTGCAGGCTTCCTCAAACTCAGCCCTCCAGATGTTTTTGGCTTACAACTCCCATGATCCCTAGCTAGCAGGACCAGTGGTCAGGGATGATGGGAACTGTAGTCTCAAAACATCTGGAGGGCCAAGTTTGAGGAAGCCTGTACTAGTTCAAGATACCTACACTAGAGAATGAAGCTTCCCCATAGCCCCCTACAAGCATTGAAAATGTGTTCCAGAAGGTTGGGGGACCCTCCAAATAAGATTTGGGGGATGCGCAGAAGGGAGGAAACAGCAATGCCACTGCCCCACTGGAATTCCACTGGTGCTGCTTTGGATGAAAACAACCCCTGGAATACTTGTGGAATAAAAAGCAATAGGATTTCAGCAGGAAACTATGGAGCATGCACTGGCTGAAAACAAAGCAGAAAGCCCACTCTGAAATGTCTGCAGCCACTAACAGTATTGAAAGTGGGATCAAATATAACCACCACGATAACCATCATGAGCACAAATAACCAGGAACGCACCATAGAAATGACATGTGGAGAAGCCCTTACATCCTTCAAAAGTAACAGCATTACAGAGATGAACACTGAAAACTGCAGTGTTTATTGGACAGGGCAAAAGGCAGTGGCTTGGCTCCTCAGTTTGTTTTCTCTGAACAGGAAGCTTTAGATCTAGCACAGAATCTCACTGGAGAAGGGAGAAGGAGGTAATTTTCACCAGTTCCCCCTTCCTCCTACAGCTGCTGCAACACTGTTCTACAGTGTCCACCATCTTTCTGGAAATACTTTTAGGGATGAACAAACTCCTCTTCCATGGGTGACAGGATCCCAGGAACAGAAATCTGATCCTAGGATGTTCCCACCAGCAGCATCCAAGCTCAGGATCCAAGCCAGTGTTCTGTAATGACTGCAGCATTCTGTCTGGTTATAGGAAACCCAGATTCAAATATCTACTCAGCCTTCAAGCTTGAAGCCAAGCTGAGCTTATTGGTGAAAGGGCAGGATACAAATATTCTATTATATCATTTAATTCATTATATTCATGTATTTTATTGTTATTTCAGCAACTAAACTCATGGAAATGTTGCTGTAAAATTTATCGCCATGTCCAATAGAGCAAAGCTTTTGGGTTTTTTTTCAAATCAAGCAATGGCACTTAATCACTAAGCAGATATCCCCAGGATTGTAAATCGCCTTACAGTACAATCCTGGGCATGACTAATTAGTGTGCAGAAAGACTGGCCTAACTAGGGGTTTTGGACACACTTGAACCTAAAAATAACTAGGCAGCCACTCAGCAGTATGAGAGGCCGATCTCACAAATAAATAAATAAATAAATAAATAAATGGAACTTTGGGCAACATGTACTACTACATGCTTAGGAGATGAACAACAAAGAATTCAATTCTTCCTGGGTAGCAAGCAGTTTCCACTTGAATTAATGGGATTTTTGTTAAACTTTCCCCTTTTAACCAACTTCCAAAGCCCTCCAAATAACAAGATGTACAGGAAAATAAATCCACATGCTAATAATGGAGTATTATGGTCTAATTCTTTGTAATCACTGAAAACAATGTGATTTATGAAGACTAATCCAATGTTGAGCCTTCAAGAGACGCCTTCAGTGAATACTTTGCCATAGGATGCCGAGCAATTTTGACATCCCAAAAGTGCTGTGGAAAAATATCGCACAACATGTGCTTTGAGAAGCCCAGCTCACGGAGGGGGTGGGAAGATGTGGAGAAGAATTAGAGTGCTGAGTTCTTGATCCTTCTCAGCATTTCGGTGGTTTGTGCCAGAAAAAATATTGTCCTTTTCAGGTTTTACATGCCACTAACTTTGACAAACTCATTCTGGTAAAGGAATATTACCTGGCAAAGCAACTGCTGTGAAACCTGTAGAAGTAAAGGAATGGAAATTCCAAGGCACTAAAGAGATCACCTGTGGAATAAAATAATTGATTCAATGGGAAAACTAGCAAAAAAACACTCAGTTAAATCTCTATACAGAAACGCCATTTAACAGGTATCCTTTGGTTTAAACATGTTTTTATAGCTTCTGGACTCCTTAATTTGCCATTACTCTTATAAGGCCCCTTTCTCACCATTTGGAGCTGCACCTGATTCTTATTAGCAGTTCAAAGAGAGGTTGCAGGAAAAGGAAGTGGTGTGTTTTTAGTGAACACATTTCCACTTGCAAAAAGATCTATGTTGGATACTGCATTTTCCAATGGAAAAGCATAAGCTCTGTTCACTGTGTTCACTGTTCGTGGTCATGAGGAATTAATTTGTTTCCACTACTGGCTTAGAAGAATATGAGAGAACATAGCTGGAAACTGGCCTTGGAAGGACTGATCCAATATTGCTGTAAACCTGGAACACTCCATGTGGTGGCTCAACATGCAAATTTATAAATGAGAGTTAATTGCAAAGGCACCCCAACTCTCCAGGCCCCCCCCCCAATATTTCAATCTACAAATCCGCATGGTGCTCTGAACTTTCTGCTGTTTAGAGAAGGTGCAGCACATAACTAACATTCTAAATAGACAGCACCAGAACTTCAGTTTCAGCATTACAGTTTGGACCAGGTTATATCCCATTAAAAACCAGTAACAGAAATAAATGTTTGTGCTTCCGCTGTACAAAATAAAATATCAGGTAGTATGACCAAGTTTCTAAGATTGATTCCAGCTTCTAAAACTCCCAGTTAAATCACACCTCAATCTACTGGTATGCGCTACATCAGGCATAGGCAAACTCGGCCCTCCAGATGTTTTGGGACTACAAGTCATTCCTAGCTAACAGGACCAGTGGTCAGGGATGATGGGAGTTGTAGTCTCAAAACATCTGGAGGGCTGAGTTTGACTATGCCTGATCTACATGCAATTGTTATGATAGGCAAACAGAACTCCCTTTCTAGAAAAGATTTCCCAATAATTTCAGTGCAAGGAGACACACCCCACTGATGTAGTTTTGTATGTACAGATCAGCTAACTCCATAAAAAAGGAACAGATACCTACCTAAATGCAAGTGACCCACCTGTGCACCTGAACGCACACAGACCTACAGATCGGGGGGGGGGGGGAGGATGTATCTAACAGATTATATTCCTAAACAGCATATGTAAGAAAATGAAACCATACCCATATAATTAAAAAACCCAGTTATAATTTTCAGTTCTTTTACCTGCTGGGTGGGATGCAAAAGCCAACATCACCACACTGAAAATAAAAGAGAGTACAGTATTAATTCCCCAGACTGAACAATGATGTCACAGATTATGCCATCTACCAAATTTGTAATTTAAATAATGTAGACGCTTCTGCAATTTGAGCTAAAGGGCAATAGAAAGTGTGTAGATGTGAGGTTTTGTCCTCTGCCATCACACATCAGACAGTATCCCTTTAGGAAACATTACAATAACCAGAAATGTTTTCTGGATATCTCTATAGGATTATTTTTGTGTCTATATAGGAATGTGTGATAAGGTCGATGCAAGGTTCTTAAACACTGCTGCAAGAGATTTATGCTTTTCCCCTCTGGCAAAATTCCATTTAGATTCCTCAGAATGCAGTGATTGCTCTGAGGCATGAAATTATACCTTACACTGCTCAGAGTGTGTCACACTTCTATAATGAGCTATTAATGCATGCAAAACCAGCTTTGGAGCCCCATAACCTCACGATCTTGCTAATAAAAAATTTCAGTTGCCTTTCACTGCTATGAATGATTAAAGTGAATATGATTGACCCCATTAATGCCCCCCCAGCTTGGGTGTCTATGGAGTTTGGAGCAGATTGAGTACTATACTTTTTTTAAAAAAAACAAAACCCCCCTCAATTTCTGCCACAAGAAAAGCTGTGCTCTGCAATAAATTATGCAAATCATTTTTTCATACTTAATTGTGGTTATGCTACTAAAAGAAAGTGGCAGTCATGACTCTGGAAATCTGATATCAGCTACTCTTTTTCCTGAGATTTCAAGAGAAACTTGCCTCCTCACTTTCAAGCCCTCTCTGCCTCCATAAGGTGACACATCCCTTCCCTTCCCCTCCTATTATTTATTATTATTATTATTATTATTATTATTATTATTATTATTATATTTATTAAATTTGTATACCACCTTATACCTGTAGATCTCAGGGCAATTCACAACATAAAATTACAATATAAAAAACACTGAGTTAAGGGAGCTGGGGTGCAGGTGGAGGGGTGTGCTTGTGAAGAATGGCAGGGGAGGGAAGATAAAGTCTGGAAGCACCTTGGAATTTAAGATGCCTCTCTTTAAACAGTGGGGGTGCATGCACTGCTTGCCTACACTTATGTTCTACTTGTAGAATTGTAAATAAAGCAAATATTATGGAAACCGGCCCCCCCCCAAATGGCACAAGCCTTCACTACTCTCTCTTCCAAAGGAAATCAAACCCAGATAGGATTGACCTGAAGCAAAAAACAAACAGAGAAAGAAAGAATGCAAGTTTTACCTGAATGCATAGTTTATATATTGTTGCTGAGAATCACTAAAAGAAGAAAATAATTTTATCTGTTATTTGGGGGGTGAGGTCTAAACGCAGTGATTCCCACCAAATATTACACCTAAGAATCTCTAAAAACCAATTATATGATGTTAATGTTATATTATTACTCATGACATGTTTTCTTTATATTGATTTGGGCAAAACTACCCATGTTTCAGATTTCCGCTTGCCTGACTATTGTTGGCAAACCCAAGACTTTAGCACAGGAGTTCAGTCACAGCTCAGTAGCACACAAACGACCTCTCTGCACTCCTGGTTGAGTGCCAGAGAAGAAGTGCCCTGGGGAAGGTGGAGAGCTATATTTATCCAGGGGACACAACCCCACTCAACGTGAGCCGCCAGTCATAGAGAGTGCACAGGCCAGCCTGACCCTTGCAGGCCATGAGAACAGGTAAGAACCAGCCTGGGCACAGCTTCCCAGAATTTCTGCCCTGCAGCTGAAAAGAAATTGCCGGGACAGTGTTTTGACTCCTGAAAACGGCATTGCCAAGTTTCCAGGTATAACGCTCCTGTCCAAAACATAAATGAAAGGCGACATTATTTTCCGCATGTTCGGAAGTTAGCAGGGTAGCTGGTCTACTGTAGGAGAGGGGAACCTGTGCCTCAAATGTTACTGGACTCCAAAAGCCTCAGCCAGCAAGGCCACTGGGTCAATGATGATGGGAGCTGGAATCAGGCAACATCTAGAGGGTTCTGGTCTATAGAGGAGTGGGGAATATATACTGTGAGTAAGACTCCCCCCGCCCCTCCTAGCACTAGCGCGCGCGCGCACACACACACACACACACACACACACACACACACTACAGATCTGCTCTGGGGGATTAGGAGAACTAACTAGCTAACATTATTTTAAATTTACTCCCAACCATTTCATGGCTGCCTGGCTCTTTGATAAGCACGAAGTCACAGAGTTTTGAACTGCAGCTAACATTAAAGGAGTCAAATCAAATGGCAGGACCATCACACCCTCTCGACAGAAACGCTCTCAGAGAACTACATTACTAGGCCGTGTGACCCAGTTGCAAAGCCATTATATCCTTGACAGAATTTATATGCTTCTAAATTAGGAGAAAAGAGGGAAGATGAGCATTAAAGCTGCGGTGAAGAAGTTGCTCTTAAATGGTTGATTGATCGTATGTAAACCTCGCGATCTTGCCAAGACCCACTCTCAAAGCAGCACACAAGCAAAATCCCCCACACTGTAAGTAACTCTTGTATGTGTGAGATACAGAGGGGAGTGATGTTTACAGCTCACTATTCCAGACTCATGACCATATACAGGTGAAATAAATGAACTTTTCCACGATATTCTAATTCTCCGAGTTTCACCTGTATTTCAGGTAGCTCTTGCCATAGTCTACTTGGTGAATTTATTCATTTGGGGTGCTTTAAACTAAGGGGGGGGACCTAAAGTGGTTTTTTTTTTAAGTGTCTCTCCCCCCCTTCTTTCTAATCACACTTTCATCCAGGGATGTCGAAAAACTTACAAAAAAACCATTCAGTCAAAAATCTAACAATAACATGCATCAAAATCATCCCCCTATTAGTTATACATAACAGTATATACTTTTGTCCCTGCTCATTTATCCTAATTTTTTTCCCTCCCTCCCTCCCCTTTATCCCCTCCCCCCAAAACTTGTTCTCTCTTCAAATCTTTAACCATGTGCACAGATTATTCATTCTAATTTGGATGCTTGGGTTGGCTCCCCCCCCCATGCTATCCAATTCTTTTAAAGTGTCTCCATCAGGATTCTACTGACCACAGAGATATGGAGACATCAGTTTATGACTGACTATACAGCTGTGCCTCAGTCCCTTTGTTCTTACAGTCATGACAACAATCTGTAATTAAAATAATAATAATTATTTATTATTTATACCCCACCCGTCTGACTGGGTTGCCCCAGCCACTCTGGGCAGCTTCCAGCATATATATAAACAAAGTAAAACATTAAACCTTAAAACCATTACACCTCTTTCTCCTGATCTTTTTTTATTATTCTGTAATAGTGGTTCTTCTGTTTTACATAACCCTCTTTAAAAACAAGGGGGAAATCACCTTAGAGAATTAGGTCTCCATGAATTATAATATACTTTGTAAGCCCCTGTGAATAAAAGGACACAAAACACGTAAAAGTCATCATTCTGGCAAGTAAGGGCTTGTCCACACTTGAGCATTATTTAGCTGTTTTTCTATCCCCACCACCATTCAGATTAGAAGGAGTAGTCTACACCTACAAGTATTTGAATCTCTATATGAGAAGCAACTTCACTATTTCCTATTCATACCAGTAGACATTCCCTTTTATGCTTCCCCCCTCCTTCTGATTTGTTGATTCTGTAATGCTGATTAAGTACCAACATGGCATGTATGCAGATACTGGTGCATGCAGCCTGTTTTTAAAATAATTTCCCCCACCCAGGAAGTACACCAAAAGCATGTGGTCAGGCAACTGTAAATTTGCTTGTGCAGTTTTTTGGTTTTCTGCAAATCAGAGAGAGAGAGAGAGACTGTTCTGCCATCAGAAATAGTTACAAGCAGGGCTGAAAAAGAACTGAAAGCAATTGATGTGATTCTCAGCACACATTTTTCAGAAGGCTGGGCAAAATATCGGGTATTGAAACGTTTGATGCGGTTTGCTTGTGCAGTTTTCTGGATTTGTGCAAATCTGAAGGATCAAGGGGGAGGGAAATATTCAGGTGCACACCAGAAATAGTTATAAACACTGCTGGAAAAGAAATCAAATCACAGATGAGGTAGTGGGCATGGAAAGGGGAGTAGCAGAAAGTGACAATTGATCCACCCACCACAAAACACCCCCCAAAATTATCTGGAGTCTGATTTCCCTCAACACTGGATTATCTCTATATAGGATAAAGCTGAATTTGTAGGAGGAAAGCATTGAGAATGGTGTTGTTTGAGGGTAACGGCATATGGACTGTAGAACTGCAAACACTTTGGAGCGGACAAGCCCCAAGTCATAATGTGGACAGCTAGGGACCAATTTGAATTTGGTATCAATGTCATTTTGTTTTTGTTAAAATCTATTTGCGGTTAGAAAAATCTAAACTTTTATGCAGCATTTAAGCTACTTTGGCTAATGCCCAGTTTTGTAGTTATGCATTTATTTCCAACCAGTATAGATCAAAATCTCATTTCCTTTATTTGTTCTCACTCTTCAGTGCTCTGTTCTCTCCAAATCATTTCAGAGCTTTGATCTGCCTATATTTGTTTTCCCTTCCATTTTCATGGTGTCATACAATTCAATGCAAAGTTGGATTCATTCATATACCTTTGGAAGGAACACACAATAAGCTTCTGTTCCAAGTGGAAGCAATACAAACAAACTCCGCTTATGCAATTTGTTGGCTATTGTACTGAGGGACAAAAGCCAGAAAACTGGGAGCCTCAGCCGAAACGCTACTAAAATGAAAAGGAGCAGCACTTATGCATTACAGCTTAATTTTCACAAATTTATTAAAGACTTACCAATGCATAGCAAATGGATGAGGGCCCAAAAATAGCCATCTGTGTCAAACTGTAAAATACAACATCAAAGCAAACAGAGATAAACACCTCCTTCATAAATGGTTCCAAGATGCAGTTGCTGGAGGAGAAATGTTCTAGGAAAAACAATATATTAAAAAGAGCTGCCACTTTGTATCAATTTCAGTTTAATTTATTAGTCATTTGATATCATGTCTTCTTTTCATGTAGCAGCAACCAAAACAATAAGACATGTGTTTGGGTATCTATATCGAAAACAGACTTCATTGTGTAACACAGGCGTAGTCAACCTTTTTATACCTACCGCCCACTAATGCATTTTTCTTGATGGTAAAATTTCCTTACCACCTACCAGTGCTGCAGTAACATGTGGCGTAGAACCCCTACCGCCCCCCTGAAATCCTGAAACACCCACTAGTGGGTGGTAGGGACCAGGTTGACAACCCCTGGTGTAGCACAAGGTATTATCTGCTTTGCATGGGAGGAACTGGAGGATGCGGGTGGCGCTGTGGTCTAAACAACTGAGCCTAGGGCTTGCTGATCTGAAGGTCGGCGGTTTGAATCCCCGCGACGGGGTGAGCTCCCGTTGTTTGGTCCTTGCTCCTGCCAACCTAGCAGTTTGAAGGCATGTCAAAGTGCAAGTAGATAAATAGGTGGGAAGGTAAACGGTGTTTTCGTGCGCTGCTCTGGTTCGCCAGAAGCGGCTTAGTCATGCTGGCCACATGACCCGGAAGCTGTACGCCGGCTCCCTTGGCCAATAAAGTGAGATGAGCGCCGCAACCCCAGAGTCGCCCATGACTGGACCTAATGGTCAGGGGTATCTTTACCTTTACTTTTATGGGAGGGTCTGAGGGCTAGCTCCACCACTGCCACCAAGATGTGCTGTGTCCATTTCTGCAAATCTGACTGGCATGTAAAGAAGCTTGATTCATGCACAACAGTGTATGCGCAGAGCAGCAGCCCGCATAATGGGACTGAGCCACCCTCCCAACATCAACATTGCTGCAGCATACTGGAGGGACCTGCGGTAGGGCAAGGTGCTGGTGAGGTCAGGACTATGCAGTTCTGCTGCCACCCTGCCCCATGCCAGCTCCTTCCAAGTAAGCTGCAGTGGTGCTGGTGCTGGGAGGGCGGATGTGGCTCTGCCTCACTGCACGGATCACATCCAGCATAGAGCTTCACCACAACAAAGTGGGGACATAGACTCTGGTCTCCCTTCATGTGGAGGAGTGCTACATGAGTATTGGTGTGCATGCAGATTGTTTGTACCAGGTATGAACATGAAGATGGGGTGAAGGCTGGTCACACCAAGTGGTGGCGGTGGAGGGCTTGCAACTCCACAACCCCCACCCTTCCACATGTTCTCTCAAAGTGTAGGGCATGTGTGAGCCCCCCATAGACAGGCCTAACCTTGGGGAGAGAGGGATCTGGGTGGTGGTTTCTCATTGTCACTCACTACTGGCATTTTTCTTCAGTGCTAAGGTTTGCCTGCTATTGCTGCAATCTTGTTTTAATCACTTTACAAGTTTTTAGCCTGCCTTTCCATTAATGTTTGAGGCAGCTTTTAACAGAGGGCAACCTCAAGAAAAATACAAATTATAAGAGGGACAAAAAAGGAGGTAAAACACAATTCAAAGCTAATTAACCAGGAAGGTTAAAAACTTAAGAGAATGGCAGGTTGGATGGATGCCTGTCTGAAAAAGGAAGGTGTTTTAAAAGTGATGGAAGAGGGGGGCGAGAGGCGCCTCCCTAGGGAGAGAGTTTGAAAACCAACCGCGGGCACAGAGAAGGCTCCCTTCTGCGTCCCACCCAGACCTAATTCAGATATTGGTGGGTTGCAAAGGAGAGGGGTGGGCAGGCAGGCTCACAGAGAAGACAGCCCCACTATTCACTCTCTCTTCAAAGCTGAAAAACAGCTCTGAGTAAACATGGACATGGCTGTATGTTTTTAAAAACAAGTGCAATAATGCATGTAGGGAGAGAAAAAGAGACTTCCAGAGGCACTAAGAAACAATTTACTGAAATGTGCCTGATGTGTTTCCAGTGCAAAAAAAAACTTATTTGGCTGACTAAAATATGATCCATATATACATAATGATTCAGAAACAAAGACACGAAGATTTCGCTTGAAAATATAGCTTTAAGCCCTTGTTTCTATGCAGATGCCCCGAAGGTTTTTACACCTGAAAAGCATTAGACTCCTTTCAGCAAATTGTTTCCTAGGGCTTCCTATGGCAGACCCGCCTCTGTGAAAGGTTTTGTTGCTTGGCCTGTGCCCTCCTGTCTTTTCCTCTCAATAGCCAATCACAATCAAGAGGGAATGTTCACTTCCTGAATCCGATAGCAAGACAAATGCAAGGAGACAGCCATTTCACAGTAATCTTAGGATTGGTTTTTTTAAACCAACCTACCTACCTGTGGATCACAGAAAGGAAGGCATCCTGCTGCTACCAGAAGAGTCAGCACTCTGCATGGAAGAAACAGTATGCCACATGACTGACATTCATTGCAATGCATTCTCAATTATATATTTCTATTTCATTAAATATATCTATCTGTCTGTCTATCTCATCCTGTATCTATCTCATCCTGCCTCCAAATAGCTCAAGGAAGTACATGTAGTTCTATGTCTCGTTTATCCTCACTACTACCCTGTACGTTAGGGTTAAGCTGTGAAATATTGACCAGTCCATGGTTATCCAGTGAGCTTCAGGGCTGAATGGAGATTTGATCGCATGCTCAATTCAAACATGGTGACCCAGGGATAGCACACATGGTACTTTTCAGATGATGATGGACTCCAAATCTCATCAGCACAAGGCAGCATGGCCAACAGTCACTGATAATGGAAGGTGGAGTCCAACATCATATTGTCTGCCGCTGCTGTAACCAAAGCCCTGCCCTGGCTTTATTCATAATTTTCAGTTTTGTTATTATTCCTACTACTACTATATTTGCCACATGACAGGCAACAAGCATGATCAAATGGAAGAGAATAATATAGACACTGAAATTGCCCCTCGGGAGGAAGGGAAAAAACGCTAAGACACACATTGTGTAGTAGCCCCTTCTTACAACATCCCCTTCTGCTTTTGTCATGACCCCATCTGCCCTATTCTTGCTTTACAGACCCAGCTTGAATTCAAACCGCAGCTGCAAATCCTTTTGCCAAAAGCAGGGCTTGCAGTTGGAGCCGAATGTAAACAGCCCAAATGCAAGCTCCACTGCAGCTGTCGTGGATGCACTTTAGTTATCCCACACCTGGTGTCACATGATGTCAAGTACCGGTACAGTAACATCCATCACAGAACGATAAAATTGGCCATGTGGGCCACGCTAGAAAAAGTTAGTCCTTTCTCTCACACCATTTCTCCAATGCAAATCACCTCTCTGAAGCTGCTATAATCTGCGGGGGGGGGGGGGATACTGGCTTAATACAAAAACATCTGAATTCCAATAAGTTTTCTTAAGTTATTAACCTGAGTTACTTTTAAACACAAAGTTAAAATATGTTTATTATTTTTGAGATATTTTACTCAATCATTCTTATATAATATCTTCTCATAGTTCTGTTTGCCTGTGAACAATCTTCTTTTGTCAAGGTCTTTTGGAAATTGTGTATTTAAGCATTTTGAAAAAATATGTACACAAACACAATTATTTCATCCCCTCTTATCCAAATCTCAAATACAGATACATATTTCCAAGCACTTATTATAATCCTCTAAAACAATACTTTACTGTATTTAAAAAGGAATCTAATTTAATAATGATACACCCAACGCAAATTGGTCCTAGGCCTAAATCCAATGAATGATTAGGGATGCCCAAACCCACTGATTTTAATGGACTTAAGGAGGCTTAAGTTGGCTTCAGAAAGACAACTCCAAGAGGTGAGTCAAGAAAAAGAACCATGGAATTATGATTCACCTGGAGAAGTTATGGTGGGACTCTGTGTGTCAACCTACTGAGTAATATAATTTCTAGGCAGTTTCATCTTTATGTTCAAAGCTTTTCTGTATTTAAGCATTAAAAGCTTGTCCTTTTTGAAGTTTATGATGACTAGAAAACCAACTTTGCAATCTGTGAGAAATCTAGGCCCTCTGTGAAATTCTCTATAGACTTATACGTTGAGAAACTCACCTACAGATTTTTAGTCTAGAGGTCTGCTGTTAAGAAAGGAAATAAAATGCAATCAAAACACTGGAAAGAAAATGTGTTATTATACATGCACCTAGACTTCTGACAGTTTTCCAAATGCAAGTTCTATTATTGTGGTACCTGTAGAAGAAAAAATGAACTCAACTTGAAATAGCTCCTAAATAAATTAGCTTCTAAAATTGCACGCATACCCCAGCCAAAAGCAAAGTTTGCAACTTTTTTTTGGGGGGGGGGTGTCCTCCTGGACTTAACGCTATCTGAAGAAAGACAGCTATCTGCAATTATTAGGATTGCCTTTTTACTAGGTGCAACCCTATCTGGATGTAGCAGATATTTGCCTGGTTACCTCTAGACTGGATTAGTGTAATGCAATCTATGTCTGTTTACCTTTAAAGAGGATTGAAAAGCTACAGCTGTTGCAAAATGCTAATTCTACACCACAGCTAATTCTGGCAGGGCCTTTTCAGTGGTGGCCTCATCTTTTAAACAAACAAACAAACAAACACCTCTCTCCATGAAATGCGCCTTCCCTCCCTGTTGTTGATCAGGTAGGATCTACATTATACTTCAAACAGCTTTTAACTGAGGGCTCAATTAGACCAAATGTTCCTCACCACAGCCTTAGTGAAAAGAGTTCCCACTTATATAAGCTGGGGCATCTGATTTTCACCAATTCTTCCTACCTGCTTAAGTTCCTCCCTTCGAAAGCTGCTCCTGGTGGTTGGGAACTCTGGAACAGAATACTATAGGGCTGCAGTTGAAAAATATTGGGTGTCCCAATTTGTGGAAGTGGTTTTTCACTAAGGCAAAACTACCAAGGATACAACTCTTGGACTGCATCAAAATCAGTATTTTTCCCCTCTCCAATTCAATGATCTGAGCTATTTAAGGATCATCAGAGTGACACCGTCATTCGGCTCCCTTTTTGCTCTATTACAGACTTCAGAATACATATTCTTCCCACAGAATTCAATAATTTTCATTTCCAAAAGGAAAACGTTTGAAGTATTTCCCTTATTAAAAATAAAATTAAATTAGTAACTGGATTATTTAGCAGAGTTGGGAAAACATGGTAACACTAATTTCACTATTTCCAAAGCCCTGGCACAGGCTGTTAACAACACAGGAAATTCATTTTGTCATACCTCTTTCTGCACAAATGCCTCGATTCCACAAGCTATAACGTCTGCAGCATTGTGTAAGGTAAGAAAGATAGGAATTGGCTGTCAAGGGAGAAAATGTGACCAATAAGATTAGCACTGCAGATTCTGAAAAGAACCTCTTCTGCACTTATTCATGTTTCTCTTGGGTGGTCCTAAAAACCAGATATTTCTAGAGATACAGTTTCCCTTATAAACAGCTGTAGGAGCTTGCAGGTATGAAATGAGGTGGTGCACAAAGCATTAAATTTCTCCCATGAGCATAGCGCTAAGAACTACAGGTAGCACCATGAGGAAAAATAGTGCAGTCTCCAAGAATGGACAGAATGTTCAGCCTAGTTTCAGTCTGTGTCAGTTTCATACATGTTCAAAACTCTGATCTATTTCTTTATTAACCCACTGTGATTTTTTTTTTTTTTTAAATCATGCAAAAATGTGCATTCAAATACCAGGGCTTTTTTTTCTAAAAATATATTTAGGGATACTCTCATTTTTACTCAAGAAAACCACCATTTTATAGTTCAAATCATGGGAAACAAATATAGTACATGGACAAAAGTACAAAGATTCACAAAACGTTTAGGGCAGGGGTAGGCAACCTAAGGCCCGTGGGCCGGATGTGGCCCAATCGCCATCTCAATCCGGCCCGCGGATGGTCCGGGAATCAGCGTGTTTTTACATGAGTAGAATGTGTGTTTTTATTTAAAATGCATCTCTGGGTTATTTGTGGAGCATAGGAATGAAACTCATTCCATCACTCCAAAAACGAACCACGTCCAAACTGGAAACTATATGGAAAACTTGGAATATGGACTATCTAGTCAAACTAATTTGTCTTCTAAGACACGCATGCAAGGATACTATAAATTATTTCTGTATAAAACGGAATTTGTAAATTATTGTAACAGCTTTATTTGATAGGATACTTATTTTAGGTGTTTGCCACTGATCTTATTTTATTTTGTATAAACAATTTATCTGTTATTCTTGTACTTTTTCACTAGAAATGCTTTTTGTAGAAACAAACATGTAGGCCATAACAAATTATTTGGACCTAAGACACAGCCACTTAACAAAGTACATTCTAAATACTTGGGAATTTGCAATAAATGGTATTCAGTGAACAGCCAAACATGGCACACAACAAGTCAGTTGTTGACTGGTCTTCAGTAGGATCAAAAAACAAAGAACAATTCATGCCACCCATGCTCAATAATTTGCCAATCATATTGTTAATCTCTTTAAAAAACATCACATCACGTTTTGCCATGTACATTTTGTTATGTGGTCAGTGTTGATTATATTTTATCAGTACAGATATATTTTAAAAAGAAAGAACAGTTCCTAGTTCCACTGCTGGCCTTGTTACCTACCATTTATGCTGCCCCTCACTGCTGCTGAGGCAGAAAGTTAAATTGAGCCCATCATCTAACACAGGCCACTTGAACTGGAGCACAATAATAGGAAATACTAGAAGCAATGTCTAAGAAAGCTGACACCAGAATTTACATTTTTCCTTTTCTGCAGCCAAGTTTTAACACACACATGTATATACAGACACACTCACACACCCCTTCCCCTCCCATACGCTATTGGCTCTTTCTAGAGCCAAGAGAAATGTGTTTTGCTGCCAACAGTGGCTCCAGATTGCCCAGCTCAGCTAACCTTCGCCAGATGTCTATTGTCTTTGATGATATTTTTTAGGAGCTTTAGTCTTTATAAAAGGAAGCTCAGTATGTTGGTCCAGCCAGCATAAGCAAATTGCCATCTCCTCAATTCCACTATCTCACGAACACATCTCAGCCAATTGTTGTTCCAGAAATTCTCATTTCAATTTGAAATGTAAATTCTTAGATGAAATAGGCAGGCACATGCCCTCACAGCTAAGTAAGACCCATTTCTACAGCCACTGTGTAGATTGCATTTCAAGTGCAGAAATAAACCCCATTTCAAGTGTTTTCACAATCCCATTTTAACACTGCCATTTTAAAGATGAGGAAGTGAGACTGAGTTTGGGGAAGAGCAAAAATCTGAAGCCGGGTCTCCCTACTACTTGTCCGCGCTGGCTCTCATCCAGTGCAGAATTACTCACCAAACAAAGGGACAATGCAAACATCATAATTAAAACCAGCTGGACTGATTTGGAAATGAAGCTATATGTAGTTATATGATGCACCACAGTAGTGGCAATAGACATTTGAGCACTAATTTAGGAATCATGTTAACAACAATGAAAAGGCATTTTATGCTCCTATCTATTTCATGTGTCAAAATGGAGCATCTTTCATATTCATGTACAATGAGCTGAGGTCTCATCATAACAGTAAATTCTGAAGAGGCGGGAGTAACAGGAAAAAAAGGGGGGGAGATTATGGGATGTAAGTCAACAGAGAAAGGAAGAGTCACATAGACTAAACTTCCCCAGTTGCCTTATCAGAGGATGTAAGTGCTTCATGTGCTAATTCCCAGGGCAAAAGCAAAGAGAGGAAGGGAATGAACTCTGGCTCCTGTTAAAGGTGACTTGTTTTGTGCTGAGAATTCTTAGCTATTTTGCTGTTGGAGCTCATTATACCCATTTGTCATCTCTATATTGACTGACCAGGCAGCTTATTTTATATATATATATTATATATATATATATATATATATATATATATATATAAAATTATCACCATTATCAGTTTTGCATTATATACAGCTGGAGATATACATTTCAGTCTTGTTGATACTGTTCATGCATCATATTTGCAAAAGTGGTCTTTATTGTCACCACTGCACATATAGGGACAATATAACACACAAAGCTGAAAATTAGGGAATTGTTTGCAAAGCAACATCCAGTCAGCACAAGGATTTCTACTTGTGCAACGGGATTTGCCCCTTCTCCTCCCCTACTTTCCCTAATCTTGCTCCAGAGGATGCTTACAGCTTCCAAACAGCAATTAGTGTTTTCACAAATGACTTTAATTAGTTAGGTCAATGACTTTAACCTTAGTATGCTATCTGGAGTAAAACATTAACACCAACAAATGAAAAAGCATGTTAGTTTCCATTTGCCTGTATCTTACCAGTCTAGACAGTGCCCTGGAACCTGCATAAATAATGCCCACAAAGAGTGCAGAAGCTGGAAGCCATGACAGCACTTCAGATCTGTAAAAACAAATGGCGCATACAGTTACGACTATGCCAGATTCTGTATACAAACGATATCAGAAGACATCTATCCAAAACATTTCCCCCAACTAAACAAAGGGAAATGAACCTGGATTAGGTGAAATTAAGAGCCATGAAGGAAGGTGGAAGCTCTGCAAGATACATCTCTTGGCATTGTATCTGACCATTCCCGTGCTGCAAAGATGCACATCTGTGGTGATTTTCTACCTGCTTGGCTTGAGTGTATCCAAGTATTCTTATTGGGTTAGCTCTTCTGAGTAGCTGCAATGACGACATGCCTCTCCAGTGTAATCTCCTGATTCTCTTTTTAAGTATGTTGTTCTGCTCAAGCAATGAGTTAGTTGAATTCAATCCAACTTCTGCTCATACAACATAAATTCTCTTTCCTCACACCGGGCCCAAATCTTATCTGGATCAAACTGACAACTACTATAATTATTTTGTTGGTAACTTCAAATCAGATGCCTCCTTAAAACAAGCAATGTCATTTGAACTGAAGTAGCAGTGGAAAAATAAAGCCCTAAAGCTTGAGAATGAGGTCTCCATGTGGAAAACAGGGATCACTGACCACAATGTGAAGTCTCAGGAATCCCTGAAATGTTTGCATGGCCAATGTGACCATCTAAAATGCAATGGAAAAGGCCATTAGAACCGTTCCCACGATGGAACTTCAGAACTCAATCCTGCCAAAAGGGATTCTTTTTCAGGGCTGGAAAAGAATGTCTAGCACTACGGGAAATGCTTCAACAGCAGTCATCACTCTAACATGCCAAGCCATACAACAGTCAGGCTCAGAATCTGCTATAATGACTTTGCAGAGAGCACCGTGTTGTGCATTCCTTGACAAGTACGAAAGAAATATGCAGTATTCCATGAATCGGAATGGTAACTTGGTGATCACAAGACATGCCTACGCTACAAATCTAGATTGATCATCATGGCATCTACCCAAAGAGCATTGCAGATAACTGTTCTGTGAAGGAGTTAAAAGATCTCAATCAGAGAAATTTCAGCATACACTCAAAATCTAAATACCCCTCTCATCCTTAGGCTTCTTTTGTTTGTGGAATAATAGGCAAGTTAAGGTTGTTTTGTGGATGCACTCATCACCCAAGGCACAGTCTGTTCATTCTAGACACAAAATGCAGAGGTTCTTGGAGAATTATGTGTACACAAACAGCCTACTTTCAGATCTAGATTTCTAAAGGGGTTAGAAGCAGCTCCTATATCCTTCCATCTGCAAACAGAGACACAAGTACAATATGAGTCACCCCACCCACTTTGAAATCTGTTGGGGTTGATGATACTCAGTATTTCTGCAAATGAGACTGAAGGGAACTTTAGGCACCAAGGAAGCCAGCAGCCAAAATCTCATTTATTCTGTGGCTCATTGAACAGAGTGAGGAATTCATGACTTGCACACAGCCTGAGTCTTCCATCATTGTTGCTGATCAAAATCTTAAGACACCCCAGTGCTGATATTTCTACAAGTTAGTAATCTTCCATGTTGTAGGGAATATGTATTAAAAGATCAAACACAAAGATCAAATACATAGCCAGAGGGCAGGGGGGCAGCTACCACCCCAAATCAAGTAAATAAATAAAAATACTTAACTGACTAATTTCATCACAGATAATTCGGTGCTGCCCCACCCCAATATAAAGCCTGCCCCCACAAAATAAATCCTGGCCATGCCCATGTTGGGGACCCCTTGACTAATGTAACACATTCTGCATGAAGCTGCATTTGAAGAAAGGGTAGAAGCTGCAGCCAGTGCAGAATTCTGAAGCTTGCCTCTTGAAAACAGAGTTCCTATTCTGCCTCATCCATGCTTTCAGTTCTTTCCATGTCCAAGCATTAAATTGCTTGAGTTCTGGGTACCCTAAGGAGTGCCTCTTTCCTTACCCTCCTCCCCTTTTATCTTTAGGTCTTCTGCAGCATGCCATCCTTTGCATCCCATCTTTTATTCAACAAGAGCAGGGAGCAGGAAAGTCTCTGTGGATTACCTTGCTTAGACTGACATCTAGTGGAGTGAAATCTTAAGCTCCAAAGCAGAACAATATTTAACCAAGTTAGGAGACAACAGTGCTTTGGTTTTTAACAGAAAGCATCAGGGTGACGAGAACAATATTTAAGCCACCCTTACCACAATGTTCCCTTGCTATCACAGAATGCCATCCTGGAGCTCCATCAGATATCTATCCCCTGATGTGCAGCCATTCTACAAATGGAAGAACAGTACTACTGACGTTGCTCAGAATGAATTTCTCTAAGCACAGATCTTTATGTCACAGGTCACTATTCTTCTAGGGGAGGACATGATAGAGGTGTGTAAAATTATGCATTGGAAGAAGAAAGTGGAGAGGGAGGTTTTTCTCCCTCCTTCAGAATACACAGGAACATCCAAAGAAGCCCAATGCTGGAAGAGTCAGAACAGACAAAAGGAAATACTTCTTCTCGCAGTGCACAGGAACCAACTTCCACAAGAGGAAGTGATGGTCACCAACTTGGATGTCTTCAAAAGAGGATTAGACAAATTCATAGCGGGGAAGGCTAACAATGGTTACAAGGCAGGATGACTATGTTCTGTTTCCACCTCCAGAAGCATTATGCCTCTGCACACCAGTTGCTGGGAGAGGAAAGAGCAGTGGGGCACTCAGGTCCTGCTCACACACTTCCCATAGGTATCTAGTTAGCCTAGTTAGTCACTGGGAGAACAGGATAGTGGGTTACATGGGCCACTGGCCTGATCAGCGGGGCTCTTCTTATATACTTACGTACATAACCCTGGACAAAATGAAGTATTTTTTTCTGTGGGTTTTTGCCTCTCAAATTCATGAGAGGTTTTTTTTTTAATGTGTTCAATGTGGATGTCTTTCATTTAAACATCAGACTAGATTTCCATGGAATAAATCAGCTATTCCTAAAACTGTATCCCAAACAGTTCATAATTGGGCAAAACCAGGCACCCCCAAACTCGGCCCTCCAGGTGTTTTCGGACTACAGTTCCCATCATCCCTGACCACTGGTCTTGTTAGCTAGGGATGAGGGGAGTTGTAGTCCTAAAACATCTGAAGGGCCGAGTTTGTGGATGCCTGGGCTAGACAGTCAAACACCAAGTAAGTGATCTTGCATACTAAGATGCAAACAGCAGATTTCTCAGTTCTAGATTGTATGCAATCTAAAATGCCCTATAGAGTTGGGCAGTATCTTCATTTGACCATGCTAATTATTTAAGAATGGGACAGGGGGCTGGAAAAGAATAGCCTACACACTTGTGCACAGACACTTGATGAAACTGTGGCTTATCCTATGGTTTTAATCTCATGAGTATATGCGCAAAGTTATATAAAAGCATAAAGAAAACACTCCAGTTACATACAGAAAAAAGTGTGCGCATGTTTATTATTATTTTACCACTACACAGTTCTTGCAACATTATGGGGTAAAAACCACAGCCAAGTATCTGAAATAAGATGACACATATTCCAGTGAATATTAATTGGAATACCGTCTGTATATTCTTACACTGCAATTTCATTGTACCTTGAACTGCTGCTGATCTCAGTCCAGCCAATCTTCCAGGAAATGTGTAGGAGAAATCCACCAACTAGTGTCTGCCAGCTGAAATTGAAACACATACAATGTTCTGTTTCTAAACAATTAACCCAAGTCAATTATTACTCACAGTGGAGGCTTCTTCCATGAGTGACAGAGTCTGATCATATGCTGCCTTCAGTCATTGGACTGGCAGTATAAAGGGCAACAAAATAAAATTATGATGATGGAACAAAACAACAAATTATATTCCTAACAGGCAACTTGGGCTGCTGCAGAGCCAGTAGATGCACCCGTGCCTGTAGTTAAAGCATCAGCTGCTTAAGTGGAGAAAAAACACAAAGCTTTTACACTGCTAAATTCTGAAATCAAAGATTCCACCTGTTGTGAGGCCACAAGGAACAGAGCTTAAGCCAACTTCTCCTTCTCTAAGGCCATTTGCAGAAGTGACACTGAAGCTAGTTTGTATATCCAACATATGCAATGCAAATATTGATTGGGATGCATATATATATATATATATATATATGAATATTATATGAATTAGTGACAGGTAAGCAGTATAAGCTATGAGTCCTGCTATGAACTTGTTGGTTGGCCCAAAGCAAGCCACTTCAGCAGGGGTCGTCAATATCATGCCCTCCAGATGTTGTTGGGCTCCAACTTCCATACGGCCCAAGCAGCATGAGCTGGGCAATAGTCATAATGGGAGTTGTTGTCCAACAACATCTGGAGGGCATTATGTCAGTTCCCCCCCACAACGTGGTCAATCTACTCTACTGCCCATCAGTTTAACTGAATGATCCCATTTTCTAGTCTTACTGGAGATACATTTCTCTCTATTCACTTTTTTACCTCATGCATAATTAGATAATCCTCACTCAAATAATCATCAGCTTACATTTGTTTTGTCTGGGTTTGTCACACAGAATCTTAAGAACTGTTGTAACTTGACAGAGCCTTTCAGAAGCCACTGTGAAAATAAGAACTCTCTTTCCCACCATCTTGGTCTTGGCCCCCCCTTTCCCTCCATAGCTGCCAATTTTAAACCACCAATCAAATCTCTCCCTCAGAACAGTTTGAGCACTCTGCCATCAGCCTTGTGATTTTGGTTAAACTGCCTTTGTACAGCCTTCCTCTGCTGTTTTGTGGGAAGTAGGCTGACCATAGGATTTGACATATTTGAAGCCCTTGAACATTTGAAATGGGGAGTGAAAGTTATCAAAATTTGGAAAATAGCACATTCCTTCCCCCTCAGCTACAGGGAGGGGCTGGTGAAAAAATAGCAGTTTTTGACACAGAAGCAGAGAGCTAAGAATTAGGACAAGTGAATAACATGTTGTAACAATAAAACATATAGGAGTTTCCCAGATGATATACAACAATTGTATGAGACACCAACATTAGCCTCTGTCTGGTATAGCTACCTACTTATTCTGTCATTTTTAATGCACTTTTGAAATACTTACCCTTGAAAAAGAGTAGGGTAGGTGAATTTCAGGACAGACAGAACATACTGGAAGACAAAACACCAAGTTAGGGGATAGTACATAAACACACACACACAGACACACACACACACTTACTTTTCAAGTAATTTTAACAGAAATCAATAGATGCAATGGATCAGGCAATGAAACAGAACCCAGCCATAAAAATAAAAAGAAACAAGTCATAGCTAGCCCTGACCTGAATAGGCTACTTGGGACAGAACTCACTTATTAATGAGTGCAATTTGAATTAACTAAGTGACCACTTCAAGTAAGAGAATCTACCAAACTCATTGGCTTATCAGATGTACATTTTTTTCCGTAATTCAAACACAGGAGTTGCAAGCAGACGTTGTAAGCTGAAGAAGATTTAAAGTAAAGTCTTAGAAGCTACCTGTTGCATAGGATTCTCATGACCTTTGCTGGTTCTGCCTTAACCATAAACCAAACCAAAGCAACATATATATATATATATATATATATATATATATATATATATACACAGTACACACACACACACACACACACACTCCAAGTAATTTAATTTGGTTGATTAAATTACATGCTATTCTTACATACTTTCCCCCTTGAACTTTGTTGTTCATTTGCTTTCTGCCTTGAAAATACCACAGCCTGTTGCTTCTCATCCATCCCTGTGTTCCTATAATCTGATTTTTTTAAAGGATGTTGCAAGACTCCAGTCTTTTCTGTTTTAAAGGTAACAGATGCTAGAAAGATGCTAAAAAGACTTGTAGCACCTTAAAGACTAACAAATACAAGATGGCCTAATTTATTTTATTTATGTAAACTGTTTCTAAGCTGTCCTTCAGTGGATTCCAGAACGGAATGCAATAAATATGAGAATTAATTAAAGCTACAGATGCAATAACACATTTGTCAAACAATTTATAGACTATGGGGCAAAACAAGACTACACAAACTAAAAGCAGATTAAGGCAATATAACTTTTTTAAATACCTGAGAAATGTTTTAACTTGGCACAAAAGGCGGTCAGTGCCAGGTACCTCTCAGATCCAAATATATGGTATCGCATACAAAACACATCTCCATGGTGCATACAAAACACATCTCCATGAAGGAAGGTGCTCAAGGAGAGGGTCTCTATTAAAGATCTCATGGCACAAGCAGATGGGGGGCAGGCAGGAAGACATGTTCTGTCAGGCTTTTGTGTTCCAAACAAACTTTGTTGAACTACAGTTCACTTTGTCAGATCTAGTCCACAAAAGTTAATACAGAACAATCCTAAACATGTCTACTCAGAAGTATGTCCTACTAAATTCAATGGGGCTTACTCCAATGTAAGTAGGGTTTGGATTGCAGCCTTAGTCTTTAAGGAACTGCAAAGACTTTTATTGATTTTGCAGCAACAGATTAGGTCTGGAAGTAGCTGTAGATCCTGGAAAGGTTACACATCTCACTTGTCACAGAGGAGGGAACAAAATTGTCTGAAGCTTGTATTGAAGTACCTCATTGAGACTTGCTCCCAAGTAAATGTGTCTAGTTTTTTTTCTTTCTCCTAACTTCAGGGTGGCAAAGCCAACACATTTAAATGGAAGAAATCCGTAAATTCTTTCTTAATAGTTGAAACCCAGAGTCCTAAACGTCCTATTTAAAAAGTCCTATTGAAGACTTGCAGTGTATACAAACTATCAAAAAACATTGTGCTTTCAAATGATAATACAAATAAAACTGCCACAATTTTCTTATCGCTTGAGAGCATGTTTTATTGTTTGTATGTATATACAGTACTTTAAGGTTGAATGGGATGTGATAACCCCATATAACCTTTTGTGCCTGATTTTTAATTGTTTTGAGTTTTGTTAAGAGTTCTCACACAGCCCTAGAAGTACTTCTACTTTATCCTTCACTTAAGGCAACTATATAAAGCCATTAATTTAGTTTATTCATTAACCTCTTGCTTTCCAGGGATAAATGTGAGGACCCTTCCGTCCTCCCCCCGCCCCATGTGGGGTTTAAGAGCGGGCTAAAGGAAAGTCGATTCCGGTAACTGCAAGTCGCTGCGAGGAGAAAAGTCAGTTCTCGAAAGAAACTGAAAATCAATGAGCAGCTGTTCATTGACTCGCAGAGAAACACAAGCTCACCGATGCTGGAGAGAAAAGGCAAACAGTGTGTTCGATTTCCCGAGGTATAAAAACTAGCAGACCAGCCAAAACTTGCGACCCTGTGAAAATTTTTAAAGTCGAAATAAAGGGCAGTTTAAACCAGCAGAGCTCTCTCAGCCTCACCTTGTTGGTAAAATAAGAAGACAAGTAGACCAAACAGAAGGCGAGACCAGTTGCAGGTCTCTTTAAATACATCTGTCAAATCATTTCACCAGTCCGGGGACAGGGAAGAAAGGCACTTTCTCCCGACTGCTGCGACCTGCCTGGAAGAGCGACTGCATGCGGCTGCCATGACAGAGACACGTTGCTCTGGAGTCTGCTCCAATGGGCGCGGAGAAAAGGGCCCCAGAAACCGCCTTCTTAAAGGGGCAACGGTTTCTCCAGGGCAGAAGGAAAAGAATGCGCACCCGCTCTCCCGGTTCCTCTCTCTACGCGGCCTCAATGATGCGCTTATACACCGTCTGGCTGGTTAGTCTTTTCTGAGAGGGGTGCCGCTTGGACATTTCTTTTTCCCTAAGTGTTGTTGTTTTTTTTTGCTGCCTGTCCTCAGATTTCCAGAGCCAGAAGGTTATCGTTGGAGGCGGCAATGAAGAAAATGCAAGAACTCCAAACGGGACAAAACAAATAGCTTTTAGGATTAAAGACGAAAATCGGAGAAAGCACAGCTGTATACAAATGTATTATGGACTTAGGTTTGCTCGCCCCGGCCATGGAAACTCCTTTCAAAGAATCAGAAACTTTCTAAAGAAGGAAGCTGCTCATCTCCACCCAGTATCCATGTAAAGATCAATCATCGTGCGTGCTACTGCCACAATAAAGCTTTTAGCCTTTTGGTGCTACAAGATTCTTTGTTGTTTTTGCTTCAGCAGACTGACACAAGGGAGTGATAGGATAGAAACGCGCAGTTTAAGTGCCTTGGTTTCTCTTGCAAAATTTTTATCTTTTGGTACATTTTATGGTGCACTTGGATAATGTGAAACTAACACAACACCGCTGGTGTAAACGAATAATTGTACCATATATTTATTTAAATAACCCCGCATAAACTGACGTTAACAATAATTTAGCAATCAACAAATAGGCTATTTCTTTTAAAAAAATACAATGAAAACTGCAAAGTGCTCCACATATCTTCCAGATGGGGTGCTGCCTTACAAATGGGTAAGTAGGTTCTAATTCTGTGTGCTTGCGTGATTGATTCGCAAATGTCCATATACAGTACATTCAGTTTAAGGGTGCTTTTGCTAGGGATTCACACCTGTTTTCTCAGAAGATCAGACTTATTTGTAATAAGGAAAATGACAACTAAATGCATTGGAAAGTGTAGGACAGGATAAGTGTTCAATAAACAGGACCGAACAACACTGCTGTTTCCTGTCCACAGTGAGCTGGATTATTTCTGTGCTGTGTGTTCTGGTCCCTCATCTCAACTTCTCCCCCACCTTTTACTGCCTTTTCTCACTCTTGAGCATTGGTGCACACTTTTAAAAAAATCTATAGGAAGTGGACATGGGGAACTCTTAGTTATGATGTTTCCCAATGGTGAACCCCAGAGCTGCAGACTATGATTGAAAAAGAAACCCGAGTCGTGGGGGTGCCGGATCCCAAATGACAGGCATTTCTCATCTACAAGAGAAGATGGATTTAAAGGTCATCGCTGAGGAGCCATTCTTGTCCCCATTTATTCAAAAGCGTAGGTTCCAGCGCTACTTTAGTTTTTTGGACAGTGGTTTATTTTCACGGCATTGTGAGAAAAGAGTGCCATAAACGAATTAAAGGGACGGAGTGGTTTTATCCGTACGACAAAGCAGGAAGCGAAGCGGCCCCCAGCAGCAACACAAAAGCCTCTTAGGGCAGGGGAGATTCCAAAGGAAGTGACGTCACCGGGACGTGCACTCGGCGAACCAATAGGCAACCAGCGCCGGCGGCGAAGGGGCGGGAGGAGTTGAGGCGAGCGGAGAAGAAGCCGGAAGAAGTTTTATTTCTGCCAAGTGCTCTCTTGCCCTGTCGCTGTTTTTCCTTCTCTCGGCGTCCATCTCCGTACCTTTGCACGCCTAACATGGAGCCTGGAGCAATCGCTGCTGTCGTCCCCGCTCCTGAGGCGAGCGCGAGTCCAGCTTGGCCCCAAAGCAAGGTGAGGGGGGACGGGGGCCGAGCCCGAGGAATTTCTTCAGGCCTGGTCTAGATCCAGCCGCCCCCAGAACGAGAGCCAGCGGAGGAGGCCTGAGGTGGCGGGATGGGCGCCGTCGTCGCTTCAGGCACTGAAGGGCGGCGGCGGGGAGGACCCCCCCCCCCATTGATAAGCGAGTAGAGCGGAGGCCTCGTCGCGTAATTCCCTGAGAGGAAACAAAATGAAATATCTCTTCCCTCCCCCCTGTCTCACACACACTTGGTTTTCTCTCAGGGAATGTTGTGGTGACAGTTAAGAAAAACGACGCTGCCTCCCCTCGCGGAACCTGAAGTGGTACAGCCCACTCCGTGTAATTCTGCCCGCCTCGTCCTTCTGCGGGTGTAAACGAGGCGTCAGGCCTCCAGGGAAGGAGGCCTTGGCCTCGCCTCCTCTCCCGCCACACTGGTTGGGACGGGTAGGGGGGGCGCGGGTTTTATTGTCCGAAGTGACCCCGCCGCTGGCTCCTTTCTTTTCCACTGCCTGCCCCACAGGGTTGCTCTAATTCAGAAGGCCAACCTTGTGCTGGCAGAGATGAGTACAGTGGTACCTCGGGTTACATACACTTCAGGTTACAGACTCCGTTAACCCAGAAATATTGCTTCAGGTTAAGAACTTTGCTTCAGGATGAGAACAGAAATTGTGCTCTGGCGGCGCGCCGGCAGCGGGAGGCCCCATTAGCTCAAGTGGTCTTCAGGTTAAGAACAGTTTCAGGTTAAGAACGGACCTCTGGAACGAATTAAGTACTTAACCCGAGGTACCACTGTAAAGGGTCCAAGCGGTCCTGTGAGGATAGAATTGGGGGCTGGTGAGGGAACAACCATTTCATAGCCACCGGAGGCTATGTGGCAGAAAGGTGGTAGGTGGGACATAGCTGAGTGAGCAAAGTAAATAATAATACTCTTTGCCAGCAAATAGGTATAGGGTTCTCATTGTTTCAATGACCTGGTCATAAACCCCCCAAAAACAAGGTTAGAATGTAATGATCGGGAGTAATAACTTATTTAAGCAATTTTGAGTATATGCTCAGATAAGCTTGCCTGTTTGTCAGTCTTCTGATAAGAGGCTACACATGGATATGGTGCTGGGCTCAGAGCCAAGTAACTCATTTGTAGTGCTCTGAAACCTGGTATTCATTGAGAGAGACCATTAACTGGTCCATCATTCATAAATTAGATTTATGGGTGTGCTGCTGTAATGTTTAAAGTAACAGCTGTTTTACAAATTCTTAATAATTCCTAACTCTCAATGACCTCACTAATGTAAACTGGAGCAGATAGGCTGCTATCTAGTTCAGAACAGCAAGATCAGCCTTAGTGTTATGTAACATGAATTTCTGAGAGAAGAGTTCTTTTTAAGCCAGACCTTTGGTCGTTTATCAATAAAGTTGGCATGGTAAAAAGCATTTGTTCTCTGTCATGTCGATCTTTGATCAGTGTGAACACATATTCGTCAGCTAATAAGACACTTTTATACAAACCCTTCTGATTTTTATCAGTAGGTATTTTGTAGGATGATTCATAGTTGGCACTCAGTGTTTGAAACTCCCATTGTTCTAAGCACATTTTGCGACAGGGAATTTCATTAGCATGAGCAGTTTCTAAGCTCTGGGCGCAGTACTGCGCCTGAGATTTCAGATTAAAAATGCAGAATGGAAGGAAAAGAGGACCTTTTCCTGCCTCCCCACTTCCAGTTACTCTCTGAAGACTGGAGAAGAGACCCTCGTAAGGATATTAAGGTGTGGGCAGAGGAAGGACTAGACCATGTGAAAAATGAACATGATATTTTAGCTGCAGTTCATTCATTTTCAGCTTTGTATTCGTGTTATAAAAAGTGTGCCTAGACATCCTGTTGTTGTGCCCATAACCTAGGTTTAAGGTGTCATTTAGTTCCTAGTTTTCATATCTCGGTTTCTAACACTGTTGGCAATGATCAGTGGAAAAACAGGGGGAGACTGTCTTATCCTGGACATGTTCAGTTATTTAAGTGGAGAAAGTGACAATTTCAGATCTGAAACAGAAATTGAGTGGATTATAGAGGCAAATATTTAAACAGCTCTCATATTTTAAATGCTGATATATTTTTATGTATACTTTTTAAAGGCATTGTTCAGTCTTTAAATAAAAAGTAGTATGACTCACTTCTGTGACTTCACAAGACTGGATTCATTTTACACAGTGTATTTCCGTGTATCTATACAAAGAAATGTGACATCAGGATTTTATGCAAAGAAAAATTATCTGTCTTATCCATAGCCAAAAAGATATCTATTTTTGTTGCAGTGTCCATGGGGAACTCCTAAAAACACCACAATATCATGTTCCTTTGCTGATGTCATGAGTGAACAGCTAGCTAAAGAGCTACAGTTAGAAGAAGAAAATTCTTCTTTTCCTGAAGTGGTATCGTAAGTTGAATATCCTTACATTATGAATGCTTATTACAGACTTAGTTAATTGTTAGTGGGATCCTGTAATTTTTTTTTACAGCTGCAAATCTTCACTCCTGTACTTGGAAGTACCGTATTTTTCGCTCTATAAGATGCCCCAGACCACAAGACGCACCTAGTTTTTGGAGGAGGAAAACAAGAAGAAAAAAATTTCTGAATCCCAGAAGCCAGAACAGCAAGAGGGATCGCTGTGCAGTGAAAGCAGCAATCCCTCTTGCTGTTCTGGCTTCTGGGATAGCTTCGCAGCCTGCATTCGCTCCATAAGACGCACACACATTTCCCCTTACTTTTAAGGAGGGAAAAAGTGAGTCTTACAGAGCAAAAAATACGGTATATATTACATAAGTAGAACTTCTGAGTACATATGCATAGAGTCAGGTGGTGAGTGTGATTTTTGGGAAACTATTGTAGCAATAGCTAAAGTCAGTACTGGGGCTTGACAAAGTCTTTTCGTTGGGGTATAAAAGCTAGTTACGACCCTTCTTACCTGCTGCTGCCATAGCTTTCTCTTCAGGTTTGAGAGAGGAAAAAAGTTGTTGCCTAGTGAAATGACTCATCTTACACAAGGTGCCTGAAAGAGTCTGAATTGTTTCCTTGTTTGAAGTGAGCTGTATTCAAATGGAAGGGAGTAGAATTACCACACTCCATGTTGTATACTGTGTGGAAATTATTTAAGTGTCCTGCCAGGCTCCTTTAAAATGAAGAAATTGCATACCCACCTCCTTCCTTTTTAATTACACAAAGCAATCAACTTCCTCCTCTGCAACGTATATTATATGGCAGCTATATTCTTAGTTGGAGTACCAAGGGCTGAATTGTCCCGCTAAGTGTTCTCTTTTGGTCTCTCATATCCAGGGCTGTTGAAGGATCATTTATTAGTGGAGAGAATATTGATACTTCCAGTGACTTGATGCTGGCACAGATGCTGCAAATGGAATTTGATAGAGAATTTGATGCACAGCTTCGACGTGAAGAAAAGAAGTTCAATGGAGATAGCAAAGGTTACTATCATGAGTCATGATTTCTTTGTTAGGGTGAATCTTTCTGTTTCTCAGTGGCCCTTCTAACAACTGTTAACTCATATACATTTTTGTTTCTATTTCTCAAGTGTCCATATCTTTTGAGAACTACCGCAAGGTACATCCTTTTGAAGACAGTGACAGCTCTGAAGATGAGGTCGATTGGCAGGATACTCGTCATGATCCTTATAGAGCAGGTACCATTTGGATTAAAAACTTATGAAATGTACCATTTCTATAAGCAAAGTTTTTCATATTGTAGGATCCTGAAAAAGTGTTTTGTGAGGCCATTGGCAACTGCTTAATGAAGATCACGCTGTGAATTACATAATATGCTGTTATCTTTTAAATATTATAATGTTTAATAGAGCACATGGGAGTGCTTTCAATAGAAAAAGGCAAATCCCTGCTAAACTGTAGCTTGAATTCTAAAAATTTAGAATAGGGTATAGGGAGGAGAAGAAAAGGAAGGAATGTGAGTAAAGCAGTTATGTGTACTTCTCTTGTGCAAAGATTGTCTGGGAGACAGATTCAGGAATGGGAAGCTGCAGCCTTCCAATAGCTTTGTCAGTAGTTCATGCATTTTCTAGTTATGTTGATTAAATATGAAGTATTAGCAACACATTTCAAAAAAATCTGTACTAAATGAGCCCCCCTTTTAGGATATGAAAGTGTCAGATTTTCTCAAGCTTCCCTAAGAACTAAAACCTTTTTGTTCACTATAGCTGCAAAGAAATAACAGCCAAAAGAAATGGAAAGGATCAGGGTAGTTTGTGTAGGAAACCATATGATATAACTATATATATATATATATATATATATATATATAGTGATTGCATCAGTGTAATTTGTGCCCTAGAATGCTTTGTAGGATGTGGCTAAAAAGGTTGCATACATTTACTAGTCTTGGAAGTGTATTTTGAGTGCAATATTTTTATTATTCATAGATAAGCCCACTACTACTCCCAAGAAAGGCTTTATAGGAAAAGGAAAAGATATTACTACCAAGCATGATGAGGTTGTGTGTGGAAGAAAGAATACTGCTCGAATGGAAAATGTAAGTTCTGTCCTAAGTTTATGATTGACGTTCCAAGGTTGGTCCGTGACTACTTACAAAACACTTGTTGACTCTTGATATATACTGCTTCACTTCCCATGATAACCCAGTATTTGATACAAATGTCATGATAGTATCTATGTCAGTATTTAAACTTGTTCTATGCACCTGTTTAAAAACAATTATATGGCTCTATTTGCACATAACACTAAGCCCTGGTTTGTTGTAACCATAGTTTGCCCATCTGTGAGGTAACTCATAGCATGTTGAACAAACAAGTCATGGCTTGTTTTCTCCCAAGCTAAATTTGTTTTCTAGCTGCTCTTACCTCATGCCTCTGTAGCTTGGTGAGTATCCAGCACTGGGTGGCCAACAAACCATGGTTCAGCAAGCCACACTTCGTCTAAACAAGCCATAATTTAGCACGGCATGTAAACCAGGCCATGATCTCTTAGCTTCTGAAGCGTATGTCAGAGATTCAGATCCAGAAGGGAGCACGGTATCCTATTACCTTGGAATGCCCCCTAATGTCTCTGGTTAAATACTTTCGTAGAAGGATTTCATAGGATCATAGAATTGTAGAGTTGGAATAGACCATGAGTGTCATCTAGCCAAACCCTGTACTAGAAGTTCATAGTATAGTTGCCCCATATTTTTATTCTTTCTTATAACTATATTGATCTGTTGTAGTTTGTATTTGTCATGGCCTCTGACAGGAACAATAAAATTTATTATCTGCATTACTGTCATCTGCAGTGTGCTTTAGTGGATAAAGTGCTAAGCTTGAACTTGAGAGATCTGGGTTCAAATTTCTGCTCTGTCTTAAAGCTCCCAAACTGGCCTGGAGTGAGTCTCTCTCCCATAGGTCTTCTCTTTAGATTGTTATGATAATATGGGGGAAAGTTATTTTTGCTGTTCTGAGCTATAGTAAGTAATGGACGCACTGCAGGTGTAGGTCTCCCCTATCAGCAACTTTTTCAGACACACAGAAAATTCCATGTCATTCACTGAATTTCACCTGTCTTCACAGTTTGCACCTGAATTTCAAGTTGGTGATGGAATTGGTATGGACCTAAAATTGTCCAATCATGTCTTCAATGCCTTAAAGCAGCATGCATACTCCGAGGAACGTAGAAGCGCCAGGCTCCATGAGAAGAAGGAACATTCTACTGCTGTACGTTTTGGTGACTCAGACAAAATGAAAATTTCATAGTTTAGCAGGGCTGTATTATTTAGAATAAACTTGATATCTGAATACTGGAAAAGTTAAGACTTTTCTGGAGTCATAGCAGAACATTATTTGAGAGTTGCACCTGCTGAGTAGGTTGTTTTATGCTATGGGAGTGTTAAGTCTGAAGTAATTGATACAGAAAAATATATAGAGGATAGTTTTAAAATTTAAAGCACCTGATCAAGCTAAAGTTCATAGCACTTGTAGATTAATCAAAGGAACGTTTTGTCATCTGCACTAAACATACAGCATAATAAAAGTTTATCTTCCCCGCTCTTCTTGTGCAGGAGAAAGCAGTAGATCCTAAAACACGCTTACTTTTGTATAAGATGGTCAATTCTGGAATGCTGGAGACCATCACTGGATGCATAAGTACAGGAAAAGAGTCGGTGGTGTTTCATGCATATGGAGGAAGGTATTTTTAAAAATATGGTTATGATACTTGTATTGTGTAAAACTGAGAGCAACTGCAGAGCAACATAGTATTTGGAATACTTGTATACTGTTCGTTACCTTAGATTTTATAAAATTGTTGCGGTGGAAGTATGCAGCATAACACTTGTCCCCCTTCCTTAAAATAAATAATATTATAGGCTATACTGAAACCTTAAGTTAAATCTACTATTTAAATCTAGTAATGTAAAATATACATCATTATAAAATGAATATTTAACTAGTTCAATGGTCAAATGTTTCAAAGCTGACATATTGAGATATAATGCAATGAAATAATTTTCCAAATATGTTCTCGTCTTTTGCCTTATCTATACTTTCTCATCTGTTTTACTGGTTGAAGCTTCTTTAAAATTGGTTTGTAGGCATGTAACTAAAACTTCTTTTTTTCTCCTCTTAAAGTTTGGGTGAGGATGCTAGCCCCATACCTTCAGAATGTGCCATAAAGGTGTTTAAAACAACTCTGAATGAATTTAAGAATCGTGATAAATATATCAAAGATGATTATAGGTTCAGAGATCGTTTCAGCAAACTGAATCCACGAAAGATAATCCGAATGTGGGCTGAGAAAGAAATGCACAACTTAAAAAGGTATGGAACTGTAGTTGCTTAAAAAGGTATGGAACTTAAAAAGGTATGGAAATGAATAAGCTGTAGCATCTTTTTGAAAACCAAGTACTTGGGAATCAATGTAAAATCTCCCTTCAACATTGACTACATGTCTTGAACCATGTTCCTTTATGTATAAAATATTTTACATTTTTTACAATTATTATTTGCTATACTGTACAGGTAACTGTTTTGCTTTAAATCTTAATTTATTTAAAACTATATAGTGCCTGTCCAGTTGGTGTATACAATAAAATACAAAGCTATACAAAATGGTTAAAAATAAAAAAATCCAACATAAATCATAATTGAGTACAACCCATTAGTTAATACATTTAAAGCTGTTATTAAAATGTTATATGGCAGTAATGAGGAATCTGCAGCCCACAAGTCTAATTCAGGCTGGTAGAAATGTGCCTAATTTGGCCCCCAATCCACCTTGTATGTTGTATATGATGTTAGGTGTGGGGCAGGGAAAGACATGGGAGCAGAGGATTGATAAGAGCCTCACAATGCGGAATCAAACAGGGTTTGCTTGATTGGCAGTGACTTCAAGCTCCAATTGAATCAGCTAAAATGTCTTTTAACTGATGGGCTTGAATTCAAGCTGTACTGCAAAGGAGAAATGGGTGACCTGATGTCAGGTGATTGACAGGTGGGCAGCCCCATCCACCTGTCAAAGTGACCCACCAAAGGTGGGTGAGCTTAAGGATCTTGCCTGCTCAGCTGAGAAGATTCACGACCCTGTTGCATGCTTTTATAAAGAGCCAGTAACTGTAATTGAGTCAAAACAGGTATGACAGTGTAGGCATGTTGGTGAGTTTTGACTAGCTGTAAATACTTATGCTCTAATGCATTTTTCGTCTTCTTCACAGAATGCAGGCAGCTGGCATTCCTTGTCCAGAAGTGGTTACCCTTAAAAAGCATGTCTTAGTTATGTCCTTCATTGGCCAGGATCAAGTTCCAGCTCCTAAACTAAAAGAAGTAAAACTCAGTAGCGAAGATATGAAGAAGGCTTACTATCAAGTTCTTCATGTAAGATCAATACAATTGTCTTGTCTTGAAACTATTGGCAAGAGTTCCTTTCAATAACAGATAATTGATGAATATTATTTATTTACTTATTGAATTTATATAAATGTGCATGTAGGGTCCCTCCGCTGTCTGGTAAGGTTGTTAAGATCATCAAATGAAGCCCATTAGTTTTTCCATGGCCTGATTATTGGCTTGTAATATGGAGTATGGCATTTTCATTAGGGGCACCAGTGTTGTGGAACATGGGAGGCCCCATCAGTATTGGCATTCCACCTGCTCTTAAAGATGCACCTGTTTCAACAAGCATTTCCCTGATCTTGAAATACTTTATTTGATGGTTGTTTTAACTGCTATGCTCTTTTAATAGGCTTATTTATTATGGATGTGTTAATGTGGTTTTACTATGTACTTTAATTATATTGTCTTTTTAGTCAGAACTGTATTGGAGTCAAAGATTACTACAAGTACCTTGAACAAAAATTTGAATACAGGACCACTGAAAGTGTTGGTTCTGTGAAACCAGCAATTATCTTTACAACAGTATATCCTAGAGTCCCACAATACTTGGATTATATTTAATACTCCCGAGATTGACAGCCTTTCTTAGTGTAGTAAGTGTACTATAAAAAGTCATGGCAAAGTACTTTTAGTAGAAGCAAGAGTGATTAGGGCATTTTAAAAACATGCCTATCAGTCATATGCAGTTGCAATTCTACACAGTTCAGATAAGCTAACTAGAGTGAGCATGCCAAATATTATCTGTAATATAATTTGGTAATATTTTGGACTTCCGGGTTGGCGCCTCTGGGACTTCTGGGTTGGCGCCTCTGGCAATGGCGGATTTCCTCCGATCGGGAGGAACCCGCTCCGTGAAAAACAGGGTCTGAACCGCCACGGCGACGCGGAGACCCATTAAAAACCACAGGCGGGAGAAGCCTGTGGACGTGGGATTCGGCTGGCACCTTTGCGCCTCCCCTACTCGCGGGGAAACCCTGTTTTGGGGATCCGGAGCGACGTGGGGTGAGTGGCGCAGTTCTTTGAATCGACTGCTTCTTTCACGGAGTGAAGCCGCATTGCTGTTGCCGGAGAGCGCTGACTTTTTCCTGTGGACAATTGGATTTTAAACAACTACTCGTGAGTAAAACGGAAAATTGGATTCTTAAATACTTCAATTTGGCACTGAAACGGGAAGGTTATAAACAGGAAGTCCGCCTCCCGTTTTTGTAAATAGACTGAAGCAAAGACGTTACAAGTTAAAGCCTTTGAAAGCTCTTGGAAAAGGATTAAATTTCCACCGGTTTAAAAATACAAAACCCCCTTGGAAGCAGGAGAAGAGGGAGAAATTTTGGATCTAGTGAGCCTGCAGGAGAGAGTGAAAAAATCAAATTACCACTGCTCTGAACCTGGGAACGGGCTGCCAGATGACGTTTGGAGAGAGTGCTTTTGACAGAACGGATTTGACAGCTAGCTAAACAAGAGTAAGATACTGTTTCCATTGTCCCTTTCTGCGTTTTTAAAAAAAGAGGAAAAGTAACTGAAATTTTATCTTTAATGTTTGAAGTTGTGCTTGAAAGAACTGATACAAGTGGAGACTGTTTCCCTCTAGAGGGAGCTTTTGAAACTGTAACAGGACTGTAACTGGGGGATTTCCAGCTGCAGATAAGGAGTTTGAGAACCAGAGTGCGACCTTGGACTATTTAAAAATGTTGACAGGAGAGGCCATTGTGACTGTTTTATGTAAGATAAGCTGTTCGCTGGGACAGCTTCACAAGAAGATGGATGATATGACTCTCAAAGTTGATAATTTGGAACAGAAAGTGACCAACTTGAGTCAAAAAGCGAACACTAACACAGAAATAATTCAGGACTTGGTACAGGAACCCATTTTGGCAGGACAAATGGTGGAGGAGAAGGAGAATGCAGCTGTTGTTGAACATAAAATACCTTATTTTTCGCCCTATAAGACGCACTTTTTCCCCTCCAAAAATGAAGGGGAAATGTGTGTGCGTCCTATGGGGTGAATGCAGGCTTTCGCTGAAGCCTGGAGAGCGAGGGGGGTCGGTGCGCACTGACCCCTCTAGCTTGCCAGGCTTCAGGAAGCTATCCGCTAGCCGTGGGAGACCCAGCTCTCCCAGGGCTAGCGGAGAGCTTGCCTGCACCCAGAAGCTTGGGGCGCGCTGAGCTCCGCACGCCCCAAGCTTCGGGATTAGCGCAGCGCACCTGGGGGGGAAATAAAAATTTTTTTCCTTTATTTCCCCCCAAAAAAACTAGGTGCGTCCTATGGGCCGGTGCGTCCTATGGGGCGAAAAATACGGTAATACAAGTGAGATCTGTGGATTTACAGAAGCAAATTGGAGACTATAAGTTGAGGCCTTCTATGATTGAATCTAGGAAAAGCCAGACTCCGAGGAATGGATCCCGGTTTGGATTAAAGAAGGAAAGTTGGAAAGAGCCCTCTATGCAGGGATTAACTGACTTTTGGGACATGGACTCAGGCCTGGAGGAGATTGAAGTTTTGGGGGCCTTTGGAATTGGAGGAATTTTGAAATATACCTGGAAATAGTTTATGGACTGTAGCTTTAACTATGGAAATTTAGCTGATCTGTTCAGAAGGAAGAAAAGGATTGACAGGTTGGAGTTTCCCCGAGATTGGCTCTTTAGCATTAAAGAAAATGAAGAAGACCTGCAGAAGGGACTTGAAAAGAGTTAAGAGCCTCTGACATAAGATCACCAGGTTGATGGACTTTATGGAATTGACGGAAAGGACTGGCAGAATCCGAAACCTGGGAGAGGAGATGGTGGAAGAAGATTGGAAAATTTAAAGTTTATATATAGACTTATGGTAAAACTAATGAGTGATAGAAAAATGGTGGAATGGTTTTTTTTGTTTTTTTTATGGGCTTAACAGAAATGTTATAAGGAGTTAAGCACATATAAGTATTTTAGTTTTAATGGAAAATAAGGTTAAAATAATACGTTATTTACAATAGCACAGAAAATGGAGAAAGATGGAAAGGATTTGCTGAAACAGTTAATAGAAGTGGAACACAAAAAGGGAGGTGTGAGGAGGTTGTGGAAACAAGGGAACGAAAGATAGAGTATGGAAAAGAGATGATGTATGTTTTTAAATTGTTTTTGTTTTGGGAGTGGGGTTAGTTTAGTTTAGCTTAATGTGTTTAGTTTTGAGTTTAGGTTGTGTTTTGTATTGTTTATATATTGTATTGTATTGTGTGTGTTTTTTCTCTTTGTTTTTTCTTCTGTTTTTTCTCTTTTGCTTTTTTCTCTCTTTTTGTAATCTATAAAAGTAATAAATATTATTTTAAAAATATATATATATATAATTTGGTAATATTTTGTTTCTGAAAAATAAGCAAAGATTCTTTCATATGGTTGCTTTCTGTATCCAGCATGCATGTACCCATGTATACACTGTTAATTTTTAATCAGTCTTTAGTGGTAATATTGAATAATAATTTAGTGGCATGGAGAGCATTCCCATTAATAACTTGCTGCTTGTTTCTAGATGATGCAACAGTTGTATAAAGAGTGCAGTTTAGTTCATGCTGACCTAAGTGAATACAACATGCTGTGGCAAGGGGGAAAGGTAAGCAGATTCTGCATGGAGAAAAATAACTAGAGATGGTCCCATATGCAAATATCTGAAATACTCATCTTATTTATATTATAGGTCTGGTTAATTGATGTCAGTCAGTCTGTGGAGCCCACTCACCCACATGGACTCCAGTTCTTGTTTAGAGATTGCAGGAATGTTTCACAGGTAAAGCGTCTGACAATCTTGTTATTTTGTATTTGTATCTATAGAAGTGCATGTATCTTAAAATGTATATGGAAGTTTTCTCAAAATATTTATCACTTCATTCTGAAAATGTAGGTTTAATTTTAATGGGGAAGAGAGAGGATTCTATTCAGGGACATTCAAGGAAGAGTTGAGAACATCTTAAATTGTAATTGATTTTTGGTCCCTTAGTTGCTTGTAATACAAAAAAAACAAACAAACCAAAAAACCAGCTGTCTTTTTAATAGGTTATCAAAAGAGTTTATTCAAGGCCCTGACCTTGATCTGGAGAGTCCACTCCCCTTCAAAAATAAGACAACACAGGCTTATAAAACATGCTTGTATTTGTGAGAAAAATGCAGGCTAGAAAGCTTAGGAAAATCTTATTGCAAGTCCAGATGTCCACAAATAATAGCTACCTCAAACCACTGCTAGACTAAAGAAAGTCAGTGAGAAAGAAGGGGGGATGCCTTGATGAATTCAGTGGTTAAACTTATCTTTGCTTTTAATGAAAGTTCTTCCAGAAAAATGGTGTATCTGAAACACTCGGTGAAAGAGAGCTCTTCAATGCTGTCTCAGGTTTAAACTTAGCAGCTGACAATGAAGTGGACTTCTTAGCTGAGGTAAGTTCTCCCCACCTTGGAGTGTGTGGGGGAGGGGGAGTATAAATGTGATCTTATTCACTAGGCTGCACTCCGAGAAGCTCTTAGACTGTGCAGAGAGATCTGCATTATGAAGGCAGAGTTGAGCCCAATTTTTTAGCTTTGTTATTCATACATTTGGAAATGCCACTTGTCTTTGTGTGATTCAGCCTTTCTGTCTAAATATGAAGCATTCCCCCTAGGAATATATGAGTGAGTACTATTCATGAAACTTATTCATGTACCATTTTAGTGAAACCCTTGGTTTCTGCAAGAGACAAAGCGTTAACCTGCCCAATAAAGTGAGCAAATGTAGGGTTTTCAGAAAACCAGTTTTTATCATCGTCCTGAAAATCCTGAGTCTTGGGGCACAAAGAATTAACCAGACCTAACTTGATCTGACAATATAATGCTTTCGGCTGTGAGTGTGTTCTGAGGGAAATTGTTCTTGCTTTAGCTATACTCATTTTGCTACTTATTTTAGAAATTATATGTACTGCTTAATTACAGTCAAATCTAAGTGCTATGGAGAAGGCTCAGTACAATGAAACAAAAATGAATTAAAACAATAAAATCGGAACTCAGATAAAAAGCCTGCTGGATTTTTTTCTTTCTTTTTTTAGTATTGTGAGTTAGAGTAGTGAACTGCAAAAATAGTATATTTGGGTTTGGCGTTCAATGTCAACTTTAAGAGAATTTTTCAAATTGAAAACAGGCTTGTTAAAACTCTAAAATTAATGAATTATTTGTAACTAAGACAATAAACATTTATTTTAAACAATTGTATTGTGATTTTCACTGCAGTTAGCAATTCTAGAGTGGTAACAATGAAACTGTAGAATATACATAAATTATACAGCAAACAGCATATCAGCAAAACAATGTAATTTCAACCACCAAAACCATAGACTGACATTACATTTCAGCGAAGACCTAAGCTAATAGTCAGGTGTACACAAACTGCTTTTCAAAGCAGTTTCAGTAGTGGATTGCCATATGGCATAGACTGCTGCTGTTTGGGGAAACTCGAGACCAAAGGTCCTCTGAGGCTCAAAGGAATTAGTTGTCTGCAGTTGTTTGGTTTCTGTGGACTTCGTTTTCACTAACATGGGTCTGTGATTTTGACTTTAATTTGGCTCTTAGTTAAACACGCAGGTAATATTTCCATTGAATATGCTTGTATAGGAACCACTGGGAATGGTTCAACAGAAGTAGTATTTTCACTAAACTATGTATGAAAATCCCAACTAACTCCTTGTTCTTAGAACATAGTTGTGCGTGGGCTGAGCTGATGGTGCTGTTGTCTGCATTTCCCATTATGCCTTGTCCATTTTCCCCAGCACAAAAGATGTTTTGTTACCAGGTGAGACTATCTTGCATATGGTGTGTCAATCTATTTTGTTTCTGCAAGGGGAAAAATGTCAAGGATAGTAATGCTGGTGAAACAGGAAGAAAATAAAATCGGCAAAGCTCAATAACAGGCTTTTGTATGCTGCATGAACTCACAATTGTTTAAACATGAGCTGATCAGTAATGTGACAACAATAAAAGGTGAAGACAAAGGCAGTACAAGTTCAGCAAATTGGTATCATGCCAAGCAGAATTGCAGTACATTTAAATATAGTCTGTTTCTGACTACTATGTGTCTTTCTGTTTTATAGATTGAGGCTTTGGAGAAGATGAGTGAAGATCATGTTCAAAATCATGGGAAAAAGGTGTCTCTGTATCCGAGTGATTATGGGAGTCCACCAACATCTTGCAATGAATAGCACTTTGAGTTGAACTGAAACATCTTTTTTGCATCTTACATGAAGTGCAGTGATTAAATGTCAGCTGCCAAAAGCAACAGAAGTTATGGTCAACTCAGAATGCCATAAATGAAACTTCAGGGAACGTGCATTGGTGCTTTGGTGTGTTTTTCAGACAAGCCCACGTTAGGTCACTGGGACTGTCAACTACATGGCTCTCTGACAATGGAAAGTAATTTCCTTTTTAATCTGACATGAATTTTTCAGGTCAGTGCAGCTAAGTTAAGAATATGGTGTGATGAAATATTTAATTTATTTAATGTCACAATTTCAGACTAAACTGAAGTACTACATAAAAATGGGAAAGAGTGATTGATACTCTTTCCTTCCCCTTACACTTTTACATACTGGTATAACTGATGGAGGAAAAATTTAAAACTTTTTGTTTGTATGGTTTATGCACAGACTTTAATTTTAATAGTGTATGGTTAAAGGGAGGCTCACATTATGTTTCATAACTATATTCAACATTGATTTCATATCAAAAGTTTACTATTTTTACAAAAACTTTAATATTCAATATACAAAATTTATATTAATCACTAAGAACAGCCTAAAACATTTTATATGATTTTTACACAATAATAAAAAAAACTCTTTTCTTGTAATTTGATTCTTAAATATGCAGGCCATTATGTTAAATGCTGAAAGAAGAAACTTGCTACTGGATTATCAATAGCAAAAATATTTGGTCTTTGTTTCTTGAACAATACTTGAACAGAAGGCACCTTAGTATGATTCTCACATGGAGGTAGCTTTGGGAACAAATATAAACAAGTCTAAATTACACAAAAGTAGTAAGGATGCACAGCAGAAGAAGCTTCTGTACAGTTGTATCCTAAATGCATAAACTTGAGATGATAGTAAATTTACATCTTTGCACAATAGATTCTTTAGGTGTGATTCAGAAAACATCTTTTGTCTCCGCATGTGTATGTAACGTAGCCTCTCATGTAATACAATTTGATGCAGTTGATATGACCACATAAACAAAAACCCACTAGAACACAAATCCTTGGTGATGCATATGTGTAAGAAATCTAGAGTCCTATAACAATGAACAAGTCTACAAGATCTTATATGGAAGTTGAGGAGAGACTTGCCTGCCTATTCATGTATTGTTGATTTCATTCTTGGAGTGTACCTAAGTGTAACTAAATTGTATCATTTCACTAAGGTCAGTATTAAACAACAGTTCATTCACTGACAGATTTGTTAGATTAATGGACTTAGTAGGGTGGTAAAATTTTAGAATGGTCATCTTTTGTTTTCAGATTTCTTCTTTTAGATCCCTTCATTATGTTGTAGTGAGAGACTGTTGCTGTGTGAAGCTCTCATAGTGGCCTATGGAAAAGCTCGTTCCATGCAAAAATAAGAGGGATAATAAACAAATCTGATCTTGTCCCTGTGTTCGTGTAGGGTTTTTTTTCTCCAGCTTTTGTCTTTGTCCAGCTTTAAAAATTACATTCTAGTTCAAAATCCATCATTCTCACAAAAGTGAATGAGTGTAACATGCTGAGAGGCTGGTCTATAGAAAAGATATTTAAAGTAAGCGTTGTATTTAACTGTCCATATAAAATCTGATCAATTTTCAAATAAGACATTGGCAAGTACAATCAAATGCAGCCATCCAATGAATGTAACAGAAGTGTAATGTATGCATTTTAAAACTGTTATGATGTTCCTGATAGGCTTTTACTAAATTGGGTATTAAGAACTATTGAAAATTATTTGTTTTTTTATTAAAAATACCCTTTGACCAACCTTTCAGATGACCTGCATTTTTTATTATTATTGTGTACCGCCCTATAACCGCAGGTCTCAGGGCGGTTCACAACATAAAATCACAGTATAAAAATGCAAAATACATAATAGAAATAAAAACACTTTTAGAAGAGCATTTGTTTGGAAATGGTATGGTGGTCTTGCTAACGATTCAGCTACTACAGCCACCTTCACAAATTTTGGTATTGTAAGTAAAACCAAAACCGTCTCCAACAGCAAAAGGCCTCCCTGAGAACTGCTTTTACAATTCTACACTTTCAAACAATGCCCACATCAGTCTTAGATGGAAGATACAGGAAAGTTCCAATGCATTTAAGATTCTGTATTTGTGGGGCAGGTGAAGTTAGAAGATCTTCCCCATTACATACATACTCCACTGTCAGCTCAGCTCTATCAAAACCCCAGAAAGATTTTTAGAACAGATGTTTGCACTGCTGCAGCGACAGAACAATGAAGTGAAAATATGTTGGCTATTATATGACTGCGACCCACTTGTCACATATAAAGCAGCTTTATTCGCAAAAGCCACTAAAAGTATTTGTGCTAGTCACATAAAAGACAACACTAGATTGTGCAGGGGATTCATTAATTTGATTTATTGCAAATGGTTGCTTATTTCTGGATCTTTCTTAACAGGTTTTATTGGATTTGCTGGTTTTGTAACTGGATTTGTAATGGCTTTTAGGGCTTCCGGGTTGGCGCCATCGCCGAATGGCGGACTCCCTCCGAGCTCCGGAGGGAGTCTGCTCGGCAGGGGCTGGGTCCTACCGCGCCGGCGACGCGGGGACCCTTAAAAACCACGGGCACGGAGTCCGTGGACATGGGTGACTCGGCTTGCACCATTAGCGCCCTCCCGACTCGTGAAGGAGCCTTTTTAAAGGCTTCGGATCGGGTGCCGGGGAGCGGCGTGGTGCTTTGAGTCTTCTGCTTTCCCTGCCGGCGCAGCCGCATGCCATTCGACGGAGAGCGCTGACTTCTTCCATTGAAAAATTGGACTATTAACAACAACCCGTGAGTACGAGGGAAACCGGGTTCAAAATTTCGGATTTGGCACGAGCGGGGCGATTTAAAAGGAAGTCAATCCCCCTACTGTAAGCATTCCAAAACAAGGACTGGGTAACCAAGGTACAAAGGGAGTATATTCTTGATAAAAACCATTAATTTCACGATGGGAAATTATAAGAACTGTGCTGGAGGAGAAGAGTGGAGGGTGAGAAGAAAAATGCAACCCCCCCCTGGGAACCGGGGCGATTCGTGGAGCCTGGTGAAGAGAGACGGAGACTTTGACAGCTGTCAAAGTGGCTGTCAAAGTTGGAGAATATAAAGAGGACTTTGTTATGAGGACTTTGCCGGTTAATTTTGCTACAATTTGCTACAATATGGATATAAACTGTTGGAAAATAAGCAACAATTTGACTTTTGGATTAGAGGATACAAAGTTATTACAATCCCCTAGAGGGGTTTCGGGATATTACAAGAACGGTCGTGAGTGGAAAAATACTCTGGGATTCGCACAGGACTTGTTATCTTTTGGGAAAGCTGCAAAACTGAAATAGTATTTTGTCTACAGAGGTATTTACATTAAAGGAGACAATAGAATTTTCTATTGAAGAAAGGAAGGGACTGGACGTAAGTTTTGTTCCTGAATAACAAACCTCTGCAGAGATATCAGATTTCTGAATTAGAAAGTTTTAGCAGCTGAACAGGACAAGAAACCTGAGAAAGTGAGGAAAAGAAGAACAAAGGACTGATTACGACACGGAAAGAACAACGGGAGGAGTGGTAAAGATCAAGGAAATTAAAGGCCTTTGTTAGATTGGACACTTGAAGTTACATATTATTAATAAATTAAAAGAAAACCGGCAAGATGGAATTGGTGAGAAATTTGGTCATGAATTGAGACTTCCAAGCTGATAATGCACAGACTGATGGATATGGGGAAGTCAAACCGGGGAAGGGGAGATTTGAAATCCAAAGGCTGTGTAACCATCTTTTGAATTTTTCTATATCTTTTATTTTTATTTTTTTACATAACTTACGCATGTCATTTTATTTTGATTGGACGTGTTTAAAAAAGGAATTCGTGGAAGGAACTGGGGTGGATCTTGGGGAAAATCTTTGTTCTTTTCTTGTTAATGATGTGGGACGGTGGTAAGATTTGTACAATTCAATTTGGATAGTGGGTTAAACAAATTAAGCTTCAAATTGGGAGTGAGAGCTTGTAGAACTAAATGAAGGAAAGGGAATACAGTCGGGGGGAGGGAGTCCCAGAAAGTAGGCAATGAAAGTAAGGTTTTTAAATATCTTTTTTTCTTTTTCTTTTTTTCTTTGTATTTTTATATTTTTGGAAACTTTAATAAATATGATGTAATGGCTTTTAGTCAAATACAGCGATTGATTGATTGATTGATTGATTGATTGATTGATTTATGTTGGGCAGTGTGTGTAGGACGTAAGAGGCTTGACAGTACTGGTCCAAAGAGGTCAAAGACAAATAGTACATCCACTGTTGCCTTTTTCTAAACACATCTCGAAGGCCTCCCCCAGAGTAATGCTAATCCTGAGGTCATGATAAACTTTTTTCTCATTTTAATATTACAAAGTAGCATTACATTGACATTTAGCTGCTCTGGGAACTTAGTACAAGTATGCTTCTTCAGTTATAATGGATACAGTTGTTTATACAACCCAATACTGATGGCAGGATTCTTCTGGAGGTGATCCTTCCCTGGCTTACAAAAGCATTGAAAGTAAAATGCTTTAATATTTGTCATGTTGAGAGCCAAGTCTCCCCAAAGTGGGAAACATGTCTATTCTGTGGCATTTTGTTGGCAGAAGAGACGTGCAAGATGGTGTGCATCTCCTATTCTCTGTCCAGAAGCTGACCTGATGGGCAACTGCATCTTCCTTTAACTAAGGCAATGACCCACCTTGCTCCTCGGCATCTGAGAGTAGCAGGCAACTTAGTGCAGAGCTTGCAGGTAGCTATTACCTCATTGCCTAATGGTGGCCAGATTCGGACACTTGGTCACACAATGTGTAATTATGAAATCTGGGGGGGGGGTGTCAAGAAATTGTGATAGCTATTAGTTAAATCGGCTTTTGCAGTTTAGACAAATGTCTAGGATTTATGTAATCCTGTACATTAGAAGCACTGCCCACTAGATTCAATGGAACTTGGTGCCACATAAACATGTACAGAATTGCAGCAAATGTTTGTTGCTAAATTGGGGCTGTAGCTCAGTACATTTGCAACACAGAAGGTCCTGGGTTCAATCCCTGGCATCTCCAGGTAGGCCTGGGAATGCCCACAACCCTGGAAAGCTGCCAGCTGCCAGTATCAACAGACCCAGGAACCACTTTTAACTCAAACATGCCTTTGGGGACCATGCCTTGACATTTTAGCATGCACTGACATTAGGGTTGCCACCTTTGGCTGGGCAAAATAAGGGACAGGTCAGGCAAAATATGGGGCAAGTTGGGAGTGGGGAATTGGTGTGTGTGTGTAAAAATTACTTTACCTGATGCAGAAATGACTTTAAAGCAATCCATTGCAATGGGTTGTTTCCAGTGCTGGTCATACTCGTAAAGAGGAGACCCAATGAAATTTACGGATCTAAGTTTGCAATGCACATTAATTTCAATGACTCACATCCTCCCCACCTGCTGATTTTCTGCTTGTCAGGAGAATGGTATATGTAGAAACCAGATAAAAAGAAAGAGGTGAATATAGCAACAAATTCTGTTTCTCTTCCTCAGAGAGCTTTGCCTCCAGCATCCTTTTCCATGTGGCTGCTAATGCCACGCACATTCACACACATGCATCATAGATAAGTTCATCTAACCACTAGGGTTACCATGTGTGCTTTATTTTTGGACCTGTCCTTTATACAATATTTTGCATCAGTTTATTTAAATAAATAAAAGCAACAACCATTTTAAGGCTTCCATCCTCTCTATTTGAAAGTAAATTCAACTGAACTTAGTTGGGACTTATTTTCAAAGGATCAAGATGAAAGTGAATTTAGGACTGGGACAGTTTCTTGCAAGGGAATTTTGAGTCCTCATCTGCAGTACACATTTAAAGCACTTTAAAAGTCTGGGTGGTGGTGGGTTTTTCGGGGGGAGGGGGTTTCCTTGGTACCCAAATAATATCCACCCTGCAATGTCCACCCTACCCCTTCTATAAAGGGAAGCACGTAAAAGCAACGAAGACCCAGGCAGCAGCGGCAGCCGCATCCTAGTATCCCCCGCTTCCCTGGATTTAGTGTAACAGGGAAGCGGGTAGAGAAAAAGACAGAGACGGAGAACGCGGACACGCAGGAGGGAGGCAACGGCGGTGACGGGAGGGAGGAGCTCAGCGTTCGTCTCAGCGGAGGAGGAGGAATAGCAGCATTTCCCCTTGGAATAAGGGACCGTCGCTTATTATAAGGGAGAGGTGGCGACCTTAAGGCATATGACGCTGCTGATGCTCCTGCTGTGACGACCCCTCAGCTGGACACCAGCGGGGCCCCAGATCGCCCAACCTCTGGCTGGCAAGACGTCCAAAGGCCAGTTGCAGAACGTCGCCTCAGAGGCCGCCTGGCCCCCGGGAGAAGCGACAATGCCGGCCCGATCTGATCAGATGCTCTGCTGGGTGGTCTTCGCTTTTATTTTTATCGTGTATTTTTTGTTTCTATATTGTGAATTTATTTTGTTGCCGTTCTGAGACCTGCTGGTATAGGGCGGCGTACAAATTTAATAAAGAACAGCAATAATTTTATTTTTTTCCCCACCCCCTCCTCCCTTTCTGCTGGTGGGAAGAGCGGAGCGACATTTCCAGTCAAGCGGCCTATAGCGGCGACTTTGCCGCGTCGTCCTGCGGCGCCTTTAAGGGCCGCCGGCAGCTCCCTCGTCATGCGCAAGAGCCGCCTAACCGGGAAGCGCTTGTGCGGCCGCCCAGAGGAGGAGGAGGAAGAAGAGCCGCATCCACCACGAACCGGCTTGTTGTGTGGGAAGCGGGTTTGAGGGGGCACAGTGAGAGGAAGAGGCGCGGGAAGGCCCGAAGCGGCGCGCGGGGGGAAGAGGCGGTTGCTCGGCGCCGAGGGGCTCTTCTCCCGCTGCCATGGCGACGGCCGCCAGCCAGGACTACTACTTGGCGCTGTGCGCGCGGCCCGTGCACTTCGAGAAGGCGAGCCCCGTCAACTGCGTCTTCTTCGACGAGGCCAATAAGCAGGTGAGGGGGTGGGGTGGGGCTCAGGGCCGTGGGAAGGGGCGGAACCCGCCGGGCAGCCCGTTCCCTTCCTCCCCCCCCCCCGCGCCTGCCCCCGTGGAACCGGCCGGTCACGCGCTCGCTGTCGCCGCCGCCCCTGGGATAGCAGGCGCCTCATAATAATAATAATAAATACAGGCAAAGGCAGGAGCTTCCCAACTTTCCCAGACCGGCCCCTCCCTTCAAAAACAAAACCCCCAGCTGCAGCTGCAGTCTATAGCTCCAGAGCTGCTCTTGCCACTCTCTTCCCCCCGCAGTGTGGGCCCTAATTCGTGCCTTGTTTTCCCCTGAGGCGACTCAATGTAATGGGAGGGCGGGGGGGGGTCTCCTCTACCTCTCAACAGTTGCTCCGCAGGTGGGATTTTTAATGCAGGGATGAGAGGGAAAAGGGCGCTAGGCGAAATTTGAGAAAAACTTGTTTAAATGTGCAGGAAGCCTGTGGTCTTTAAAAAAATAAAATCCGATGAATCTCCTCTCTTTGCCTTCCTTGGAAAGAATGGTGCTTTGTGGACCATCTTAGAAGGGTGTGTATTCCATCCACTTGCAAATCCGGATTTAGCTGTTGAAAGCCAGTGCTAGAATCCAGATCTACTGGACTGGGTGGCTTCTGTAACTACTGATGCTGATATATATTTATAGCCTGGTCATCATCACATAGCTTAATCCCGCAGTGGGGAACAACTAAATAAAAACAATAGCAAATATATACACAGAAAAAAGTTATGAGTCCATAAAAATCTATTAAGTAACACACAAATTAACAACTCAGTCAGGAAAACAGCCCTGAGAATTATTATGATTCAGAGTCTTCTCAGTAAAAGATATTTAGTGCTGTAGGCAGGCCTTGTGTGAGAATTTTGACCCACAGCTGTTGGAGCTGCAGCAAGGCTCTCCAACTAGGTTGTAGGATGGCTGCTTTTCTTTTTTACAGAAAAATGGTTCCTGCAATATGTTTGAAGTAATATAACCAGTAAGAAGGGTGGATGTTGGGCAGCACTGCCTATCATCTTGTGAAATGTTTGTATCTGTAAAATGACCAGGTGGAACAAGGAACTTCTTTTAATAGTTGCAAAGAAGGGGAAGTTCAGGTGCAGCTCATTGTGACTTAGGCTGTGGGGAAACTGCCCTTGCTGATGCTTTCGGTTCTACAAAAAAGTTAAATGTTCAGTTCCCTCTCTGTTCTGAGCATTGACTTTTTTGGGTGTTCTTCTGGCTCTCTGGAATTAGTACTTGCTTTGTCTGGTAGGGATGTCCACATTGTTGCATCATATAGACAGTTTGCTTCAGTTTACTAATAGAACACAAATCATGCTATGGGCAGAAAGGTGAAGGCCAAATTGGGTGTCCATTTCACAATCTCTGCACCTACCATGAGTTTACCTTCAGCACTTCAATTTGCTAGCAGAGATAGTTTTTTCTTGAATCAGTTTTTTAAAGGTGCCATAAATAACTCATGAGAGAAAATTCTATCCCTTTTCTTAATGCAAGAGCCAAAACTGATATAATTTGCAATATTTTTATTGAAAAATACAACTTCTAGTGACAATCACATGTCTGAAACACTAATTTAATTAGTGGGTGCTTTCATGTGATCTCTTTGTACTCCATGTGATTGCTTAAGTTTCTTGAACGGGCTTCATGTGAGCTTGGTCTTAAAGACAACTGGGAATCTGAAATTTGACATCAAAGCCTGTGTTTGCCACACTGTAGCTTTGACATCTCTTTGGTCTGTTTAAACAGATATGTGCTGTGACATCCTTCTGCTGGTAATTGGACTAAACAAACAAAAAAAATTTCCTCCCACGTGCGAACTATTGCAATGCACATTTGACTGTGTGTATGCCTGCAGTTGTTGAACTAGAAGAACATTTGACACAAATTTTCACAATCTCAGAAGCACCCTTTTTAGCTGTTCATGGTTATGGAAGTTGTGACTGTTTTGTGTGTGCACAGTCTGGTTATCAGTGAACTTTTCCAATAAGCATATTGTTTGTTTAAACCATCTCTATCCTGCCTTTCTAAATGTGCCCAGGCATAAAATACATCCCAGAGCAAATAAGTACAAACAAAATAACTGTAGAAAACAGTTTCTACTTTCACTCTTGCCAACCCATTTCCTTGTCCTCACTAGCTAAAGCACTTGGGTAATTCCCTTAATGAGGCAAAGGAAGCTGCGAAACTTGAGCAGCTACTGAAAGCGCACTGCCCCTCATTCCAGCCAGCGTTACCTGAACAGCCTTGTCTTAGCAGGCAGATAAGTGTATTTGAGGAGATGTGATCTCTGAGATGCATGTGACTTCTGACTGCCATTGAGCTCCTTGTTTCGGGTTCATAAGCTCACTGGCAGCTTGTACAAATTTATATGCCACCACTTGCCCAAGGCCACCAACAGTTGAGTTGCAGCTTCTGCGCAATCTTTGGGAGTGGTATCATGTAAGAATGAATTATGCAACTGACATATTCTAACCTAGTATTTATCAGTAGGGAGAAGTCATTGGAAGCAAGCCTCACATTGCCCTAGCTGGGGAGGACCCATGAGCAGCATGCAAGTGGCCAAGAAGGAACTGCAACTGTTGCCATTTAGAGAAAATAATGAGAACTGGTCCTTTATATTTTAAATAAAACAGTTAAACCAATTGTTTAAATGAGTAATGCATTAAATTAAACTACATTCATAATTAGAAAGGGATACAGTGGTACCTCGGGTTACAGACCCTTCAGGTTACAGACTCCACTAACCCAGAAATAGTACCTTGGGTTAAGAACTTTGCTTCAGGATGAGAACAGAAATCATGCGGCGGCAGCGGGAGGCCCCATTAGCTAAAATGGTGCTTCAGGTTAAGAACAGTTTCGGGTTAAGAACGGCCCTCCAGAACGAATTAAGTTCTTAACCCGAGGTACCACTGTAATTAGAAATTCTGATGTTTATCTTACTTTGAAAGTTTCTAGAGCAGTGGTTCTTAACCTTGTTAGCGTCATGGGTCCCTTTGAGAATCTGATGAAAGCTATTGACCCCCTCCCCAGTAAAATGCACATAAACATATATACACAAACTTTTGCATCAAGCTTGCTCCCCCCCCACTTTTTTTCTTTTTTTCTTCTTCTTCTTCTTCTTTTTTTTTGCTCCTAGTTCATTGACCCTGTGAAGCCCATCCATGAACCACAGGTTAAGAACCACGAATGAATGAATGAATGAATGAATTGATTTCAGTCACTGACCACAGTGAGTTAAGAACCCTGCACTAAAATGAACCTAAATCCGGATATTAACTTTTTAATTACTTAGGTTTTTGCTGTTAGATCTGGTGGAGCTACTGGGGTCGTAGTTAAAGGCTTGGAAGACCGTAATCCCATCTCATTCAGGTAAGTGTGCTCTAAAACAGGTTTGCTGTTTAAAATGGCCATAAATTATCTCCTCTGACAATTTATTGTTTTATAGAATGGAAGACAAAGGGGAAGTGAAGTGCATCAAATTTTCTTTGGGCAACAAGATATTGGCTGTCCAGAGAACATCAAAGAATGTGGTAAGAAATTGCAAGTTTAAAAAAATACATAGCTCAGATAGTCAAGCACACTGAAATCGAGGCTAATAGAGTAGCTGATAATGTTAATACAGTCACTGTGGCTTAGAAGTACAGTGGTAGCTTGGTTTACGAACTTAATCCGTTCCGGAAGTCCGTTCTTAAACCAAAACTGTTCTTAAACCAAGGTGCGCTTTCCCTAATGAGGCCTCCCACCGTCAATGCTCTTCCACCGTTCGGATTCTGTTCTTAGACTGAGGTAAAGTTCTCAAACCAAGACACTATTTCTGGTTTTGCTGAGTTTGTAAACCAAATCTTTCTTAAACCGAGGTACCACTGTAATTAGGGAAAGGAAGATTAAAGAAACTTGATTGAATCGATCCTCTTGGGTTTTATTTCTTTATTCTATTCAAACCTCTGTCTAGGGGCATGTGGGAGTGTTTATAGCCATTTCTTTTGTCCTTGGTGGCTGATGTCTTGTAATGGGTTCTCTGCAGGGTTTTTTTTTCTTTTATTTTGTTTTAATATATTTACTAATAGCTTACCCTGAGTGCAACTGCAGCTCTGGAGGCAAGAGCTTTGGATCTGAATTATGACAGTATTATGATTCACCATTACATTTGTCTGTAAATAATTTTCTCCTTTACATTTCTGCAGTGTCTTGAACAGTATTGCATTCCATGGCCAATTAAAGTTTAGGGAGCATTTAGGTGGAAAGTAGGATATTAAAACAGAAAAGAAGCTCTTAGATGTCTGTCTTAATTTACGAAGAAGAGAAATTCAAGTATATTAATAGGCTTACTCTATGCAGTTAGGTGTGCCTAAGCCATGGCTGGGCAAACTAAGGCCCAGGGGCCGGATCCAGCCCAATCTCCTTCTCAATCCGGCCCATGGATGGTCCGGGAATCAGTTTGTTTTTACATGAGTAGAATGTGTCCTTTTATTTAAAATGCATCTCTGGGTTATTTGTGGGGCACAGGAATTCGTTCATATATTTTTTTTTTCAAAATATAGTCCGGCCCCCCACAAGGTCTGAGGGACAGTGAACTGGCCCCCTGCTGAAAAAGTTTGCTGACCCCTGGCTAAGCCAATTAAAATCAGTGAGCTTAGATGTACCTAACACTGTGTGGTTTCAGCCTATGTGTTTCTTAATTGCTGCTTTTCTTGTTGTTCCAGGACTTTCTGAACTTCATTCCAGACTTCCCACAGATAGAATATACTCAAGAATGCAAGGTACATTTAAACAAATACTGTTAACTTAGTTAAACTAAGTTAAATCTTTAAAATATTGTAACCTCCATTAACCTTCAGTTTGCTGGTTCATAAAAAAAGTTTCAAAATGCAAAATGGAGTCATCTCACTTTTATTATTGTAGTTCTTCAGAATGCTTTAGGTTCTAGTTGCCCACCATCACCAGTATTCTTGCCTTTAAAAATAATGTTGACCATCAGCAAGGTTTAGCCAGTAGCTCTCATTTTACAGTGATGAACATTGGGAGGTGAGGAAGAGAAAGCTTGTTCATTTAAGTGAATCAGATTTCATAGTTTGAAGTATTAAAATCCCCAAATCCGTTCTTGAACAAGCAGTAGAAAGTGACAAAGAAGTCCCAAGCATATATAATGAACAGTCCTCTTTCAAGAGGCAGAGCCCTTCTGCTTTTTTAGGAACCTCTCTTGCTTATAATCAATTTTGAAAAGTACTCAGCCACTTCATGAGATTGCAGTGCAGATAATGTACCCTTGAAGTGCAGTTTCTCTTCCCATTTAGTTAGTCTTGCAATCTGTTCTGAAGCATTTATTCAATGGAAGCCCGTGAAAAAATTTCAGTTATCCTATCTTGAAAAAGCTAGCTCACTGTGCTGATGTTCATAGTGATATGAATCAATTCTTCCCATATTTCTCCAAAATCCAGTTTTGTAATTTACCTGCTTGAGTGGATTCAGGAAACCACTAATCCTGTGCAAACCGCTATGCTAGCTCATGCTGTCCCATGTCCCTTCATCACGTGTTCCTGAATGCATGGAGAGGGTAGTCTGAATTGTGCTTGTGTACATGCAATTTTATTTCATAGAACCTACATCCATGTGAGAAATTCTAATTATTTGAAGCAGCTTTTAGAGTCATTGTGAAAGAGTCCAATACAGCAGCTTTCTGTTGTTGGTGTTGTTGATGAATTTCCTCACCTTTCTGCAAAAGTACACAAGTTGTGTCATAAGACAGACTATTCTGTAATTCTGGTGTCTCTGACACATGGCTGACCAACTTTTCCTGAAAACCTCAAGACTGCTTGTAGGTGTTTTCTAATGCTCTAGTCAGTCTTTTGTAGTTTAAGCCTATTGCTTCTTGTGTGATCCTTAGTGGGCAGTGTGAATAGCATGCAACAAACATTCTCCCGTTATTTTTTATATTTCTTAAACCTAGTAACTGATGCAGAGTATTTCAATCCCCTGGCAACTCAGGGGATTAGAATTAATTCAGATTAATTTTGCTTTGTCCATTTTTCACCATGCTTCTAGTCATTTGGAATGGAGCATTATGAGTAACATCTAGCACAGATAGTTACAGATACAAGTAACAGATACAACATAATGATTCACATGACTGACATTGGATGCCTTTGCTTAACATGTGTGGAGTTGCATTTTTTCGTGAGAGGGTGATGAGATAGCCATGTTATCAGATGACCTGTTTTACAGTATAACTGCTACAAATCTTCACTGAATATTTCAGTTGCATTTGAAAGCTTAATGTTGCAATGAACTTAGTAGAATTTGCTCTGAGTATGCATGCATAGGATGAGATTCTAAGTTTAGTTTCATATTTCTTTATTATAAACTAAGCTTTAGGATGATTGACAAGGGTATGTGATAATATAATACTTGTATTTGCATAGTGACAAATTTGCAGAATGTACTGTATATGATAAAATATTGTCAATGAGGATTCATATTTGCTTGGAAGCTTTACTTGCACATCACAAGCACTTGTGACACTCTTGAACGCGGGGGACTCCTTTCTAGATTAACAGCTGGAACTGAAACATGTAAACTAGAACAGGAGACCCATGATAATTCTGCCTTAAATGAACTTGTATGCATATTCGCCTATTTCAACTGAATGTTGTTTGCTGTTAAAGACCAAGAATGCCAACATTTTAGGATTCTGCTGGACAGGCTCTGCAGAAATTGTCTTCATAACAGATCAGGGAATTGAATTTTATCAGGTAAGAAAAACAATCTGATCTCTTTTTTTAAAGTATGTTACGTTGTTCTGCCATATTTGCTCTGCTTTAAAGGCCAAGTGACATTTCAGTGCCAGATGAACTAAATCCTGTAATTTTGTGTTTGGCTTTTGAAATTTAATTTTTCCTTTCCACACTTAAGTAAACCCATATTGGTGAAGAAGGAAATGAATATTCTAATACAATACTGCAGGAAAGATCTATCAGCAGTGCTCCTAATTCTAAGCAGTTAGTGGGACCACAGGAAGGGCCCGTCCCTCCAGATCGCAAGGCTTGAGGTGATGGATGTTGGGAGAGGCTCTCCTTAAAGTATTTGTGTCAGGGCTTTATATCATAATGTCAGTACGTCTAATTGGCCTCAGTAGCGTATAGGGAGCCAGTGCAGCTGCTTCAAGAATCAGTGTTACCTGATTCCACTTTGATACACACCTGACATCTGAAGGCAGCCCTGTTTAGGGAAGTTTTTAATGTTTGATGCTGTGTATTGTGTTTTTAATATTCGGTTGGAAGCCGCCTAGAGTGGCTGGGGAAACCCAGCCAGATGGGCGGGGTATAAATGAATTATTGTTGTTGTTGTTGTTGTCATTAATAATAACAATAATAATAATAATAATATCACACAACTCAGAAGTTTTGACAACCAAATTCTGCACATGCCGTCTGCCCACCTAGAGCAAATTTAAATATTTCTTAGGATTAGCAACTGTAAAATATATTGCATTTCTGGAAATATACTGGAATTTGTTTGTGTCTTCAGGTGTTACCAGAGAAGCGAACTTTAAAACTTTTGAAGAGTCAGAATATCAACGTAAACTGGTACATGTACTGTCCTGAGAGTTCCGTAATTCTTCTGTCTACCACAGTTCTTGGAAATGTTCTACAGCCATTCTATTTTAAGGTAATAGTAGTATTCGAGTGTCCAGTGTTATCATCCACATTGCTTTAATTAGCTGCTCAGAGAGCTTTTTAAAAATATGCTGCGTTTCACTACATTCCCTTGCCTTTCATTTCCTCCCAAATGTACACACCTTTCCTACTTCTTTGGTTTTAAGCTTGGCTATGTTTTATATGGCACGTGGAGGTGCTGTTTGTATGCTCTGGTCAGCAAATGCTTTATCTGGAAGACAGTTTTGTGAGGAGGGTGTGTGTGTGCTGGAACTTGGAAGCATCATGGAGCTGCAGCAAATCTCTACTTCTTTTCATATATCTACCATCTGTCCCCAGAATTTATGAAAAACCCACCTTCTATTCAGCACCTGCTTTGACCTGTAGATTTTTTTTATGTTGTCAAGATTTCAAAGGAAAAGTCTCCAGTAAAATATGTCAGTCATAATGTATAACTTTTGTTTTAACCCCATGACTTAATTTCATTTTCCCCAAAGATGAGGTTTTTGAAAGTTGATTTAGTAGTGCAGGTTACAGCTGCAAATTAATTTTGAGAACAGAGTATAAGGGGGGGAGGGCAGATTCAGAGCCAGCAGAATATTTTTAGATGACAAAGTACCGTGGACATTTTCTAGCTTCGGTTTGTGCTTGCTTACTTAATAGTTAATGTTGGAATATTAAGTAGCGAAATGGATGCCTCGGATAGGTTAGTTATTTAATGAACAGTTCACTCAATTGTAAACCTATTTTTGTGGATCATTAAAATCAACAAGTGTATTAAGTTGCAAATTTAGAATTGCAAGTTTCAAACTTCATTTTACTGCTTGGTACTGGGCACGCTCAAGTTTCTGCGAGAAAATATTGTAGGCTGGGATAATTTTTATGAAAACCATAAGAGGAACCACATAGAATTAGAATTATATGCAACCTTTTCAACATGCTTTCTTCTAGGGTGGAACTATGTCAAAGCTGTCCAAGTTTGAAATTGAATTACTTGCAGCTCCAAAGGCATCCAAACTCAGTCTTTCTGAAAGAGATATTGCTATGGCTACAATGTAAGTATTATTGTGGGTTTTTTCCCCTCCCTTTAGATTTATGTCCTAAAATATGTGGACACGTTGCCCTTAATATCTCTTCCTTTTTTTCTTTCTTACTAAGCAATTGGTTTGCTCTACAGTTCTGTTTCCTAAGAGAGGATGTGAAATAGCTACAGATAACAGCCACTTTCTAAGTCCATTTATTTCAGTGAACAAAGGAAAGAAGAAACTTAAAATGTACACAGCAGAGCAAGTTACTGAAGCCTAGTTTGTTTTGAATTCAAAGAGTCCCCTCTTGAACACCTTAAAATTGATTTTTCCCCCCTAAAAGGAACTGCTTGAGACAGGCAAAGACCCTGACCCAGTCCTCCCTATATTCACTATATTCTCTTTATTTGGTTACTACAAGAGTGCATTTCATCTTTTCAGCCCAGAATCTTTAAATTCCCCTTTCCTTTCAGCTTGAAAAATACTGGTCCTTTCTGTGCAGCTTTGAAGTCGCACCTATCCTTAGTTCCATGGATTGGCACCTTTTAAAAATTAACTCTGTATTAATTTCAGTGCAAGGAAACTTTAAGTCTTCCCCAAAGGAAATAATGATTCTACTGTGATGGGTTCCACTTATGGAATTGTAGCCTTTATTTAGAAGCATTATCAATATACAGTATTGTAAATTATAATGGCTGTCAAGAGAGACCTTAGAAATCCATCCATACCCTTTTCTTTGAAATTTACTCATGAGTTCATACAAAATAGAATAATTTTATCTCCTTAGATATGGGCAACTTTATGTTCTGTACTTGAGACACCACTCACGGACATCCAACAGCACGGGAGCTGAAGTAGTTCTTTATCACTTACCAAGGCAAGTTTGTCTGTTATTTATAATTTTGATTCGATTGTTAAGATTAAAGAATTATAAAATAATAATAAAATCAATGCTTTTGATGATAATATGCTCTCTGTCTCTCCATGCTTAAATCTACCACAGAGAAGGCTCCTGCAAGAAGTTGCATATATTGAAGTTATACAGGACTGGCAAGTTTGCACTAAATGTTGTGGACAACTTGGTGGTAGTTCATCATCAGGATACTGAGGTACTATTTCTCCCTGTGGTTTTATTTCTCATATTAAACATTAACAGGTGGAGCCTTCCATTTTATCTTCCTTTGCCCGCTTGTGCTTCAGATTGTTAAGATCATTCATTATATACAAGAATAAAGTTATGTGAAAGTTGTAGCTGTGTAGGGCACGACAAATCTTTTAAGAACATCGAAAGAGCCTGCTGGATCAAGGCCATGGTCCTTCTAGTCCAGCATCCTGTTCTGACAGTGGCCAACCAGATGCCTGTGAGAAAGCAGCAAACAAGAGCACCCAGCCCTCAACCCTCCTGTGCTTTCCAGGAACTGGTGTTCAAAACCATTACTGCCTCCAATTGTGAAGACAGAGCATAGCCATTATGGCTAGTAGCCCCCAATAGCCCTTTGGTGAGATCTAGATACCTTCATGTGCAAAAAGAATTCCACTAGCACAACAGAACTTCCGCTGTTCCGGAGGCTCCGCCCCGCCTTTGCTACTCCAGTGCTCGATGGCTGTTGATAGTCTAGGAACAAAGCCCACTACCATGTGTCATTAGGGGATTATTTTAAAAATCAATGTGTGTAATTAGTTATCATATCGTAGAAGGATGGAGGAGGATGGAAGAGAAGTAAATCAGTAACTTCATATTGTGGTGTGATGAAACTGGGGAGAAGTCCTGTTAAACCAAGAGAACACGAGGAGTGGGGAAAGGAGAGGCAAAAGGGAGCCTGCATGCGAAATAGCTGTGCTCAGTGTTTGGGGGAAATTGGTGAATGAGATTGTATGCATGTTGACCTATTACGAGTATAACTTCACATGTGAATTTAGGCAAAAGACAGCTGGTTACTGGCAGCACTGCGAGTGATTTTGCTAGGGTGGATAAATGGGCAAGTTGTAATTCTGACATGCATCTTAAGTATGTGCCTGTGGTCTGATTGTAAATGGGCTGTATGTGAGTTTTGGCTTTGGTCCCACTCTCTGTTAGCAGTTGGCCCTTGAAGGTCCTCCACACCTCATATCAGAAGTCTGACAAGGCTACTCCACCATTTTTGCACTTTTTCATATACGTAGAACTAGTTTTGATGTGCATCACAAGGGAACTTATTTCTTTTTGTCAATTTTAGACCTCTATTATATTTGATATCAGACTCAAAGGAGAATCTGATGGCACAGTTACCCTTCACCAGCTTGTACTTCCAGCTCGATCTATACAACCCTATCAGATTCCTGTGGCAGGTAGGGGTCTTTTGTTTTCTGTTTAACTAGCTTGGAAATCTAGTTGGTACAGAGATCTAAAGAAAGAGATACTGGAAAATGTAACATTTGACTGTGCATCTATCACTTGGGTTTCCATTTTATTTAATAACTAAGGAATAATACTGTTTAACTTCTGCTAAATGTTTCAAATATCTTGTTCACGGGAAGAAACAGTATCATCTCTAGGCTGTTGGCTGTCATTGCCTGGAGAGAGCTAGCAGGTCCCCTGGCCAGGGGGAAGCTTCCCCTTCTTGTGTTTGCCCCCCCCCCCCAATGATTGCAGCTTTTAAGCAGCCTGTGCCTCTACACCAGAGTAGTCTTCAGCTCCATGTGAAACACTGTGAAAATTTCATGTTCATATGTCAATTTGAACGGGATTTGGAAGATGAAGACTGGCTAGAGTCTTTGCTTCCTGATCCTTATACAAGGATGGATGGAAATTTGAGTGAGCTGTATGAAAATGTACTGAGAAGCCCCTTGTTGGTCACTCCCCCACCATGTGCCTCCACCCACAGTGCGTTTAGCCGAAGTATCAAGGGAAAGTGTGAAGACCACGTGCTGGGAGCTTTAAACCACCTGGCAAATAACCTTCTCCATCCTGTGTCATCTGGGTGTCTGTTTCTGCCCATATGCAAGCCATGTCTCTGCAGGCTAAGTTCTGACATTTGGGTCACAACATGGTACACAGAAGATGAGCAGTGGTGCTGCTCCTTAACCATCATTTCATGGGCACTTTCTCCAGATTCCACCCAGAACGCTAAATATGCCTATAGCTCTAAAAAAAAAAAAAAAAATCCCTTGAGGGAAGGTATTGGGGACCCTGTGCAACAAATAGTCAACCTCTGTGTTTGCTATAAAGGATTTAGTACTGTAGCTGATTCATCAGTAAATGCTAATAAGCAATCTTTTTATTTTATCTATTTTTTATATGAATTTGTTGTTTTAAATGTTACAATAAGCTCTGGGCCTAATCCTCCTAGACCATAGCCTTAACTCCTCAAGGTATCTTGATATGGAATATATTTCTACTGTGAATCTTCATCAAAACAAATTAATCTCTTCAGGATCATGAGTAATTGATACAATCTCTTTCTCCGTGTGCAGGTCCAGCTTCTGTAACCAGTCAGTTCCCAGTTCCCTGTAAACTCTGTATCCTTCAACAGTTTGTGTTTTGTTCTGAAACTGAACCCCAGATCTTTTCTCTCTCTTGTGTGATAAACATGTTGCTTTTTATATCTGGAGGGAGCAGAATTGAAAAATATTGCAATAGAAATATGCATTGAATCTTTGAAGAATATAGAGTAGCACTATTTGGCATGCAACACAGTCCTATGCAACTTTACTTGGGCATTCAGTTGGGTTTATGCCCAGTTAAGTGTGCTCAGTCTTATTTCCATAGCCTTATGACTCAAGAACTTTATCATGTGATAGGGCTTGGAGGGTGGTTGGCGTGCCAGGATTAAGCTTGCACATCTCCCTTTTGTATATTAAGTTAGTCACATAACTGTTTGGATCCAGCTCATAAAGTGACTTTGTTTTTGCCCCCCCCCTTTATCATATATTTATTTCTAATAAAACATAACCAAATATAATATATGCCAAAGAAAATAGAATAAAAATAGAGTAATGGGATATCTAGAGCTGAGCATACAGGAAAAGATTTATATATATACAAACACACAAGCATAACAAATTAATGTCACAAAATTCAGAGTAGCACAAATGGGTTTACTTTCTTCTGTACCTTATTATTCAAGTACATTAAGAAATGGCTCCATTTCTCAATGAAGATATTATCTAGTTGTCTACCCTCTCTTCGTATATGTCAACCTAACCATACATACTGTTTTTCAGATTTTGTTAGTCATTCTCTCATGGATAGTGTTCTTATTTCCCCCCCAATTTTGACAAATAGCAATCCTAATAGTAATAGTAATTTTGGCAGCATTTAAGAGGTGCCATGAAGTGACTTTGTAGACAGGGGACCTTATAGAGACTCTACGGCCAATACACTTCTGTGGAGTTTTGTTTAACATTTAGATTCTTCATCCTGGATTGTCTTTCAGCCTGATATTATCATCAGTGCGAGCGAAGGTATGTCTGAAGCTGTCAGAGCTCTTCAGTTTTAATCAGTTTGTGTAATTACAATGCTATCTTTTTTAAAACAAAACAAAACACCAAGTATGTTCTATCCTGATATTTAAGATATTAAAAAACTACACTCAAGTGGGTTGGTGGAATATCTGACTCAATGAAGAACTAGTTATGAATCAGTAACTTCTAATGTAGTATAGTATCATAATGTGGTTGTAAGGGAATGTTTTGGTCAGATGTTGGAGTTTGTTTGTACAGGCATTATATAAGGACAAAGATGCTATATGTAAAGTCTGGCTTGGAAGCGGTTCATATTACCGTTGTAAGTTTAGATTCCTTTTGAAAAAGAATTTGCTATTGGTTGTTTTTTCCCCCCCAGGTTACCTCTGGAATCTGCAGGTGAAACTGGAGCCTATAGTAAATCTCTTACCAGACAAAGGAAAACTAATGGACTTTCTTCTTCAGAGAAAAGATTGCAAGATGGTTATTCTTGCTGTGTGTTCTCAGAGTAAGATTTTGCTTCCAGTTTCCAGGAGCTGTTCTTTTGAAAAACTTTGGAAGAAGTTAATTCTAAAATCACTCTCTTGCATACTATGCCATCCCCATATTAAGTACCTAAAGTATCACTGGCCTCTAGTTAGCATAAGAAAATTTAAGGGTAACTATATTATGGTGATTACCAGCTAGTTTATTGTAGTATGAAATGTGGTTCGGAGCGATGCATAAATACAGATACTAATTTTCAGAGGTATTTGCAGAATTTAATATGCCAGTGTTCCTTGCCACTAATTTCGTCGTGTGTGTTTTTTGTTGCAGTGTTAAGTGAACCAGACGGAGGATCATTGAGTGTGGTTGCTACCGTTTTTGACAAACTCAATCATGAATATAAGAAATACTTGGAAGCAGAGCAGACTTACAATATGGCAAGTTATGAACATCATTTTCTTTGCCACATGCCTTGTATATACTGTTTCTGATTAGCAATAATCTTTGATCACGGATTTGACAGTGTTCAAATCTGTAATTCCTTGCACAATGAAAAGTAGATTCTATAATACACACACACACACACACACACACACACACGTAACTAATGCTCAAATATGATCACTGCAATCCCTAAAAAAGGAACTAGTTAATTTTTAATTGGGGGGGGGGGAATAATTCCACACCAAAGCCCACTAAATATGTGAAGCTGAATGTTGGAAGATTCAGGACAGATAAAATAATGTACTTCTCCAGGCAGTGCATAGTTAGGCTTTGGAACATACTCCCATAGGAGGCTGTGATGGCCACCAACTTGGATGGCTTTAAAAGAAGATTAGACAAATTCATGGAAGATAAGGCTATCATTGGCTGTTACCCATAATGACTATGCTCTGCCTCCACAGTTGGAGACAGTATGTATCTGAGTACCTGTTGCTGGAATCTGCAGGAGGGGAAAGTGCTTTTGTGCTCGGGTCCTGCTTACGGGCTTCCCATGGACATCTGGTTGGCCACTGTGAGAACAGGATAGCCATTGGTCTGATCCAGCAGGCTCTTAATATTCTTACGTATTTGAAGGCATTGCCATTTTGATTAAAAGTTATAGTTCTGGTTTAATTCTGATCTTACTTATTTTGTATACCTTCCTTTCTTTGAAGATCACAGGGCAGTTCACTACATAAAAATACGTCTTTTGTGTTCTCATTTTGTAACAAAAAAACAGAAACAAACCAATAACCCCCCTCCCACAAACACATTTAAAGGCCATAGATGGTTTAATAAGCCAAAAGCTCTGTTATAGAGAAACATTTTCACTTGGTGCCTAAAGATACGTAATGAAGGCGCCAGGTGAGCCCCCCTTGGGGAAAGCATTCCACAGACTAGGAGCCACTGCAGAAAAGGCCCGTTCTCGTGTTGCCACCCTCATGGAGGAGGCACACGAGACATAAACATGGATTTTGGTTAGTCATTGGAATCTATTACCAAGTAAGGCGTGGTAGCTGACTAAGTTTTGAGTAGACTGATTAAGTTAATAAACGTTACTTACATTCAATAATTTCAGTGGGTCTACTCAAATATGACTTTGTCAAATACAACCCAATGTATCTTGGTGTCGAGGTATAAAATTAGTAAGTGTTATTAGCCCTTCAATATATGTTATATCTCAAAATATTTTCTGGTATTTTTCAGGCACTAGAAACTGGGCAGAGCAGAAGCAATCCACCTCCCAAACGGCCAGTTCGTACCCAGGCAGTTATTGATCAGTCAGACATGTATACACATGTTTTGTCTGTTTTTACAGAAAAAAAGGTTGGTTGATAAAGACACACCAGCATGCTGATTTAACTTCATAGGTCTTCATATGTTAGTTCAAAGGGAGGCAAGTATTAATCACAGCTGACAGTAACTAATACTGTTGTGGTAAACAGAAGGTAATTTGTCAGTTTCTCTGAAGCAGGAAGAAAGTCTGAATAGCTGTCAATCAGACACTTTAAACCTGGGGGTTCTTATGTCCCCCCGCCACATGCTGTCTTCTCCACATTGCACCAGATATATATTTTTATCTGACAGGTGGTCTCCCTAGTGTGTAGTGCTCCTCTTCTGGCTGCTTGTTATTTCTTACTGAGCTTTTACTGCCCATGTCCACATCATTCCTAAAACGATAGCCAACCTTTTCACTGGCTGAAGAGCAGAGAGGACTTTTGTACCTGTGTGTTGTAGGTACAAGGACAAAAATTGAGTCGATGGAGGCCATGGGAAGAAAGGCGGAAGCAAGGACTATGGCTGCAGGTTAGGTGAGAGAGAGGAAGTTGGTTGACAGAGAGAGAGCTTATTTTCTGGTGCTCAGACCCCACTTCTGCCTTGTTGTACTGCCTCTTGGGCAAGTTACTTACCTTCTAGGCTCACCAGTTTGACTTCTGTAATGAGTGTTTTGTGACTGATGATGGTCATGAATGGGACACATTCCCCCTTGGCAGACATTTTGTGACACTTTCTCAAAGGTAGAAACGAGTCCACAAACTAAAAAATTGACTCCTGATTTAAACAGATTCTTTATTGGAGTTGAAGCATCTCCTTTAGTAAATTCTCCTTTTCCTGTTTAGGAAGCACCTCACAAGTTCACTATAGCTGTCCTAATGGAGTATATTCGCTCACTCAACCAATTCCAGATAGCTGTTCAGGTAAAAACTTAAAATGTCTTATATAAGATTATGATTCTCTATGCTGGTTAACTATTTTTAGACTGCACACTAGTTACCAATTTTTGAAATATTAAAGCTGTTTATTTATTAATTAAAATGTGCTCATTCTCCTTAAACAGACATTCCACATTCTTTTACAGAACCGTTGGCATTAGTTTGCATGTAATGATATATGAAGTTTTAGAGGCGATTTGATGTGACAGAGCAACTTATAGATATCAACTAAGTATAAATATGACAAATAGCATTGTGAAGAGTTTGGGCTAGTAATGAACAGATGTGTTGGGATCAAAGCTACAATTGTACACATTTTTTTCCTTCTGAAACTCTGGAGTGTTTGCTTAAATATTCAGGATTGGAAATGAGCCTTTGTAAGTGTGCTAATTTTGAGCCCTTCTGTTGTCATCTTTCAGTGTAAGGTTTTTAGTTCACGTGTGAAGATACATGCATCCATACAGTTGGAGAAAGTCCAGTCGTTTGCCACCACCTCTCATACACTGCATTACCCTCCTTCATATGGAGAGCTCTGCTCACCCAATAGTGTTAGGTAGGCTGGATTAGTCTTAAAGGTAGTATTGAGTTTCAAGTTGCTTTCAGCTACAGCTCCTTCCATCCAGGCACTTGAACCTCCATTTGCTTGTCCAGTCTTCCTGCTCCAAAGGCCACAAATGCTATAGGGAACTATCAACAGGGCAGGCTCATGAGAAAATGTCTCAATTCCCTTTCAACCTCCAGAAAAGAAAAAAGAAAAATCTGTTTGAGTATTCTTACACCCAGTAAACCCCTTCCCAACAGAGAAAGTATGGCGTTGAAAAGAATTTCGCTCAAGTTGAAGAAAAATCCAGAAGCAGAGAAGGGGCCAACTTTGCTCTTTTCAGACTTCATGTCTGTTCCTGCTGCCTTCTTCTCACTGGCCAGCTGGCCAAGAGGTTGAAGTATGATGAGCTGCAGCCAAAGAGCTTACTAACCTATCTGAAGAGTTCAGAGCAGGGCAAGGGGAACCTGTGGCCCTCGTCATGTGATTGGACTCAGAGTCCCATCAGCATGGCCAGGGATGATGGGCATTTGCATCTGGAAGGCCACGGGTTCCCCATCTCTGCTATACAGACTAGTAGCCTTTAGTTCTACTAAGTTCTAGTATTGAATTCAGAAAATTATAGTATTTTTTTTAAAAAACAACACCCTGCATGTATAAGTCTATGTGCCCTTTTTCAGTTAACTTTTCTTGTGTTTCACGCCCTAGAACTAAGGTGATAAGGTAGTAGTTAAATACTTGCCTAGTTACTACTGGTTTAAGCAGTCTTTTTCCTTGCCTCCTTAGCATTATCTATATGAACTCGTTATCAAAACCCTTGTTCAGCACAACCTATTCTATATGCTTCACCAGTTCCTGCAATATCATGTTCTCAGTGATTCAAAACCTCTGGTAAGTTAGTTTCTTTTGTCCTTCACCATACGGCTTTCATTGCTTCTTGGTTAATTCTATGCTGCCCTTTCACCAGACTTTGTAGGTGTATCTTCATAGCAGGAATCTGGACTCTGGCTCACACTATTTTCAACCATGCTACTTTTAGGTTTAACACATAATTGTGAAGTATTGAGACACTGTTGAACTTCATGTTTCAGGCCTGCTTGTTACTGTCATTAGAGAGCATTTACCCTCCAGCACATCAGCTCTCCCTGGATATGTTAAAGGTAAGTACACAGAGAAAACTTGTGATTTCCTTGTCTGCTTATATACCAACAAGTAATCATAAACAAGTATAAATGATCAGAGGTTGTAAGTAATGTAAAGATATAATCTTTATGTCCAGAGTACAGAAAGGATGATTTGTCTTACCTGAACAGTAGATTTATTAGGTGGATGATGAAGTATTCAGATTGGGCTGTTCCTTTTGCATGAGACTCAGAGAATTGTGGGAGGTAGACCATTTCCCCTCAGTTTTTCCGACTTGCCAAGCAGGAGCATCACGACAAAAATCTAAAACTAAATTAAACACAAGGCCTACCTCCCCCTGCCTAACACGTGAACAGGAACGAAAGTAAAGAAAGTAATGTGCAGCAGCATGGGGGGGAAACCTGCATGTCAAGAAAACAAACCCCCCATGATAAAACTCAGGCATATAATAAATTATAATGTCATATAATGAATACAGTAATAAACCCTGCTCATGAAAATGATTCCGCTGCAGACCCACATAGGGATGGTTCTGAATACTTCATTGTCCACCTAATACATCTGCTATTCAGGTAAGACCAGTCATCCTATTTATTATGGTGGACGATGAAGTGTTTGGATTGGGACATACCACAGCAATTCCCAACTGGGCGGGACCCAACTGCAGTTGAGCTAACTATAGAACCTGATGAAGAACTGTGCAGCCAAAGGCTGCATCACTTGAGGCTAAAAGATCTAGCCTGTAATGCCTAGTGAAAGTATTGGCCAATGCAAAGTAGCTACTTTACAGATATCCAGCAGGGAAGCATTGGCAGCAAAGACCGCCGACATAGAGGCTGAACTGGTAGAGCGTGGAAATATACGTGATGGAGAAGGTAACTTAAGAGACTCATAAGCTGACAGTATGCAAGCACGCCGCCATCTGGATAATGTGGCAGAAGAAACTTTATTTCCCAGAGATGAAGTATGAAAAGACACAAACAAGACACCTGTAGTTCTAATGTTCTTTTGTACGATGGATCTTCAAAGCCCGCCGCACATCCAAAGAATGCCCAAGCCTTTTCTTATGGATGCTGCGGATTAGGACAAAACGTTTGAAGCACCAACTCCTGTTGAATATGAAATCTTGAAGGTACTTTTGGTACAAAAGTGGGATCAGTGCGAAGCACAACCTTGTCTTTGTGGAAAATACAGAAGTGTTTGGCCAGCGATAAGGAGGCAAGAAGGGCATCCTTCAAAAGAAGCAGGCAAGTTCACATTCAAAACTTCTGATAAACCGTGACCCATTGGTGAAAATGAACTTTGCTCATTAGACCCTAATTGGGCATCAGCAAAACCCTGAAATTCAGGCTCAGAATCACAGGACATGGCTATGTCATTTATATTGCCAGCAGGTGGCAGTAAAACCTCACTAGATAACTGAGCCAGGGCTGGGTGGCTGAGTCATGGATTGCTCTGAAGGAGGTTTGTTTACAGGCGGTAGACCTTACCAACAACACGGGGGGAGGGGGGAATGATGGCCCTTAACACAGAAAGAGTGATTTGAGTGACTGTGAAAAGTATTAGAGGACCCTGCTAGGTTTAGCTGCTTCAACTTTTGTTTCACTTTTTTATGTGGAGAGGCACCCAAGCCTTGCAGAGACTCATAAGGATGCCATCAAAATTTAGTGGGAGGAAATTGAGGCACTGAAGCAGACTGCTGATTCCGTTATTATTGCAGGCAAAACATGTCGCAACAGCCCTTTGCGCCGCTGCAGCAGACAGGAGAAAAAGGAGTTGGAAGCTTATTTTCTTTGTCCCTCCCTTTCTTTGCAGAAGCAGCGATTCTTGAAGAAAAGCTGATGCGCTGAATAAAGGGTCCAAAAGGACGCTGAGAGTAAGGCGCAGAGTGGCTGGTAGGGAAACAGCGCACAGTCACTGCAGGAGGCAGCCTGTGACGCAAAAAAGTTGAAGGAAAAGGCAACTCAACCGCTGGCAACAGCCAGCAACAAGGAAAAGAGATCGAAATTAAGAAATTAATGAAAAAATAGAAGTAAAACACTGAACCTAGAATAGGGAAACATGTTTAGCAGGGAGACAATGGTGCTTTTTTCTTTTTACCTCAGCAGAGGACACATAAAAGGACTGACACCAAACAGTAACAAAGACAGGCAAAGTTGCCAATAAACAACTAAGGAAGAGGAAGATTACTAAGTAACTAATAATAACAAAGAAAGTAGTTAAAGAGGACTCAGCTGACTCGCAGTCAACAAAACATTGAGAGCTGGGAGAGCCAAACTGCTCAGTCCTAGGCAGGAGGGAAAAAAACTGAGGAGAAATGGGTCTACCTCCCACAATTCTTTGCTCCTGCCTGAGTGTCTTGCAAGAGGAACAGCCCAATCTGAACATTTCATTGTCCACCATAATAAATGGCAAGATCATTCCCCTTGTGTGTTGGATTTAGGGTTTTCATTAGTTCAGCAGGCACTAATTGTAGTCACTTTGCTTTCAGAGACTTTCTACTGCAAATGATGAAATAGTGGAAGTTTTGTTGTCTAAACATCAGGTACTGGCTGCCTTGAGATTCATCAGAGGTATTGGAGGCCATGATAGTATTTCTGCTCGAAAGTTTCTTGATGCAGCAAAGCAGACGGAAGATGAGATGCTATTCTATACCATATTCAGGTTCTTTGAGCAGAGAAATCAGCGATTGCGTGGAAACCCTAGCTTCACTCCAGGTAAAGTGTCCATTTGCAAAGTGGGGAGGGAAGTGTGTCAAGATAATCCCAGCCAGCCTTTATCTTTTTATAGAAAAGTTTATTAAACAAGATTGTGTCTTGTAAATCTTAGTAAGCTGGGATAGACTCAAGGTTCAGCAATCTGTTCTTGTACTTTTGGCCACTTACAACCAATGTTGGTTCCAAATCTGCTTTACTGGTAAATATTTTCAGTGAGCCCGCTTAAGGGAAAATTGGAAAAACCGCTGTGGTTTATAGAGTGAATTTAGGGACTTGGCTAAGCCATTTAAATGGAGCTTGGCCACATTTTAGTGAATATTCGTACAAGTTTATTAAGATAACTGAACAGTTGAGGTATTAATACACAACCTGTGGTAAGTTGCCCCTGCCCCTCCGTAAGCTCTCTAGACCATACATTTTTAGAACACACTAGCTTTTTAAGAAGTTTAAAGCACTGATTTACAGAGTTCAAATAAAGATAACCCACCACAAACTGTACTGTTTTGCTCTTAAAATATCATTTCTGCAATTAAAGGCACTGTGTCTACATTTTGAATACTGATTTGACAGATTCTTGTAGAATGTGGAAAATGACAACTGTAGTAAAGACCATTTAATAGATGGGTAGTGGTTGTGGGGAGCCTGCTGCTATATATGTTTTGGGTTTTAGGGATTCACTTTTAGTCAGAGTGACAAAAGTGACACCCACCACTTCATAAGAGTGCAAGTGGAAGGAGGACTTATTTCGCTGTAGCTGTTTGGCATCTGATTACATTATACTCAACATCAACCCCATTTGATTTAATTGTGGCTAACTTGTTTCTTTATTTTAATGGAGGTACTCTGAATATGACTTAATTGAATACTTCCCTTGGCCAGGGAAGAGTATAGGTGCCTAGATGCATGCATATATCACCGTTTTTACCTTGAAAGTCCTCCACACTCAAATCATGAAAGGCCTTCTTTCGTGTATACCATGGTGTGGATTTCTTAGTAGCAGGGTTTAAGCATAACAGTGATAAAGAACATAGACATGCATCCTTCCCCTCAATTTGATTAGGTATGTCCCAGTGTTTGCGGCAATACATTCAGACTATCAGATTCCCATAAGCCTTGTAATTTCATATTGTGACTGATATTGCCAAGAAAGTCTCATGGACAAGTGCTGAAGTTTGGACAAGAGGAGGGTAGAGAAACTATTCTAGTTCTGGCTGAAGTGGCATGTTATTTTGATTGTGCTGCGAATCCAGTTTTGTCATAGTAGTAACTTAGCATACAACAGCAGTACATATTACTTAAACTACTTCCAGTTCATCAACTCTTGGTACAAGGTTTCAGTGCATATTTTTTTTGGATGTACTACATGTTATTGAGCTGGACCAGTGGTCCTGTCTGACAGGTAGTGTGATCAGTCTAGAAATCCTCAGGAACTGCATTCAAATTAAATAAAGTACTGGAAGGTATTTCAGATTTAATTCCACAGTCTTTTTTGTCTGTTTTACAGGAGAGCACTGTGAAGAGCATGTTGTGTTTTTTAAGCAGGTTTTTGGAGACCAAGCGCTAATGAAGCCTACTGCTTTCTGAAGTAGAAAAGCTATACAAAATGTATAAACTTAATTTATTGCATTTTATGTACTGATACTTTTGACCTACAAAAAATCCTATTTTATAATAAAGTATATATACACACAGACCCTTTGGCAAATTATTAAAATATTATTTTTCCACTAATGGCTCATTTGTCTCTCCTAAAAATAGAGCCACAAATTGCATTGACCTGCATTTAAAAAGTAGTGTCAGTGGGTCAGCAATCTATTCTCATACATGTCACTTTAGATTTCATCAGGAACGCAATTTCATTGTGTGAAACACTTTCACAAGAATAAAAACTAGAATGTATTAAATAATAATAATAATTTATGATCCTTCCAATTTTAGTAACACTGTAACTGAAATATGCAGTACTTCCTGAGTCCAAGTTGTTCAGAACTACTGGTCATCTACTTGGGTAGATCTCTAATCTGTCCAGTAATAGTGGTTTGTAGTTGTGCGACAGTAGTCATAGAAACTTGCTGAAACTTATGGTGAAAAGGGCTTCAGGTAGAATTCAACGAGTCCACTGACCACTTTGTTTAAAATGGCTAGAAGAATAAGAGTCTCTCTCTCTCTGTACCTTTGTTTCTCTCTTGTGCTGCACGTGCTTTAGCTTTATTTACTGAGGGTCCTGTGAAGAAAAAGGAAAAAGTTACCAGTTTGATAGTGGTTGGTTCTGCAGAGACAGAAGTAGTATCCCAAAATCAGTTCGCTTGAAATAATTATTTTCCTTTGAGTGAAGGTGTTCTCAGATGGGATGAGAGCTGTCCTTGCAGGCAGAGACTTCTGCATTTACCCCACCAGTTTTGACTCCTGCCTTCATGCTGTGGAGTCATATCCTACACACTATGAGCATAAACAAACCAATTCAAGACATCACATTAATACAGAATGAAGCTCAAGCTGCAACCCTTATGCACCCTCAAGAGTTAAAATTCCAGGTCAACTTGTACATATTGAGCAAGATCTTACCTATATAACTAAGTAGGACGGGAAGAAATATTAGACCATGGGTTGCTCCAAGTAGTACCATGGCTAGATACATCCTGAAGTAGAAGATCTGGAAAATCTGGGATTTGGAAAAGGCAAGCACTACTATTCCTCCAAATTTTGTGAGAGTAATGCCACTGAAAACCTGACAAAGGGGGAAACAGTGTTTAGTTTTATACAATGCATTAATTGAAACACAACAGGAAATTGCTACTGTCATTTATAAAGCATTGTTTTTATTCTAATTAACTTTATCTTGCACTCTCAGTAAGTATGTCACTACAGGCTATGCTCTGTACCAGCTATCAGGCCTCCTTGAGAGGGAGATAGGCAGTGTTAGAAACAGATATGAAAGCTAGGAGCTAAATGGCACCTTAAGCTTAGGTTATGGGTGCAACAACAATGTCTAGGTGTGCTTTTTAAAATAATAAGAATACAACACTGAAAATGAATGAACTGCTGCTAAAATATTATGTTCATTTTTCACATGGTCTAGTTTTCCCACTGCTAATCCTTAAGGATATTCCCCTAATATCCAGTCTTCAGAGAGTAGCTGGAAATGGGGAGGCAGAAAAAGGTCCTTTCCTTCCACTCTGCAGTTTTAATTTGAAACCTTAGGCCAGATCTCAGAAACCACTTGTGCTAATGAAATTCCTGTCACAAAATGCACCTAGAACAATGGGAGTTTTGAACACTGGAGATAGGAGCATATCCTTAAGTGGTTTCTAGTGCCACGACAGAATAGTTTTCAAAACAAAATACTTACAGAGCTGCCCATGTGGGATAATGCTTCTTCAGCGCGCTCTGCTCTGGTTGCTTTTGTACTAACAGTGAATGCTCTTGTCACATGGCTACAGAATTCAACAGAGATACCACAACTCTGGAAAGAAGACAGCATAGGTTAAGCAGCTTACTGCCACAGAATACTCCATTTTCAACATTCTGGGTTTGATTTTTTTTTAAAAGGAAGTTTCCTACACTTATGTACCTTTACTTCCAGCCGGAATGGGGAACCTTGGGGTCAAAGGCCTAATATGGTCCTCCAGGCCTCTTTATCCAACTTTTAGCATTATCCATAGGCTACACCCTTTATATCAGCTCTGCACCTTTCCTGGACTCATTTTTAATGTCTTACGATTCATTTTAAATTGTTCTTATTCATTGCATGGTTAAAAAAAATGTTTTCTGTATACCACTTAGAAGTTCTGAATATTAAGTGGTATATAAATGTCTGAAATAAATTGCCTGTCACTAGTATATGGAAGTTGTCACGTAAGAGAACATTCAGCCCTTGAGTAAAAAAGCCTCCTGAGCTAGAAGTAGTTCTCTTGACATGGAAAATGACAATGTATTTAGGCTAGAGAGCCATGTCTGTGCTAAAGTATTTCTTACTCTCTGGCCTACTGATGAGTGTAGGGCCTGAGCAGCCCCAGGATGCTTTAATCAGCTGGCAGGTGAGGCTAGCTGAGAGAAGGAAAAGAGGAGAGAGTGGAATGGGAGCACCTTATATTCTTCATGTTCTTTCTACTCTGAAAACAAAAGAGGACTGAGGAAGGAAGACACAGCAGAGAAAACAATGCAGCTGGGATTAGGCTTCAGTGTCATTCAGCCCTTCCAAAGTTGAAAAGAGACGAGTTCGTGTTATTTTGCAAGAAAGTTTTTGGGAGGAGGGGAGAGAACAAAGTAAGAACAGGGACCCTTGGATTTGATGCCAACTTCTGTTTTCTAAACCCCTTAGCCAAAGGATCTGATAACATACACTAAAGGGTACACTGCAACATTTTCCAGTGGGGTGGACCAAGAGCCCTTGTTTTACAAGTTGGTATCCAGGCTGTTATTCCTGCATTGCAGGAGGTTGGACTAGATGACCCTTGGTGTACCTTCCAACTCTACCGTTCTATGATATTAAATTTGCCTACGTAACATATTACAGTGGATTTACAGTATTCTGAACCAGATTTTTGGTCAACATGCTTCCCCGTCCAGATGTTGCTGGACTCCCAACTCCCATCAGCTCCAGCTAGCCTGGCCAATTGTCAGGGAGGAAGGTAGTACTATTTCAGCAACATCTGAAGGGCACCACATCGGCTAACGGCACATAGCATTTGCCGTTGACGCCAAAAGTTGAGAGAGCAGATAAAAAAAAGATGAGGGTGAACTTACCATGACAAGATTAACCAATGAAACTGCATTCAGGCTGATGCCCCAGAGCCACATGACTCCAAACATGTTGACCAGGATCATAGCAATGGTAAGGGTAACAACAATGGCAGCCCACACTTCAAAACCAAGCAGCACCATTGTTACTAAGAATATTGATCCAAGGGAAATACTGAGGTTAAAGACGGTGTCTTTTACAATAGTGAGATATTGTTCGTAGAAAACATAGAACACACTATATAAAGAAAACAGAAAATGTTCACATTGGTAACAGATTAACAGAATAAGTCTTTTGAATGCTTGGCTACTTTGCTATCTTAATTCTAAATTATTAATTTCGTCTCGTTCTCAAAAGAGAATGCCACTTTCAGATTTTTCAAAAAGTTTGGCAGAGGAAATAGGATTAATCTAGACATTTTAAAAAGCCAGGATGCAGAGAGTAGTCATGCTCTCGCTTATAGAGTTTAATTTTAACCTATGTATGTTCTCTATCACTATATGTCTATATTTCTGGTCTGTGACTGTAATAAATCCATTCATTCATTCATTCAGAGAGTAACCAATTATTTATAGTGTTTTCGCCATTAAAGGAAATTATGCAAAGTAATTTCCCAATTATTTCCAAAAACTCAAACTAAATATCAAGAAAAAATGTGAAAGCTTGAAAAAGCAGGAACACTGAAAGAATTGCTAAGCTACTGCTGCAAGCAACTTGGGAGGAATGTAACCTAGGTTGTGTCCTTGAAAGGGCTGGGTAAAAATTCCTGAGAGGCATGTGCATTCTTGCCTTTGAACACTAGGGGGAGCTAAACCCACCAGGCCGTCAGCATTCCATCAACGGAAAGGAAAGTTTGAGGACGATTCAGTAACCCTTGTTATATTACAGGGTGTAAACTGTTGTTCTTAAAAACTATGGCTCTGAAATTTGTGCAATGGCATTTTGATATTCACAGTTTTATGTCCAATCAACATCATCACCCCATGGTTCAGTAACAACATTCAACCCACCAGAATGTGTATTTTTCACCCAAGATTGGGCTTATTTAACACACACCACATTGTACTGATTTTAAACACACTGTCTGGAAGCCTCAACTAGTACAAAATACCCCATTTGTGTAGGTTGGCAAAAACAAATCTCACCAATTGCAGAATATTACATTCCACATTTGCTTCCACATTCTGTTAAAAGTGCTGCCCCCCCCCCCATATAGCCTAAACATGGACTCCTGGGGAGCACGCTTTCCCATGCAAATCCCTCAAAGTTTTTAAGTCGGCTGATTAGGCACTATCCAAACACTGCCCCAAATTAGTTTCTACTAGAAACACAGCTGTGTGTCTAGATTTCTGGTGTGTAGGCCCTTGACAGGTTTGTTATGTTCCTCTTTGGTCTCTTTTTGGAGACATGATGGAACTTCATTGCACCAGGTCTTCAGAAATTAATAGTGTATAACAGTTCCATTTGTTTTCCTGTTTTAATATCCATGAGCTGCCATGGGAACTTCTTGCTGTTAAAAGCTGGTATATAGGTAAGTCAAAGAAAAAAACACCCTGTAACACTTTGAATGTGTAAGTATTTGGTAGGGGGAGGGGGGAACAGAGGTGGAGAAAGAGCCACGTACCTGTAGGGGAATACGTGATAGCTCTTTTCTTCAGTGCTCATGGATTTAGTAATGTTGTATGCTATCACACGTGCTTTCTTCATTGCATCAATGAAGTCTGCAGAGGTTTTCAACACTGTATGGTAAGTCATGAAGTAGGTAGCTCCAACTTCAGAGTTGTTTATAAAGTTAACTGCAGAGCTATATGCTGCATGTCCTCTGTAAAGAAAAGTACAGTTAGCACACATATCAATGGAATGATTATTAGGTTCCTTCAGTTAAAATTAGCTAAGGCATCCAAGAGACAACTAGCTTCTACAATGCTGTTAGGACACTCCTGGGCACAGTGCTCTACGATTGTGTAACAATTTGCTAATCTAGAGAGATAAGGGAACACAGTATTTTGCCAAGGCAGGCGGCCAGTGTCCTTCAACTGACATCATTCTCATCTGTCAAGAAGGAAGGCAAATGGAAGAACAGGCACAGAGCAAATGTAAAATGGTGGAAGACAGTCATTCGCTTCACCCCCGATACTGTGTTGTCATCTTCCTCAGTAGGCCCTGGACTACCACTATCTGACTTCTAGCCAAAGAAACCAGCACCCTATGAGTTGGATCCACACACAAAAAAGCTCCTCTCTGATGGAAGGGTGTGTGAAAGGAGAGAATCTATGGATCCAACCGAACACCCATCACAATTGTGCCCAAATATGTAATTCTGCAAAATGAATGCAGGATCCAGCTTTGTGATGCTTTATTCAAGGACTGCAATGATAGATATGTGAAACAACAGAAGGCAATGTTCTGGGCTGTCAGAATGAAGGCCAGACACTTAGATTGGTATTGCACAGCAACAGCAGGGGTACGTATGGAAAGTAGCAGCACAGCATTTTCTGGGATGTGGCAGGGAGGACAGGGAAGCTCCAGGTTAAGACAGACTTTGCAAAGCTGTGCACACATCTGTGGGACAAAACCATCGCCAGCCCAGAGCTGCCCTGATTTCATCACCTCACACTGCCTGATCCCATCAGATGCAGCACAAATGCCTCATTTACCACTGGTGGTCTGCGTCTCTTATACTTTATGACTACAGTGTTTGTCAGAATAAGTTTTACTTTGAAGGAAAATATGTCCCCTCTAAATGCTCCCCTGTTGACACATACCCTTTGCCACATTTTGGATTAGGGTTATCAGAGAGGAACATGGGCAGGAATTTCATGAAGTCTTCACCCTGAGGTCTCTTCTTCCCTTCTGGAGTCAGTGGCCGGCAACGCACACAGGATGGATCCACAACTGCATAAACATTGTTGGAAAATGTATGTTAATTGGCTACACACACACACACACACACACACACAAAAAAAACCCTGCTTCACAATAAAGCAGTTTCATCAAAGAACCAAGATCTTAGCTGAAGAGTCCCATATTTTTGTGCAAAAGACACCCAAGCAGTTACTCAATTAGAGGAACACCCCAGCTGAACTATGTATGAAATGTTGGAAGATTTGGGTCAGACTAAAGAAAGTACTTCTTCACACAGTGCATAGTTCAACTATGGAATTTGCTCCCATGGCAAGCAGTGATGGCCACCAACTTGGACAACTATAAAAGATTAGACAAATTCATGCAATGATCAGGCTACCAGTAGCTGCTAGCTATGATGGCTAGGTTCTGCCTCTGTAGTTGAAGGGAGTATGATTTTGGGTACCAGTGGCTGAAAACAATGGGAGAGAAGAACACTTTTGCATTCAGGCCTGCTGCTTGCAGGCTTCCCATGAGCAACTAGTTGGCTACTATCAAAACAGGATGTTGAACTAGATGGGCAACTGGCCTGACCCAGCAGGATCTTCATATGTAACCATTTTTTAGCAGCAACTGCCATTGGATTCTATTCAGATGTAGCTATGTCTATAATCCAACCCAAATGAAGATGGGACAAAGCTAAGAAGTCTACTTTCCTAAATTTAAAACAGAAGTGCTTCACATGGCAAGCTCTATAGGAAGCAGTTCCCTGTGTAGCAGTAGCAGTTGCTGCTACACCACACAACACATTACTCAGCTGTGTGTAAACATTATGAAGTGTTGGAAGCAAGAATGGGGACTTGCCTCCATGATGCTGATATGAATCAGGCCAGTTCTTAACGTACAATATGTGTTATCAGCACTAAACTATTAGCTGTATTTGTCAATATGTAGGAATTTAAAAGCATACTCTACATCCTGCCCCTATGTAAAATATGCAAGCTGGAGTAGGTAGGCATGGCTGGCATCAAAGCATGCTAAGAATTCCACACATCCCAACCGGAGAATTCTGAGCAAGACGTGTTTAAGGGAGTGTACAAAGGCAACAAACAGTACCTGAAGCATTGCAGAACTGCCCAGTGGTGTTGTAGATTCTGCAACAAGTTGACTGTGGTTTGACCCAATCAAAGTAGTCATCAATCCACGAAGAAGGAGCATAGCCAATTTTTGTGCTAAAATATGAAAAACAAGCCACCTTTACCCAAACATTATTAATGAACTTTCAAAACAGGACATTTCTCCTACTAAATGTTAAGTATACACAACAGTCTAGTTTGTCTGGAGGATTAGCAATTGTTTTCCTAGACTACAAGTAGAAGTGTTCAGAATTTCAAAGTTCAACTCATGTAACTTAAACTGCCATTGGAAAATCTATGACTTAAAAAAAAAAATAAGGATGAGTACTTTACAACAAAATGCCATACCATAAAATATACTTAATTTGCTTGTAAATCATTTTGAGGGTTTAACAGAAAAGTGGCTTTCATCCTTATGAAATTGGCCAAAAGTCTGGAGAAGAAGAATGCTTCTGCCTGTTGCCCAAAGATATGTAATGAAGGAGCCAGACAAGCCTCCTTGGAGAGAGCATTCCGCAAGCAGGGAGCCACTGCAGAAAAGGGTCATTCTCAAGTTGTCACTCTCTGGACCTCTCGCCAAAGGGGCACATGAAGAAGGGCCTCAGATTATGATTGCAGTGTCTGGGTCAGTTTATTTGCTGAACAGACTTTATGAGGAAAAACGTAAACACTTACTAACTGTTAATCTCTGCTGCATCAAATATTTCTTGAACGAGGGAGTTGTTGTCACATCCTGTTCCACCACACACCATATTTTGCCCATCCAAAGTAGTATAGTCATGTCCTTCTTTTAGCACAAAGTATACTGGAGGACCTGCATGCAGGTATTTGCTGAGAGAGCTGAAGTAATCCAACATGTACGAGTCCTTATACAAAAAAGGGGAGAGGGAATGAGAAAAATAGGAAGCTACCTATAATGCTTCTCTCTACCCTATATATGGTAAGACAAGAGTAGTATGTTGTTTGCAGGTGTTTTTCCAAAGGAAAAAGAAGAAGCAAAAGTCACTTACATCTGGCATTGACAGGCTCTGGTCCAGGCCAATCTCAACCTTGTTGGCAACTGCTATGCTGAATGACAGCACACCCACAAATAGGGATATCTAAAAATAGGTGATATTTCAAAAAGTGATTTAATTCACAGAAACAACTTTTATTTACACATTCAAAGAATTATGCATCTGTTAAACAATTTGGTTCCTGATATCAAGGTTCAGGTTTTCATCTATGTTTGGATATAATTGGATGCTATTTTGAATCAAGATAGTGGACTGAACTGTTCAACACTGAACTGATTTTAACCACCAATTTCACTGCAGTGGCTTTTCTGTTTCTTAGAATTCCCGAGCAATGATGGACAGAAGGCTGCTAGTCAACTTAATATTGCTGTAAAATATACTGTATTTTTCCATCTATAAGACACCCCCATGTATAAGATGCCCCCTATTTTGGGGGACTCAGATTTAATAAAATGGGGGGGAGATGTATCCATGTATAAGATGCCCCCTAATTTTTGACATTATTTTTTAGGAAAAAAACCTAGTCTTATACATGGAAAAATATGGTAGATAACATCTAATATATTAATTACAAGAACTCCAGAATAAAAAGTATGCCATACTGCATTGGCAATGTGGTGGAAGCAACAATTAGAGCTTACAGACTACCACTATTTCATTCAAACTACCAAATAACTTAAGAAATCCTGAAAAACATCAATGATAGTAGGGAGAAGAATCTTCACAAAGTATTGATGAACAGTTAAAAGACTCAACTGTTGCATTTTGATTGATAAAGTTAGCATAAAAGTACACCCCCCAAAATGAAAAAAGACTTTTAGCCAGTCTCAAACATGAATGTCCACATACCACAATTGGTCTCATCCAATCCTTAAGAAGAAATGGAGAATATATATTTTTGAAGAATAAAAACAACACACTTTCAGAGTGCTGAACACTATTGATCTCTTCACCACCTTTGATACAACACAGAATATCGTATCGATTTTTCTGAAAAACAAAATGCCAAAATGAAATAAGCTGAAGTAGCAATTAAATTACTCAAAACAAACATTGAATGTATTGTAGCAGGCTTACCTCTTGGCGCTTAATATCCAAGCCCAAGAGGCTTACAAAGCAAGTAATTTGAAGGAGAAAGTCAATAAATACGGCCACTGCAGCAAATAGAGAGAAAGTACGAACAGCAGGCATAGTGGACAAAGATCCTAAAAGAAAGACAGAAATAGAAGTATTGCACTGTCTCTCTCAATATGAAGAAGTGCAAAGTTTATTTTAATCCCTGGATGTCAAATTAACAGTGCATGATTAAGACTTCTACAAAAAGATGACAGAAGATCATCTCTCAATACCACAGGCAGCATGCATAGCAGCAGGTGCTTTCAAGGGTGAATACAATCTCATGCAAGATAATTTCAGTAGATGCCATAATTTCACAAGCAACCACAGAATAAATGTTGCTTTATCATTTTGTTCTACACGATGACCCTTTTCTTCCCTAGCTGCCAGCAATACATTGGGTAGAAGACAAATTTAACATTACCAGCTAGAATTTAGCACAATGTAAAAAAATAACAAAAAAATGGGATGATAAGCTGTATAATGGTTTTGCTTTTTTTGCTTTTAGTAACTTTCAGAATCCCTGATACAAATCTTGTGTGTGATCATTTCCACCAGCACTCCCCACTTCTGTGACAGAAGTTCCACTGCACAACATGGAATAGAGCCATTAGAAATAAAGGCTTAATAGACCATACATGTTCCAGTTAAGCAGAGTATGCATTTATATGAACCCTGCAAGTGATGAGGATGAACAGAGTACAACATACTGTATTTTTCCATGTATAACACGCCCCCATGTATAAGACGACTCCTATTTTTTCAAACTCCAAATTAAGGAAATGGGGGGAGCTTGCCCAGAGCTGCTGAGCTTTTTTTGGGGAGGGGATTGACGACAATTGCTTACCCGCCTCAATGCCACTGCCAATCGCCCGCCTCAACAAAGCCACCAATCGTCTGCCCGGACGCCACCAATCGCCCGCCCAACTGCCACAGCAGCAGCCAATCGCCAGCACAATCGCTGCTGCCAATCTCCTGCACACGGCTGCCACCAATTGCCCACCCCCCCTCTGCACTATCCGTGTATAAGATGACCCACAATTGTAAACATTTATTTATAATACAAAAACATCATCCTAGACATGGAAAAATATGGTATATTGAAACAAAAAAAAAATTACAAACTAAAAATCCTTACCCAATAAAAAGGCCACTGTCTCTGAAAATGATGACAGGAACATACTAGGAGCCACATCTCCAAGGATTCGGCCGATCTGCTTATCTAGAGTTTCACCTTGAAGGCGTTCATCTCTCTGAAATAGTATTCATTTGTTAGAAATCAGATCTAGAGAAAGTTCTCCTTGGATCTATGATCCAAACATTTGTATTCAAGGAAATATAAATACACAGCTAATGTTTCCTAGAATGTACATCAGTCTTGCCCACTCAATTCTCCTTATCCCAGAACAGTGATCATTTCACACAGTCACTATAGAAAATGAGCATATATGAATTTTCTGGTTCTCCTTTTCCCATTTCTAGTCACTTCTTTGTTCCATGTCCACTAGATGAAAACAAAACCTATCTCTTTATTCTTTGTATAGTACAACCAGAATTTCAAGTGTAAGGCCCTCTTACACTTAGTCCTCTGAAGGCAGCACAGGGGCAACAGGATTGTGTGAATCTTTGGGGTATATTCAAGTTCTGTTAGGGTTTGGAGGAGCGATGGTAGGGGATAAACTGAATGATATTGTTGGTGTATTCTCTCTCTTTCTGAAAAATCAATAAAACATGTTTTTAAAAGGATTGTGTGAATGTCCCTGTCCACAAAGAGAGAGAAATCCATCTCCAAAAGGGAGGTCCAAGCATGGAGGCCTCCTCACAGGAGCAAAGGAAACATCTACTGCTGCTGGTGGTTCTTCACCAGGGCTTTGACAATGGAGACAGAAAACAGGGAGAGAGTTCCAAGGGCATGCCAGGACAATTTCCCCTCCCATTACAGAAAAAGCCTGCAAAGGGCAGGAAAGAAAAGAGGACCAACACCCAACACTACCCCCTCCCCGCAAAAATATCCATCCTACAGAGGTTTGACAGTTCATGCCCCACCGGGAAGAAAAACTCTACTATTCTATGAATTTCAGACATGAATATGAATAAAACATGAGCTTATTTTGGATCAGACCAAAAGATCCTCCTAGTCCATTATCCTGCATGTGGCCTACCATTTCCCTCCAAAAAATCCACAAGCAGGATAAGGCGGCGATGCCATCTCTTGCTGTTGCTCCCTAGCAAGTAGTATTCAGTGTCAAACTATCCCTTAACACAAAGTTGCCATATAAGCATCAATATGGTTATCCTCCATAAATTTGTCTAATCCCCTTTTAAAAAGCTAGCCACACCAGCAGCAGTTATATACTGTGGCAGTGAATTCCGCAAGTTATATTATGTGATACAGTACTTTCTATTGCCTATCTAAAATATATCACCATTCAATAACTACAGAGTTACAGCTTTATGTGAAAGAAAAACTTCTTTGCACATGTTTGATTTTACAGTTTGTCACATTCCCTTTCAGAGTCATCTTCCACCCTAAACTAAACAGATTTCAGCCTCTCTTTGAATGGAAGACACTCCAACACTTTGATCATTTGGGTTGCCCTTTTCTAGATCTAGGGTACTAAATCTGTACACAGTGTTCCAAATGCAGCAGCACTACATATTTGCGTAAAAGCATGAGATATAACAGCAGTTTAGTACAAAAATGCTAGGACACGCTTGTAAAGAGCTGTCCATCTGAATAACCATGACGTTAAGCAAGCTGGCAGGGAAATTAAAGGAGAGCAGGTTGTGTCAGGGTGCTATAAATATATTGTGTGGGCTAGTAACGCAAGGGTTTATTTGCAAAATCATAATAAAAGGTAGATATTCTCAAACAGCTGTACTGTTCTCCAGCACCTAATGAAAGGCAATGTATTGCACTATCGTTTCTCAAGTGCTCCAAGTATTTTTGTTTATTCCCAACCAATTTCCCAGTAAGGACACTTGTTCTCTAGCATATTATATGCCAAGTCTTTTTACTTTTTCAAGTAAGATTCCCAGTAAACATAACTCTAATATGGGAGCACTTTCATTTTTTGTTGTTGAACTCATTAATACTCAACATCTCACAAAATCACTTGAACAGGATTTCAAAATCAACACCATATGTAATACAACAGAACCAAATGATATCAACACCTCTTGCATCAAGGGGCCATGGCTCAGTGGTAGACCACATTCTCTGGATGGGATGATCCCATGCTAGATTCCTGGTATTTCCAAGTAGGACTAAGAAAGACTTATGTTTGTACACCTGGAGAGCTAGTGGCAGTCAGTATGCACAAAACTGAGCTAAGGAGACCAATGGTCTCATTCAGTTTAAAGTAGCTTCCTATCTGATCACAATTTAGAAGTACACTACTGGCCTAAAGGGGCCACTGATCCCACTTGTATATTCATATTCAACTTATATTAGGAGCTTATTCATTACACACTAGGGTAGCGAGGAATCACAAAAATACCTGAAATGTCTGGACAATAATGAAAATGTTGTCCACTCCAACTGCCAACACTAAAAATGGAATGACTTCAATAACAATCAATGTTAAGGGAACTCCAAAATAGCTGAAGATGCCCAGAGAACATGCAACTGAACTCAGTACAATCAGAATGCCTGCAACGCCCAAGGAAATTTTTGAATCCACCTAGCAAAAGAAGAAAGAAATCACAACAATTATATTTAAAATACCTGATTGGTACCAATTATAAATGTTTTTCAAGTACAATTGTAGCTTAACAAAACTACATCGCATCAAAATCTAGGTCTAGTCTTGCATAAAAAGAGCCAGAATAGGAATGTGTATCCTATTAGAAACCACCCAGTGCTGAAAACTAGCATCAAAATATCATTAAAACTTCAGTGTACACCCACAGCACCTAATCCAGCCAGTGATATACTGTATAAAGAAATGTCCTTTGCTGGATTAGTGAGAGAATGATTCTGAGGTTGAATAAAATATTTCCTTTTGGTACTTTGAAAAAGGGAAGGAACCTGCAACCAACTCAGTCAACACAAAACAGTTGCACTGAGCAGCCAATTTCTGTTAAATTTTTCATATACCATATTACACGACAAAGCATTTTTAAAAAAACCATGGTTTGAAGCTAATGGAATTCCCCTTATAAGAGTAAAAACACACAGAGATGAGCATAATAGTAGTCAAATATATAATAAATGTTTCAGCCCACTTTTATTTGTTGTAGACTTGCTTTTAAACCATTAAAGATACATACCAAGAATCTAGCAGCACTCTTGATGTGTCCCAGAGCTACAGAGATATACACAAACATTACTGCGTAGCTAATTACAACAGTACCAACATCACCGTAGCTTTCCCGGTCTATTTCATCTTCAATGCTACGCTCAGCAGAGAAAGAAATTGTTAAATTTGAGTTGTTATAGTTTTTCACAAAAGAGATGAACCTGAAAGACAACAAATCAATGGGTTCTTAGAATGTCAGAAAATTTCTCACATTATTCACATAGGCCTCCAATTTTTTTTAATGTTAGTTGTACTTTTGGACCAGACCCAACATTCTACTTTATCTTGATCATTACATGCTTCCCAGATGTCCTAGGTTATCCTTGGGCTCAATTCATACTTTTAAGAAAATGTGAAATGTGAAGGACAAAAGTAAAGGCTGCCTCACAGCCTGCTTCAGCTGGATGTTCTGTTACCGCCTCCAAAGGGTGTTCTATGGGGACACCCTTGACTTTTTATATTATTGTGGGTTTAAGATGTAGTTTAATGTTACTTATAAGCCACCTTGGAAGGATCTGTATCATGAAAAGAAGGATATGAACAAACTTCTGATGCAGTCTTCAGCATCTTATGCTTGCATAGGGAAACTGTGCAGCTCCAAGGTTACACTAACTAAAAGTTATGTCAGATAAAACACTAGCAGTTCGTCTATAACATGTTCATTTCTGAGTTACACAAATAGCTTGTTGTTTGTTTAAAAAATTGTGAAGTAGACCTTGCCAGATTCTCTTGGGCAGGCAACTGACTCATCTCCAGTATAAGAATTTTACATGCAATGTTTCAGTTAAGCCTCAATAAGAAAGACTTACTCCTTTTCCCAAGCCTGTGCTTTCATTAGCTTTTCTGTGTCGTTGTAGTAATTCTTGACAGGAAATGTGATCACAAGGGCTGTAGCATTATTGTAATTTTCACCTAGGCATTAAAAAAAAGATAAAATACATAAGGAACTATTTTAAGGATTATAGAAGAATATAGCTAGCATGACCAAGGAATGATGGGAACTAGAGTCCAACAACATATGGCAAGCAACATGTTGTCTAATCCTGTTATAAAGCGTCTTCCATATTCACTTCATGCTACTTCACTAAGTAAGACCCATTTTATTTACTAGCAGAAATAGTGTCATTAGTGCTAACCTAAGCCGATTTACACAGACGTAAATGCAACCAATCTCAATGAAACTTTCCACCAGGTTTAGGGGGCCCAACTACTAGTCTCCCCCCCGCTCCACACACCATTGTCCTCAGAAGGTACTCCATCATCTCTCCTCCCCAACCCATGCAAAGTGTTACAATTGCTTTTAGGTATGTATGCTTGAGTCTTCCTTGCTGAATAAAGTAAAAGAATACTAGCTCACACACTGGCTGTCAACCATGCACTGAAATTAAATAGTATTCACCAGAAAATTGGTTTTCCATCCAGACTAAATACTACACTATCTTACTAATTCCTGCTAAACAAGAAAATACACTTTGTTGTGTGCAAGTCACTCTATTCCTCACCATGAATATTTTCCCACATGGCATGGAAACACCACATGGCAGTGGTAAGGTTTTGCCAGGATTTGAGATGCAGTGTGTATTTCATAGCTGATATAAGTGTAGGCTACAGGCTGGATACTAAGCTGGCTGTATTACCTTAACAGTCCTGAAAAGAGACTGAGAATCACAACAAATGGATGTGGAGGCTACACCTTCATTTCAGCAAGGCTTCCACACCTGTTTTGATCCTTCACACCTACCATCATATCCTCCCATCACCAACCAAGGAAACACAGGGCCACCAAATGTTCCCAAACACGGATCGTGAAGCAAGGTTGTGTCATTCAAAGAGGCTGGAGCCCTGTGAAATTCATATACAGTTGTTGACAGTTATCCAAGTAGAACACTGCTTGTTACAATATTACAGTAGATCATATTTTGAAGTGAAGGGCATTTACTTTGGAATGCCCTTCAAGTTTCCTTGACTCCATCTCATTTTCTCCCTTAACACCTCAATCATGTATATTCTCTACTTAAAGGTAAAGGTAAAGGGACCATTAGGTCTTAGTCATGGACGACTCTGGGGTTGCGACGCTCATCTCGCTTTACTGGCCGAGGGAGCCGGCGTACAGCTTCCGGGTCATGTGGCCAGCATGACCAAGCCACTTCTGGCGAACCAGAGCAGCGCACGGAAACGCCATTTACCTTCCCGCCGGAGCGGTACCTATTTATCTACTTGCACTTTCACATGCTTTCAAACTGGGACCGAGCAACGGGAGCTCACCCCATTCCGGGGATTCAAACCGCCAACCTTCTGATCGGCAAGCCCTAGGCTCTGTGGTTTAGACCACCCTTCCTTACTTACCTACTCTGAAGCAATTTCCAACAAAGTAAGTAATCCTATTTCCAATCATGTAAGTATAGCAATAAGGTGTGAGAACTTTACAAGTACAAAGATCGGCCCAATTCAGCCAATTGTTCAAGCCTTCATAAAGCAAATTTTATGAAACCAGGAACAGAAACTAGGGAGCAAGCTCAATCTCCACCCCAGGCACTGGCTTATATTAATCCAGAGTTCATCAGTTTGCAAGGAATTCTGTCCAGGCTCCAAAGCAGTGGTGGGGCTTGGTATCCTGATCCTAGACACAAAGCATGGTGTATGAATGACGCTTTCTCCAAACCAAGTCAACAGCTCCTTTTTAGTTTTACTTAAAATGTATTCTACAATCCCTGTATCAAGCAAACTATCCAAGAAGCATGTAGACCAAAGAAGGAAATGAAAGTCAGTCTGTCAAACAGATATTCAAAAGCAATTTTGACAAGCTACAAATATATATGTGAAATATCACTGTGCTTACCGGACACAGTACAAGAGGTGAGAGTGGTAGTCAGCGTAGACAAAAAATTCATCACCAATACTGTGATCTAGGACAGAATGACTGTTCTGGAAATAATTGAGTACACTTAAAATAGTACAGTTGTTGTTGGAGGGAGCAAGAGGAGCCAGGCAGATGTCCTTCAGCATTACGGTGTCATTTTTATAAGAAGCAGTTATGTTTTCAATAGCATTCTGCAAGTCTAGCACCTGAAAGGATGAGAAAGGAAGAACTTAAGTGTCATAGCAGCAGAACAGAACTTTTCTTACGTCCATGCATCAAACAACCTTTAAGATATGGTGGATAAAGCTAAGCAACTGTGGCTCAAACTGTACAGTCTAAAGGAGATTAGATGACAAAAATACAGATTTCATAGTACTGCTTAGAATGTATGGTTTTATTTTATTTTATTATGCATTTATGCTGTAAGCTACCCAGAGCATTGATTTACAGTGGAAGGGTAGGACATAAATACAGAATTCTCTATTATACTTTAACATACAGCAACTGTTAATTCTACAATAGGCTAGTTCAGACATAACTCTAAGCCTGGAGTTCCCAAGCATAGCGGCCTCAGACACCCACTAAGACAGGCTCTCTGCCACTCCTAATTTTTTAAAAATTGTGGTTTTGGGGGCTTATTTTGGTTGTTTTGCTTGGGTGGTTTCCAGTTTGGGGAGAATTGTCTTTTTGTGTTGTTTTTGGGTGGTGTAAAAGTTTTGCTTGTGGGGGAGCGGTAATAAGCATTGACAGTTCCTCTGTGAAATGGGTGCTTTGTGGTACACCCTCTGCAGTTTAGATTTTCAAATGTCCCCCTAGGCCTAATAGGATGGATGCTTGCTCTAAACCACAGTTTGTATTACAAGAACAAGCTGCAGTGAGCCTTGGGCTTGTAAACTCCTACCTCTCCCCCTGGCAAAGGCTGCAAGTTAGAATGTGAAAGCTTTTCTTTCTATTTCAGATTAACCACTACATGCAGTGTCATCCAAAAATTGACAAACTGAGGTTAAGAGTAACTATGATTAGTTGAGAAACAAGCCAACTTCAAAACCAGAATTTATGAAGCTAGCTTGATTCAACTAACCACAGTAAAGAGTAATCAAAGTTGAGGGTTCAGATGACATGATAAACTGTAGTTAATCGAAAGCAGATATGGAGACTTCCAATCCCCTTATTGAGGCATCATCGGAAAAGGAGTTAGGAGCATGCGAGTCTGGTGGGAGACTTAATTCATTTGGAATGATAAACCATGGCTACATCTACACCAGTGTCATTATGTGCCTCAGGGTTTTTTAGTGCAATCATAGTCAAGTTGGACACAGCTACCTGGAACCACTAAGCTATAACTACAAGTAGCAGTACCAGATTCAATTCTTGAATGGCACACAATTCTGATTGTACTATGCTGGCAGGCACCTATCCCTGAAATAGTAGAGGTTTCAAGGGCTTAAGTATCTGAACAGAAGCTTCCCTGAAATTATTGGTAACTGCCAATCAAAGGCATCCCCCCCAAACCCCTTTGTATTTCAGTTTTCCAACTTGCACCCTTGCATCCACTGAGCATGCAAAGGGCTGCCGTCTGTATTACCTGATGCAAGATATCTTTAGTTAGTGGAGGCCCGAAAGGAATATCTGCTCCTGATGGATATGGAGAATAGATTTCTGGCTTGGCGTTTGGAGCTTGGATAATAAGTTGTTCAGTACGGAAGAAAGGTCCAAAGTGAGTATCAAAATATTCCTTCTCTTTGCGAGCTTCACTGTTTGGGGATGACCAAAGGTCTATAGGATTTGTTGTTACTTTGACAAACATCAGGCCTGAGGAGCACATGGCAATAAAAGCCAGGGAAAAGAGCACAACAGGTCTTGGGTTTCGAACACAGAAAGCCCCCCATGATGTGAATGTGACTCTTAACACGTTCTCAAACCTTTCACCCAGCCTTTCACACCAGGTAGCTTCTCCTGCAAGAACAAGAGCACATCCAGAGTAAATAAGATATCCATTTCCAACACAACCCATATACCTAACCAACAATTACTATTAATTAGGGCTTCCAGGTTTTTCTGTTTAATTTAGGAACAGGAACAAAATTGTAGAGAATGAAAAAGAGGACTATGACATTATTAAGCCCGACTCCATATAAAATAGGGCATAATTCAGCCACTGAATGCAGAAATCAGGAAGTACACCAGCATAATGCGTGTAGGAGTACCGTGAAGAAGAGTTGTGTGTAGTCTAGGATATTTATTTTAAAAACTAATAATTCATATTAAGAAGTTCCTTTTTTATTACTGAAAGCGAGAGAGAGAGAGAGAAATGGCGAGCAAGGAAAAAATTCAGGACATATTGTTTTACAACAAACCCAGCATGTAATTTAATATATTATAACCAACGTTCTTAAAGAGGAACACACACAAACGCTCTATCATTACTTTCTAGAACTTACCAGTATTCTGGCGTAAATTAACAGAATAGGCAATGTTGCTGTCAATAGGTGTGTATTCAGAAACAAAGTGTCTCTTCCTGTAAAAGAGATGAGCATGAACAAGAGCACTCAGGATTGGATTCTCAGTTCTATTTTATTTAATAATGTGATTCAAGACACTCTAGGTTACAGTTTGCAAAGAAAATACAGAAACTGTTATTATAGAATTTTTATTCCTGTTATTAGAGAATTTTTGGAAGCTAGGTCTTCATTACATCAATTACAAGTACTTGCGCTGAGCTACTCTGTGGTGGCTAAAGTATTTGAATAGTGCCTGGGGAAAATCCAGCATCAATCACTAGCCATTTCTGTGGCAGGTAACTGCATTGCCATATTTGACATTAATTCCTCTTCTTCAACGTAGTGCCATTCTCTCTCTCACTGGATCATTGCAGAGTTACAGCAGTCTCTTTGCTTCAAGTTAGAGAATATTTATTCGGAAACCTCAAAATCATCATGTACTAGTAAATGTTCTAGTAAACAGGTGATCTACATGATTCATCAGAATCTACTGGCAAAGCTTTTCCTGGACTGTACCTTTCAAGGGAAAGTGTTGTAGGTTCAACATTTTAATACTGCTGTCTGGAGTGGTAAAATCTCCTTCAGTAAGTATTTCTTTATCAGGCACCTCATGCAATGAGCCTATTGACAATTAAAATAAAATAGCATATTGGGAGAAAGCGAGACTATACATGTCTCCCTGACACAAATGCTAGGGTTCTTGAGAGTATTCAAGTGATCCTTACCCAAAGTAGTAAAGTCAGGAAAAGGCATATTATTTAATTGTGTTGAATAAAATCTTACCTGAATGTACCACTTGTGGCTGCAGGTGAGGATCACTTGAATGCTCTTAACACCACTAGCATGTGCGTCAGGAAGAGATATTCAGTCTAGCCTTCTCCCCAACCTGCTATTTCTCTTGCTACTCAATCACATAACAATCCCCACTATCTCTTCCCTAAAAAAGTTAGAATCCAGGAAAACGTTACCAGTTTATTCTGTTGAATACTACTTAATTCTGCCCTATACAGTGGTACCTCGCGTTTCGAATGTTTCTGTTGATGAACGTTTCGGAACTCAAACACTGAAAACCTGGAAGTAAATGCTTCCGTTTTGGAATGCACCTTGGAACTCAAACGGCTTCTGCGGAGGTATCACTGTATTTTTCTCAATTTTTTCCGCCCTTTGAGCTTCGGTTTTCAAACAATTTGGAAGTCAAACGGTCTTCCGGAACAGATTACGTTCAAAAACCGAGGTTTCACTGTAACCGTCTTACACATATCTCCTAAGCTCTTCAGGTTTGTGTAGAATACAAGTTTACAAAGCCATCAACAGAGTGCAGGCACTAAGACATATACATTTTATGAACCTTACTACATTTGGCCATTTTCACATGTCACATTAAACCATGGTTTAATTGAAGCAATGGTTCAATGTGAATGAACAGTGTACTTTGCTACTCCCCTGCTCCCCTCTTCAGTGAGCCAAGCAAGAAACATTACATATGAACAAGCCTTGGCTTAGTACCATAGTTTGATGGGAAATAAGCTACAAGACATTGCTTCGCACATAATGGACAAAGTCAATCTCTGGTTTCTTTGTTGTCACTGATGCACTGAAGGAAAGAGCTAAGTGCATGTTTACTTTAAACCATAGTTCATTTTAAACTATGCCTTAAGATGACATGCAAACTAGGTCACAGAATCATCATTATTACGCATGCTGATATTAATCATCCCTTCTAACAATAGAATTATTATCGCCTTCTATTGTGCTACATCTTCCTGTTATTCTCCTTGATAAGCATCTTGTAAAATAAGCACACCAAGCTTTTTTTACTACCTTCTAGTTGGGAAGCACTACAATCACAATCACTTTGTTTTAGAGCACAATGTTTGGTTTCAACACATTTTAAGGAGTTATCTCCCTCACCAGCTAATGTATTATAGGTTCCTAGTGACCTCATTTAAATTCTCAAAAACACTTCCTCTTTCTCAGCAAAACTGAACTACTGAATCAGAGTTTGCACAGACTAGATTGGCCAGAGGCTTCCGTGTGGTACAATGTCATATAAACAGTTTCATTGTACCAAGCTACAATGGTGCAATTGTCAGGCACAGACAAGGGTTCTATGAGACCATTTGTAAACAAACAAAAATTAATTTGAGAGTTAAATACATTGTGGGGTTTTTTGATTTCCCCCTTCCCTGTCTCTTTAAAACTGAGCAATCAGGGAGGGTGAATCCCATGACTATGAACAGCTCATAGGGCAGTTGTTTACACTGACAGATTTTCTGCTGCCTCTGTAGTTTCAGAGATAAAAACGATGCAGCTGAAGATACACAGTGCAGCAGCCACACTGAGCAGCACCCAGGATTTATTTTAAGTCAACATCAGGTGCAAAAGAAATCTCAAGGTAAGTCTGACATATTACAAGCACTCTCCTCATCTTGCTATGCCACCAAGTCTGACAATATATACAGTACTCAGTGTAGGTGTAAAATGTATAAATATACAGGTATGCTATACTTGTCCTAGATAGTTCCTTAAAGCACAGAGAATGCTAGTGGCTGTTCAGTTAACTGCACACTAAGCAAAAACAAAGCATTACTGCAGTATGGGGATGTTCTAAATGCTGTCTATGTGCAAGCTGTTCATTGTCACACAACATGGCTTCACTCTCTACAGCAGATTGAACCGGGGTGGGGTGAGGGCTGCAGAATAAAAGAAAAAGTTAAAGTCCCACTGGATTCTACCTTTAGTAAACAGTGGGATTATTTAACAGTTTATGAACAACTCCAACACTTAATTTTCAATGCTGTTTAAAAAGGGAGCTATTTACCTGTAACACCAAACTCCAAAAACTGCTGCAAAAAACACAAGCAAAAATCCTGTGTAGGAGATCCACATGATGACATACATGGCATCCAAACCAAGCAAAAGCCAAGGTACAGGAGGTGGAGGGGGTTGTGGTTTGGGACCACAGACAATAGAGCAATCCTGACAACTGCAAGGCCCAGTGACATCATCCATGGACTCATTACAGCCTTTGGTGGCATTGTTCATAGGAGTCATCCCATGGATAGAAACATCTAACAAGAGAAAAGTTATCACACTCAAAAAATACCCAAATACTAAAATTGTAGATATAATCTATGACAAATTAAAACCAACGTAAACCGATAATAGTTTCCGTTTGGCAACTTCAACTTTTAAGGTTGCCAAACTATCAGAAAATTTTTTTGTTCACTAGTGTAAGCAAGTTTACCATTTGATCCAAGGCCCATAGAAGTAAAATCTTCCAGGATTTAAAACCATTCAAAATTGCCACAAGTTACAGATGTATTTATTGCATTTAACCCACCCCACCTTCTGCCCAAAGGAGCCCAGGGCAGCAAACAACAAGCGATAAAACATCTTTCAAGAACTGCAATGCAGATGCACTCTGGAAAAGATATCAACTTAAAAGGCTGATTGGAAGAAGGTAGTCTTCGGCAGATGCAGAAAAAGACAACAGTGACATTTCCTATCTAATATTTCTTCTACACATGCTGACAGAAAAAAACATTGTGAGGAAGATAAGCCAAAGTGACCTCACAGGGAGTATCTCCTCCCTTTTAGAAGTATGTATCAGCACTATTTTAAACTGCAGTGCATGATTACAGCCTTACATTTTTATGTATATATGAAATTATATGCACATACACCTAAAGCCATAGCCTTATTAGCCCAGTAGTTAATCCTGCGTTGCCTAGGGGGATGGTCCAAATTCAGTATGTATTTGTGGCTCAAGTTCAAGACACTTGCTGCTAATAGTCAATAAGGAAAAGTTTATTTAAAACATTTGTTTCCTACCTGAAAATATTGGAATCATGTTGAAAGGAGTCTGACCATTATCCTTGTTGAGCATGTACTGAATCCAGTTGGTTGCATTGCATTCCCTAACATCTTTTCCACACAATAGTCCCAGCGCTTTAACATTGCTTGATGGTGCCTCCACATCTTTACATGCATTATACATAGCTAGAAGTATCATTACAATAAAGAAAAAGACAATGCTGATAATACAGTAATGATACAAATAAGAATTTACTAAGCTGGCTCAGCATCTGAAATAAAGCAATTCTGAATTTATAACAGAAGAAACGCTTGAAGACAAAAGGTTTTGACACAGTCCAAGATTAATCTAGGCTTCACAAATCTTCTCATTAGCTCACCAGTGGATTCTCTGAATAGTTTTCCACTAATTGCAAAGCATGCAGGAGGGATCTCTTGTCCTTTGCACTAGCCTTTACAGAAGACAAGAGTGCCATTTCTGCCTCTGAAAAGGTGAGGGCAAGATAACTCAACCCCAGTGCTGTGAGAGGATCTGGGGCAAACAGCAGCAGCAGCAAAGGAATCTGTCTTCTGCTTGCTGTGGAAACTGAAATGTACAAGGAGGATGTGACAATTTGGTTGCAAAGGTAGCTGGGTGTGTCCAAGCCCAGCAGTTGCCTCAAACAGGAAAGGAGGAAACTGCTCTATTGCCTAGGAGACTAAGCACACTCCTCCGATTTTATGAGCACCGGAAACCTTGTGGGAGCCCAGGAGGAGGGCATCAACATGCATTAGTGGAAGGTTGCCAACAGAAATGGACAGGGCAGATGAGAAATACTACCCTGCTACTTTATGGGGCACTGGAGAACAAAAGAATTGCCAGATTTAATATTCTTTGGGGGAAATGAACTGTAAGATTATAGTCTCCTGAATTAGCCTTGCAAATAGGATTAATGCTGGATCCCATTTTTCTAACTTCAATGGCACATATACACACAGCTCTCTTTATCATACTACTCAACTTCTGACTTGCAGATGAACCACACAGTTCATTTACACATGAGAATACACGCAAATAACTGCTTTTATAAAATCTTCTAACAAAAATAAATGATACACAACTATTTTGCCTCGCTTACCGTTAGCAAATTTTTCTCCAATGTAATACTCCAGTTCAGCGACATTGGTTTTCTTCTCTTTTGTAATTGGATCAATATATGAAGTTGTATTTGTTACATTGAGAAATTCAGACTGATGAGGACTGCAGGTTAGTTCGCAGAACAGGTTTACAAAATTATAAAAACATGATGGGCACCTGAAGAGAGAGTAATTATTAAACATTTATTCCTTTATCCAGTATGTGCACACAAAATGCAGGAATTTTCAGAATGTAGCATTTGTCTTCAAGAACAACAAACAGTTCTTACGGTCCAGATATCAAAGCTTAAATTAATAGTGCATTCCTGAAATGTGTAGTTCTAAGAATGATCAGCAAGGGCTACAGCAATATTGAGTACAGAAAAGTTCACAGCATTTCATCTGGAGGAAAGAAATGAAACTACGTAAGCAGCACAGCAGTGAAATCAAATGAGACATACAGTCCAATCTGACGCATGCATGCTCAGAGGTCAGTTCTACTATAGGAATACTCCCATATAAGAATGTGTAGGCTTGCAGCCCAAGATTCAGAAACCACCATTTACAGTGCTACCTCGGGTTACATTACCTTCGGGTAACGTAATTTCGAGTTACAAATGCAGCAAACCCAGAAGTGTATACTTCCGGGTTTTGCCATGTGCGCATGCGCGGAGAAGTGCTCTATCGTGCTGCGTGTGTCCGCAGAAGCAGCACCTCCAGATACGGACTTTTCAGGGTAAGTACGGATCCCCAGGATGTATTAAGTTAGTATCCAGAGGGTCCACTGTATTTAAATTTTAGTATTGTTGCCCCAATAAAAGCTGAAGAAAATATGAACTATAAACAAATATGAGGAAAGCATCACAAAGACTCTTCAGATAGTTCTCTTTTATTGGAAAGAGGTCTGGAGATATTATTAAGCAGAATAAAAATAATTAAAATGCTTAATATTTATATACATTTATTTGACCAACCTTTCTAGAAAGTTGTCTACTAAAATGCATCTCTCTGGTAGCATTCCACCATCAGAGAATGAGCAGAGCAACTTCTGGAGCACTTGTTGGGTGAAGACAGACATTGTAATAAAGGCATTTGTAGATATGTATTTTCCCATTATATTTCCTAGACAAGTAAATGTCTACCATATTTTCTCTAGTTTATTGAGAAGCGGGAGCAGGGGGGCAAATACCACAAGCAACAACCAGACAAGTGGCTCCCACATACCTGGAAAGAAACTGCAGCGGGAGCTCCAAGTTGTTTTTCAAAGTCTGAAGTTGTTGTACATCACAACAAAGGCTAACATTCTCAAAGAAAAAACCTGGGCAGAGTTCCTTAAGAGAAAATCAAATACATATATATATATATAAATATTTAAAATTCAAGTATTATAAAGTAGCCTGTGATTTTTTTCGTCTACTGCAAGGGTCACACACTCAACTTTAGACAATTGTCCTGGAAAATATCTCACTGTTTTCAACAGCTTACTTACTAACAGGCTTAGAATCACTGTAATAGTGAAATTAGTAATTACTATTTCATACTTCCTTAGTAATAACATTACAGAAGAAGAGACTGGTAGATTTGATATGATCGTAATCCTTATAGAGTAGACATTCAAGTTAAGAAATGCATATACCAACTACAAAGGCTAAGTTTAGGAAAAAATATGCTTAGTTCTTCTTTCCCATCCCCACTAAAGTTCTTATTTTCCAGTAAAATGGTAATTCACTAGAAACTTACCTGTACCAAATCATAGCCATCTTTCGGCAGTGGCAACGGTGGACCCTTATATTCACAATTGTACCTTTTATCTCCAGAAGCAACTTCACACTCGCCATACCAGATACACGAGTCTGAAAATACCTACAGAGGAAGAATAATGAATGTTAACTGTGTTGACCATAGGTTTCACACTTGCAAGGCGCATGTTAAAAGTGTCCCAACAGAGGCTGCTTATGAGAATACCATTTTAAATATACCCACAAACTACAGGCATTTCAGTTTATCAACAGGCTGGGCTTTCCCAGATCCCAACACAATGCTTTTCAAGTGACATCACCTCAGAACAACCTTCAACATGATGGAGATTTCTCTTACAGTAACACAGGCTCAAAGCCCTGTGCAGAACTAGTGGTCCCATTTTGTGGATCTTGGTCAATTTTTGCACACACAAATTCCCTAAGAACCGTTGTAATCACTAAGAGCATTTAGTTGGCCACTGTGCAATGTAGGACTAGGTGAACCTTTGATCTGATCTTACAGTCAAATATCAGATGTCAAACATTCAATAAATATGCATAAATGGTAAGGAGTCATTATCAGTTTCAGAGAAAGGTTCTTAGGATGCAAATCACTTTTAAATCAGGTTGAAAATAAAGGCACATCTAGTCCAGCATCCTGTTCTCACAGTGGCCAACCAGATGCCTATGAGGTCAGAAAGCAGGACCTGAGCCCAAGTCTACTCTCCCCACATCCTGCAGCTACCATTCTGAGGCATATTGCCTCTGAAAGTGAAGGCAGAACATATCCATAATGGTCGGCAGTCATTGATATTCTTATTCTCCACGAATTTGTCCAATCCTCGTTTAAAGCCATCCAAGTTGATGGCCTTCATTACTTCCTGTTGGCAGCCTTCACTTCTAACGAAATAAATTATATGAAATAAATACAGTTATTTGATAGCAAACACTAGAAAAAGAGAGGGCTAAGAAACCATTTTCTAACATTTATATGGTTTACATAGGATACTCTGGGACAAGAGCACAGAGCTACATGGGAGGGAGGCTTTCAGAATTGTGTTTGGTTACACAAAAGCATTCGGGCCAAAAATACTCCTTGGTTTCTGCAGTCCCAGAGACCATATACAGACCTCCACACTTCTCTTTCCAGCCACCCCCCTCACTGGCTCTGCTTCACACCCAGTGTTTTCCTCCTAGCTGGAATGTGCCCTTGGACTGATAACACCTCTTGCTTTAAAGTGTGTGTGTGTAAATGTATATAAAGTAGCATACTGTACATAGTTTTACATTTGGTGCTCTGTCCACTTTTGTTCTGGCTCAGAAAGAAATGTGGCCTTTGGGCTGAAAAAAGGCTCCTCATTAGTAGACTAAAGGACTCAAACCAAGTAAACCTTTATGAAGCAAGCTCAGTCAGCAACTTCTCTGAACTGGTAATTAATGATGAAAGTGTGATCATTCCAGTTTTCCCTCATCAACTTGCAAATGGATTCCCTTTTTTAAAATATCAGTCTTATGAGAATGATGTGTACATACAGGCTGTATTAAATTCTGTGATGAAAGGTATACGGAAAAATCACTAAACTTGCATGAGACAGGCAGGGAGAGAAAGATGTGCAAGACAAAGACTTCTGATGTCTCACATGCATCATGTGACAGTCTAGTGACAACACTTTATCCACAGGGCTGAAAGGAAATGTGCTGTCATCGGCATCTTTCTCCTATCTCATCAAGAGACTGGTGTTCTCTTCTATGCGACTCGAAACAACAGCTAGAATGACTAGCAACACTGTATAAAGTTTAGAGGGCTTATAAAGTACCAAGTCCCTGGCTGAAATATTATCAGGCATTGGGAACCTTATTCAAGCCACTTTTCCTTCAGCTTCAGCTCCTTTCCACCCCCGATTTTTGCCGAATATTGGAAGTACTTGTTCTTGAAATGTTATGTTAGTACTAAATATTGTTAGCAGACTTTGCTATTAGTTATCTTCAGTGCTTTCTTTCTGGGGAGACACAGGGGTGTGCAGACCCCTAAACATTTTGTGAATCTAAGTTTGGCCTCATTGAGGGGCAGTATTTCGATATGAGTAGGAAAATGAGAGTACCCCTAAACTTTGTTTTTTTTTAAGAAAAAAGCACTGGTTATCTTACTGATGCAATACATATAACAGGGGTGCTTATAATAGTTATTTTCAATCAATTTTCTATTTTCTGTTTGAATTTGCATTTGCAGGGTTTCATGCATTGTATCTTGAAGAGTAATACTTTTAGTAATCTTAATACAGTAAAAGCTTAACTGAGTTTTTTGTCATTAATACTTTGAAACTTATAAATTTCTGGAAGCTTTTTTCATCTATAGAGGATCTACACATACGAGGTTAAAGATTAGATTCCACACTTGTTTTTGGAAAGACTTCCAACAGTTTTGTTGTATGTAATGTACTTGGCTTACAAGGACAGATTGCCAGATTTCTGTTTAGCCTTGACTTTGTTCCCTTACAAAAATGAACTTTTGGAACTACATTTTGTAGAATTATGTCTGTTCTCTGTTGCTTACGATTATGCATCAATAGGGATATACACAGCATATTTTATGTATTTATTATAATTATTTATAAAACTTAGTTATAAAATGGAACAAGACACTGTACAATATAAAAATGGAATACTACAGTCGTAACAGTAAAAACATCAATGGAAACTGCATCCAGGGCAGCTTTTTCAGTAGTGGCTGCACTGCCACTTCTGTTAAGAGAGAAGCACCACTCCCTTACACATGCCCTGAATCTACTTTGGCATATGGTTCGTTGTTGCAGAACTAACCTTAAGTGAGTGTTGCTGCCCAAGTCTGAGGCATGGATCAGCTGGTTGTTAGGAAAAGTTTTGACTTAGCAGCATGGAAAGCTCAGGTTCTGCTCCTCATGTCAGAGCTGCAGCTCTTCAAACCAACTGGCCAGGTGTGGAAAGAGGAAGACAATTCTTTTTTGGCTGTTGATGTCAACGCACTCAAGCCCATATATTCAAACCATCTTGTAATCTTCAATACTACAATTCTTAAAAGGAGAATATGGCTTTTCTGTGTTCCCTAAATTCAGAATATTATCTTCTGATTAGCACCTCTCCCATTCAGGCCAGATAAGTGGGTCAGGATAAGATGGTGAACAGACTTGCAGGTGTTGGTTATATAATTAGACAAATGCCATTACAAAGGTCATGTCACTTAGGAAGCATTCAAATTAGCCTTTTCTCATTGGTGATTTAAATTGATTTGAATCCTACCCATTTATTACTACAGTGGTACCTCGGAACAGTAATCGCGCACCAGCAGCAGCGGGAAGCCCCATTAGCTAAAGTGGTACCTCAGGTTAAGAACAGTTTCAGGTTAAGAACGGACCTCTGGAACTAATTAAGTTCTTAACCCGAGGTACCACTGTATACTGAAGGCATCTGATGCTTATAGGCATATAACAATTCATTATAATTAAATTATGTCTTTAAAAACCCTCAAAGCACATAAAATTGTATCTGTCATCTCTTCCCTCCTCAAATTGAACATGTATAAGAAACAATTACACAAAAGTCTCTCATGTATACCAGAAAAACACCAGCTTCTTTTTATAAATCATTTGCCTTTTTGACAAGAACTGAGGCACTATTGTTTAGGACTACAATGTTTCTCTTTGCAAGTATTCTTGGAAACGTTTCAGCTACTGCAGACTTGAATTAATGATAAAATCAAAAACATTATTCTCTCATATTTGTTGCTGTGATTTAACTATCACCCTATGAAACACTGAGATTTATCTAAACCCATTTGAACCATATGCAAAAATGCCTACACTCAATTTTGGAGCATTACATCTATGGATGTAATGCATATGGATGTATGGATGTAATCTATGGATCTATGCTTTCATTATTAGTAATACCAAGATGCATGAATGAAAACTATGTGAGATTTTTTCCTTAAGTTCCATTCACATACATCTACTTTTAAGTGGTTTATATTAAGAGAAACTGCCACAAATTACTGTGCACATCTGTTAGATTGAGGACACATAAAATTCATAGGGAGGCTACCAATGTGAAACCTTTTTAGTTCTCAGTTGCAGCTTTCCTTCTTGACCTGAAGCACCACTTTAGCTAATGGGGCCTCCCGCTACCGCTGCGCCACCAGAGCACGATTTCTGTTCTCATCCTAAAGCAAAGTACTTAACCTGAAGCACTATTTCTGGGTTAGCGGAGTCTGTAACCTGAAGCGTATGTAACCTGAAGCGTATGTAACCTGAGGTACCACTGTATTTTTATATATTTTGTGTGTGTGTGCGCGTGCGCGCTCACCCACCCACCCCGATATACAACATACACACAAAATACAACATATATTAGCTTTATTTTTCAAGTATTTTGCAACTTTGAGTGAACATGGAAAGGCTTTAACACAACATATTAAACTAAAAAGGTTTGTTTATTTGATTAAGTTTTGAGGAGGCTAGGGCTACAATTTTTTTTCTATTGAAACAGAAAAATAAACTAATAAATATCATTAATAAGTTATCTCAGACCATTCAGAAGGGCAACAATTCAAATGTAACATCTGATGACTATTAAGTGGTTAAATTATTGAGTGAAATAAGGTAAGACGGATTGCCAACTTTTCCTCCTAACCAGGCTCCTCTTTAATGAGATTGCCACTGTGAATGTTAGAGATATTCCACAACCCCATGCTTCTATTTTTATAAATTTCCTGAAATTTCTTCCTCACCACCATCTCCTTTCACACTTAACTTCTAACCTCTTGGCTTACCTGAATTATAAATTCTTGAAAATGAAGTATTGGTCTGGAAGTACTCCCCCCCCCCCCGCCACATCTCCTCACATCTCACATCCACTCCCAGCTCCTTCTCTGTCCCATTGCACAGCCATGCTGTCATTTTCCAACTGACCCTCTCTGCCCACACTCATTCTCATTCCACCCAACATTCCACTTAAAACTTTCTCACAATAGGTTTGTATTGAGCATATGAAGTCAAACGCCTTAGGAAATACCACTGACTAACATAGTTTTGAAAAGGTCTTTTTGTGACCAAACTACAAACATATTGCACAACTCACAGCACATACTAGACATTCCTCTTAACCTAACACAACAAACCATTTCCCAAAATACAAAATATAAATGAAGATTCCCCCCAAAAAAAACCACCATAACAAAATCTATAGAATAAAAGCACCATCAGCACACCAATGTCTCATACCATTTTAAAAAAAAATCATTCAAAATCATTTCTCATCCTTTCTACCCAAAATTCAGCATGGACCATCGTCTTTCACACTGCCAAGTTTCCAACCAGTCTATTGAAGCTTTTTCTAACTACAAACCATAGAATGTACTCTCCTATTGTGATCCTATAATATTCAAACACACCAAACAGCTACTTCAGACATCACACCATATCATGGTTTTGGCTAACCTGAATTTAGAATCCAAATCATAATTAAAGTTTCCATGAAATCGAACACCTAGTGTTGGTTCTCCCTCATTGCACAGTAGCACCCAAAGACCAAGAGATGGTTGTTGTTCTGTAATTTATCTATGCAGACATCATACCATACCCTAGTTAAGATTCCTTAAATAGGATTTCACATGATGTGTACAGTGAACTAGGCTCTTAATACCAGCTTAATGCCTAAATTTAAATTTTGAATTTATGCAAAACCATCCAATTTTTACCAAAAGAAGATGGCTCATAAAATGGAATTTACCTACACAGAGGTTACCTAAATTAAAATGTCACACATTTTGGTGCTCACACAGCACTGCACAGTGCCACTGCAGGAACTCTCAAAGGTTAAAGCACCCTTTCAGCTCACATATTTCAATACTGTAGTCCTCTAATTTTAGGATACACAGAGACACAGCAGCTTCCCACACATCTACTTGACAGCATTCCTTTCCTAAATCATAATCAGATACCAGTCCCACCTCCCAACAGTAGTGCAATATTATACCAACTTAAAGCATACATTAAACTTACTCCCACTAAACTCGACAGAAGCCCCACTCCCTCCTCACTCCGCACACCACCCAGCTAAAGAGAGAACTATGTATGCTTTCTTGAGCAACTTGAAGGAAAGGTGGGATATAAATGTAATAAATACATAAATAAGGCAGTAGAATTGACTACACCACTTCAGAATGCTGTTCAAAGCTACCATTTTGCAATGTTTTTCTATGTGAACGCTCCCGGCTAGTAGAAAAGTAGCACACCAGGAATAAAAGTTATATCTTAATACTTGCAGGGAGCTTCTTTTAAGGCAGAGGAACATTCCAAATGATCTCCATCTGCAACTTGAAGCGGTGCACTCTTTTACTTCATTTTGCAGAAAGGGGCCCAACCCATTTAAGCACCTAGTATGAACAAGGAAAAGCTGTGCTCAATACAGGTACCACTATTTCTAAACACTGTATACTCCACACATTTATAATGGTGGCCACTATGGAGAAATTATCTTAACACCCTAGAATGAAGCATACCCTGTGGATATGAGCTTAGTCTCTAATGTATAATATTTTCCAAGCAGTCTGTTTTGATGCCATGTGAGTGACTACATACAAGGCTTAACAACTGTAGTGTATTTTTCCTGGAAGTCAAACACTTTATGCTTGGTAATTGTTTTTAAATAATTCAATAAAGTTTGGATAGGGGGAGGATAATGGTGGCCAAATATGCATATCTTAATTCTTTCTTATAAGATAAAGGACACATGGCAAAGTACTGTCTCAATGACATAATGTGCCCCAGTAGCAGTTGGTAAATCTCACATCTCTCATACACAACTCCAAAGGAACACTAAGGCATGTGAACAGTTTGTTGAAACTGCTTATATTCATTATGATCTCTATGGGTAGCCGCAAGCCAGTTCCACTTCTTCTTTCCATGCAGACCACTAGCAAAGCCTACAGGAGCAATGATCAATAGGAAACCAGCTGCTATTCTGTAGAGTTGCCACTTTTCTACTTCTGGTTTCCTGTGCCTCTTAGATATGACAGATAGGAATACAGTGGTACCTCGGGTTAAGTACTTAATTCATTCCAGAGGTCTGTTCTTAACCTGAAACTGTTCTTAACCTGAAGCACCACTTTAGCTAATGGGGCCTCCCGCGGCTGCCGTGCCACCGGAACACAATTTCTGTTCTCATCCTGAAGCAAAGTTCTTAACCCAAGGTACTATTTCTGGGTTAGCAGAGTCTGTAACCTGAAGCGTCTGTAACCCAAGGTACCACTGTACAACAATGGTAGAAATAACCAGCATGCAGATACAGTAATATGGAAGTTGCATCTATTACTCCAATGTCTGTCATTCAGCATTCAATGACACATATGCTCAACCATGTCTACGTTCTTGATGGTTAGTGTCTTACCCAAGAAGCAAAAGAAAATATGTTAGGCACAACAAAGGTTTATCATGTCACTTGGAATAAGCATCAGAAAGTAAAGAAAATACAGGAAGTTATCTGTGCTATATTCATCAGGTATCCAAGAGAAGAGCAACGAAGAGCTGTGACTGCTCTTAGCACAACTCTTGCGAAACAAGTCCACTGAGTACTTCTGCATTCGTTGTGTCAATGCAGATCATATCCAAACAATGTATCACTGCCAGGTGTGTTAAATGTGAGCTTCTCAGACTTTCAATTTTAAATAATAAGACCTAGATTCCTTGGGGAGTGGAACTGAAAATGAGATTCTTAGGACTCAACAACCACTGAGGAGTCCAGTCAGCCAAAACAATGGGTTATGGATGTCTAACTTCACTTTACTGCTTTGCATCTATTTGGCAGCACACAACTTGCTTTTAAATTTGTAGCATCAACAAAAGTTTTGAATGCAAGATAGAAGTACTTAATACATCTATGAATAACAGCAGGTTTACAAGTAAGTATTGGAACTGTAAGAAGCCATTTGTTGCAATATTATGAATGTCACCTAGTTGCTTGAATAATAATGTCTGGCAAATTACCTGACCCAGGTGATTTCTCAGTCTTGCTTGCACAATAACGCTACTACAGTATTCAGACAATTAGTCATTTATGCTGCTTTCACCCAGCCATTTTTTCAACTACAAAATGATTTACCACTCTTTTCATGACAAAACAGACTTCTCATCACTGAATTTTTTTTTTAACAGCTGGATTTTGCTATTTTACCGTGGTGGATCCTGGGGTCTCAAATTTGACACCCTGTGCTATGCCCAAATTTGGTGCCCTTCTGCCTCTCCCGCTCCATTCTAGTTGCCACGCCCCTGGTGGCTCCCCGGAGGCTTTGCACTCAATGTGCTCCCCTAAAACTACCTGTGGGTTTGTCAACATTCTTACAGCAGAATAGGCTCACTCCAGTCTCCCTCCTTTGCTCCCCTATATGCTTGGAACTGCCTCCCAGAATGCCTATGTGATGCCACCACTTACCTTGCATCAAAGTTTAGATTGCAAGCTCTAAAAGCCTGCCCTCTTTTACACTGTGAAGTGCCACACATACCACTGGTGCAAGATAAATAAGACCTGAAACAAGGGCCTGCAATCTATAATACACCAATTTGCTCTCTACAACAGGCTCAAGCACTTCCCAAGGAAGGATGGAAATTGCCTTACACTGGGCGGAGCGGGGGAGGTAATCTGTACTCCTCAAGATGTCCTTGCCCACCCCCCACAGCTCCAGCCGGCATAGATCAGGAGAGTTTATGGGCTGGCAATGTTTGAAGGCTGCAAGTTCCCCGCCCTTGACCCGGCTCTGAAGATGTACGCTTCCTTTTACAATTAAAGCGCTTGCCATAGAGACAGCAACGACTGACTGCCCGTCCTAATTTTAAAGTTCTCGTGACCTACCGCATCCCTTTGCTCCTCCATGCCAGCGAAGCAGAACTCTTAACCAGAACTATCTGAAGCTGAACAGATACCTGGGCCAGCTGCTGTTAAAGCAGAAGTCTTACCCAGACGGATCTGGAAGCAAGTCCCACAAAACTCAACAGGAGTTACTTTCGAGTAAAACAGCATTTTGCCCAGAACTGCACCCCAAAGAGTCTCTCCCTACCCACCTCCACCCCGGGGTATATTTTCTTACTAATGCTGCTAACCCACCAAACCCCCAAGAATTCACCTCGAACCCCCCCCCCCAAAAACCCTTTTCTCATTACACAGTCAGGGACCTTTAGACAAGTCTGTGAGTGGTCTTCCTCTACCCCAAAATGTACCCACCACCACCCCCCACAAACACCCCAGCCCCACGCCAGCTTTATACTCCTCCTCCCTGGAGGCACCCTCTCCACTCACCCGGCCGGGCAGAAGCGCCAGCAAGAAGGCGGCGACGGCGACCCTGAGGCCGCACAGCCCGCAGCAGCCGCCTTGGCCGCCTGGCCCAGCGCGGCTCCCCATTCCCCGAGGAGCCTCCCGCTCGATTAGCTGTGGGGCTCCGGCAACCTGCGAAGTCGCTGGGCGGCCAACGTAGTCAAGGCGGGAACTGCGACTGAGGTGCTTCAGAGACGGAAGGCTCAGCGGTCCCTCCCCTTCCTCCGTCCCTTCTCCTCCTCCTCCTCCGCGAGGGGCGGCGCTGAGATCTGAGGTGATGTCGGAAAGCCGCTTCGCCCGCCGCCAACCGAAGCGGTCGGCGTCGCCTCAGCTCCGCCTTAGGCCCAGCCCAAGTTGGCCGCCTTTTCCTGTGAGGCGGAGCTGCGGCCCCGTCACGCCACCTGCGCGCCCGCCCGCCCGCCCAAGAAACGCGTCCGGCTGCCCCAGGAGTAACCGGTTTCTCTGGTGCCGCTTGCACAAGTTTGTTGCAGTCCCTGAACGGGTTAGGCTTTAACTCGGTAGGGCCTGCTTCTGCGCTGACGCGCCCAGCGGGGATTCCTGTTTCGCCTTTTGGAGTTTTAACTCCCAAACGTTTACTCCGAAGAAAATCCTGCTGTAATCTGTAGGCTTTCCCTCCTGGCAAACGTCCTGGGGGATTGCGCCATGAAAGCTCATAAATGTGTTGGGCGTCTGTCCAGGCATATGTTTGTAGCTCCAGTTTTTCTTCGATTGCTCCAAGGTTGATTTTATGGCCCTCTCCGTTTCAGGTCCCTATTCCCAGCCTGCAGCCTCCAAACAGAAGGTGAAAGGTGCAAGATTTTGCCGTCACTGGACAGGCAAGGAAGCATTTCAAAAGCCATTTTGCACATGTTCAGTGAGACGCTTTGAAAGTCCTTTCTTTGGAAGAACTCTGCACGTGCTCAGAGGCACTAAGCCTAAACACTGCTAACATTTTTCTTAACAAAAGGTGCTATGCTTTAATAGATCTCACATGTCTTATTAATGCTTAATTGTTTTTAATGTCTCTTTTTTTAGCTGTAAGCCACTTTGAGACCGTCAGGGAAAAAGGTGGGATATAAATAAACATAATATTAATTGGTATCTGAAGAAGAGTGCATGCACACAAAAGCTTATACCAGAACAAACTTAGTTGGTCTCTAAGGTGCTACTGGACAATACTGTATTATTATTTTTTGACTGCGTCAGACCAACACAGCTACCTACCTGAATCTATAATATGAATTATAACTCCTCTAATAAATGTTGCCAAATGTCCTTTTAAAAAGTAGTAGGGGGGCTGGACTGGGATCTAAGTTTCACATACAATGTCAGCCCAATTCAGACCTAGAACATTGAAAACAACCGAACTTTTGTTTTATTCTGGGGCTTCTGTTCATGGTTGCTAATCGTGTGGTGTGCTTGAGGGACCAACATTGCAATGAGTCAGACTATCTCATTTTTATAACAAGTCTGTGAACAATGGGTGTGTTTGTCATAAAGCTGTGCTTTATTTAAAATGCGTCATTTCTTGAGGAGCCTAGATTTATTTCTTCCCAACGTGTTTACGTGTCTCCCCCATACTGTGTATCTTTGTGGGTGAGGCTCCCACTGAACATAAAGGTAACTGGATCAAAGGCTGTGGATCTCCTCATTCACATTTTTCAGCATCTCTTGATAAGGAAGCGATAAGACAGTGGCTGCCAATGCACGTCTTTAAATCTGACATGCAACTCGCCAAGCATCCTCCCAGGTAAATGTGCATAGGACTGTGGCTCTAAGTGCACATTCCTCTTCATAAAGTACTTCAGTTACGGTAATTACCGTAATCCCATTGTGCTATATCAGGTTTTATCAGCTATTGTGATAGTATGGATTTTACTGGAGTTGCAGCATGGATAAATTCAGCCCAATATGTTGTTGCTGTGGGTGTAAAATGTCTGTGTGTACTGCTGACATGAAGTGGCCTGACAAGTGTTGTAATTGTTAGAACTGGGTGACCAAAGCTTCTAATCTATAAACTTGTTTGTAATCTGACTCAGGAGTGGAGGAATGAGTAATCAGGAAAGAATATCTCTGTCAATCAGCGGTTCCTATGGGAACCAAAATGTTTTGCAACCTCTCTTAGAGCCAGCTGGTGGTGAAAATATGAATTGCTGAAAAGGTAGTTGAGGGTCAATTGTGATTTTGTTTTTGTTTTAGGGCAACAAAAAACTACATTAACAAGGAACCAAAATCATCCATTTTAAGATATTCTACACAGAATAGAATGCAGCCCGCAGTGATCCAAATGAAGCTACTGTCAATTATGCTGCACAGGAGACTTCATTGGGAACCAGACCACGAGTCAGTCAGCTATGACTAATTTTCATGTTTGGATGACTTGCAGGATGGCTGGATGATAAACCACAGCCAGTTACACCCTTTTTCTTTTCTTTTTTAGAAAAGCTCATTCAGCAGCTTCCTTTGGCCCAGTTTCTTTCATGATTTGTAAATCACTCTTTTGTGATTCATAAGCAAGTTTTCATTTTTTAAATTACCAAATGTACGTAACAGAAGCATAATATAGCATTTTAAACTACAGTTTAATAATATTATTAATGCAGTTTAAGAAATATTAACACAGTAACATTAAAATAGGAGAATACAGCTCCCAAACATACTTAAAAGACCAAAGAGTGGAATGCTTTCTCTAGGGAATTCCCACTTGGGTGAATTATTTGTGAGTGGAACAGATGTGTTTTCAAGTATATGTACCAGTTTACTACATGAAACCACTAGCTGAGATGCTTACTTGCAGGTAGATCGGCTTGAAGGTAGGTATGTTGGGATACTGCAGCAAAAACAGGTGGGGCACTTCACTCTTAGCTTGGTGATTAAAGTGCAAAGTAGGGCACTTCTGCAAGCCACACAAGTATTCAAAAGGAAGAAAGTGACTCAGGCTACTGAGGAGGGTGTGTGTGTGGTGTTTCCCCATTAATGGTTCCCCAGTTGTAGAATGAGCTGCATTTATTTCCCTCATTATCAACTTCCAGGAGGCATTAAACAACTTTCCTGTTTACCAGGCATTTGATGGCTGAAATATACTGTTCCTAGCAACTTTGAAATTGTTAGCTGTGAGTATATATGGTTGTTTTTAGATTTTTAAATTTGTATTATTTTATGATTAGTGTTTTTACCACCCTGAGGTTGGATGAATACCGACCAGACTTTCCAGTTTAGAATAGAAATTTCAAAATAGAGTAGCTGTTAACAGAAGTAGGTGTTAGTAAATCAGGGAACTGTCCTATTCAAATAAAGTTTCTATTAGATTCATATTCAGTCTGCATACTAAACGCCTCTCAGCGTCTGAATATAAAAAAGCTAAGACAAGCTAAGCATTATTTTAATTTTAATGATTACATGGGAAAGTAATCTGAGGAAAGAAACTGAATTGTACATAATTTAGCAAAGACACCGCACTATGCAAAGGCATGAGAAAACTAATACTGAAATGGGAAAATATTCTGGAGCAAGTTCCTATCTCTGTACACTATCATGTATTGCTAAGAGAAACAGCTACATCATCTTTAGTGAAACTGTCATGAGCGAAGTCCAACTGCTGTTCAAGCACTGCAACATTTTGACAGTATAGTGGTACCTCGGGTTAAGAACTTAATTCGTCCTCAAGGTCCGTTCTTAACCTAAAACTGTTCTTAACCTGAGGTACCACTTTAGCTAATGGGGCCTCCCACTGCCGCCGCAGCACCACCGCCCAATTTCTGTTCTCATCCTGAAGCAAAGTTCTTAACCCGAGGTACTATTTCTGGGTTAGCGGAGTCTGTAACCTGAAGCGTCTGTAACCCGAGGTACCACTGTATCCTCTCATTTCCTTTGGCAATGTTTAAAGGCAGAGAGATGTTTCTGTGGGTGCTTCCACACTTGAGGTGAATTCAGCGTTGTACTTGGGCAAATGTTCTGTCTCCACAAGTACTTCAGCTTGCCAGACAGAACAATGCCCCCTCTTTCCCCCCTGTGCACTGCACTGGGGGTTCTCCTGATCCCATCCACCCCAAGGCAATTTCAGGGGATGGGGAAAGCAAGTGGGAATCCTTGCCCAGGGCTTCTGCTGGCCAGTATTGTTAGGTGAATCCTGCCCTATGTATTTACTCTGAAATTGCCACTCTTGGTTAACTCACTTTTTACAGGGGAGCTGCATGATATCGTCATCAAATAATTTTGCTGCTCTTTCCTCCCTGATGCATGCTTCTTCTATCTTTTCTCAAATCTTATAAAAAATCTGACAGCATTACTTTTTGATTGGTATTTTCCTTCCTCTACTAACATGGCTGTGTCATGCCCACTAGAGTGCATAGAGCATAGCTGGATATATGTACGCAAATACAATCCTCTTATCTCCAGAACTACAGAAGTCAGTTGCAATTCTGCACATAGCTTACAGTGAAAAGAGACGTGTCTGGGTAGAGAGAACAAGAAGTGGCCAGTCTGGAATCAATTTACACTTTAAGTCACTGGAAGGAAATGTGATTATGATATTTGACGTAGTAAGCACAGCTTAATCCAAGTTCATGTAATGTTGAACTACACAAAATTTATTGTAGAACTATAAAATTAACACCTGGATATATCTTCCTTTAATTCAAGCATTATAGGCCAGATGTTTTAAATGAATCATTTGTATATTGCAAAAAAATAATGCTAAAGGTTGTCACAAAAGGAATGAAGCTCCAGATTTTGTAATATAATTTAAGGCTTCACAGGTATACCATAAGACTGACTACAACACCATCTTAACTAGCTACACTTATATCAAAACATGACACTATAACCAGGGTTGTTCTTTTTAACCAAGCAACATTCTATATCAGACATAAATATGTTTTAGCTGTTTTGTATTTTATGGTGGTGTAAGCCACTTTGAGACATTTTCTATATAAAGCAATGGATAAATGCAACAAATAATATACCAGAAATAATGTCATAGAAATACTTTGGTACTCAGCATAAGTTGCCTTCTCAAACCATTATATAACAGTAGACAAATCTTCCTTCCATACCAGTGTTAAGCATTGGCATATCTGCTGGCTGGGGAAATAAAATCTGAAATTTTCAGCAATCCTGGCACCCTCACTACCCCTGCCAAACTCCCAAAGGTAAATGGGACAGCAAGAGGCTTTAATTCAGCAGCTTTTAAAGGAGAATTAACCCAGACACAAACATAAACAAAACAAAACAAAACCCCAAAACATTAACCTATGTATCACAGTATTAATGGTAACACACACAAGCAGCTTGCTTTTATCTTGTGCTAAGCATAGTGCTCCAAAACTTTTTAAAAACCACCATCAACAGCATATTATTAGAAAAGTGCATTCTCTGTGTTTGCAATTCATTAGAGCCTTGCTTCACCACTTCTTTCCCTTCCTCCTATAGATCAGACTCTTTGTTTTGCAATAGCTATGATCCTTGAAGTCTACAGCATACGTCAAAATGACTCAATACTGTTGAGCAACAGCAAAGTGGGTTTTTTAAACATTATTATTTACCAAGGTAACAGTGAAATATTGCAGCTGAATTTTGAGCCTGCAGCCTTTGCAAATGGTATTTTGATTTCCCTTGGCCCTGAAAATATGTCCACTCTGACACAAGCAACTGAGTAGCATGACTTCTAACAAATTAGAGAAGCACAAAAGACCCTCAATGGTTGGCACCTAGTTATAACTAGCAAGAACTGGCATATTAACATAGCAGTTCACAAGGAAAGATAATAAACAGAGTCTCTTTATATTGACAGCTGGGGTAACGTTTCAGTCATATTGCACCTGGAGTTATCAATGCGCCTGGAGTTATCAATCCTGACTATGCTAGAAAAATAGGCTGTTGCAAATTATCAGACATAAGGGTTTTTTTAGCACCACTTATTGATGTAAAGGCTCCTATGCCATTGGTTTGTATCTGTTCAGCAGGATATCTGTGCTGCTCTGGTTTCTGAAGGAAGTCCAATTCACAGGAGCTGATAAATACTAAAGAAGATTTATTTATGCTGTGCATGTTTCTAGCACCTGTATGGTAGATTCTCGTGCCTAAAATATGTTACAGGCTTGGTGACTGTCTCTAGTATTTCTTTCAACTGACCCAGATAGAGAAATGTATCAGTCCACTACAAAGCTATTGATGGTTAATAGCTTTAACAGCTAAACTTTATAATAGTGTATACTTTTATGTAGGCTAGGTACACAATACCAGTTTTAAAATGCAGCAAGATTGTTTTCCCTGCTGCGTTTCAAGTTGCTTTTGTTTGGTGTTGTACACACCAGTCAAGTTTGATGTGTTCCTAAGTCACCCGCTGTCTATCCACACAAATGGGCAGAGAGGACACAGTGAAGCAATCTCTTCAGAACTCCTATTCATTAAGCAATCATCTGCACACATACAATGGCTTTCTCAACTGCATACACCTCAGCTGAACTGCGAAGTGACTGTACCTTAAGTTTTCAGCTTGGATGGAAGCTGGTTCAAGGAAAACACATTAAACAGCAGGATTTCTCAATAAACTTCGGGATAGATATGAATTGTGGCTAATGTGTGTACACGGCTTTAAAAAACCAGCAATGGGGATGCAGAGTAAACAGTAATGTATACACAGTCCTGACTCACTTAGAGGTTTGTTTGTTTTTTGTAGAAGTGCTCTGTAAATTTTGTTAACTAACTAGAATGTCAATGTTCAGAGATAGCATGCCCCTGAATACCAATGGGGGACAACAGTTGCCATCAAGTGTGTTTCTAGGAACAATTTGGCTGGCCAGTGTTGGAAAAAGGACACTATGTGGGCTAGATGGACCCTTGGTTTGATTCAACAAATATAATCTTAACTGTATTCTTTTACAGAGTAATAGGCTTTCACTACTCACTTTGTTCTTGGGATGTTCCAAAGGACTAACAGGCACACATAGGATTGGCTTCAATGTACTGCTAGTTTCACTCGAACAATGGGGCTTTGCCCTCTCTCCTTCCTTGTATGCCCCCCAAGCCTGCTCTGGGGTTCCCCAAGCCTCCAGAGCAGATTTGGGGGCGAGGAGGAGAGTTTTGCTTGTTCACAACAACTTAGTTGAATCCCAGCCACAGACCCTTATCCCATATTATAGTAGCATACTTCCCTCCCCCTAACAGTTAATCATAGAAATCCTGAACGCCTGCATCAATTTTAAATAATTAGTATGTGAAATAAAATTTATTGTTTTGCCTGCTTTAAGTATCTCATCCCAGAATGAAGGCAAATCTCTTCAAAAATTGATTTAAATTGCATAGAACATGTGTTTGCTAGCCTTTCCTGCATGGTTGGGCTTCCTAGCGTATTATTGTGCTTGCTCAACGTAGCTCCAAAAACCTTCTGGGATTCAGTAGTAGACAAACCAGTTGAGTAAGGGCTTAACCATGCATTATGCTTTTCTTAGATTTAGGAAAACTTAATACGCATTGTAAACCATACTTGGATAAATAATTTGAAGGGCAATATACAAACAGATGCAAAGCTCCATGAGATATGCATTAGATAGATGACAGACAGACAGACAGACAGACAGACAGACAGACAGAATCTCTATATAGGAAGATAGGTCTTGAATAAATAAATGGAAAGCATCATTAGGTAGGCAATATGAAATCTGTCTAGAGATTACCACTAGGTACTTATGTGTGTAGTAAGAATATAATTTATGAAGTGGGCCTTGGTATTAAAGAATGCTAACAGCTATATCATCCCAACATGATGGGGGCTGGCAGCCTGCAGCCCTAGAGCTGCATGTGACTCTGAGCCTAATCGCAGCAGCTCTCTTCTGGGTGTTCAATTCAGCAAGAGGAAGCTGTCCCTCTCCTGACAGCCTACTGGGTGGACAGGAAGACAGAGCCAAGGGGGTGGCACCCACTTTGGGCTTTGCTCCCTCCCTGCCAACATCTTCCTTACCCCCCCCCCAGCACACCCCACCCGATAACCCTGCCCCCCTGCACCTTGACAACTACAATCTAAAAGGTGATGTGTGCCTTAGCAGGGGAGTACTGCTGCAAGTAACTGAACATGCCACATTTTTATCAAAAACCTTTATGACACCAGCGAGCAAATGGCCTAATTGGTACCATGACACCAATGGGCTATAAAAGGAGGCATGAAGCACTATGAGAAACCAAACTGCTGGTGCCCCCGTCTGTGCCATCTGCAGACCCTGAGAAGGGCTCAGACCAAACTGGACTTGCCAGAGCACAACTAAAAAGACCTGTGCAACTTTTGATAAGGATCAGGAGGTTTACATCAAGGAACAGATAATGCTACAGCAAAGGAATATTTCTCTGGAACAGAAAAAGACTTTATTCAGGAAAGCCACTTAGTGACCCAGTCTTCCCTGCATCTGAAGCCAGAGACAAAAATCTGGTGAGTGCAGTAGTGTTAGGACCTTAGCAGTGCCACTCCATGGAGAACCCTGACCTTGTTCACAGAGGAAGAGTCAGGGCATGTTGCTTGAGTCTCAGCAAAACATTTCCAGTTCTGCAGGATAACTAGCTTTGCTTGAGGGCGAATATGGGCAGGGCTCACTGGCTCTCTCTTGAGACGCAAAGCTGTATTAGCTCTTTCGGTGCTTTTCTCTGGTCTGCAGAAGCCGTAGGATGCGCTCGTTTTTCGTTAGATCTGAAGGCAATTCGTTTTTCTGGAAACAAGACACAAGTTGGTTGGAAACAGGAGAAAGGACTTTCACCATCTGGTTCTCATGCAGCAGACTTCAAGGAACATCACCCAAAGGAGCATTGGCATTCCACATTCTGCACTGAGCTACATTCAACTGTGGACTCATGCACTTCTCATCAGAAAATATACCAATGCTGTATTACTGAGCCTTTCAGCAGGCTTGTTTAACAGGGACTATAATTCAAAGTTGGCTTGTGAGGAATTACTTAGATTAGGGTGGCTAACGTGGTCCTCTGATTGTTGCTCGACTACATCCCTGACCACTGACCATGGTGGCTGAGGCTAGGGCCAATACCATTTGAAGGACTCTGTCCTTCCCATCCCCAGGGCAGATCCAAAGGGGTCTTCAGCAAGCTACCCCATCATATTCTAGTGACTTCCCTGGGCTGCTGCAGGGCAGCAATTCTGCTTCAAGGAGCACATCAAGACACTGCAAGGAGTGCAAGTTATTGCCTTTCGTTTTCTGGCTTTTAAGTTGAAAGAAAATGAGTCAAAAAGGTTCTACGATGTGGTGAACCTGTGGCCATCCTCACCTTGTTGGATTCCAACTCCCATCAATCCCAGCCAGCCTGAGCAATGGTCAGAGCTGGTGTTCAGCAACATCTGGAGGGCCACATGTTCCCCATCCTTGCTCTATATGCTATGTTGCAGGGATGAATGACTATTAAACATAGATTTATTTCCAATAAAATCATGATTACTGTCTTTGGAACTCATGAGAGCAGGATCAGCTGACACTCAAATTTACATTCAGGCTTCAGTAGCATCTAGATCTGTAATGAATTGACTTTGGGCTTCCCTTGAGGAGGAAAAATACTATATTGGTCTACACAGATTTGTATTCTAGTATACTGTGGAGGCTCCAGTAAGTTTAGAAGAGGCGGTGGTGCAATTCTGTAATGACAGAAATGTCCAGAAAACCTTATGCCCAAACAGATTTGTTAGTCTTTAAAGGTGCCAGTTGAAACTTGGATGATTTTGCTGCAACAGGTAACAGAATTACCTTGTGGGATGAAAATGGTTGACGCAAACAATTTTCCCCAAGAGTTGTGCTGCCCTCTAATGGAAATACACAATATGAAGAATTTATTCTCTGTTTTTGTTCCTAATGTAAAACTTCAGGCTAAAATTACTAAGAATTTCTACGAAGGGATTCATTCAAAGATTGAGACTTTCCTAACAGTTTCAAAGGTCTGACAATCTTAAAACAAAAGCACACTACCTTGTTCCTAAGGAGTGGATCTGCTCCCGCTTCTATGAGTAGTGCTACTGCTTTAGCGCTGCCCCCAAGAACAGCTGCATGGAGAGCTGATGTTCCATTCTAGTATATACAAAAACATAAAATATATCTATATGCAGATGATGTTGCTAATAATAATAATAATAATAATACGTAACTTTTAAATCTCAGGTCTCTTAACAGTGATGCAGCCTTTTCCAACCATTTCCAACAGATGGGTGGGCATAAAAAGACTTTAACCCACCTGAGTTTGAGACATGGCATATGTCAGGCTTCCTCAAACTCAGCCCTCCAGATGCTTTTGGCCTACAACTCCCATGATCCCTAGCTAGCAGGACCAGTGGTCAGGGATGATGGGAATTGTAGTCTCAAAACATCTCGAGGGCCGAGTTTGAGGAAGCCTGCATATGTAATAGGGAAAAGACCCAGGACCCTGTTCTGATTTATATTAACATCTCTATATTAGAAAAATATTTGAAATAACTTAGGATTTTGAGTCAAACTGAGCAATCTTCTGTGAGAGTCGCACTGAAATTAGAGCTCCCACAGCATCCAAGAGAACTATGGTTCTGAGCATCCCAAATATTTTCTCAGTACTTGCCTTCAATAAACCAAGTGTAGGAGAGAATTTAAGCAATTCCTCTATAACATCACTATATCCTTTGTTCGCAGCTTTAAGTAAAGCAGTTGTGCCATCCTACAACAGAAAGGAGGAGAGAGAAGAAACATGAATTGAAGATGACCATTTGTCCTGTTTCAGACTTGTTCTTGTATAGAATTCATAAGGGAAGGGTCCTCCCATTCATTATAACCCATTTAGAGCATGTTATTTCTCCCATAAGCAGGCTTCGAGTGCCCTTACTGTACATGATGCCCTTACTGCATGGAGCAGCAGTGCTTTTATGACAAACATAACCTAGCTTTGCAGACTTTGATGTTTAAAAACATTGTCATTGAAACATTCCTAAGACTGTGATCCTATAGTCACTTAATCTAGGAATAGGTCCTATTGAACTGAGCTAGCATTGCTATTCAGCAAACTGAAGCAATTGGCTCAGGTGGTAAGGCTGGTTAACTTGGGCTTGCCTTTCCTGGTATAGCATGACATGCTTGCTGCCATCAGCAGCCCTCTCCCTCCTTGCTCCCTGCCTCTCTCAATAAAGGTTCAGGGGCAAAGCATTCCTTGGAGTAAAGCATTCTAGGAGCGATGGCTGAGACTCCCCGTGCCCCTGCTGCAGTTTACTACCTAAAATTATTAGGAAAAGGTTTAGAATTACTGTACAATTTCCCTCTAAATAGGGCTTCGTCAGCAGCAAACCATAGCAGTGCCACGGACAGTCTCGCATCCAGCATGCCCAGAATGCTTCATTCAAGGTAGGACCTTGGAGCGGGGAGGTGGAGGGCCTTGCCACTGCTTAAGCAGCAGCAAAATAAATATTAAGTAAGGTTGAAGAGGAGAAAGGGAGAATTGCTACTACCGTTTCCTTCTTTTTATGGCACCAGCTCTGCTTGCTTTTGGGCAGCCACCCTGTTGACACCAGCATTGTTACAAGGCAGCATTGAGTCTGGGGCGAATATGGCATTTCCCCTGGTGCATCTACACAGCCTCAGTTTTGCCATTGCTGTTTTATCCTGTACTGTACAGGTAAGCTGTAGCAATGCAGGTGTCAGGAGGGCAGTCTGCAGCTCTCCCCCCACCACAATGGCTGCTATGACCAAAGGAACAGCACGCACATTGAATTTATAGATGTACAACTAAGTGGTTTTAAGGACATACCTAAAAATGTGAAATTCACAAATGTACGCACCACACAGATACATAAACCAGGAAGTCATTTCCCACCCTTTTCCTGTGATTGTCATTTGTTTTAACTGTTTTTAATTCTAAAACTGTAATCCGCCCGGGACCTGATGGTGAATAATAATGGTGATGAGGATGATGTCTACAGCTCTCTATTTCGTGTATACTTGGTGGCAAATCTGGGTTTACGTAATGGATGAAGCAGCATTTCCCTGACAAGACCACACAAAGTGGCATCTGGCTAATGAAGGCTGGTGGCAGCTTTCCATTCTCCTTGGAGCAACCTGGGGATAACCACAAGACCTGGACATGAAAAGATGCTTGGACCTGTTTTCCCTGTTAGCCTTGAACTGATAAAGGACTGGGAGTCTTGAAAGCCCGTCACATTTTTCTTCTTAAGTAGCAGTTGGTGGTTTACTAAACATGAATAATCCTAATCTATTATATTCTACTCATTTGAGTGAACTGTATGTCCAGTGGGCTTTACTTTATTTTGAACAGCAGACCCTTATGAAATCCATCAGTTACCACAGAAGGCTAGTGCTCAAGAAAAAGAACTCTACTGGGCATGCAACATTTGATAAGAGGTTCTTTAGATACAGATTATCCTTGATCTTAAACTGAGCCTCCAAAATGCGTCAGCCCTCAAACTTGCCTTCAATGCCAAGGCCATGCTGTGTAATCTATTGAGAAATAGCAAATAACCAAGTGGACCTGAGCACTACATCTTTGTCGCTACTGACCTACCAAATTTTTCTTAATAACGTGGCAGACAGTGACAGGGACCACTCAGAGACAGAGGTTAACTGTTTAATTTACACTTTTATTACCAAGAGGAAAGGGATTGGCTTTTTTCTTAAGTATGATTCTGTGTTCTGGTTTTGTAAAACATCTCCAACTTGGAAACAGAAGAAGCTGTTCCTTCTGTTGTAAGATGCCCCTTGCAATGAGAGATAATTGAGAGGGATGCTAGCCAACCTATTCTGCAGTGTTGACTGCCACAGCACACCAATGAGATGTTCTAGAATATGGGTGGGGAACATGTAGCCCTCCATAGGTTGCTCAACACCAGCTCCCATAGTTTCTGATGACTGGCCATGCTGGTTGAAGCAAATGGGAGGTGGACTCCAACAACATACAGGCTCCCAACCCCTGTCCACCATATCACAGAGCACTGTTGACTCCTTTTCTTCTAATATAAAGCCCCCAAAACAAAAGGCAGCTACTCACACTCCTTGTAGCATCTCGTTCTGCTCCTCGGAGCAGCATCACTCGCACTACCTCACTGTGACCCATCTGAGAGGCTATCCACAATGGAGCTGTCCCATCCTTTAAGAAGAAGATGAAATAACATGCAAAACAGGACCCATCAGTTTGATACAGGCAGCACGCTGAACAGCTCTGGCAGCTCACCACAAGATTCTGGCTGGAACTCAAGGACAAAATGAACTTGAATCCTTGATGAAAACCCGTTTTCCCCTGGAGAAGGGACATCGTGTTCAGCTCAGCGTTCAGGGAATGCAAACAGGCAAACAGAATCTATATATTTCAGCATGTCCTTGTGGCTGAATAAAAGTTTGAACAGTGCAAATGAAATGTTCAGTAACTTATTAAGATGAAAACAGTACTCTGTATAACAAACAGTATTTTCTCTGTTTTAAACGCCTTAATTAATATCAGATGCTATACCAAAGTTTAAGAAGCAGGAAGTACTGGTTCCTTATAAAGCTTAACGCAGACAAGAGTCTATTTTGTTTGTTATCAGGTCATGAAGTGTAGTTCTGTATTCTTTTGAAGGACTCTTTTTAAACAAAAATAAACAGTTTAAACTGTGCTGAAGTGGAAAAACAAGGCTGAGGGAGAGGAGCTTCTTGAGTTTTACTTCCTGTGCCCAATTCAGTTTACAAAAGCCTTGCATCTTCTTCTTTTTTAAAAAACCCAAACAGTTTCCCAACCATAGAATATATAATTCTGCTGAGATAAGAAATGAGCTTCTTTGTAGCTTATGCAGGATGCAAATTTAAAACTCTGTACAGTGGTACCTCAGGTTAAGTACTTAATTCGTTCCGGAGGTCCGTTCTTAACCTGAAACTGTTCTTAACCTGAAGCACCACTTTAGCTAATGGGGCCTCCTGCTGCTGCCGCGCCGCCACCGCGCGATTTCTGTTCTCATCCTGAAGCAAAGTTCTTAACCCGAGGTACTATTGCTGGGTTAGCGGAGTCTGTAACCTGAAGCATATGTAACCAGAAGCGTATGTCACCCGAGGTACCACTGTATTTCAGAAAGGAAATTGCTCTTTGTTTTCTACTAGTGACCATGCTGTGCAGCAGTTAAATTTTGTGGTTAGCTTGCGTATGTTTTCATATGTTGGTTTGTGGATGGTATCACCAAGGTTTCTTAAATATCAAATAGTAGAATTGGGGAAGATTTGAAATGCTTATTTCTTGATATGTTCAGTGATGAGGAGTGCAGAGAGAAGAAATGCCATGGTGCACCTATAGCAGCAAAAGCAAACACCTTCATCTGCCCCACCTGCAATAAAACATGTCTCTGCAGCCACAGCAGGCACTGTAACTCTCCAGCGGTTTGACTTTACCCACAAAGGCACACTCTTCCACTGTTTTCTGAGACAGACTGATGCCGGCAAATATTAATACAAAGAAAAAATGCAAAGGCTTTCATGGACCTTAGTGGGAACCAAGCAAGGCACTTAGGATGCAATCCTGTACACAATTATCCAGGACTAAGTACCACTGAATAGATATATATAGGACTGCAACATTTATTATCTTATCTCATTTCCTGTAAACACTCAGTCTGGAAGTTAACAGCTAGCAAAATTGAGGCAAGTAATTAAGTTCAGTGTCACAAGGTGTCAGTGTTTCCTAGAACTAGTAACCTTAGAAGACTCAACTGCAGTAAACCTGTTAGTTCAGGCCATAACCTTCTGAGTCAACAGTAGATCTGCCAACTGAGGAGGTGACAGGGTTACTTGTGGACTAGATTGCTTTGGGCCCTGTTTATCAAGGTAGCAACTGAAACCCTGCGGACAGGCTGGTGCAAAATGAAAAGAGCATAATGATAGCGGCAGAAATTCCAAAAACACATGAGGAACAAGGCAATAAATAGTGCATACAGTTCTGGTTCCCTTGCCTCAAAAAGGATACTGTGGAACTGGAAAAAGTTCAGATACAGTCAATCAAAGTGAGGATGAATGTTAAAGAGATTCAATAATGACAAAAGAAAGAAATTTCTTCACACAGTGCAAATTTAAACTATGGAATTCATTCCCACAAGAATTCATTCCCACAAGAGGGCTTTCAAGAAGCGTAGACAAATGAATAAAGAACAAGGCTATCGGTGGTTACCAGCCACAATGGTTACGTTCTAACACCACCTGCAGGGGCCATATGGTTCAGTGGTTGGAACCTGCAGGAGAACAGAGTGCTATTGCGCTTAGGTCCACCTTGTGAATTTCCCATGGGGAATTGGTTGGCCTGTGAGAACAGGATGCTGGATGAGATAGGCCTTTGGCCTGATCCAGGAGGGTTCTTCTTATGTTATAGGAATAAGGAAACACAGAATGCTAACATGATTTTTACACATCCTATAGTTAATCGTGGCTTTGTGTGCCTGGAAATACCAAATGAGAAGCTACGTCACTTGTGTTCATGCTTGTTATCAGCAACCTGTGAATGTAAATGCTTAAGGAACCTACTTACCCAGAACCTGCAATTTCCCACATTTACACCTTCATCTACTCTTGGTAGAAAATAACCTCTGGTGCAATATAGTTCAGTCAGGAGGTGGCTCTGGACTTAAGCCGGATTTCTGTGGCACTGGGCATTTCCTGTTAGTAGGGAGCCTCTTTGAGCCCAAGGGCTTACAGTCCCTCATGTGGAACGTTCCTTGGTCCCCATGCCAGCGGTGGGCAGGGCCAAAGCCAAAAATGGGTGGGGAAATGTTACATCCCAGAGCCCTGAAAGTGAAGAGGCTTTTTCACATGTACACACCCAGAGGCTTCCATGCTCAAGAAACAGGCATATTATCCACAGTTGACAGACACCTTCCAGCCGGGCAAAGGCACTATGATGGACACAGAAAAGGGTCAGTGAAAAGGTGCAGCTTGAGCAGGGAGCATGGCTTAGGGCCAGACACAGCCCAGGAGAGCCACATATGGTCCACATGCCTGAGGTTTTCCACCCCTTGTAGCTGTTCTGGTCTTGTTGGGGAGAGAGAACAAATTTCTTGCCTAACTTTCTGACTTTTGTGTCCTCTAAGGATTCCATGGCACACATACCTCCTTCAACTGTTCCATGGGACAGATTCTAGGAAATACCTATAATCTAAGTAAGAATGCATAACCAGAAATGCCAAGTATTAGAGGAAGTTAAACTACAACCTCGGCAGTCTGTATAGAAAACCCAACAGCAGCACATGTATCCAAATTTGATCAAATATTAACTTCCATATCAAAGGCACACCAATAACTGGAATGTAGTCAGCACCAAGGCACAGTTGGTTAGTCTTAGCACATGAACAGATGAAGGGGAAAATCTAGGCAATATCAATCTTAAAAATAAATAAGGGAGGGTAACAAACATTGTCTGTGTCTTAACAATGCTGAACATTACCTGCCTTGGCTGGTTGACCTTTGCTCCAGAAGACAGCAATAGCCGAATTAAATCCAGGTAACCACCTTGGGCAGCCAGGAAAAGGGAAGTAGCTCCGTCCTTAATTTTTTAAATAACATATTTAATTAGCTTTTAAGCTGGCAAAAAAAGATTTCTTAACAGAACCATTGAACTCTTCCTTTCCTCCATTAGCCCACAAGCATAGCAAGACTGCTTATATACTGAATTATCTTTTTCATAACTACCGATACATTTCTGCAGCATTGATGAATGCAGAAAGCAAGCTTGCTCTTTAATTAGTCTGCTTCCAGTCTTTCATGTAATCAATTTAAAGATTAAACAATAAACCCCTGGTGCTTTCTGAGTAATGGTTCCAGCAAATGTGCATTTGAAGTCTGCCTTTTGTGGAAGTCCTTTGCAAGTGCTGCTGAGCAACAGAAGCTGATCAGATTTTTGGTTTTAAGAACAACTTCCTTTCAATCATTGCTTTAAAGTGCATTACATATTTCATATCCTATCCAAAAGTGCTATTTGAAGCAGCACACATGCTTCTCCTACGACCTGGTGGGCAGCAGCAACAGCAGGTGGGAAAGGAGAATCTCCACCACCCTCTCCTCTGCTGCCACCCACTGACTCGCAGGAGAAGTACGTTAGATGCTTCAAACAGGGCTTAAAGGCAGTCCCCACATTCCAGCTCCAGCATGGAGGGCTGCCTTTAAGTGCTTCTCAAAAGAGCTGTTTGAAGTAGCTGCCCCTCTCCTGGGCTTGGGTGCACAAGAGAACTCTCTGCAGGGAAACTTCATAAAAGGCAGTTTCCATTATTCCCAATCTCCATGTGCAATATTAAACATGTACAGCTTATAATTTTGCCTTCTCATTCTGTGTAATGTGTAGAATGGCTCAAAGTGTAAGGAGGAGCTGGCATACTGGGCAAGCTTTGAATTTTCCACCAACTCCTTTCCAGCACGTATAGTAGCACAGAAACACCAGTTCCAGAGCACTCTGCTTTCTCATTAACAGAAAAAATGAATCCCGGAAAGGTTTCCTTAAACCTTGAACATTCCAGGGGAAAGGGAGGGTCAGAATGGCTGAAGGCCAACTTCAAGTAAACTCACATAAAGCTGATCATGAACATTGGCACCATGCTTCAGCAATGTTTCCACCACTCTCATGTGCCCGTACTGACACGCAGCTAACAGAGCAGTGCCTCCATCCTGAAAGGGGGTCGGGGGGTAAAAAGAAAGCACAAAATAGGCACAAGTGAAGGGGAAAAGACAAAGGCTGTAGAATACCACCTACGTCTTGCATTTCAAAACAATAATAGCAATGAAGAAATCAAATGGAAGTTCTGCAGATAATGCCAGGGGAAGCTGCTGGCGGTGGCAGAATTTAAACCAGAGCTTTCCCAACTTTTCATGTTGGTGACACACTTTTTAGATATGCTTAATTTCACGACACTGTAATTCATTTTCGCAGCATTTCGCGACGCAGTAATTCAGTTTTACTATCAAGTCAGAGGTTAAACTAACCCCTTTCCATCCCCTGGAGGAGCGTGGGGAACGTTCTCAAAACATACCTACATACTGCAGCCAACACACTAATGTGTCACGACACACAGTTTGGAAGGCTCTGATTTAAGCCCTGGCCTTGGAACAAGAACTTTGGGAGGAATACGTGTATCTTGTTGAGGGCTTAATAAATATTCAAATACTCATAGAACTGTAGAGTTGGAAGCGACCCTGTTTAGTTCACAATGAATGGAAACTGTCCCTGTATGTAGCTATCAACCCCACCGCTGAACAACACATAATTCCCATATACAGTGGTACCTCGGGTTAAGTACTTAATTCGTTCCGGAGGTCCGTTCTTAACCTGAAACTGTTCTTAACCTGAAGCACCACTTTAGCTAATGGGTCCTCCCGCTGCCGCCGCGCCACTGGAGAACGATTTCTGTTCTCATCCTGAAGCAAAGTTGTTAATCCGAGGTAATATTTCTGGGTTAGCGGAGTCTGTAACCTGAAGCGTATGTAACCAGAAGCGTATGTAACCCAAGGTACCACTGTACAGTCATACCTCGGGTTGAAGTAGCTTTGGGTTGAGCATTTTCAGGTTGCGCTCCGCGGCGACCCAGAAGTAACAGAACGCGTTAATTCTGGGTTTTGTCACTCGCGCATGCACAGACGCTCAAAATGATGTCACGCGCATGTGCGGAAGTGGTGAATCACAACCCGCACACGCACAGACATGGGTTGCGTTTGCTTCAGGATGCGAACGGGGCTCCGGAACGGATTCCGTTCGCATCCAGGGGTACGACTGTACCTAAAACGTGAAATTCTGAACATGGCTTTTTCTGCTAACTTGTCCACACTATATTACTTCAAACAGCTGTCACTTATAGTTTCCAGCAACATTCCCCATCCAAGGATTTGATAACCAGGGTCTCTTCAAACAGGAAAGCACTTTTCTTCTTTCCTCCAGCATGAACTTGGCTTTCTTCTTCTTCTTGGACTTTAATGGTCTTGCTGCAAAGCCACAGGCCCTGTTATACTGGCTATGACATTATGATTTCTTAATTACAGTCATTCATGAAGTTTGGTATCTACACCCTCCCTGTGGAAAGCCCTCCCTTCAGATGTCAAGGAAATAAACAACTATCAGACTTTTAGAAGACATCTGAAGGCAGCTCTATTTAGAGAAGTTTTTAAGGACTGATGTTTTTATTATGGTTTTAGTTATGTTGTAAGCCACCCAGTTGCTGAGGAAATCCAGCCAGAAGGGCAGGGTATAAATAACAAACACGCCCCTAAACATTTTGTGAATCTAAGTTTGGCCTCATTGAGAGGCAGTATTTCAATACTGCATGAGTAGGAAAATGAGAGTACCCCTAAACATTTTTTTTAGAAAAAAAGCACTGATTACAACAGACATCCATAAAATCACTAGCACTGGATCCCAACAATTTTTTTGTTCCAAAAGTCAGCCCCCACCCCTGCCAACATGTTAGCTCAGTTGGTTAAAGTGTGGTGCTGATAACGCCAAGATCACAGATTTGATCCCTGTACTGGCCTATTCCTGCATTGCAGGCAGTTGGACTAGATGATCCTCAGGGTCCCTTCCAACTCTACAATTTTATGAGATGTCATGTAAAACGAAACTGTATCAGTCTCTTGAAGTAAGGCCTGCCCTTTCACATATCATGCAGTTGGGAACTGGGAGGCACAATTAAAAGAGAAAGCAGGTCAGATGAAGTGAGCCGTCCTGCTCTCTGGTTGTGTATTTCCATGAAGTCTCCTTCCTTTTTTACTTTTTCTCTTAGCAGGGCTTTTGAAGCCTGGCTGAGGGAAAAGTGACATTACTGACGGGGCAGATGTAAAAGAGGTAAGCAGTGGGAGGGGGGCGTTATTTATTTACCACATTTTTATCCAGCTCCCCAGCTGCAAAGCCTCAAAGCATGGTTTGCAGATGGATTTTACAAAGAGGATATTCCATGACACAAAAGGAAAAAAGCATGGGGGGGGAGGTAAAAACCCTCTTAGAGTTGGCTGAGATGGAAACGGTTCAGCTGGTCTGTCAGCAATGGAAAGAGCTGTTTTGACCCATTTCTACCAAGTTCCCACAGGTGAAGGCTGGTAGTTGTAGCACCACGGAGAGCTGCCAGTGAGCAACTTGCTCCCACAGAGGTTCTGAGGTCTGTAACAAATCCACTTTAAAAAAAGAAACAGACCATTTTCTGGACAGGAAGGTGGTAGAGACAAGCACTGAAAAGTGTGAAATGAACAAACGATTAACTGGAAAACGTATAAAACACCCTGCAGGCAAATCAGGATGAATGCTCATTCCTACACTTAAGACATTTCTCTATTCCTCCTCATCTAAAAAGTAATGACAAGCACTGCTTCCTAGGGAAGGTGTTTCACATTCCTCATCATTTTTTTGTACTGGATGGCGTTGTTTATGTTAACTCTGGAACAATTTTGGCTACATCTGTAGGGAATTAGAAGCTGAGGCTGCACCGCTGTCTCTGGCAAATACGCTGGAAATTCCGAGAAATGAAAACCATCCTGGCACAATTGCACATCAGCAAATTAAAGCAGAGACTTTTGCATAATGCTGGCGTTACACATGCGAGATCTTTTCAAACCAGAAAAGCCAAGGCAGAAATCATACTGCTGATGCTGTGCATTTCATGGCAGTAATGACAATGGGTTCCAGCTATTGCAAAATGCTTTCTTTCTTTTTTTTAACAAACCAACATGCAGTGCAATGTGCTATAAAGAGCTGTGCATGCTCTCTAATTTTTCTGGTTCCCTGCTACAGTCCTCCCCCCGCCGCCACATGCACATCCCAATAACACTACTTCGGAATATTGCCACTGCCGTGTTACTGTGCAACCTGGAAGGAAAGCAAAAGCCAATCTCTCCTGACTACCTACCCAGCCACATGAATGCAGAAGGCTACATCCTTATGTACACCACTTACCTTATGTACACCACTTAAGACCTTGGATAATTAAGCGGTACGTAAATAGCAAAAATACTGTGCGTGCCTTAATGTGAGAGAGTGCTCCCTTTCACTCTCTCCCTCTCTCTCACTGGCACTGGCTGACTTATTATAGATTTTCATATTACATTAAGTTCTGAATAGAAATACGCACAATTCTCATCTCTCTTGCTTTTGATCTTCCAGGGAAAACGTTTGCAAGGAGGAACTCGTGCATTTCCTCTGTGCAGAGTTCGATAAATTTCCTGCTTTTACATGATCTGGACTCTAAACCGTGGCTAACCTTAACTAGTTTGCTGAAACAAGCCAGCTTCATAATTATGATCATCCACAATTTGAGAGGTTCGGATGACACAACAAGCTGTGGTTAATAAAGGGGGCGGGGATGAAGAAAAAGCTTCCAAACTCCTCCTTGCACCGCAGCAGAGCCAAAGGCTTAGCTAGGCTCATTCTCATCATGCTAAATTATTGTGTGATGTTCAAGCTGGGCCAGTGCCTCAGCTTTGGTTGCCTACATGTATGAAATAAATAAAAAACAAGGTTTTGGTGAGGGTGAAAGAACTCCAGAAGTAAATAAATGTAACAAAACAAGGTCATCACGGATTTGTGCACTAGGTTGGAATACTGTCATTTGGTAATATGCAGCTAAGTTTTACTCCGAGGAGAACCATTGAAATCAACAGACATGACTAAGTTAGGTCCATTAATTTTAATGAGTCTACTCTACGTAAAGCTTAATTGGATACCACCCTTGTTTCCGAGACTAAAGCAGCCACAGACTCTTAAGTCCCATAAAACTAAGGACAGGAACTGGTGCTTCAGTTCTGTGGATCTGTCCTTCCTTAGCACTCTAAGATCTCTTTCAAATCTGTGCACTTCCGTGCTTTGTTTGCTTCCGTTCAGTTAAATTCAGTGAGAAATTGTTTTAACAGGTGGCCAACAGCAAAAGTTGATGGGAAAATTGCCCTACATTCAACTCTTCCCTAACATGAAGAATATAGCGCAAGAGTAGAAAAGGTGAAGGTGAGACGAGTGCATTTTGCATGAGCCATAGGTGATTTCATGCTAGCACAAAGAAACAGATTTTGCCTAAAGCAGTTGTGCAGGTGGCATTGACTACAGAAAGGAGTCAGTTCTTTCACAATTCAGGCCACGGTCATCTGACAGCCTAAAGCACATGAGTTATTTAGTCTTATCTTGGCAGGTATACAGTAGCTACTCCTGTCATGTTAAACATGAAATGACAGCATCTTTTCAAGAAAATCCAGCTGCCTGAGTGCCTGCAGCTGTAAATTCCATACAACTTGACTTCCAAGCAGAGTGGCCTCTTTCTGTCTTTCTTTTTTCCCATTTTAGATATTGCTTCTTGACTTCACACCACTGGGTAGCATAAAAGAGACAACCAATCTGGTCAGCTCTGGTTCTGCCCTTTTGCAACGGAAAGAGTAAAAATTATTAGGAAATGGAGCAGCACTTATACAATGAAAATGGAGCAGTAAAAGCCTGAGCCGAACGTATGTCCTGCCAGAGAACTGTGTGGCAAGAAGCAAAATTATATCATGGGCCTCTCGCTTGCTCTCCATGCCAAATCCCTGCCTGCCAAAATTCATCATCGTGTTAAAGCCAAGCACAATCTCTTACTTTGGTTTTAAATTCTGTGGAGGCTCCATACTCAAAGAGAAACTTCACGATATCGTTGTGACCTTGTTGTGCAGCAAAGAACAGGGCAGTGGCACCAGACTGAAAAAGAGAAACATAAAGCCCATGGATTAGGTATGTAAGTACATTTCATTTAATCGACATAACAATGTCTTTTAAAACCTTATTTTAAAGTTGGTAATGCTTGAAATGTGCAAATCCAAATTCTCATATCTAGCAGCAGCTGCTCGTCAGTTAAAACATTCCCACATGATTCTATTCTGGAAGATTCCAGGACAGCCTTCACCAACCATTGTGCATTCCAGTTGTGTTGGGACTACAACTCCCATCACTCCCAGCCAACACTTTAAAAAAAAAAAAAACTTTCAAAATGAGTAACAAAGCCAAAATTCAAATACTACTTTTCATAGCTTAGGGATAGAACAACTGAGAAAACAACCTGTTAAATTTCTGTAACACAGCTGTGAGGGGAAAGGAAAGCAGCGGCCTAGTATACACATAATGTTAAACCATGGTTTAGTTAGTGCTATGTGCACATGACTTGGGTTGCACACTCCCCCCCCCCTTTTTCTCCTCCTGCATCTCAGTGGGGAGAGCTTCTGAAGCCAATTTCATAACCCATGATTTGATGTTGTATTATAACCATTCCAGAATTTGTTTTAAACCACAATCACAAGTTATCTAGAAGAGTATGGATTTGATATCCCGCTTTATCACTACCCTAAGGAGTCTCAAAGTGGCTAACAATCTTCTTTCCCTTCCTCCCCCACAACAAACACTCTGTGAGGTAAGTGAGGCTGAGAGACTTCAGAGGAGTGTGACTGGCCCAAAGTCACCCAGCAGCTGCATGTGGAGGAGCGGGGAAGCGAACCTGGTTAACCAGATTACGAGTCCACCACTCTTAACCACTACACCACACTGGCTCTAGGAACAAATACATTAAACCGTTTACCAAGTGGTTAGCTACAAAAGCATGCATGCAACCATATGGCAAACCGGTCATCTGTACATCAAATGGGATACATTAAAATAAGTTTAGCGAGATCTGTTGCTATGCCTTCCCCTTGTTGAAGGAACACTTCAAACAAGATCCTCAGAGTTAGGTCAAGTGGACAGCTAGCTTTATTTTCCTAGGTCTCTTTATCAGATGCTTAAGTACACTGAGATAATGGAGCTGCTCACATACATTAAGGGCTTTGTTGGATGAAAGCCTCATACCAGCAACTTCTAAAGCAATTCTAACCATCTTTAAATTCATCTAGGAAAACTCCTATTATCCACCAGTAGATCTGGTAATGTTGCAATTTGCAGATGTCATCAAAGGGACCACTATCCTAATTTTAGGTAACCAAGACAGGTATACACACATATTTTGTAAATAGATGAGAATTGTGTCATTCTTTAGACATATACCTGTTTTCTGTTATCAGGAAAAAATGACTCCAGGCTCCTGCTGCACTATCAAGATGCTAAGTTTTTGAATAATTCTAATGCAGGCCTAGACAGACCAATTATTTGCTACTGGAGGGAATTCTTATATCACCAAATCAAGCTTGCTATTCCTTCTTCTCATAAGGTATCTGTGCATTTAATATCTGCATGACAGATAAAAATTTAATGTGTGAAGCCTTTCCCAGTGTTGAGATGCCTTGATAAGGAAATCTCCACCTGTTGCATTTCTGCCTGTCAAACAGCTATGCAAAACAGAGGAACCCTACCATGGAAAAGGTGGCAAATTTCACTGGTGATTAACTTTCTCTCTGAGTTTAAAAAGCAACAGTGAGAGCTGCAATTAAAAGCTGTGCATACAAACAGGATATGTTAAAATGAGGATGTGGTTGTCACTATATCCTGTAGTCCTTTTGAGAAAGGCACTTAAAAGGCTGTTAGGAAAGAAGTTGATTAAAATGCTATAATGATGGAGGGGAATTAGAAGCACCATCCTGGGAGAATAGCAACCTCCAATTGTCAGGCCAAGTCTGAGTTGAACTACACTGCTTGCTGTTTAATGGCAAATGATGTCTCCTGCTTGTACAGAAGCCAGATAAGAGGCTGACATCCCTACAGCAAGAGATTGATATCCTGGTTGCAAGTAACCAAGGAAATTCAAAATATCAACTCCACTATTCTGACTCATTTCTGTGTTCTGTCATCAGTCAAAGATACTGGCTGTGTTTACACAATTTAATCCCGGCTTAATTGGCTAGGTTATGTATGACCTTCATGCACCTCCAGCTACCCCCTTTGCTCTTGCTAGCTCCCCACAAGCGAAGAAATAAACCAGGAAGCTGCAGTTAATCCGAGTTTCCTGTTAAGTGCAAACTGGGGTCTTAAGGTGGATTCTAAACAAGCCAGGATTCAAAAGCCAACTTTAAATTAAATGAAAGTTGACTTCCTAATCCTCTTCTTTAGAAGCCATCAATGTTGTTCCTGGCTTATATGAAATGGAAATCTATGGTTAATTTGAGCTTCCTGACTTGTTTTTTGTGGGGGTTTTTTGCATAGGGACTGTATACAAGTACACAACGCTCATGCATATCCTGGCTTATTACATCAGGAACTAATCGTACTAACTAGGGCATTGTGACATCCTATTGCTCATCTTTGGGGGCCCTTAGCTGTATCTACTAACCAGGACCCAAACTTGCTGACCGCATATATGTCACTCATTGCGGACAGCCACAAGTTCTCACAATAAAATAGGTCTTGAATCTTGCATTTTGGCCCAGTCTTTCTTGCAATCCCTTTTAAAATTAAGAATTCTATCGTACCTCTCTCTGAAGGTTGATATCAGCTCCTTGCAGCACCAATTCTCGCACGCATTCTTTGTGACCATAGTATGATGCTACCATAAGCGTTGTTGAACCAAGCTGGGCATAAAGAAATACAAACTCATTATCTTAAAAATAGGATAGAAAGCCATGCAAACCTGAAGGCTGTAGATAATTTCTCTGCACCTGCTCAATAGAGAAGGGAAGACCTTTTGGCACACGCAAAATGCTTTGTGATCCCTGCTGAGTAACTATTGAAAGTTCCCATACTTTGAGCACAAGAGGATGTTAGGGTTTATGGCTTCTGTGCAAAATGAATCCCAGCACTCCAGATCAGCGAGTCTCGATTTTCTGCTGAAATATGTTGGAGGGTTTGCAAACTGTTGGAAGGTGTGCAAACTGCTTTTTAAGAAAAATAAAAGTGCAAGGGGAGTCCCAGTCATGTAACTGCCATGTAACGTGTTGTTTGACTCCTGCTTTTGAGGACACTCAATATGAAGAAAATAATGCATTCATGTCAAGTTTCCCCACTCTCCCGCTAGACCAGATTATGCAAACAGATGCAAATCATCTGTTCCTGTCATGCACAAAGTCCTTACACTGTCTTTGCAGTCCACATCCACACGCCCACTGTTCAATAGCAGCTGGAGAAGTGCCAAGTTTCCTTTCCTTGCAGCCCAAAACGCAGCATTTGCAAGTGGTGTCTCCTTCTGTTAACAAAACCAAAATGCAACAAAAATCAGATTATTCTGGACAAACGTGGGGATATCTGTGAAGTCTTGCTACTAGGGATCTTTTTTCTTCTTTCCTGGCAAGGGCCCTTTGCTTTTAACAGTGCATGTTCTCTGCTTTGTTTTCTTAAGTGGTTAACAGAAGCACAGCTGTTCCGCAAAGGAAAGCTGCTCTCCACCCATTTGACTCTTGAAGAACACCTTCGTACCTTGTGGGTATTGGGCCTACACACTAATGCAAGCATATTTTATGCTCTAGAACATAGCTTTCCAAACTGTGTGTCGTGACACGTTAGTGTATCGGCTGCAGTGTGTAGGTGTGTCACGCGAACGCTCCCCAGGCTCCTCCTGGACCTGGAAAGGGGTTAGTATAACCTCTAGTTTGATAATAAAACTGAATCACTGTGTTGCGAAATCATGCAAAACTGAATTGCTGTGTCGCGAAATTATGCATGTCTAAAAAGTGTGTCACCAACATGAAAAGTTTGGAAAGCTCTGCTCTAGAAAGACCACACATAGCACACCAACTTGGCTCACCTGTAACACCCTTGGTCACAAAAGGGTGGATAAGATATGCATCAGAACAGAAAGGGATCAGCCCATTGTGAAACAAGCACACAAGAATAGTTTTTAGGGCAAAGCCCTATATTCAATATACAGCAGCTAAAGGTAAAGGTACCCCTGACTGTTAGGTCCAGTCGCGAATGACTCTGGGGTTGCGGCGCTCATCTCGCTTTATTGGCCGAGGGAGCTGGCGTACAGCTTCTGGGTCATGTGGCCAGCATGACTAAGCTGCTTCTGGCGAACCAGAGCCGCGTACGGAAACGCCGTTTACCTTCCTGCCAGAACGGTACCTATTTATCTACTTGCACTTTGAAGTGCTTTCAAACTGCTAGGTGGGCAGGAGCTGTGACCGAGCAACGGGAGCTCACCCCGTCGCGGGGATTCGAACCGCCGACCTTCTGATCAGCAAGCCCTAGGCTCTGTGGTTTAGACCACAGCACAACCTGTGTCCTTCATACAGCAGCTAAGGGGGCATAAAATCTTGCAGAACCAACACCCTGGTATGCTAGAGGAACACAAGCTACATTGTCATGCTGGTGGAATGGCTAAAATGAGGCAGAGTCAAAGTTAGCCATGTGGCAACATAGAGAAGGAACAATGCAATTCCACCGCACCCTGTGTGCCTCAAGACCATGGCCATGAATTCCAAAGGGCTAGGTTTTAAATATTCAGATATTCAGTGCAGTGACTCATTTAAAATGTTTTAATCAATTAAAAAGTTGTTGCTTGTGAATCACAAAACAGATTAGATGTTTTAAAGATTACAATTACAATACATGGCAGTTGTCACCTTAGAAGAGGAAACCCTCTTTTTCTTCTACACAGGAGGGAATGCTTCTTCTAAAATGGAGCTGGATGTGACACATGTGCATCTTTTCCAAAAACAGAGACCGGGGGTGGGTGGGTTCTATTGTTTTACTCCTATACAAATTTATGTCGATTTTAATCAACCAACCAACCAAAAATAATAAAATTATCTGGGTAAAAGCTTAACAAAGGGCATAAGGAAAAGATAGATCCTCTCCAGATGACATAATTGTTGTTTTTAGGGGATTGTTGAGATGTTGCCCATTTCCTGAGGAAAATCCAACTACTCTGTCTCTGGAAAAGCTTATTTTCTCTGAATTCAAACTACTACGTCATTCCCTACAAAAAGCTTTGTATCTTTCTGTCATTGTGCTTGTTTTTTCTTCTTCTTTGGAAGCTTGTGCACTTTAGCTTTCCAGCACTCCAATAATAAGCGCTCATAAAAACACACAATCATACAAATGAACAAAATGTTCTGCAATAAGATGCAGGTTGAAGAGAAATATTAAATATTTGTAAACAGCATCAAACTTGAAAGTATCTGTTTAAAGAAACAAGAATACAGTGGTACCTCAGGTTAAGTACTTAATTCGTTCTGGAGGTCCATTCTTAACCTGAAACTGTTTTTAACCTGAAGTACCACTTTAGCTAATAGGGCCTCCTGCTGCTGCCGCGCTACCAGAGCACAATTTCTGTTCTCATCCTGAAGCAAAGTTCTTAACCCGAGGTAATATTTCTGAGTTAGCGGAGTCTGTAACCTGAAGTGTATGTAACTCGAGGTACCACTGTACATGAACTGCATAATATAGAGACCAATGAGCACACTTTCAGGTGAACATTTCTGTTTATCAATTGTCACCTGTTTTCTGATGAGTTATAATCCTCCTCTCTTTTATGTACTTGGGTGAATTATGTGGATTTAGACTTCTTATTGCAATCCTTGAAGTCCGGCCTATCTTAATTTATTACCACCCTAGTATGATAACACGCTCTCTCTGACTAAACAGCATAACCAAGTAAGAACAACTGACAAGCATCACCTTCATTTTTCAGAACTATTACTCAGAATTTCCAGCTAAAAGGATCAAGTAACAAGGAACGGGACAGATCCCTGCCTGAGACACGGGAGAGCCACTGCCAGCCAGTGAAGAAACTATTGGTGGAAATGTACCAGGGATCTCACTCAGATAGGGAATCCTATAGCCAGTGCACATGTCGACAGCATGGGGCAAGGCTATGCAGTGCAACACTTTCAACTTGTTTTTTCAATATATGACTGGGGGCAGGAAGTTTGACAGCACCCCTCTTGCATAACACAGCCTCAAATTTCATATAATATAATAGTGAGCAAAAGTGGGGGTGGGCAGACATAAAGGTACAAGAGAGAGGGCCTTATTGGTTGTGGCATGTAAAATATGCAATGCTCTGTGGAGGGAGGCCAGCTTGGCTCCTTGTTCCTTGCATTCTGGCCAATGGCAGAAGCCAACTTGTTTCAGCAGGTGCTTGGCTGCACACAAACTGAAATTATTATAATCCACAGTTCATTACTTTAATTGCTGTGTTAAAACTATTATTTTTTCAGTCTGTGTTGGTTTTGCTGTGAGCTGCCTTGAGACTTCCTGAATTACTTCTGAGGTAAAAAAAATCAGGAATATTAATAATAAATACACAAATAATTCAGCGCAAACTCTTTTCTCTATACAGCACCCTCGAACATGTGATGTCTGCGTTGTGCAGAAAACGTCTCCTCCTCCAACACTGCTCCACACAGGGCATGTTTCTGATGCTAGGTCTCATCTGCCACACTGCACGTGCAATAGTTAGGAGAAAAGAGGAGTGCTTTTGTGCATGGACAGAGAGCTTTCCCCTCAACATGGCCAGCTTTCGCACATCTGGGATCAGTGGGTGAAAGGCTTCATCCTGAAGTGGACGGCACCACTTCTTGGCACCGCTCAGTTTAAAACACACACACAGAGACCGCAGCTCAGTCTCAAACCGAGCCTGAAAATGAATGCCTCGCCCACACTCCACATGCTTAACCTTTCAACACTCTCCCACCCCGATCGCCGTTTAATAAAAAGCAAACATTGCTTTAGCCAGCCACCTGGTTCCCGCCAGCTGCATTGGCGCTTAGGAGAAAAGAGAGGAGCCCAGCTTGCCCCGCAAAGCCAGAGGCAGGCCTGCCATGGCATCTGCAGTGATAACGGGTCACAGCCGCAGGAGCGCTTGGAAGACGATGAAGAAGCCGAACAGCAGCGCGGCTGGGGAAAAGCTTACCTTGAAGGACATGGTGAGATCCCCAAAGCGGTTCATGCCTGCCAAACCCAGCGAAGCCGCATCGCTTCCCCAGCAGCACTTCCTTCCCAGGCCTTCCCCGGCGTCGGCACGACAGCGATCATTGGCTCGCCTTACGGAGCCGCTGGAGCAGAGCTGGCTGCGGGGCTGCAGGCGGCGGCAGCAGCAGCAGCACCGCGCCCGAGCCGGCGTCTGAGTAAGAGCCGCGGCAGTCTGCCAGCCAGCCAGGCAGCAGCAGCAGCAGCAGCACGAGGCCTGCTCTCCTTCGCAGCTTGCACGCTTTGCCCTCTCATCATTGCCCCCTCGGAGAATTCCCTCGCCCGCTTAGGTTACACCGCAAGCGGCTGACCTAGCAACTATGGTGAATTGATATGCAGCCGGGCGTTGAGAAGCGCGCGCTCGTGCTGGGCGTCGCACGTTGCAGCAGCACTTTGCAAGCGAGAGATTTGGCTCTGCGCCTAAATGAGGGTAGACAGAAGGAAGGCAAAAAAAAAAAGTGCAAGGAGGCCTACTGGCCGTGGTGTGTGCACGCGCAAATTTCCCTTCTGTGAGCTGATCAATACCTTTATTAGGATTTCTTGAAAAGGCTGAAAAAAGGTTACTTCTTCGAGAGCTTTGAGTCCTGAAGCAAGGGGAAAATTTTTGCCTGAGTGTGTGGCCACACCCCCGCCCTCCAGGCAGACAAGCTGTATTAAGATTCCAGGAATATTGGGAAAGGTAGTTAAGAGTGCTGGGAATTGTATACAAACTACAGTTCCCAGGATACTTTGCATGTCCCCCCCCCCCATCAGGGTTTCCAAAACTTGCCTAGAATAGACCTTCAGTGGGTGCGGCTTGAAGGGCCTCAGCTTCTTTACCACCAAACTTGGGTCTCCAGCTGCTTTTCGACTACAACTCCCATCACCCCTAGCTAGCAAAGATGATGGGAACTGTAGTCCACAAAACCAGCTGGAGACCCAAGTTTGGTGGTAAAAAAGCTGAGGCCCTTCAAGCCACGCCCACTGAAGGTCTGTTCTAGGCAGAGCCAAGACGTAAAACCTCATTATTTTTACAGTCAGAGCCACCATCTAACAATAACTCCAATCCATGCCCATGGAATGCAACATAAATGGTACTAAAAAACAGACCAACTTTGCATTAGGTCGCCCTATCCAATGCAGTTTGCAACTGACTCCTCTAACTGTAACAGCATGCAAACCATGCTTTGAAAAGCTTTGCTTGCTGATTTCTGGAAAAGAGGCCCATCTTATTTTCTAAGCACCTGGGCCAGGGCCGGATTTAGATGAAGAGAGGCTCTAGGCTACTCCACTTGTGAGGCCCCTCCCCATCCCCCACCCTCACAACTAGAAGAAAATGGAAAATGGAAGAGTTATAAACAAAATTGAGTGAACCCAAGGATGATGACGGGTATTTAAAATTCTACAATTCACAATTTCTCCTCTAAAGGACGTAAAATATTATTGTTAAATATCATGGTGATTTTAAAAAATGCATAAAATTAACACTGAAAATTTTTGCAATAACTGAACTTTGTAAACCTTTTGTAGTTCCCATGTCTTGTTCCTCTCTAAGGAATCAAGTTCAGCCTTCATGGCATTTAACCATGGCTCAGCATCCTCTGAGGTTAAACTTTGGACCTCTTGGAAACCTGAAGGTTCAACACACCATTTTGCCTTCAGAGTATTCCATACAAATCACAGATCCACTACTATGTGGCAGTGCTGCAGTATAAATTCAGAGACACAAATCCTCACAATTTGTATATGCACTATCTGATTACAGCTTTCATCCATGCTAAGAAGTGTGCTATACAAATAATATATTCAATCCAATGGTGTAAAAAGAATGGAGATCTAAGACATAAAACCTCATGACTTTTACAACTGGAGCATTAGTAACTCAATTCTATACCCATGGATTGCACAATAAAAAACAACTAGCTTGGAACAGCTATGATGCTAAAACACAGATCTAAAATGCCAACTCCCATAGATCCTGATTTTTACAGTTAGATGCCCCAGACTGACAGCCTAATAACATCCTTGTCTACAGACTGCACTGTAAAAATAGATCCAGTTTTTCATTGTGCCATTGCGGAATGAAGGCATATAGCCAAGGGCGGCACTGATGTTCATCCTCCAGACTTTTACATGCTGATACCCCAAAGTGAGCGCCTATGATCTCTGCTAATGGAGTGTATTGTGAGCTTTCATTATGCTATATATTTGCCTTGGAGTATATACATGTAAATATGCATTTAACAACAACAGCTTGTAAGAACAACAAAAAACTATGACGCTCTTTGGCAGTGCCACAAGATACTAGATCCGTAATTTAATATTATTATTTATTAATTACCCACCCTTCACCCTAAGGTGCCAGGGCAGGTTACAACATTAAAACACAATATTAAAAACAGTTTAAAACAACTTACAATTTGTGTTTCTTATATTGTAATTTAATGTTGTGAACCGCCCTGAAATCTATGGATAAAGGGCAATACACAAATATAATAAAGAATGAGAATAATAAGGTGGGTCTTAAAAATATATGCATGCATGAATCTGCAGGCCCTGGGATTTAACATCTAGAGACAAAAGAAGCATCATGAAGACTGAGAACCCTTAACGCATGCATGCGCACACTGACGTTTTTAAAATGGTGTCCTGTGGCCAGTAATGCCATGCCCTTTCATTAACTTTTGCTTCCTCTTTAGTTAATTGAATTCTGGGCACTCTTCTCTCCAGCAAAGAGTGTTAGAAATACCCTATGAAAATCACTCATCTCTTACAAACTCAAAGTAAAACAGCTTTCGAAGCGTGCTTTAAATTATTTACAGGCATATTAAATACTTTCCCCAGAGCGTTTAGCTATACATGCAGTTTTAACTCAAGGAGATTCCACTGCAGTCCACAGCAGAATGCTGCAGGGTGAAATGTGTAGCAGCCACTCAGCATTTTCTGTCACTGTTATCTCGTCAACAGGTAACTTATCAGTGGGACAATCTTTTCTTTCCATACCTAAACATCTCTGCACAATATATTTAAAGCAGTATCATACTCCTTTAAATAGTCATGGCTTCCTTCAAACTGGGAACTGTAGTTTTTAAGTATGTTGAGAGATTTTAGGAGACTTTTATTGCCATCATAGAGCTACAGATTTTAGAGTGCTTTAACAATCCACTTCTAGAGGAAGTCTGGGAATTGCAGCTCTCTGTACTGTATAGTGCAGATGGGGCCTTATTCTGTATTGATTGGTTGTCATATTGACAGACTGCATTTACAGCTTTTCCTTCTGATCAAACAGGAATGTGCCTTCTGGCTTTGTGCATCACCAGTCCTGGATACTTGATGGTAAATGTACATGAACTAAAATCAATAATTGAGTGACCTATCATGTTAATTTCCCCCCTGCTATATTGTAGGGGTTGTGGATATTTGGCATTAACTAGCTGCCAATAGCATTCTGCACAAAATAGCATGAATCCCACAATAAATAGCCTGGTTCTTTTTTAATATATGACCATCATGCATCCTGTGGCATTGAGTCTTGCACATTAACTGTATATTGCATTGGAAAGTTCTCAAATAAGATTTAAATCGGATGCCACAACTTAAAGTGAGCCACAGAACTGGAGGTCCCCAAACCAGTACAACAAAGCGCACATTCCCATTTTCCTGTTGTTAAGTAACTTGTCAGTTACATCATGGGATTCACTGAATAGGGTGAAAAGGTGCTTGACGCACTTTCCATCATATACATGAGAATCAATGTGGTTTCCTGGAGAGAGGATTGTGGCATGTTGTGTGCTTTGGCTTCCAATTACAGTAGTGGCACAAGAGTGCGTGCTGTTCAGAACCCGCTTCAGTTCTTAAAACCTTTAGCAGGACTCAAGTTGCTCTTTGTATCGCTGAGTTTCATTCTTAGGGTGTACAAACATTCCTCATATACGTATAGTTACAATAAGTTTAAAAATACTTTCTTCCTCCCCTCCCAGCCCTGAGGATTCCCCCCCCCCCGCCCAGCTTTGGTACATTGTGTGCAGGTTATGATTTCATGGCTTGTTTTGCCAACTTTTCAGATTCCTCCCGTCTCCCCTTTTCCCCTTTTGTGTATTTTATGACTCATTCCATAGTTAACTGTTTACCTGTCCTCAGTTGACTCAATAAAAGAAGCAAAATGAATTTCTACTGTTTTTCTTAGCATTTCCTTCCATGCACATTTACATTACAGGGGAGCATAATTTGTGAGGGAATTGCACTTTTGCTGTTAATCTAAAAATGCTGCATCCAGAAGGTTCAAAGGCTTTAGGTTACCAACAAGCTGAAATAAAAAGTTACGCTCCAGTAAAGCCTATTTTTAATACACTATCTGTACTGTATGTGTTTTGGGTGTGGAGATGGCAAGTTGTTTATTCATGGCATGAGTATAGGAACAGTATGTATGCTTTTATCTGAAGACTTGGAGAGGCTTTACCTCATCTTGCCTCTCTTGGGGCTCTGCTGCCCAGAGACAAGAGAGCTGTTGCCGTGGAGATGAAGGTGCCCTTTCCTGGCATGAGACCCGAGACCCTGGTGAGAAGGGGATCTCTCCTGTTGTTCAGGATGGGCTGCTTAAAGTGCCTTGAGGCTATTTTGTTATTCTTCTCTTTTTTCCACTAGTTTTGTTAGGTCTCCTAATTATGAACTGTTGAATGAATTGCTGAATGTGGGTGCAGTACTGATATTATTGGTATTGGGTATTATTAACTGATCTACTGGTACGTTTAAACTTTTGGTAATGTTCAAATGACCTGTAATTATGGAATTGGTAATGTTAAGTTGTCATGTATTGTTGTTGTTGGCATCCGTCTGTCTCGGGAGACAATGGAGGAGAACGCCTTTGTTTAAATTGTCTATCCTTTGAAGAGCTTTGAGCACCATGTATTTGTGGAAAATGTGCTACACAAATAAACTGACTATGACATTAATATGACTTACAATGACAGCATCTTAAATGAGAATATAGTGGGTGGCTTCTGATAAAGTCATACTCAGAGTAGATCCTTCAAAATCAATGGACATCAAGTTAGTCTTTAGTCACGTAATGTTCATAGTGGGGTAGGAGAGCTGAAAATAACACCAATAGTTTTCACATCTGCCAACCATTGCACCCCTTTGGTTTCAGACAGTAAATGGGTAGATGAGTCTAAAAAGGTTGGGACACAAATTTTCACAGCCCTGTAGCAGTTATAGTAGCTCATTTACCAGAAGTAATGTACCGTGGTACCTTAGGTTAAGTACTTAATTTGTTCTGGAGGTCTGTACTTAACCTGAAACTGTTCTTAACCTGAAGCACCACTTTAGCTAATGGGGCCTCCTGCTGCTGCCGCACTGCCGGAGCACAGTTTCTGTTCTCATCCTGAAGCAAAGTTCTTAACCCGAGGTAATATTTCTGGGTTAGCAGAGTCTGTAACCTGAAGCGTATGTAACCTGAAGTGTATGTAACCCAAGGTACCACTGTAGCCAGTTTTCCTGACCTACATGACAAAGAGAAGGAACGTTGGCAGCGGCAGCAGCACATTAAAAACAGGATGTGAAATACAAAAGATTTAGCATGAATTCCCCCACCCTGCAATCTTTGTTTGGCATGACAGAAGCTGACAACACTGCATCAGTAGCACTTGGAACAGCGAAATGTAGCTGTCGTTCCCTACTTTTATGATTCCCCAGGGCTGCTCTGCCATTAGACAAAGTGAGGAACCAGCCTCAGGCTGCAGATTCTGGAGAGCAATCAGTGGCAGAGATATGTTAGGGGAGAGTTGTGTTCCCTTGTGCTAATTTGCTGTCTTAAGGTGTGGTGGAGAATGCTGTCCCACTGCCAGTGTTGAAGTAAGATTCAGCTGTCAGTCTGGTCAGCTTCAGTATAGGCAAAAGTGGGCTAGGCACCATCTTTTTATTCATCTCAGGCAGCAAAACGTCTTAGGCCAGCCCTGAGAGTCTTTTTATTATCTACCAATATGTCTTTGCATTAAGCATCTACCAAAGATTTGACTAGATGTATCCATCTATTGCAGGTTTAGTAGCTCATCCCTATTTTTACTGCACTCAGAAACCGATCCCATCAATTCTAGGGAGAATTGCCTCAGCTGGGGTTTCAGAGTGATGTTTAATTATGCCTTTGTGGAATGACATGTGTTTTTTTATTTATGTTTATATAACACTGGGCTGGGCAAAAGTCCAATAAGACAAGAGCAACAAGAAGTCAGTGTAATTCACTTAGAGTGCCTAGATCTTACCAAGGAAAAGAAGCCAAAATATCTAAATTGTTCTTTTCTTATAAGCACACAAATGACTCCTTTGTGTCTCATACAGTGTTGTAAGCATTTCCCTGGATCAAGTTAGTGGGTACAACTCTCCAATGTGTCTTGGATTAGAAACAGAAGTGTTAGAGCTTATCCAGACAATCAGTTGAAAGCTTGCCCTTACCACATGTTAGCTTTTGCCAAATGGCCCAGTGAGCAGCTTGTATTAAAGGCAATAATGTGACATTCAGTCTGCATCCTTGATACCAAGATGGATAGCAAGACTGTGGCCTCCGGCATACATGGAAAAAAGCATGGCACCTTTCTGACCTAAGATAAAGGGGGCTAATTTGCCTGAAGGGGAGCATTGCTAAAGGCTCTGTTACTCAAACTCTATCGGATGTGGCTTCCATAGAGGATAAGGGTGTTGCTACCAGGAACCCTGTGAAAGGCAGGAGAAATATTCCTAAGCTGTAATATATGTTAGCATTCCCAAGACCTCTATAACCGAGAAAGAGAGAGAAAAAAAGAAAGAAGACTGGAAATATTAACAGCAGTTAGCTGGGAGAACTGGGAAACCCAAATCATAATTTGAATAAAAATAACCACAAATGTTTCTAAAGTTCATCATTTTGTTATCTCATTGATCAATCAATGAATCACCTCCTGGGTCCAAAGTTGGATCTCTGAGCTTTGAACACCAGAAGATGCATAACTGGCAAGTGTAAACATTGTATGAAGTAAACGTGCTGTGTCCTGTCATTCATGTGTTTGAACAGGTTTTGAGCTCTTTATGGTAAGTGCACAAGCTACCCATGGGCTTATGATATGCTTGCCTTGGAATATGTACCAAAACAACAACTCAGGCATAAATTCTATATCTGCAGTAAGCTCCACTGAACACAATGAGACTCATTCTGAGTAAACATATGTAGGATTGTACTGTCAGTGTTTTCTAAAAATAAATGTATATGAATTTCCCCCTTGACATATTGTTTTATTCCTGGAGAAGTCTTACACTCCAAATGCAATGTGATTAAGATAAAAAACCCACAATTTTCTAATTGAATAATTAAGTAGAACTGGTGGACTTTCTTGATCCAGCTTGTGGCTGGGTTTAAAACTCACCAGCATGCAGTCCACACTGTTGTTTCTGAAGAATAAAGGCAAGATCAGCATGCCGGTTAGTTGTGCTCATCAAAATTTCCCCAAGAAGATGTTGGCAGTAAGTTATAAGGTAATCCTGCCACTTTACTTATGCTGCTTTAACCTTGACAAAGTGCTGAAGTAGCCTCTGGCAGCCTATGTGCAGAGGAAGTGTCTCCATTTACAGTTGCTGAAAGGTGATTTTGACACTCTGCAGAAAAAAAGTTTAGTGTAATGTGTAAGTCAACATTTTTCAAGAGTCTATAAGGAAGTATATGTTTGAGTCAACATGTTTCAACTCTGAAAAATTAAGGCCCAATTACACATTACACAGAAAAGCATGTAAAACCATGGGCATAGCCAGGGGGGGCAGGGGGTGTCCTCCCCAAATCAATAAAAATCAATATAAATGCATAGCAAACTGAGATTCTGCCCCCCTAACAAAAGGCCTGCCCCCCCCCCACAAAAATCCTGGCTATGCCCATGAACCAAACCTACCCATTGATTCTCTTCCTCTCTCATTCCCCGCTCCAAAAAGGAAACTTCAGGAGGAGGATGGGGATAGGATGAAGCAGCTCCTCTCCATCATACTGCTTCTCTGCTCTAAATTGATCACTCCCGAAACTGGCTTTCCCCCCAAAACAACAACAAAAGGCATTAAAATGTGGCTACATGTGTAACATGTCAGACCTCAATAAGTGTGTAACATGCAAGCCTTATTAACTGATAATTATCACCAATATATCCAAAAAGCTGCCATTTCTATTGTTATACTATACAGGAAGCAATACAAAAGTCATTGTGGATGTAGCAATAGAGGGTTTGTGTGTGTGTGTGTGTGTGTGTGTGTGTGTGTGTGAGTGCAGCGTTCTCCATCCTTGATTCCCCAGCTCAGATGATGTTGGATGTTGTCTAAGATGTTTGGGGATGATGAGGAGAGGAGAGGGGAAAATATATTATTACATTCCCTAAGTGGTTATGAATTACAAATATTATTTTTGTAGCTAAAACTATTAAAAAAGATAACCCTGAGTAGTTTATCTTAAGTTCAGTGCATGGGGGTTGCATTATAGAGACAGACTTAGCTTTTTAGTAATTTCTTCATTCCCATCACACAAACCCTGTCACCAGTTTGATTCACACATACATATTAATCACTTAAATCTTATGGACTGCAACATCAGGTGATGACATTCGGATAGAAGTGTCTGTCAATTTTGGTTCTCTCCATTTCTCATTTTTCCAGTATTAAAGACAGTTCTCCATATTTCTGCAGCAATTTGCAAATATATATATACATTACATACACATTTTGACAAGCAATTTCCCCTAATAAAAGGTACCCCTGTATGTTATCTTCATTAGTATATTGTTATGCACACTTCCCCTAATATATGCTTTTCTTTGAAAACAAACAAACCCACCATTGACTGGTTGGAGAGCTGCACTGCACAATTAATATTAGCGCAACTTTTGAAGGACTGCTGTGTTTCAGTTCTCACATTGTTCCAGAAAGTGCAAATCAGTTTCCTTAAATACAAACTGAGTTGGATTTCTCCCTGTCCCTACTTGCAAGTGTGAATGGGCCATCGCCAGACATAACTGTTCAGATCACCTCCATCACCTCATAAAACATTGCAGTGCTTCTCAATGTTACACTTGTTACACTTCAGATATTCAGTTGCCAATCATTAAGACTCATTTATTTATTAATTTACTTAACTTTCTGTATTTAGCAGAGATGGTTCTTCCATTCCATTTCCCCCCCACAACCAACCTGTGGGGGGGGGGGCCTATGCTGAGAGATAGAGACTGGTTAGCTCAATCTGAGCTAGAGTTGTAGAGACGGAAACAAACGCCGCGGAGTCAAGTTGAGTCTGCGCCTAGGCTCCTTCGCCCCACCACAATAAAACATCTGAGGAGGTCTGCCCCCCCAAAGTTGATGGACATTGTCATAGAAATGGTGCGCGTGTGTCGCATCATGTGATCAATTATGCAATTATACCTGCCCCACCCCCAATATTTCATTCAAGTTGGCACCCCGATCGCAGCCACGGGAGAAATGCCATGGAGGGCTAGTCTCTCTCTGCGTAACGATGGGGACCCCAAACCTGCCAACCTCCCTACACGTGGCCGTTGTTATGACTGCTGGCTGCTTCCCAGGCTGGGCTGAAGGAGAGGTCTCTCAGCTTGCCCCCCACCCGCCCCTTTGCCTCCCCGGACTCAGTCTCCACAATGTAGGCTGCGGCGGCGTCTCCGCCTGGATCCTGCGAGGCTGGCGGCCGAGCGGCAGGGGGTGTCTTCGCTGCCTCCGCCTCCGCCTCCTCCGCCTCGCCGCTCCTTTCCCTTTTCTGCGCCCTTCGGGCCAATCGGCGCAAAACAAAGGCGCGCAGGAGGAGCGGAGGGAGGCCCATCTCCTCCTGCCCTTCCCTCCCGGGTCAGTGGCTCCGCGCGCCGTAAACAAACGCAGCCCCGGGGTCGCCTCGTGCGCGCTGGAAGGGAGCCCAGGCAGGATGGCCAAGAGCCGGGCTGCCAACCCAGCGATGGCCGGGCTCGTCTTGGCGCTCTGGTCCCGCTGCTGCTCCGCGGATCCTCGGGTGGCTGGTTCTCCGGACGAGTCCCAAGCGCCGGGGCTCAGCCTCCATCCGCCCTACTTCAACCTGGCGGAGATCGCCAAGATTTCGGCGACCGACACCTGCGGCCAGGACGAGAGCGGGAGGCCTCGCCGAGAGCTCTTCTGCAAGCTGGTGGGGGGGCCCGCCGCTTTCCCCGCGGGGAAAAACATCCAGGTAACTCCGGGTGAAGCGGGTGTGGGTTAAGTTGGGGATCAACTGAGGGATCAGTGGCATGGATCCTCCAGTCCAGATCATTAAATGCGGACAAATTAACTCATTCTGTACCTGTGCAGCCACTCTGGTCTCCTAACATGATGTAGACTGAACAGTATAGCATCAGGATAGTTAATGAATTGGCAGAAGGTTGCATCTCTTCCGCGGGCGCCTCTCCTTCCGCCAGTACTTTACGCGCAAGCTGCATATTTTAAATCAATAGTTGCCAGCTTTGTTTTACCGGCATGTTAACCGCTTGACACCTGTACACGACAGAAATTTAACAGGTGCAGCTTTCCCATCGGATTTCTGTGCAGCAGAAAGATGCACCAGTTGAATTCCTGTCTTTCTTTGATAGATTAAAGGCACAGGAACTGTGTAGGGGGGGGAATATTCGGGGAGGAAGTACTCTCACCTATGTATTGATAACCTGGATCGGATATCCTTGCCTTCACTGCCGTCTTCTCATGATCCAGGTGCTGACACTTTGGAAATGTTTGGGTGTTTCCATAAGTTCAGTACATATTTATGATTGAAATGAGGGCCAAAGTAACTATTATTCTTTGGATCTCACTCACCCACAGTCTGTCAAGTAGAGTACAAGGGTAGGCTCTTATGCATGTGCTGAAGGTAACTGGTTAGGAATACAGAACGAGGTTATAGTGGTAGTTAACTCATCCATTGCAGCTTAGAGATGCTGCTTCACCACTTAAAAATGGGGGAAACTGCTGGACTGGCAGGAAAGTGTCCTTCAGGATTTGTGAAGGAAGTGCTGAATAAAAGGTCCTCTTAACAGTTGGTGGCCTTCCTTCCATAGAAAGAGACGGCATATGCCAATTGTGTAGGGCATTCCCAGGGATCTCTGCAATATATACAGGCTGCCCTTCCACTTTCTCTGTGCCTGTCCTAAGACACAAGAAGAGCTCTGCTGGATCAAGCCAAATACACATCTTGTCCAGAACTGACCGCATAACTTACAAAAATAAGACCGATCTCCTACACTTTATACCTGTCAATGTTGGAGGAAGCCCTCTTTGTAGATCTCTGTTACTCTCCTCATTGACCTGCCTTCCATCTGGTATTGTTGTGTCAGTATTATGATATGCTAATCTGTTGGCAAGGCAAGGAGAAGACCTATTCTATTCATGTCCTGCTTGGGTGGGGCGGCTTCCCATAGGCATCTGGTTGGCCACTGTGTGAGAACACAATTCTGGACTAGATTGGGTTAAAGAAAATGCCCCCCACCTCCTGCTTTGACAGTAGCTTCTAGGATCTTGTCTGTCTGAAGATAAAAACAGTAAATGCTAACCAAAAAATGATCTATTACAATGTGCACCATTAGTTCAGCATGTACCTTACAATGGCATATGTGAAGAAATGTGCCAAATGATTGCCAAGCCAAATCCCTATTTGTCATGTCTGTATTTGATTCCTATCTATTTTTAACTGATTCTAAATGCTCACCAAAATCAGTTTAATTTGCATATTTTAAATAAATTAACATACAGTATATGCAGAACAGCTTTACTGTGCAAT